CTCCTCCTCCTTCCACCATTCTATCATTCCGATCATTCTATCTTTTTTTCTTTTATTTTCTTTTCCTTCTTTTCTTTTTATCCTTTAGCACTTTGGCTTTTTCCTTTGTTTGAACGGTTCTATGGGATTCATATTTGCTTTGCGAGGGCGATGACACAGGTTGGGAACTTGATAGCGGTTGCTGGTATATTTTCATTCCTATTTTCATTCCTATTTGTTTTTTACTTTTATTTGTTTTGATTTTTTATCGCCGTATCGTTTTTTTATCTTAGTGTTTATTTTATTCACATGTTTAACATTTTCCCATTTAATCGAATCACAAGCGCCTGTGAACCAAGGCGAGCATTTGGGAAAAGCTTCTGGGCTCTGAGGCCATGAGGAATATACTTTATCATTGAAGTCAACGCCTAGTTACTACCACCACGGCCAATTAAGTAGGTAGTAAGAATTCACTTGAGCGGTTATTGTGTACCCCGTACCTACATACTAAGCACCTGGTATTGAGATGCAGACCCGATTTTGATTTTGATTTTGATTTTGGGGCTGAGCGAACAAGGGTGCAACTATACCTTATTTTATTTTAATTTGCGAGCTAGCTCGAGTGGGCGTTCTATTCAAGGTTTGTTGCCCGCTTAATTCCTCCTTATAACGGTCGCCACCTAATTATAGTAAACCATCCTAACGCAGCGTGAGTGGAAGTATGTACTATGTATGTACAGTTACCTGTGCCTATCTTTGATCTGTGGATTCGATGACATCAACGTCATTGATTCTCCAGTCGTTCATGAATCCATCCAAATTTGCGCGTGCGCTATCTGAGTTCCGCGTGATTCTAGGGGTTCTTCCTCTCTCTCTCTCTCTCTCTCTCTCTCTCTCTCTCTCTCTCTCTCTCTCTCTCATTTCCTCTCCCTCTCTCGTCTCCCGCTCCCTCTCTCCCTCTCTCCTCTCGGTTTGAGGGATACAGACGCGAGCTTCATGATCAATGAAGTACCTTACCAGCTAGACTACTGCTGACTTACTTACTCATGGACCCTAGCCCGCGATCGAATGGCGTCGACCGAATCAACGCTTGCCCTATCTGTGTCTCGCTTACAGCTCTGTGGCGTATTTCCATAATTATCAACATACCCTGGACGATGCTGGTAAATTCCCGTTCAAGAAGGATTCTGCGACCTGTGAAGGAAAAAATAAACCACGCTTGCCTGCTCTGGGAATAGACTCCAATTAGCCGACTCGGGGACTCTGAAAAGTCGTTGTGGATTTTTCTGGAATGGCCAAGTTAACAGCAAGCTGCAGACTGCGCTGCACTGCCCATCAACTGACTGTCTGGTACCTACATAGTACATCCATACAGGGACTTTGTACCGGTACACGGAACGTTAACACACATCATTTGGGTATTTGTCTGGGGACCTGCAGCTGTCCCTGAGTAGGTTTCCCTGTCTCCCATCCCGTTGACATACTACCTAGGTAACTACCTGGTAATACCAAGACTACCTAGACTGTTACACTGAACCTTGACTCCAAGCAGCGTAGTGCAGCGCAATGCCAAAATCGTCCCGCATCGACGCCGCTGCCTTAACGACGCCGCTGACGCCGCAACATGTCTCAACAACAAGCTATGACGATTCCAGCTCGTGCGGAACCATGGAACCATGCATCTCTGACTTACTTACCCATCAGAATACCTTAACTCTTTTTTGTATATATAAGTAAGTATCGAGCCCCTCACATCCAAGTCAACATCATAACCATTATCACTATCGTTCACGCGCTAATACAAACCATCGGGTCTAGCCTGAGCTAAGTCAAGCTAAGCTATCAGCTTCACTTTCGTTTATACTGTAGCTTTTACAGGCCTTTAGTCCTTCTTTGTAGGATATTTGTCTTTCGTTTTTTGCTAATACCGACTAAATTGAATACTTCGGCTCTATCCCGCGGACGTTGATGGATTTGGTAGATAGTTGAACTTGCGGCCGGATTCCCTTCCCTTTGTGATCTCAATTGATCAGAGAATGCCGGAAACCGTTGCATGCCGCCCGTTATTTACACAACCAGCCCAACCTGGTTCTCGATTCCACGCGCTTCCGAGTTATTCAACAATCGCCTACGATCAAGAATCCTTTACCATGGACCATATAAATTCGAGTTCTGGACAAAGGTGGCAGAAATCTGAAATGAGACTGGATCTCGGCGGAGCCAATGAGCATATCAAACACCGTCGAACAAGATCGGGTTGTTTCACCTGTCGCGCTCGCCGTGTAAAGGTTCGAGCGGGTCCCTCGAAGCTGGATCAATAATATATTATACTAACACTGGCTGAAAAAACAATCCCATAGTGTGATGAAGCAAGACCAATTTGCGAACGTAAGCTAAACCTTAATATAATCCGGTGTCGTCGTTTATTCTTTATACCCCAAAGATAACACCGACACCTCCCTTTTAGAATAAAAAAATCTTACAATCTTTCTGATAATAGGCTGCTCAAAGGGTGGTCGAAAATGCACTTTCCCAGATACATCGATACCGAAGAGCACCAGAGGCAAAAGGAAACAGTCAAGCACCTCCAACTCTGCTCAAGTGCCAGAAAAGAGTCCGTCTCCCGAGGATCCAGAGTCAGACACCTATTTTTCCGATATTCAACCAGCAGACATCCGTTTTCTAAGTGCGTACCCTTTGGATTCCACAAATCTTGCTCGATCAGCCCCCGGTTCAACTCGGTCACAAAGAAGCCTAAGTCCTATTGGCATAGTATACGATGGGGAGAGTTATTCGGAGCCCCGCTATCCACTGTATACCCATGATTCCCGTTCCGATTTAATGATTTCCGATTTACCCATTGAAAGACCGCTGGCGCAATTAGCCCAAACCGAATTCCCCCCCAACAAATTCGACATAGATTTTTGGCTCCAATATCATCGCCAAAATATCAATTTCCGCCATTACTTACTCAAAAGTGACTCCTCTGAGTTTTTCAACAACGTATTGTTGTCATACGCATCGCAGAACAATGCACTCCTTTACTCGGTTGTCGCTTTCTCTGCACTCCACTATTTTATCAACGAAGCACGCATTACAGGAACAGATCAGACATCATCGGCAGAAATATTTTTTGGGCTACATGACAGAGCGATTGTTTCCCTTCGGGAATCATTCCAAGAAAACCTGCCACCAGACGTATTTACACTCCTTACAGTCCTTCAACTAGCGACCCTCGAAGAATACCTTGGAGATTGGGCAAATTTGATTGAACACCGCAAGGGAGCATACATGATTCTGGAATCTCTATTTTCGCCGCAGTCGATCCTTGACACATCGGAGGGGTATCCTATTTTCTCATGGTTCACCCGAATAGACCTCAGTGTCTCTATGATTGCTGGGCTTTCTACAATACTCGATATCGAATGGTATGACGCAGCGTATGATTCATGCCGGACCCAGCTTGCTCAACATCCTGACAACCTCTATTGGTTGGCACTAAGCGCCGAGTCATCTTGCCGCCGAATTACTATGCAAGTCGTAAATATCCTGCACGCGCGGTTCAGCGGAATTTGCGACTATGAGTCTTACGAACAAGTATTGGTTGCCGCCTTGAAGGATATAGAGTCATTTTGGAACCAGTTCTCCGACCTAGGACGTAGTCTCCAGCCGAGTTCTCCTACAATTCAAGCCCAGATTAGTTACATATTTGCAGAAATACATGCTATTGGAATGCTCATACACCACCAGCGCAGTGTACTGTATGGTTTTGACGAAGAATATATGGCTGGGCAATGCGCCGCAATCTGCGATCTTGTAGCGGCGGCAATGGCCCCTCGCAAATCAGATAGCCCGGAGGTGTCACTATTACCTTTCCAACTAACCCTCGGAATGGCGGCGGCGTTCAATACTGTAGAGAATTTAAGATTGTTCCTCCGAGCACGGTTCCATGATATAGAGCTGCTAGGGTATGTTCTCAATCTTTTAGAGGGTAGAAGAAGAAGAAGAAGAAGAAGAAGAAGAAGAAGAAGAAGAAGAAGAAGAAGAAGAAGAGTTACTTTTCATAACATTCATTGGGTTGATTCTAATACCAAATTGTACTTGTTATAGGTTTTTATACCCAATCCCGTTTCGGACATTTCTATCGAAACTTTGGGAAGATGAAACGGTTCGGATGGAGTGGGTACCTGGAACGAGCAACAATCAAGATAAATTACGGCCGTTGACGAATATTCTGTGTGCGATTAAGGCACTGGCGGAGGATAGAGACGAGGAAATGGGTTCAACAAATAACGCGCAGAGCGCACAGTTGATGCGAAATCTCTTTTCTTTTGCTGATCTTCAGATCTGAAGGGCCATCCATTTGCTATGACAGATTTACGCAAATGGTAATGACCAATATTGTAATGTATTGTCTATTATACTTGTATCTTGTTGGGGTACGGTGTTCCGTGTCTTTTTTTTTTTTTTTTTTTGGTTCACTATCGGAGTAGTGTTGGCCTGGCGTTATGAGTTCTGAAAGGGATTGTGACTTACGAGGGTCCACCTGATATCTGATTACATTTCTAATATAATATAATATAATATAACATAATACAATATACCTAAGTAGTAAGTAGGTAATATAATATAATATAATACAGGGTACTTAAGCACTTATCAAGTAAGGAGTAAGTAGGTACCTTAGGTACCTAGTTACTTACGTAGATATTATTGAGACATATTTGATGCTCCTGTGGTATATATTTCCAGCAGAAACCGCTAAGTGATTGATATAGATACTTATGAAGGGACGTGAACAAGTACAGGCCATATGGCGCAATGGTAGCGCGTTGCTCTCCTACTGCGCGGTAGACAGCTACCAGCAGTTCAGTAAAGCAGAGGTTGCAGATTCGAGTTCTGCTATGGTCGTTTGACTTATTCCTTTTTTTTTGTTTTATGCGCTTCCGGTTTTTGTTCAATAAAAACACATTTGCTCCTCCGGTATTTTTCGGTTCTGTTGCCGGATCGGGACTTGCTTAGATACGTTTATGGAAGTTCCTTCCCAGACGCTTTGTGTTGGCTATGATGTTATAGATAGGGTATATTATACCAGTACTACCTTTACCTGGATACCTAAGCACTTAAGTAGGTACATAAGTATGTGCCTATATATTTCTGTAGTACGATAGGGATTTAATCTTATAAATTTACTGGTGCTTTTTTTTTAGCTAGCATTGCACGGTAGAGAATATCGAATATATATGATGATGATGCAGGCTATAATTGAGCAGGATGTACACAACATACCTTACATGTATGTACATACTTACCTACTTAGTACGTATACCCCAATATTGTCTATATACATTTTAAGTCAATAGTGTCTCCTGAGGTACCATAAGCCCTTTACTGCTCAAGTTGCAATTGAGTCACGACTTGATTGTGGGTCCTATTACAAATATAACGTAAGTTAAGCCTCGGGCATCAAGAAAAAATATGATTCTGTGTTGTTTGTTGTTGTTGTTTTTTATTGTTGTTGTTGTCGTTGTTGTTGTTGTTGGTGCCGAGACTAGCTAGTTGGTTGGTTGGCTGATTGATTGACTGGTTGACTGATTGATGGAGGGACCTTCCTCCTCTCCACCTTTCAAACCCCCTCAACCCTTCATACACACCATCACCACCATCAAATTCAACGTTAACGTCAACATCAGCATTGCTATCGACCGTCGATATCGTCATCATCTCCATACCTACTTATACACCCGTACTGCCTTCACCCTTGGGACGAGAATCCACCTTGTATTTTCCAGAATACCGTCTGTGCATACCCCCCCCTCGTAATATCCACCTCACCCACCATCTGTCCCATCACGAGCGCTGTCTTCCTATTGCCTAAGGGCCTGTTTATGTCTTATTTACTAACCTCCTTATCTATCAAAGTATATAAAAGGGTACACATTACTCCCTCTTCGCCGAGTGTGTTCTAATATCCACCTGCTGGCGTGTGTATACCTTGGCTTACTGCTGTCATTGTTAAGCATTGTCGGCTCCACCCTATTCCGCTATCAGCCATGTCGTGGAAGCTCACCAAGAGTAAGTTGGAAATACTCGCCATCTTTTGAAACCTCGAGTCAGGGGGGCAAAGCAAGCCCCATACCCCAGGTTGATGCTCCCCTTTGGTGGTGGCCTCAATTCTCTCTCCCTCTACCCCCTTTCTCCCTCCTATGCCCAGGCCCTTTACCCCTTTCCCATCCCTGTCAATCATTATCACTTTAGCTTTCGTTTTCTCCCCTTTGTCAGGCCAATACTGTATGACTAAGTCCACTGATATTTTGATTTTCTCCTGCCCGTAGAACTCAAGGAGACACATCTCTCCACGCCGTCTCCGAGCTCAACGGCTTCACGATCTTCATCAACATCTACAATTACTCCGGCATCCCTTAAAACATCCCCAACACCCTCTTCTATTGACACTGCAATGACAGGAAGCACACATGTCACCTCAACGGTTAAGCCGGGCTTGCTTGTTTTCACACTTTACGAGGCCAAGGGCCTGACGCTGCCCAACATCCCAACCACACAGACCGGTCTTCTCTCCGGCTCGGTTGGCTCGTTCAATTCAATGCGCCCCGCATCATCACAGGCGCGAATGGCGAGCTATGTCACTCCCGGCTCCCGACCGGGCACCTCGTCATCTCGGCCGGGCACTGGCTATAGCCATGGTGGCGGAATCCATCCCCGATACCTTCCCTATTGTGTTGTAGAATTCGACAAGTGCGAGGTTTTCTTGACAGCCTCTCCAAAATCGCCTGCTCCAAATGCTCCAGTTTATGACTCGCCTGCAAACCAATACAAATTCGACGTGTCTAGAGAGACTGATCTAACAGTGCAGCTTTATTTGAGAAACCCATCGAGTACTGGAAACCATAGGGAGAACGATTTTTTTTTGGGAAGCTGTAAAGTACAACCCCGCTTTGAGGAAGTGACTGCCCAGCAGACAACCCCGCCCAAATCCAAATCTTCCACCCTACCGACCCCCCAACCTGGTCACGCCGGTATCGACTGGGTGACCCTGGGATTTGGCAGCGGAAGCGTTCGTATCGGGTTGGACTATGTTGCAAACCCCGTGTGTATTCCTTTTCCTTTTCCTTTTCCCCATCACATGGCTCCCGTCATGCACACTAGACTAATATTGCAATTAGAGCAAACCTCTTACTATTGAAGATTTTGACTTGCTCAAGGTTGTTGGAAAGGGGAGTTTCGGGAAAGTCATGCAGGTCAGGTAAGAATGAGATTCACTGGGAATTAATTTGGAGAGGCCGCCAATTTAACGGTAGAATAGAAAGAAGGATACATCCCGTATATATGCCCTTAAAACCATCCGAAAGGCCCACATAATAAGCAGAGCTGAGGTGACACACACTCTCGCTGAGAGAACTGTTCTCGCTCAAATCGACAACCCTTTCATCGTTCCGTTGAAGTTCTCCTTTCAGTCGCCGGAGAAACTTTATTTAGTGTTGGCATTTGTTAACGGCGGAGAGCTGTTCCACCATCTCCAGCGTGAAGGCCGATTTGATATCAACCGCTCGAGGTTTTACACCGCAGAGCTTCTCTGTGCACTGGAATGTTTGCATGGATTTAATGTTATCTACAGAGATCTTAAGCCCGAAAATATCTTGCTTGATTATACCGGCCATATCGCGTTGTGTGATTTCGGTTTGTGTAAACTCAACATGAAGGAGGATGATAAGACCAACAGTAAGTTTTTTTTATTTACTTCTGCATATCTACACATGTCAGAATTATCAACCTGTTCACTCGTGGCTTACATAACTTAATTATTAGCTTTCTGTGGTACCCCCGAATACATTGCGCCAGAACTTCTTTTATCCCAAGGATACACTAAAACGGTTGATTGGTGGACACTTGGTGTACTGCTATATGAGATGTTGACGGGATTACCACCATTCTACGATGAAAATACCAATGAAATGTACCGTAAAATCCTTACGGACCCATTGCTATTTCATGGACCGGAGATTGTGCCCCAGGACGCGAGAGACCTCTTGGAAAAACTACTGAACAGGGATCCGACTAAAAGGTTGGGCGCAAACGGGGCTTCGGAGATCAAGAACCACAAGTTTTTTGACAGTGTAGATTGGAAGAGGCTTGTTCAGAAGAAGATACAGCCTACCTTTAAACCAGCCGTTGTAAGTAACCGTCTGGCTCGCTTCTTTCTTTTCATCTGTTGTTTATTATGTTTGCTGAACATGCTATAGGAAAATGCGCTCGACACTACCAATTTTTCACCAGAATTTACCGGCGAAGCCCCAGCAGACAGCGTCATAGAGGGGGATGCTCGTTTGTCTGAAAGCGATCAAATTCAGTTCGAAGGTTGGAGTTATCACGGAAGTCGCCTACAGGGGACAGGGGAGGGAAATATGAGCGTTAAAGATCCTTATCTCGGTAATGGTAGCATACAGAATTAGCGAAAGTCTAGGTTTTGATTGTTCTATGCTTTCACGCTTATCGGTCGTTCTTGTTCGTTTCAAGCACAGCTGTTTATTTGTGCAACAAACTCCTTTTGTTGATTCGCATTGTAGCATTAGCAGATTTGGACTTCGGACTCTCAATCCGCTTATGAGGTAGCAATTCTTAAAACCCCACCATCTGTATGGCTGTCACATTTCCTCTCTTCTCCCCGTGTGCAGGCCCGAATAAAGTCCGGCCTTATGCCCCGAGAATAGATGATGAAATCATATCATTGAGAGATAGTGTTCTCTATATATTACACACGTGGTTGCAAATAAGCAATATGGAGATATTTACAGGTATTGTTGAATACAACTCAAATATATACTCAAGATCATCATTTAAGGACTAGATTTGCTATTATCCTTCAGAAAATCGAGCAAGGAGACTAGCCTCTGGTCCATCTCTCCTGGCTGGTCAACGGACTTGCCCCGCCCGTCCTTTAGCGGGGTATTCGGGGAACTAGAGGCGTTCTTATAGGAGTCGAATTCGTCTTTATTCTCACCGAATTTAAATTTCTCGGCGCTCTTTCCTATAAGTTCTTGGTAGAGTTGAATGGGGACGAATCGGTTTAATTCGATACTGATTCTACCTTGGTGGTCGAGCTCAGCAGCAAGGGGGGTAACCCTGATTAGCTGGGAAATAGAGTATGATGTCTGCTCGTTCGAGGGCGAGCTTTCGTGTTGGGCGTATTGAACGATGCCTCCAATGACGTAAAATGTTCGCTTTCGATAAGTATCGATGGTTCTGCTATCTAATTTGTGGATGAGTCGAGCTCGGACTTCTTTGTTGCGATTCGGGCCATATTCTGGATGATTCTCCAAGTATGAAGTGTCAAGGGTGTAGTGCATGCCTGCGGAAGGGTGTATCGTCATGGGTACTTCCCGAAGGGGTATTTGGAGAAATTCGCGGACAGCATTATAGGCCTTTGTGGAATCAAATCTAGCGGTTTTTAAAGCAGGACTAAGGGAGTCAACGGTGAAGTTTGGCAGCACAAAAGGGTCTGAAATCCCGGGGACTGTTGTTACTGCTGCTGGTGTTGATGTTGATGGTGATGTTGATGGTGATGTTGATGGTGATGTTGATGGTGATGATTCGGCGCCGGTCTCGGTTTTAAGATGTGAGGAAGACGGCTCCGATGGATTCGTTGCTGGGGCGGGGGGACTGAACCACAGATCCGCAAATGCCTCGAACTCTTTTCTGCGAGGGACTAGTTTCTTGATTGCGAAGTTCTTTAGTTGTCCTGGTGTCATATGTTGGACGAATTTTTTCCTATAACCCCAGATTGGCTGGATACTATCGGGTTGACTCTCTGGAGGGGGAGTATTTTCAAAGTAAAAGGCGGAAGTGAAGCTCCTAGCACGTTGGTCCCGAAGCTGTAAGGGTATATCCATTTCCTGCCATTTTTTCAAGGTCATAACAGTGTCATGGGCGGATTCAATCTTTGTCATGTGCTCGATAGTGTCGATGTCGTTGTATTTGATATACGTGCTTTCGACTTTTCGTGGCATGGAGCGCTTTAGGCCCCAATCTCCTCTAGCACGAGAGGACTCCGGGGTGGTAATAGCTTGATGAGTCGGGTAAGGAGCACGAAAGAGCTGGGAGTCGGAGAGGGTATGGGCTAAGGGCTGTGGCATGGCCATGAGGCGCGAGTTGCGAATCAAATTGGCGGTGGGACCGAGGCTTTTGGAAGACATCGTGGCTGACCGGGACCCCGTCCCGTGGGAGCGGAGAGGCGAAGAGGGGTGAAAAGGTGATGAATTAAGTTGTCTCGTCGCCAGACTCCTCAACTGTGGGGAGAAGGGGGGTGAGACTGGAGATAGTACTGGACTCTGGTGGGGTGGAGGAGGAGAGTTGTAGTTGCCGGAAAAAAACCACATGCGCCACAATGAAATGATAATATGGCGCAGGTCTATCAGAATAAAAATTCAGATGTGGCGTTGCGGCAACACAGCCGGCAACACAGACAACAAGGGGTCTGGCTAACCCCTGCGTTGTTGGGTGTGTCTGTCAGAGTCAGCTTAGTTCTAGATTTAGAAACAATCAAGTTGGAAGTTGGGCGACTACCCCCGTTGTTTGGCGTGTTATAAGCCAAGGGTCTTTTATGTTGTATCTATCCCGGATGAGTTAGTGTACGTAGTAGTTGTCTGCCAGGTTACTGCTTAAGAGGTATATAGTACCTACAATATGCATACTTTTAGTACCTGGCACCTAGGTAACTAAGTACTTAGTACGGAGTATGTTACTTGGGTAAGTAAGTATACGCCCGTACGTGTTCGGCATGGTGTCGGAAGCTGGTTGTCTCCTTTTCCCAATTACCGATTCCCAACTCCCAAACTCCCATCTTCATCCTCATCCTCATCCTCATCCTCATTCTGGTTGATCCCCATCACCTGCCACTGTCATCTCTACTATTACCATTGTTATTATCGCCATCAAACTTACTTCTATTGCTTCTACATACCTGTCACCCGCCACCCGCCACCCGCTGGCGTGTCTCCCCTCGCCATGAACTCTAACAACAACTGGCAGAAGGACTTCAATGTTCGGTATGACAGTCTTCGAGATAACATTTCCGGCCTAAAGCCCTGGAATAGAAGACTTCTCTTCTTGCTACCGCCTCTTCTAATCTTCTCCTGGGCGATATTCCTCTTCAACCCTCTCGACGCTAACCCTGGCTCTGTCGACACCGGCGTCGTTGACTCAGCCCCACCATCCGTACCTTCCAGCTTCGACAACGTCTTGCCTTCATCAGTTATTCCCGGTATTCCACAGCCTACTTCAGATGTCGTGGTCGGCGACGTCCCCTCGTCAAATATTGTCGAGCAGAAGTCCGAAATTCTCACTTTCAACAAGACCAAGGTCGCTCTATTAATAGAAGATCGCCCCCTCGGACAACTTGCTCCCCTCATGCTGCACATGATGAATGTGGTCCCGCCTGACTGGTCATTCAGATTTTATGGCTCTCAAAAGTCGATAGATCATCTCAATCACTCGCTTCCAATCCAAATGTGGGAAAGATTAGGAAAGTTAACCATGGAGTTGGTCCCCAGCAACCTAACCCTCCATGGCCAGCAGGAGCTTAGTAGGACTTTCACAAACCTTTGGTTTTATGAAACTCTTTTGGCTCCTGCGGAGTATCTTCTTGTATTCCAGACGGACAGCATTATGTGTGCAAATAGTGGTATGAATCTGAATGATTGGCTGCATTTCGACTGGGTCGGCGCGCCGTGGTATGTTCCATATTAAAAATTAAAAATTAAAAAAATTAAATATATATATATATATATTTTGTGAAAGACATAAAAGTTTGCTAACAGATGTATTATATACAGGTCTAAAGACTCCGCTTATGGTGGCAATGGAGGCCTTTCCCTGAGAAGGGTCAAACCTATCATCGAACTTTTGAGGAGGGAATCCAGACCTGATGGCCATCCTGAACTAGAAGATCTTTGGCTTTGCAATCGCCTGGCTAAAATGCCTGGTGTCAACATGGCCAATGGGACAATAGAAGCGCAGTTTTCCGTTGAGGCCGTTTGGCACGAGCGACCCATGGGGTACGTGTTCTTCTTGACCTCATTTTCATTTCGCCTAAAACCGCCGCTAACTTGTGCTTTCTTAGATACCATACCGGCTGGTCCGGCGCACGTCTCCCAGGCGATGTTTGGGGAACAGCTGAAAAACGAAAGTATATATATGATTATTGCCCTGAGATGAAGATGACCGTTGCAATGAAGCTAGAGCGTGAAGGGTGTGATGATAAGCGCAAACGAGATGAGGACTCAGTCTTTAATGAGATTTCTGCCTTTTGAATATGAAACAATATTTTACCCCCTCCCCCCTCCTCCTTTCATTACTGAATTTATTTTACTTTATTTTGTTTTGTTTTATTAAAATGATATATATGCACCTGGTCTAGGCATATATATAGTACTTGAGTATATGTATATGCTAGATTTGGAGGAGGATGACAAACATGGTAAAGGCCCTTTAGATGTTTTTTTTTTTTTTTTCCCCTTTCCCATTTCCCCTGTTCCCTATTCCCTTTTTTTTCCCCTTTTTTCCCTTTTTCCCATTCTTTTTCGAGTCCTTGGGTTATTGGCTGGCGGCTGGGCGAACTACTGTTTTTGTTTTAGTAAAAATGATCTGTTGAAAGAACACAAAAGCACTGCAACTGTTTTCTGTCCCTCAGATTGGCCTCCTCAAATTTCGTCTGTATAATACTCCATCCTCTAATGTTAAATGTGATTTTACTCCCCTTCTTAACTCTCATCCAATCGTACTACCGTCCGGGAAGGTCTCGGCTCCCGTGCCAATAGCGAGTTCTCAGGGTGCAGAAGAACCCGCCCGCGCTATTGGCTTGGCTTCCTAACTTCAGCCAATTTCACTGCGCAGTGACATCATCACAGCCACCAGAGACACTCAAGCGGCGGGCCTAGAACCAGCCTCGACATCTCTCCAGGGCCCTAGAGGCGGCACGGAAATTGTGATCGAGGCCAGCTGGGCAGCTGCTGGAGGTTAAGATGTCAGTGGCTTGCTTGACCATGAGCCAGCCGCCGGTTCTGACATTTAAATACACCATCATGACCTACAGCTGCTGGATGGACGCATGGCGAAAGCTTGTGAACAATGCCTTCGAATTTTCCTCTATCGCCATCATCACACAGTCCGACCTTTCAAATGGGTGCTAGCGCAACAGGCATAGGTCCTTCTTCCGGGTCTGGACCAATACCATCGATGGAGAAAACCTTTATCACTATGCATGATTTAACCTCTGGTTCGCCCTTCCCTACCCGTCCCCCTTCCTAATCTACATGTTTGCGCGCGTAAGATTGAAGGCTTTATGGATTAAAAGTTGACCCATTTCCGTCCATCCAAGTAGAGGCTCGCATCGTATACGCCTCCGATTCAGTAGCAGATGTTCTAGGCTACCCCCCTGAAGAAGTAATCGGGCTCTCCTGCTTCGACTTTTTCCATCCTGATGAACTTCCCTTTGCTAGAAAAATTCACAACCGGGGAATCCATTTGGACAGGGCTGCCGTACTTGTATACTGCCGTGTAAAGCACAAAAACGGCGGGTTTATCCATTGCGAGACGATCTTCAGCGTGGTATACGATGTCTTCGTCGCTGCAACCACCCTACATGTTCAAACAAGCAAAAGCCAAGGTGAGGATGTTTTTTTCTCGTCGACCAGGCTAAACCAAAGGCACCGGCAGTGTACTGAGATGCTCCACGCTTTTAACCAGGCCGTGCATTAACTGCACCGGTGATTCGAAGGGTTTTCTCATCATCACCGAATGATCCTCGATACCACATGCTTACGCATCTTTCCGCCAAATTCCATATGGGGAACCCGGATGATCAAGGCACTCACGAACCCCGGGTTGCTTTGATATTGAACCGATTCACAAGAACGCTTACCGTCCTCTACGCTTCGCACGCAAGTTCTTCGATCTTTGGAGTTACACCGAGCCAACTAACCGGCAAAAGTTTTTTCGAATGCATCCACGAGGACTGTCTCCAAGAGGCAGTCGATGCACTGGAAAGGGCAAAGGAGAATGATTCTATTGCATATTTACGCTTTCAGTGGAGGGACCCTATCAACGGTACAGCTGAAGAGGCACAAACACATGAACATGCAGCAGTTGACCGACCATTAAGGAGGTCGCGGCGGATTAGTTCGAAATGTAAGCGGAAACTTGAGAGTGATGACCAGAATGAGGTCGGCGGGTCGTCTAGTAGATCATCAAAGCGCAGGGCGGTCGGATCTCGAGGCGAAGACACGCCGGCCCAGCAGGGGGGATCCTCGAGGCCTAGATCATCAGTTCGCGACGCTAGCCTGCCTGCCGCAGAGGCACCAATCGAATCGGGGGTCGGGGGGGATACAGTTTCCGATGTGGTAGCGATGCCGGCTATTCCTAGGGAGGTGGAAGCTGTGGTATCGTGCACATCCGATGGGTTAGTCGTTATACTGCGGCAAGCGAGGCCTCTGATCCCGAAACCGCTTCACAATGTTCCTAGCGGAATTTTCGCATCTCCTTGGGCACCGATATCTCTGGTCCCAAGGATCGAGCACTTGCCCGACAAGAATCGAGAGGCCAGTCTCATGGAAGCAATCCAGGAAGTTGCTGTTTTTGCTTGGAGTTTACGGCAGCTTGGGGGGGAGATTATTTCTAGTACGGGAAGTGAAAAGGCTACGACGGCAAGCAAAAGCAACGAGGGAGACAACGATCAGAAAAATCATGACAATAATAACGGGACGGGGGATGGTGGTTTCACAAGCGGTAATGCCGATGAAGGAGGTGTAGTTCCCTCGGAATCAAAGGCACAGCAAAAAAAGGCCGTGGTGGTTGAACCTGAAGTGGTTGGAAGGTTCTCCAAAAAAGAGCGAGAGCCGCAGGGCCGCCCAAAAGCCAATACCCGGAAACTGCCCCGGTCATAGGTAGTACTATACCTAATGCTATACCTAATGATATATTATAGACAGTTGAATTGAGTTAGTTATAATTAATGTCATGGTATTCTCATACGGGACGACACTTCATGTATGTAACGGAAGTTAACCGGCTCGGATAGAAACTATGACGGGCTCATGAAATACAGAGGTTGATTGTATGTATTATGTGGTTAGCGCATGCGCACGTAATTTTGGCATGTGAATAAGTACATACTCTGCATCTACATATAGGTACCAAGCTAAGTACTTAGATACGCATGTGTGCGCGGGGGGGAAAAAAAAAAAAAAAGGGAAGTGGAAAAGGAAGGAGAAGCAGGAGAAGCAGAAGGAGAACGGAAGTCAGGGGTCCATGACGCCAGCCCTTGCTCGGAACATCATGCTGGTTTGGTACTTAGTATGTATGTGGTTGTGGGGAAGCCGGTTTGGGGCCACAGCCGAGGCACAAATGCAAAGCTGCATGCAGGCGACATATGCTTTGAACCGAGTCCACTTTAAATACTGAATTGGAACCCGATGTCAGCTGTGACGTCTCCAAACACCATCTCCAACTTACTTATCCCTCCTTTCTTCGTGTTTACTATAAAAGTTAGTTAAACTAAGATCAAACACCTACGATGGCTGGTAAGGAACTTCGTTTCGACAATAAAGTCGTTGTGGTCACAGGTGCTGGCGGTGGCCTTGGAAAAGCTTATGCTTTGTTCTTCGCTTCCCGAGGCGCCAGTGTCGTCGTCAACGACTTGGGGGGTTCTTTCAAGGGTGAGGGTGCATCATCCAAGGTATTTTTATCACCACCGCCGTCATCATCTTTTTCTTCTTCCGGTCCCTCTCAGCTAACCAACGCCCCCCCCCGTCCTAGGCCGCTGACCTCGTCGTTGAAGAAATCAAAGCTGCCGGCGGCAAAGCTGTTGCCAATTATGACTCGGTCGAAAATGGAGAAAGGATTATTGACACAGCAGTAAAGGCGTTTGGTACCGTCCATATCTTAATAAACAATGCCGGTATCCTACGCGATATCTCCTTCAAAAATATGAAAGATGCCGACTGGGATCTTATTATCAAGGTGCACGTAGATGGCTCTTACAAGGTAATCCCCTCGCTATACTACAATTTTTATAAAACCCCGAGTTGGTAGCTAACTTGGCGTAGTGTGCCAAAGCCGCATGGCCTCACTTCAGAAAACAGAAGTACGGAAGAATAATAAATACATCATCAGCTGCTGGCCTCTTTGGAAGCTTCGGCCAGTGCAATTACTCTGGTATTCCCCACCTATCTAACACTTCTTAAAATACCTTATATATTAACGCAACCTTTTTTTGTTTAAAATAAAAATAGCTGCAAAGCTCGCTTTGGTTGGTTTCAGCGAAACTCTTGCTAAGGAGGGCGCCAAGTACAATATCTTCTGCAATGCGATAGCCCCCGTCGCGGCATCACGTATGACACAAACTGTGATGCCAGAGGAAGTCCTCACGAATCTCAAACCCGACTGGATCGTGCCAGTTGTGGCTTACCTCGTACACGATTCCAATCAAACTGAAAATGGTGGCATCTTCGAAGCTGGTGCAGGTCACGTTGCAAAGCTCCGATGGGAGCGCTCTAAGGGTGCTGTTTACAAAACAGATAGCACCATGACACCTGGGGCTATCCTAAAGAAATGGGACCAGATCACAGATTACTCGGCTCCATCTTATCCCGATGGCCCAGCGGACTTCATGGACCTTCTCGAGCAGTCCAAGTCAATTGGACCAAACGCCCAAGGTCCGGCGATCGATTTCAAAGACAAGGTTGTTTTGGTGACTGGGGCTGGTAGTGGGTAAGTGCTTACGATACAAACCTGTTACACATTCTTACATAAGTTTGATTCTAATGCTCTGTATTTTAGTCTCGGTCGAGCTTACGCTCTCCTCTTCGGCAAACTCGGCGCCAAAGTTGTGGTTAATGATCTCGTAAATCCAGATAATACCGTTAACGAAATACGGGCGGCTGGGGGTACCGCCGCTGGAAACAAGAGTTCAGTAGAAGACGGTGAAGCTGTTGTCAAATCTTGTGTCGATGCTTTCGGTGCCGTTCACATCATTATCAACAATGCTGGTATCCTCCGTGACAAGTCGTTCCAGGGTATGACAGACGAACAGTGGAAGATCGTCATGGATGTCCATCTCCGGGGAACTTACAAAGTCACAAAGGCAGCTTGGCCCATTATGCTTGCTCAGAAGTACGGTAGAATCGTCAATACAACATCAACAAGCGGTATCTACGGAAATTTTGGCCAAGCAAATTACGCAGCGGCGAAACTAGGTATACTGGGGTTCTCCCGTGCCCTCGCTAGAGAAGGGCAAAAGTACAACATCTTTGTCAATACAATCGCTCCTAATGCAGGTACAAATATGACCCGCACAGTCATGCCAGAAGAAATTGTTCAAGCCCTCAAGCCCGATTATATTGCACCTCTTGTCGCCCTCCTTTCGTCCGATCACTGCCCCGACCCGACTGGAGGCCTGTACGAAGTCGGATCGGGCTGGGTTGGAAAGACCAGGTGGCAGAGGAGCGGCGGCCACGGGTTTCCCATCGATAAGCCCCTAACTGTAGAAGATGTTGCTACCCAATGGAACAGGATCTCTAGCTTCGAGGATGGCCGTGCGGATCATCCTGAATCCGCCCAGGATGCCTTGAGCTCAATCATGAAGAACTTGTCCAATAAATCTGGCTCTGAGAGCGGAGTAGGAGATTCTGACTATTTGAAGGCCATTGAGGCAGCAAAGGCCGCCAAAGCTGCCGGTTCTGAATTCGTCTTTGATGACAGAGACGTGATTCTCTACAACCTCGGCCTCGGGGCAAAGAGAACGGATCTCAACCTGGTATTCGAAAGTGCAGACAAGTTTGAAGTCCTTCCAACATTTGGCGTTATCCCTCCATTCAATGCCGCGACCCCGTACAGCTTTGACGAAATCGTCCCTAACTTTTCTCCCATGATGCTTCTCCATGGTGAGCAGTACCTTGAAATCAAGAAGTACCCAATCCCAACATCGGGCACGTTCGTAAACTATCCTAAGCTCGTCGAGGTTATTGATAAGGGAGCCGCTGCTGTCGTTGTCGCCGGTGTCACTACCAAGGATGCCGCCACTGGCGAAGATGTCTTCTACAATGAATCTTCTATCTTCATTCGGGGATCCGGCGGCTTCGGGGGTAACTCTAAGGGCACTGACCGTGGAGCTGCCACTGCGGCAAACAAGCCTCCTACAAGAAAACCAGACGTTGTAGTCGAGGAGAAAACAACTGAAGAACAGGCTGCTTTGTATAGATTGTCAGGCGACAGAAACCCTCTCCATATCGACCCCGAGTTCTCCAAAGTTGGTGGATTCAAGACACCAATTTTACACGGCCTCTGTTTCTTCGGGATCTCGGGAAAGCATGTGTATAACAAGTTCGGGCCGTTCAAGAACATCAAAGTCAGGTTCGCTGGAACCGTTCTCCCAGGACAGACTCTTAGGACGGAGATGTGGAAGGAGGGCAATAAGGTTATTTACCAGGTTGTCGTCGTCGAGACTGGCAAATTGGCCATCTCGAGTGCTGCAGTTGAGCTCGTTGGCTCGTCTCAAAGCAAATTGTAAAGTAGGTATATATAGGTGTATTTTTGAGGGTGCTCCGGGTGAAGCATTTGATAGTTTTATTTGCACAGTTACGAGATAGTCTTGTTGGTATTCTTTGGAATCTATCGGTTAATACGGGTTTAATTTTTTTTTTTCCTCGGCCTCAAGTTCAGTTCCAGTGCTCATAAGTTGTAATTATATCTTAACATACCTCACGCACAACCACTAACGCCTCCACCGGTCTAGTAGTTGCACTGAACTTCCACGTATAGACCTACAGCTAGAAAAAGGAAAGGTATGTTTTATAGTTTTAACTCGATAAACTTCTCGAGCACCCGAGAAAGAAATTGTTCTAAAACCTCTTTGATCGACTGCGACTGCTCTCTGAATGCCTGTACAGCAGATGTGGCATCACGTCTATTCGCCTTCAAAGTGTAGCCCGCAATTACTTGACGCTGCGGAGGTTTCCAGCCAGTGACCCCTGGGTTTTTCGATAACCACTCAGCTTGTGCCTGCTCGCCTGCCGATTTTAAAACCAAAGTCTCATCTTCTTGGACATAAAGGTCACACCTGTCGCACTCGGCGCAGGGCGTACCTGGAACTTGACGGAAATGTTGACAAAAGTGTTTGTATCCAATGCCCTTAAGGTCTGCCCGGCATATATAACACATCACGTAGCCACAGACGCACGTTAACTTATTGCATCCGTCTGATTTCACAAAGGAAGTACCACATGTTGGACACTAGATCGCAGGTCATACACCTCCTTTTTAGCATCATATACACTGAGGTTAGGCGATGAATATATACTTACTGTACGTTTTATAGCAGCGGCCATTGCATTCTCGACACATATCCTGAGGGCTTCTTCTTCGTTCTCAAAACATTTATGAAATGCTCTCCACTCTTTCCGGCAGCTTCGGCAGCTTTTCCTTCCACATGTTTCCGAATCATTTTTACACTGGAATACCTGTCCACGCGTCTTCTCATGTTTCTGTTTAACGGCCCGATTTATCAGCGTCGATATAACATGTTCAAAGTAGAGGGCATTTGGAGCTGAAACTACTTCGAGTAGATAGATGTAACTCAATGCGAACAGCACTGCAAAGGCAAGGAATAGGACTAATAAAAAATTTGCGGACGCTACGAACAATCCTAGGGCTATCGTTGTGTACGTAGCCCCTTTGCGGACCGTCCAGTCAGGCACTTCGTCCGTCTCTGCGTACATGCAAAAGGGACACTTAGCAATGGGGAGACCAGAATGAATTATGTCATCCTCTATGAACCTGTCCTCCATAGCACGTATGGTTTCCACCGGAAGAGCTTGCAAAACCAAATCTAGGGGCACGTGCTGATCGCATGGTGGATCTGCTACGGAGGAGAGACACCGTATGGTACCCCTTTCCCGCATCAAACTTGTTGTCTGGCCGTATATGCCTTCATTCACGGCGTTGAAGACGCAGCTGTGGCAGAATAGATGTCCAAAACAGCAAGCAACCATGGTTTCAAAGGCGTAGTCACCAAAGCAGCACTCGCATTCGAGCAAGGCATCACATTCCTTGTATTCCCTTTCATTCACAACTCTGGCAAGAGCAAGATCAGAAGCCGCTTGCTCCTTTCGGCTTGGTGCATTTAACTCCCACAGCTCTTCATCCAGCTCTGCACAGCCGGTAGGGCCTAACTTGGGGATAGCTCTTGGTTCCTCTGGCTTGGGGCGGAGGAAGATCCAAGACGTTATCTTGTGTCTCCACGACTTTCTATTGATATCAATAAGTACCATCCGTGACTTGGTAAAATGATTGTTATTTTCCGCCATCACGCCGAGGATTGTCGATCTAGAAAGACTTTTAAACTCTTTCCGTCTGTGAGGATGAGCTTTTGTCAGCAATGAAACAAGGCAAATTTCCTTAGATGTCGAACGTACAGATGGTATTCAACAGCTTTGATATATTCACTACTTCGAAACATTTCCCAGGGCTGAAGAGTTTCATTATTTCCGATCCGTTTCTTCAGCTTGCGGCCCATCTGTGAGTGTTCGAGTAGCATTTTGAGCTGTTCCGAAAGTTCGGCGTGTTCTTGGAATTTGGAGTTGATACGATAGCGTAAATCCCCGACGTCAGCTTCCGGGAACAGTTCGTGGAGGGCATCAAGGCATTGGTTTTGCAACATTAGGGACTCGGCGCGAGTTTTTGTGGGAGGCATCACTCAAAATAGTAGATGGCAAGATGTCGAGGTCGTTTGGGAGGTGCGATCAGGTTGTAATCGATGAGACTACATTTATGGTTGTCTTTGATCTGGTACAGAATGTCGTAATATAACTATTTTTATTATTATTATTATTAATCTTTTAATATTTTTTATTTATTTTTTTGCCGAGGATAAGGCTGCGGGGAGTAGGATGTGAGAATGAGGCTACGACAGCCGCGACATCCAGTGTCGAAAGTAGCGTTAAGACGTTAAGACGGTAAGGCGGTAGGGAGCTGAAAGAAGCATAGTACCGCCACCAACCAAGATGTAGTTCCTGCCAAGGGCCAACAAAGCGGCAACACATGAAGTACAATTATTTCAACTTCAACTTCAACTTCAACTTCAACTTCAATCTCAATCTCAATCTCAATCTCAATCTCAATCTCAATCTCAATCTCAATCTCAATCTCAATTCCGATTCAACCCTAAATTCAAACTCAATTCGGGAGTTCACGATGACTGAAGCGACTGCATCAGTTGTAAATAAAAATCGACTCCCCTCGTCCTCTTGAAATTCATCTCATCTCGGAATATAGGTGGTAAGACAGCTATCAAACGCTCATCTCGGCCTCGTTCTAGCATGGGATTGTAAGTAAAATAAGGGCCATCATCATCAACTTGGTCCTCATCATCCTCAGCATCAAGCTGTAGTTTGAAGTGCAAGGCTGCCAAAGAAACTGGGTTTAGAAAATTTGTGTCCTAGAAGGTATATGATTTCCTGGAGCTCAAACCTACCTCCATTTTTACCTGTAGAGAGACAGTCGTATTCGATGCCACCATCTTCGTCGCTTTTGACATTAACCACAATCAGACCACAGAGGTCAGAGTAGAGGTTTTCTCGATGCTGTGAAAATTCTTTTGAGACACTGCTAGAAGCGGTTGTTTTTGAATTATTAGATGGCATTTTCCCAATGTTTCGAGCAGTCTCTAGCTTCGCACTGAGTACAGCATGATCTTGCAACAGCCGCTCGATCTTGTCTTCCATCAAGGAGTTCTGTTTTTCGAGCTCCTGGATTCGCTTTTCCTTTTCTTGAAGTTCCTGGAGCGATATCGACCTTGACTTCAGTTCGGCCTTGAGGTTAACGACTATACGCTGCGACGCTGGGCCTACGGGTTAGCAGTTCGCCAATAAATAGCATCGGTATAGTATAGGCGACCAACCCTTATCACGTTCTTCCAAAGCTTTGATTTGTTCAGCATATATCGCGTCAGCGTCATCGGCTTGGAGGCGCCGTAGCTTTTCAAATTTAAGTTTTAACTGCGCTAGTTCGTCGGCTAGTTCATTTGGATCGGGTTTGGCCGGCGCTTTTGATGCCTTTTCAGCCTCTATCTTTTTTCCTCTCCTTTTATTTGGAAGTGAGTCCGACTCCTCATCCTGAGATACACCCATATCCCCATTTTCTGGTGCTGAAATGTCTCCACATGCGGCTTGTGTCTCAGGTATCTCCAGCTTCCTTTCCACAGCATTTTTTCGATTTGGCAGGGTTTTAGTTGTATTTGTTGACTTTTCTTTTGTTGAAGCATCTTCTCCGACTCTTCCCCGCCTCTTCCCCCTCCCCCTCCCCCTCCCCTCCTCCCCTTCCCCTTCTCTCTGTTCAAGGATGGGTTTCTTTGTTTCTGGACGCGTTTCTATTCGAGAGACAATTGGCAGATTGCCATCTGGATCTTCTGGTATCTCACATGTTGCCGTTGGCTGTTTGCGAGGCCTTCCCCTGCTCTTTTTTATTGCTGAGGATTCCACAGAATTCCGAGGGTTGGAAGTTGGGTTTCTGTCTATATGTATGTTAGTTATAGGGGGCGTGTGAATATCGAACAAAAGATATGTATGCGTCTGCACAAACCGGTAGAAGGGACCAACGAGTCATCTTGACTGTCGTCTGATGAAGCAAGGGTCGCGGTGGAGGGCTTTTTGGGGGGCATTTAAGTGTGCGGTGTAGTAATTACTTAAGAAGGGTCCCTGGTAGGTATTAGGGAGGTGAGGTGCTTGAGTTAAGTACTTCCTCAGCACTTACTTCTTCCTCTTCTACTTCTTCTTCTTCTTCTTCTTCTTCTTCTTCTTCTTCTTCTTCTTCTTCTTCTTCTTCTTCTTCTTCTAAGAGGCCGGTTACCGCTTAAAGGTAGTTCTTAGTGGTACTACAAGCTACCTAGGTATTTAGGTAAGTAGGTAGGAGGTAGATACTTAAGTTAAGTAAGTAAAGGTAAGTACTTACTTAGGTAGGTACTTAAGCTAGATAGGTGGTTAGTGCTGGAATGTTGAGGGGAGAAATTGAAAAAGATTTGTGTGTTGTGGCGAATGGGCTGGAGTTGAAGTTGGAGTTGGAGTTGAGTTGGAGGGGCGACAGACTAATCGTTATCGGTGGGCTGGTAGTTAGGTCAGTAGCTAGGTAAGTAGGTATATAGGTAAGACTTAGTACATATGTACGGCTAGCGTGCGCTCAATTACGAAAGGACTCGGGTATCTTGTACAACAGGGTACCCCAAACGCAAAGTTGACGCATATAATATTGTTTATTGATACAAAACTTTCAATCAGTACCTATTAGGTACGTAGCTTATCTAAATAGCAGGCGTATCTAGGAAATATCGAATTCGACGGCAGGCAATTTAATATCAACCAAGTGCAAGCTTAGCTCAAGTGGCGTGCGTGTGTTTGTGTGTTTGTGTGTGTGTGTGTGTGAGTGCCCCGGCTGGTTACTGGGTTTATGGGTATATAGGCCTATAGGCTATCTCGATGTAAGGACTACGTATACACTCTGTATTGCACGGCAACGGCTCCTGCACCCAACTGCCAGGCACCATATATCCATCCCATCCATCAACACCACCACCACCACCACCACCACCACCACCACCATCATCATCACCACCATCTCAGCCCCATCCCATCTCTCACACCACCATTACCATCACCATCTGCATTGAAACTAATAATTTTGCCTCTGCTGTTGAGGTTGACGCCTCCGACATCATACCCACCAGACTAACAGTCATACATGCCGGAAGAGTAGGGAAAAAAGGGCGCTTTCGACATCACTCGTCTTGCTCCCTTTCTCACCTGTTCGGATATCGTCATCATGTCCGCCGGACCACCCTACACCGTCTCTGCCCTTTACGACTACAACTCCCCCCACGAAGACGACCTCAATTTCACTACCGGTCAAAAAATTAAGGTCACCGAAGAAGAAGGTACGGATTGGCTGCATGGCCAGTACCGTGACAACCAAGGTACTTTGCATCAGGGCATATTCCCCAAGAATTATGTCGAACGGGTAGAAGAGCCCGAGCCACCGAAGCTTCCTCCCGTTCCCGTGCGCCCTCAGCACGACGACTCGAAGAAAGCGGCCCCTCCCGCGGCTCCCGCCGATGAACCGGTGAAATCAGGTCTTAAGCAAACTGTTACATCTGCTGCTTTCCCCGTTGAGCAAAACCCACATCCTAAGGAGCAGCAGCAACCTACCAATCGGAAGAGCTTTATAGCTCCCAAAGCCAAATCAGAAACTCCGAAGCAGCCCCTCTCGCCAACTCCTACCGAAGAGGAGGATAAACCGGTCGGATCCTTTCGAGATAGAATCGCTGCTTTCAACAGATCGACTGCCACCCCTCTTGCTCCCACACATGGTCAACCTAGGTCTTCTGGGTTTATAAAGAAGCCATTTGTTCCACCACCTCCATCTAAAAATGCTTTCATTCCGCCTGTGCAACAACATGTGGAACCCCGCCGAGATACCGAAACAAGACCACCAGTGCCAAAGGAACCTCTTATTAATAGGCAGGATGAACCTTCTCAGCAGGAGGAGCCTCCCAAGGTCTCAAGCTTAAAGGATCGGATTGCCATGCTACAAAGTGTCCAACTTAACCCAGCAATGGGAGTGAAACCAAAGAAACCTCCGAAGCCACCACCAAAAAAGAAAGATGAGTCTGGTCCTAAATCCGAGATTCAAGAAGCAACCCAGCTCCCCGAGTCTACTTCTGAGGGAGATAGCAGCCGTAAGACACTCACAAGCTCTTCCCACGTTTCACCTTCACATCGATATTATTTTCAAAGTCTGATTTTGCTAACCAATAATGGGATTTTGATACAAATACAGTACCAAAGGCGAGCTTGGAATTACCTAGGAAAAGCAACGAAGCTACTCGGGAAGTTAATCATGACACAGAGAGCGGACAGGAATCACAGTCCGCATCTAATCAAGAGGGCAGTGTCAAACCGGAAGGTGCGAAGCCTAACGAGGGTGCAGGGGATTTAAGAAGAGTGGAGGGCGAGAATGACGAGGATCAAAATGGGGAAGAGGAGGTAGGGGAGGAAGGGGAGGAAGGGGAGGAAGGAGGGGAGGAAGAGGAAGAGGAGGATGTTGATCCTGAAATTGCCCGCCGACTCGCCATCAGGGAACGTATCATGAAGATGTCAATGTCTGGCGGCATGGGTGGCATGGGTGGCATGTATGGCGGTATCCCGATGATGGGGGGACCAGCGGCGTACAGACCAACCCCAAAAACCCCCAAAATGGAGCCCTCGGTCGCGGAACCTGAGCCACCAGGCCCCCCGCCTGAACAGTTTAGAATGATACCAATTCTCCCTATTGGGAAAAATCCGGTTCCCCTCTTTCTAGCACAAACAGCTGTCGACTCTGATGCGGACGACAATTCTATCCATTCGCCACGACCAAAACACGAATCCGACACAGATTCGCCAGTGAAGGATGCCCCAACTGAAGATGAAAGCACCGTTCCTGAATTTTTAGCTAAGAAAGCCTCTCGTCCATCTCTTGAAAGCGAAGGTGGGTATACATGAAAACCACTTGTATCACATAAAATCCACCGCTCTAACTAACGCTCCAGCTGATGACGAATCAACATCCCCCCTCAAACCAACCTGTATGTAACTCTCCCCAAAACTCGAATATATCGAATGAGACTAAAAAACACATTGTGTCTGATAGCGCGCGATTCCCGGCCGCCTCCGCCTCCGCCTCCGAGCGCACCTCCGCCGGCGAAAATTTCGACTGGGGGTGCAAATGTGACAGAAGGATCGGAGAGCGACGATGAGATGTCTGGAGACGATCCGAAGACTAGTATAGCTAGTCCGGTACCTCAAGAACCTCCTAGTGTCCCACGGCGACCTTCGATGGGGGTTGCTCCTCCTCCACCCCCTCCTCAGCGTCCCGATACCCTTGATACTAACACCGCAAAGAGAACATCATATGTTGGCTCGCCCCCACTTCTGCCGGACAGCCCGTCCACTCCATTAAATATTAAACGAGCCAGCTATATTAGCAAAGGTGGCCAGATTCCACCAATTCCCTTGTCGGTTGCCCCTGTACCAACGCCGCCGACAAGTTCTGCCACTCGCGGCCCACCCCCACCTCCACCGGTAGGCCCCCCGGTAAGGCGCTCCGCTGAAGAACCCCGCCAAGGCCGCAATGACGATGACGACGATGAGGAAGTCACTGAATATGAAGGAGACATCGATACCGAACTTGACGACAGCAAAAAGACCTTTAAAGATTCACTAGGGGCAAGACAAAACGAGGAAGAGGCTGAGCAGAGCGATGAGACCCCTTTGCCATCTCCCCAGATTCAAACCGCGCCACCACCACCCCGGCAAGCGCCAGGACTCCCTCCGCCCCCTCCTCCACCACCTCCCTCGGCACCCATTTCCCCTCTTGTCGTTGACGTTCTACCCAGCATCCCACCACCGCCGCTACCCCCAACTAGCCCTCCAATAACTAGAAGGGAACTTCCGGAGCGAACACGGCCAATATCATATATCAGAGTACCACCTACGTTTCCGGAAGCCGAAGAAGAAGAATTTGGTGACGCCAGTGATAACCAGGGAACGTCGATACGGCAGGAGAAGAGCCACGCGCGGCCATCCGAAGACCGCCCGAGGGCTTCACTATCTAGTTCCAGGAGGTCTGTAGATTTGAGTCGTAGTCTTCATGATAATTCTTTTCAGGCGCGCGATGAGGACCTTGGGACAACGACGAACTGGTGGACCCAAGAAGCGACTCCCCCGCCCGCATTCCAAAATCGCGGGAAGGATATCTATTATGAAGTCGAAGATGCTACTACTAGTAAACGAGGAGGGCGAGCCCACATCACGCGCGATGTATACATCCTTTTTTCGGATTATTCTCAAACGATTATCACCGCACGATTCGACCGAGATACCCCGGCAAATGCCAGCCTTGAGCAGCGACACGAACCTCCGCCGCAGCCGCTTAGGCAGGATAAACTCGAGGAAGCATGGAACAGCTTTGGGAAGGCAATATTAGAGGGGGCAAAATCACTGGAAAATAAGGTGGTCGGTGATGGGAATCCTTCAGCTCTTCCCGGGGAATTAATCAAGGAGATTTCAGGAGCCCTGGCGCCGATAGGAAACAAGGCTTATGGGGTGACGGTGTATCAAAACCTCGGAAATGCTACGATTCAGCAACTGGACGAGATTCGGGGTGGCGATATTATAACATTTCGAAACGCAAAATTTCAGGGACACAAAGGTGGGCTTCATCAAAAATACAACCTTGACCTCTCGAAAACGGACCATGTGGGTGTGGTGTATGACTGGGACGGGACGAAGAAAAAGATCCGGATTTTCGAGCAAGGACGCGAAAGCAAGAAGGTTAAGATAGAAAGTTTCAGGATCGGGGATCTCAGAAGTGGAGAGGTAAAAATATGGCGAGTGGTAGGCAGGAGCTGGGTGAACTGGTAGTAGTCGTAGTATCTCTCTCTCCTTTTTTTAATTTTTTTTTTTTTAAAAAAAACTTCTTTCTCTTTAAACTTGAATATGATAGGCTCCTTCATCTGTAGAGTAGCAGCAGTATGGGTTTCGAAGTAGCAGGCAGTATGCAGATGCAGAGTGGTACCTCCTTCTCTACTAAGAGGTATCTAGGTATCTCTTACACACTCGCTTACTTGCTTACCTAAGTACCTACCTAGATATCTACCTCCTTAAGTACTTAATACTTAACTTAGTATTTTACACGTTCATTTAAGTCGAATCTCAGCTATATACCTAAGTATATATGTACTTACTTATGCATTGTAAGATTAAGAATATTAATTTGTCTTTAAGTACTACTGTTATGAGCTGAGAAACGTTAACTTGGTAGGGGTCCATGGTACTAGCCTCGTCTCGTCTAGCCTGGCTGACAAAGGAATATATCCGTCCAAACCTCCCCGGGAAATAAAATACCATAAACCAAAAGTAAAAATCAAAGAAATCGTTCCAATCGCGTCCGTGTACATTTCTCATTTACTAAATCCATCAATCCGTGCGTATTAGATATTTGATATCCAACTTTCATTCTCTCCTTCAAGGTTTCATACGCAACTTATTGAATCAAACTAGCTAACCTTCCCCTGATGCAAGTGCTTCGCATAGCTTGATTTTTAGGACACGCTCCCATTTAATCTGAATCCAATTCGAACCCCACCTCGGGTCCAAAGAAAACATGAATCGGCCCAGTATGTCCCATAAGCTTTGATGATACAGGTCGAGATCTCAAACATCCGTTGTGTATACAGTGCCGGCTGATCGTGGACTTGTCAGGTTCCCAAACTAGGCATACTGGCTTCCCCCCGCAGCCATCGTCAGGTCTTCGAAACTCGTCCAGCGCCTCTAGTAACCTAATATCAAGGATGCCGCCGAACGGCAAGCTAGGTTCGAAAACCGCCACACCCTCAGACACCTTATCTACCCGACTAACCTTGGGCATTCTGCGAGTAAAGCGTCATCAGGCTGGGCCTTTCCACCAACACAGCAGGCGCAAAATTCGTCGATAACCGCCTTCGGTCAACCGCTCACGAACTCGTCGCAACCTGCTACACCCTTTGATATCTCGTATGTACCGAATCTTCTATTCAGCGAACAAACGACATGTTTACCCTCCCATTTTCGTATTCGGATGTGCTGTATATCGGTTCTTATTAGCTGATACAAACGTCGGCACCGTGAATTGGACACAGGGAGTTTCCCGTATTAGGCACCGGTAGTGCTCATCAGAATTCTAACCAAGGATGGGGACGTGCGAATACCCAGTCTCCGAGCCAGGCCCAAGGACGACCGGTACAGGACGAGCTGTATCAGAACAGCCATTTAATGGATGATTTTAGTATACAAAGAGTAGGAGGACAGATTCAAGCTAGCGGAGGACCAAGCAGTAGAAACCCGCGGCTCGGGAGCAGCGAAGACTTCCCAGCCCTACCGAGCTCGAGTACTCTGGTTGGTGATGGTTTGAATGAGCGAAAGGGCAGCTTCCTTCTAGGTAGCCAGACCTTACAGGGTCTCGATATGTTATCGCAGTCGGATACCCAGCGACAATCCTTCCTTAACGGCGGACTGTCATCCTCGGGGCTACAGGCAGGTTCCGGACGACAGCAGCATCAGCAAGGCGCTGGTGGTGGGAGGAATCAAAACTTAACCGGTGGGTGTACATTACCTCGCATTGAACTTTCTATTTCGTTGGAAGGCAATTTAGAGTCTATTTTAGGCAATTTGTTGTTCATACCGGTATCTGTTATAAACCGTTCATTCTTTTCTTTCATTCATTCATTCATTCGCTCGGCCCGTGATCTTTTCATTTGTTCGTTGGCTGCATGTTGGTGAGCTGGGGCTGGGTGGGATCGAACGGTTGGATTGATCGAACAGCTAATTTACATTGAACCTTTGTAGCCAGCCAGCAGCAACAACCAATGCGCCTGTCACCCATCATGATGGACCATCACCAAACCCACCACACATCGCTTTCCCATCAACAACAACAACCACAGACTTCCTCTTCTTCTTCTACAGCTGCTGAACTATCACCTGATAATAATCGAAAGGTTGGTCGAATTAGCCTCATACATATTCACTCGAACATAAATCTACATCCAAACTTTCTTCTTCCTGCCTTCCTCTCCAGACTCGACCCTCTTCCCATAACAAAAGGGAGAAGAGAGAAGGGGGAAAGAAGAGAAATGGGACTGCCATGGTGATGATAACAATAATAATAATACTACTACTTTTAATAATAAAGAAAAAGACGAGAAGGGAGGGAGGGAGGGAGGGAGGGGAGGGAAGGGGGAGAAATCGGAGAAAAAATCACATGGGCTAACTATAAATTCGTCTACATTGGCGGTTTCGTCAAATTTCCAAAGACAAAGACAGCTTCGAACTCAGGATCAATCGCACCCCCCCCAGGTACTGTCGCAGCTACCATAACTACATCAAACTCGATGCCACAGAGCACGAACGGTCGTCTATTGGCGCAACAGCCCTCGAGTGCTTCATCAATAACAGGCATCCCATCCCAATCTGAGCCTCAATCGGATCAGCAACCACAGAGATACTCCTCGACTCCGCCGGATACAGAGCCTAGCGAGTCGTCCGGGCCTAGCGAAATTGATAGATTTGGACTTAACGGCCTCCTTCCCCTGATACGGAATGAAGATCTCGACATGGCGCTTCTCGCGCTAGGAACTGATTTGACCCAACTGGGCCTGGAACTGAATCAACCCGAGTACGGATCGATCTTTCTTAACACAGCTGACCATCTGAAGCAAGGCTCCCGAAGTCCTTCTTGGCTTCTTCGATTGCGGCCTTCTCGTTGAAATGCATTCATCGATATGAAGCTAATATGATGCACACTCTTCTCATAGGCAGCCACTCAGTGCCACATTTGCGTCTCCATGGTCTGATCAGCAAGTCCGTGCCGCAGAGCCAGATTTCAAGCTCCCACAGTGTTATGCAGTCTTGAATACACAGCCGTTACAGTCAAAAGTACGAAACTTTTCCGACGAAACTTTGTTTTATATCTTCTACACCATGCCAAAGGATGTCATGCAGGAAATCGTAGCCCAGGAGCTGTACGTACCCAGATGAACTGCTTTTCAGGGTTAATAGTCTGTTGCATTAACGCGATAAATAACCGCAGGACTCAACGTAATTGGAGATATCATAAAGAACTCCAGGTCTGGTTGACGAAGGTTCCAGGAAATGAGCCTTCGCAGATAGTACAAGGTCGGTTTGAAAAAGGCATCTACGTCTTTTTTGAACCAACATTATGGGAACGACAACAGGTTCGCGTTCACCCCCCCCCCTCCAATTTTACTCCCATGTGCCGCTAACGAACGGTCGCTATGTTTTTTGTTTTTTTTTAGAAAGAATTCATCCTAGAGTACGCCGCATTAGATCAAAGTCGGATGTCGCTTTCTTGATTCGAATGAAAGTGAATAGTATTCTAGTTGTCACCCGCTCGCTCCTTCGGGTTACTCCCATCTAAGAGTTATAGGTGGACCGGTCGGAGACATTCGGTTTTGGTGGTCGATTAAGACTTCATATCTTTCCTGTCTTTCATTCTTTCATTCTTTCATTCACCCATTTCTTTTTGTAGCGAATCTTCTTCTCCTTGATTTAGCAATGAATAGGAATCCAAATCGCGCAGTCTGATTCTACATTTGTTTATCTTTAAACATATTATCGATCCTTGACTACATCGTAGTTGTTTATCATCTACCCGGTACTGGACTAGGTTAATTACGGATGAGCTGACTTCAAATTCCTTTCAAGGTGTTGAGACGGACATGGTTTAGGTACTCGAGTACTTGATATAGCTAGGTCGGCACTTACCCGGTCGGTACCTGTATCAAACGTTTGCACCACAAGTAAGTAAGTACTTACCTACTACCGACCTGCATATTTCGGGATGTTCATGCATCGAAAGAAAGAGAAAAAGAAAGAAAGAAAGAAAGAAGACGAAGTGGCGCCGACGAGGTGATGGGGGTATAGGTTATTAACGGCTCACCTCAGTATTCAGTATTCTTTCCGGCCCCACCTCACTATCTCCATATCTCTACGTTTGATATACCTCCTCCTCCTCCTCCTCCTCCTTTTCCTCCTCCTCCTCCTCACCAACCACCAGTGACTATAATTATAACTCCAGTTCAAATACAGCAGCCCTAGATATGTGCGACCAATAACATAAAACACACGCCAATTGGACAATATAATAGTCGCCAGCCAATCTCCTTTCAGTCTTTCCTCGGATTGCCATTTTGCTTGCCAGCTTCGAATCTTAGCTGGCCCTCCTATAAACCTACCGCTCAAACTCCCCACCCTTGAGCTCAAATTCCGATGCAATCAGATACCGCCTACGCTGCCGTCCACAAAAGAAAGCAGCGGCCTCCGCAGAATGCGCGATTGTTGGAAAGAATTGGGGCGGATATAGCTTCCGCAGTTATTGCTGCAGTCGCCGTGGCACCGGTATGTCTCCACACGTGCACACCAAGCTCCAGTCATCTACATATTGACCTTATGCTAACCTTAATCATAGGCGATTTGCATGATTGACAAGTGAGGCTACCTACGTCCCTTCCCAATTCACGTTCGATTCCTTTTAAGCAACTTTGGAGGCCACCCGCGCGTTGGCCCAATATTTTGATTGTTAAGCTGCTTAGAAACTAACACGGTATACTCGACTTGAAGAAGCATAATAGAAAATGCGAGCGGTAAAAGAAGATTAACGGCATCTATTACGTATACTGGTCCCCTCATTTGAATTCTTTGTGAATATTTTGGGTTCGCAGCTCTTTATGCAAACCAAACAATGACTAACGAGCGCTGCTCCTTCATTAGAGACTCTATTGCCCAACTGGTGACCAAACCTCAAGCATTTTTTTTGTCAAGGACCTTCGGTTTAGTTGCTGTACGCGGATATCACTTGCACCTCTAGAAGCAGAGCATTCCTGACATGCCCCATCGTAGATGGTGTATGCTGGCACCTATATCGTTGCCAATACAACCGACACCTTTATAGCATATAAGAAAGGAAACGAAGGTATTACTGAAGTAACGGCCGGTACGGCCAAGTTTGCCGGGACCTCAAGGTATCCTAATTCGTTCACGGCAAAATCCTCATTTGTTTGTGGGCCAAGCTTCTGATCAACGGGCGAATATCGCAGCACGAATATCCTTCTGACACTTGTGAAGGATCGAAATTTCGCTCGAATGTTTGGGAATGGAGTCTCAAAGCCTATTCCACTCCCAACATATGCTTTATTCTGTGCCAGAGACTGCTTGACAATCCTATTTTCTTTCAACATCCCTCCAGTTCTTTCTCAAGTTCTTCCCGATAATATTGGGGGCTTGAGTTCTCTGTCCACGGCACAGGTCCTAGCACCGGCGGGTAGGCTATGCCCAAAAAACCGATTGTGTGTGAACTAATTACATTGTAGGGGGCAATGGCTAATGAGTGACATGTCCGATGTCAGGGTGTCAGTTTTTGTCAACACCTCTGCACTTGCTCGGCCTGGACCTGTATAATCGAGGAGCGAAACTTGGGGTGAAAGACCGGTTCCAAGCTGTTAGCGCCAACTATCTAAAGAGTTCACTCGCCAGAATGTATGTCCGATGTCTCTGGTTATGTTGTTAGTCATATATTGGCTAATCGAATACTGGTGCGGGAATGAACAGCTGCCGAATTGTACCTGCATTCGGAATTGGAGGTGTCCTTAACTCGAAATGCAGGTATGGTATGATGAAAAATATCGAAGATAGGGTCAGAAGGGACCGAGTAGCGCTGGGCTAACCGAAGGAGGAGAAGGAGAAGGAGAAATTATTGGATGGTGGACCCACGTGCGGGCTTGTACTGGGAGATCAAAATATTGAGCGAAGCTAGTAAACCCGGGAACCGAATCACACCGATGCAATACTCCGCATGGAGTATCAAATAATATGGATGGATTCGAAGGGAGATAGGCGATATCAAGGGGGGGGTGGACAGACCACGTATATATGCATAGGATACAGATGCGCATCTCAACATTTTGCAAGAAAGCTAGGCCATAAACTGTTTCGGGGGGTGTGTCGATGTATGGTTGACTGCGGTATTTATATTTATATATAATTATATATAGGATATACATACATACATACATACATACATACATACATACATACATACATACATAAACACCTCAATCTTAACAGGCTGCCTCCGAGATAGCTTTGACCAGTCCGCAAGGTTTTAACTGGGGGAGGAGGGTATGTAGGTTCAATCAAGCTTTGACCCACAGCTTCTAGAAGGAGTTTGGATGGATGGAACCAGGGGAGCAAGGACCACCGTGCATATAGGTATCTTAGGTGCTACCGATGTAGAGCCATATGTAGGTAAGTACGTACATACACGAGTATGTACATACATACATATGCAGGGCTCTCCGAGCTCCTTCACATGTTGACAGGGATGGGATGATGCGACTATTCGGTTTCAGATTGTGGATATATTGCTCGAAGGAAGAAGAGATTCCTTCTTATCCATGGATCAAGGACCGAGAGGTGAATTAAAATTCAAGCCGGGGGGGGAGTGAAATTCCCCGAGGACTGTGTGTGCTCAGGGACTTTTTTATCCTCGGTTTATACACATGCACATTCGAGGACGTAGGCATAGATAGTATACATACTACATATATACATACCAGCAGTCTACAGTACTAGTGGCCTCGAATCGAATTGAATAAGTACATACATACTTACTTACTCAAGTATTTAAATAAACAAAGTCTGGGGATAGATAGATAAGGCCACAAAGCACGGACGCAGACGCGGACGCGGACACAGACATAGACACGGACGAGATTCGAGATTGCCTCCCGGAAAAACTGGAATGCCCCCCCTCCCCCTTCCATCGATTAGCCGTTGGTGTTGGATCGAATAGTTTTTCCGAGCTTCAGGAAATTCGTCCGGCTAAAGGGAACCGGCTAAAGATTAAACAAAAGCAGGTGGTGGTGGTGGTGGTGGTCCTGGACCGATTTCCGGGCCGAAATCCCATGGGCTAACCGGCCTCCAAAACCAGCCTAACAGTTTGTAACGGAGCTGAGGCTCATGCGCGGTACTGTGTGCTATGTATGTACATGCGCTGAGGGAGGATAGCGTGGGGGATGAAGTATCTACTACATATCACCAGCCTGAAAGAGGGACCGACCGCGAATCTGGAAACCGAAGCCATGGCTATCATATCAATTCAACCGCGCACGTGTATATATGATAATACAAAGAAGAAATAAAAAGAAATAAAAAGAAATAAAGAAATGGAAAAAAGAAATGAAATCAAAGAGGACGCGGGAGAAGGAGGGAAGGAGAGAGAGAGCAGATGAACAGGGCAGGTAAGCTTAAACTGATTTTAAGCGGCAAATTAAGTGGACTCCCCAGACCAACCAGATTGATGGAACATGCCAAGTTTATGGGGAAGTACATAGGATACGATACGATACAGACCTGAGATATGAAGATATTATACTGTGTAAATAAATAAATATGTACGACGATGGATGGTGAAAAGAGTGGGGGGTTCGATTGCAATTGGGGCTTTTGTTCGATGCGAAGGAGGGGGGGGCAAGATAACTGAACAGAACAGAACAGAACAGAACAGATCCAGACGGAGAACCCTGGTCGTAGTTCTACCACACCTTCCAGTACTTTATTTTTATTTATTTTATCTCTTTTTATCTTTTTTTTATTTTTTATTTTTATTTATTTTATTTTATTTTTATTTTAATATTTATTTTTGATGTAGATGTAGATGTAGATGTAGATGTAGATGTAGATGTAGATGTAGATGTGGTTATATGTGTGTGTGTGTGTGTGTGTGTCTACAAAAGGTGGGGTTTAACATACGATACAGAGAATATCATATTATTATCATCAACTTCAGCATGAATGAATGAATGAATGAATTTACATTCATAACCTCGGGCACCACCAGCTGGGTGCAATGTGCATGCCGTCCCGGGGAACCCCACAGCTTCATAAAACAGAAAACATAAAACATGTGGGTGTGAACGAGAGGATGGGTGGAAGGAAGAAAGGAAGGTGACCCCCAACTTTTGGGAACTCCGCGAACTTTCACACAACTGAATTGAATTTTCGTGGCCTCCGATCCATCCTCGTCCTCGTCTCCTTCCCCACCTCTTGTTCGATGACGGTGCCCCAACTTTAAATCGGAAAAAGAAAGGAAAAAGGAAAAAACCCGAGGATGGGAGGGCCCCGGACGGAGTACATTGGAAAAAGAATAAAACAAAAAAGAAAAATATGTACATGTGCTTTGCTTTGCTTTGCTTTGCTTTGCTCTGCTTTGCTTTGCTGGTACCCCCATATTTTGACAAGCTGTCTGTGATGTTTCTTATTTTATTTCTCTTCCACACCACACACCACACACCACACACTCCTCCTCTTCCTTTCACTTCCTCTTCTCTCTTCTCTCTTCTCTCTTCTCTCTCCTCCCATCGACAATCCTATAAAAGTCTGTCCTTCTTCCCCAGCTTCTTTCCCTCTCCTACCACCCCCCCTTCCCCCCTTCCCTTTTTCTCTTTTCTTTTTCCATTTCCTTTTTCTGTTCCCTTTCCATTTCCCGACTTCATCCTTGTAAAAAAACTAAAATACATCCATCTATCACTGAGAAGAAGAAGAAGAAGAAGAAGTGTATATATATATACATATATATATATATATATAATATACGACTACAAATAAAATTCGAAGACGAGAAGACAAAGAAAGACGACGCTATGGCTACCGCCGGAACGTCTTCATTATTCACCCCCATCATCGAAACAGGTGTCACAGCTCAACCCAGCAGTCGGGTCTCTAACCTCGCTCAAATCATGGAAGACCACGATGTATCGAAACCTCAAACTGAGGAAATGCCTCGACCTTACAAATGTCCAATCTGTAGCCGTTGTTTTCACCGTCTCGAACATCAAACTCGTCATATCAGGACTCACACCGGGGAAAAACCACACGCTTGCACATTCCCTGGCTGCTCCAAACGCTTCAGCCGTTCTGACGAATTGACTCGACATTCCAGAATTCATAATAACCCAAACTCCAGAAGAAGCAACAAAAATGGTGCTTCTGCTCAGCATCATCCCTCCTTGGCTCAACAGCAACTCGAGTCCAGGACTTCTCCAAATGCCATGACCCCATCTGCTATGATGCCTCCTCCTCCCAGGCACGGTTCAAAATCCGCTCCTTCTTCCATCGTAGCCTCTCCGAACGTCTCTCCTCCTCATTCTCACTTTTCCCATCACAGCTCTCCCATTGGAAATCTCCCTGGTTTCGGAAGAGTCTCAGCTGGTGGTAATTCACAAGGTCCCCTGGATATGAGTTTATTGGCCGCCGCCGCATCTAGAGAATTGGAAAGGGAAAGATTTGGCGGTGGAGGAGGTTCTAATTCCTACCTCGCACCCCATCTCTACGGTCACGGCCACGGTCATAGCCACAGTCACAGCCATAGTCATAGCCATAGCCATTCTAGATTGGCCCCCATCTCGCAGCAAATGGACTGCACCACCACAACATCAACATCGTCGATGTCTAGGTCGCATTCTCATGACGACGAAAATCCTTATCTTGCCCATCGAGCAGCCAAACGCTCCCGACCTACTTCTCCCATCTCTACCGCGCCTTCCTCTCCAACTTTCTCCCACGATTCTTGCTCTCCTACTCCTGAACACACTCCTCTTGCAACTCCAGCTCATTCCCCCAGACTCTACCCGCGAGAGCTCGAATACGGGTCTGGATTGCAACTTCCTAGCATTCGTCTCCTTTCCTTGAGACCTATGCCGGCTCTCGCTCCCATGGACATCGCTGATCCTTATTCTGCAACAAATACGCCATCGATAACACCGACAACCTCCGCTCTCCGTTTAACTGATATTATGAGTAAAAGCGAGGGAGCTCAGAGAAAACTTCCCATACCATCTGTTCCGAGGGTCACAGTTCATGATCTTTTGAACGGAAACGGTAGTGGTTTCTCGTCTGGTAATTCATCTGCGGCTGGATCCGTTGCTGGAGGCGATCTCTCCGACCGTCTTTGATTTCAAATTCCTTCCTTCCTTCATCCCCCTTAATTCGGTTATAGACTCGAAATATATCCTTTTTTATTTTATCTCTTTCCGCCCTCTTCAATTTTTGACCTTTCTAGACGATGTTTCTTGTGTTACAGTCTTCAAACTCTCTCCCCCCAATACCTTATTCATTTTTTGTCTGTATTATTCGGGATGTCATTTGCATATACATATACATATCTCTTACTTTTTTCTTCTTCCATTCCCCCCCCCCCCCCCTCTCGGTGTTCTTGTTTTTTATTCGTTACGCCGCTTCCCCTCTGAATTTTGATCTGAATTTTGAGGGGGGGTTGCATTTCTAGCTACTCGGAGGCGCACCTTTTTTTTATTCCTCAGAATTCTTTTTTACTTCATTATTTTCTTTTCCTCATCGATTTTATTCGGAATTTTTTTTGGGGGTACCGGTAATTGCCATTGGGTTCATACAATTATATAGATATGGAGGGAGCCGTCGTTTCTTTTTTTATTTTATTATTTATTATTGATCATTTACTCATTCCTCATGCTTCAAGTTTTTTTTATTTTTTATATTTCATTTCGTTCCTGGGATTCTGTTTTAATATGATAGAAGATAATTACACATGTACCGGCGCTTTGATCGTTTTTTCTTTGGCCATTCGTATCATAATACCACTCTTCTTCTTCGGCATCATTATTATCATCATCCTCATCATCATCATCATCTGTTACATTTTGTGGTTCACACCCACGATCGATATTATTTCTTCTTTTCTTTTTTATATTTATTTTGAAAAAGTCGGCTTTCACTAGCCTTCTCCACATGCAAATTGCTTTGAAGACTGCATTGTATTCTATAACAAAGAAGTAAGCTAAGTAGTTACTTAACTTAACTTAACTTAACTTAAAGTCAATTAATTTTTAGTATGGGAGTGGTATTACCCCAGAAATCAGATAACCGGAATGACCGATTTGATCTTCCTTTTGAAGAGCGCCAGAGCTCTCGTGCCAACTTTTTCAGTTAGTTGCCAATCCAGTACGTAAGAAAAGCACATGTTTGGGGAAAACCCAACTTTACATGATCTCACTTTTTTTTTTTTTTCTCTTCACGACAGTTGGGTGTCGGATGGCGTTAACCTTGGGACTCTTTCCCTTTTGGACTTTTTTTTTTCTATTTTAACTTTTTTAGGTTTTTGGATTTAGATTCGACATGTATCCCCACGATTCCGCGATAGAAAATACCAATATCGTGATGGGGTGGATGGACAGGGAAGAAAGAAGCTTGTTTAACAGAGCAGACACCCCGCTTTCTGTCTTTCTCACATAGCACGACTTAAGGAAAAGTACGATTAAGGAAAAACGGGAAAGGAAAAGAAAAGAAAGATCAAATCAAATTTACAGATGTGCCCCGAAAAAGTCGGAAAGCGGAGGGAACAGGCAAGCCCACCACCATCCTTTCCCTTTTTTTTATGGTAATGGTTTGCATATCGAATCGTGCAGATTTAGTCAACCCTTCTTTCTTTCTTTCTTTCGATTTTCTATTTTCTGTTTTATCATTTCCCTTGGTATCTATCTACTTCTCTGTTGGTTCAAACAAGCTAGAGATAAGGGAAGGGAAGGGAAGGGAAACATGTCAACGGCTGCATGCGTCAAAGTAAGTACCTACACACTACATGTAAGTAAGTACATACATATGTAAGTACTATCTTGTTTGATATACTGGTATATCCAGTATTTCTTACGAGATAGCCGCCGGACGGCGGATCCTCCACGTCAGATCTCTCTTCCCCCTCCTTCAATTTGTAGAGAGAGAGAGAAGAGAAAGAGAAAAAAAGGAGAATATGAGGAATACGGGAAAGGAGAGGACAGAAAAACAAAAAGGGAGGAGGGGAGGGGAAGGGAAGGGAAGGGGGGGTAAGGGTATAAAGTGGGCCACTATCATCAGATATAATTCGGCCTCAACAAGGCGACTCGGGATTGAGATTGGGATTGGGATTGGGATTGGGATCGATGTTACAAAGTCGGACCACTTGCGAGTTAGTTGAAATCGAAGATCCTCCTTGTCCCTCCACAGCCAAAGAAGGTTCCCAAGCGAAAACCTGGGGCCCCCGCACTGCATGGCGTGCGAGTCGGGATTATAAAATAATAAAGACAGAACGAACGAAAGAAAGAACGAAGAAAAGTGAGAGGGAAAAAAAAAAAAGAAAAAGAAAAAAGAAAGGAAATAAAATAAAATAAAAAAAAGGGGGGGGAATACATCGTACGTACATACATAGTACGTAGCTTTGAGAGCTTATCAGTCCCCAACAGCAGGCGTATCTCGTAATCTGCTGACGGTTCGAGAAGGTGTACCCGCGGGATACATGAGATTTTCTTTCTGCTTACGTCTAATAAAGACATGCTTTACGGAGTAGTTTGGTATATACTATCTTTGTAAAGTATGTAAAATATGTAAAATATGTAAAAAAGAGAGAGAGCTCTACAGTTCATCTCAACCGGGGGTGTGTGCTCTTCAGCTCTTGTGAGACTAAAAATTCGTTCAGGCTAAAATCAATCTGACTTATCTCCAAGCACTTAGTATGTAAGTACATACACTTACATACACTTACATACATAAGTACATACATACCTTACTTGCGCTTGCTTGTTGCATAAATTGACAATGGTGTGATGCTCTCGCAATAGGCTGAGAAATGGTGACATTACGCCCTCCAGCTCCAGTTGGCTTTTAGATTTCGTGCGAGCCTTGAGAACAAAAAGATAAGCCCAAGCCCAAAAGCCCTGAAAGATGGAAGGAAGCTCGGTAACATTCAGCCCACCCCCTCCCAGGTCTCTTCTTCTTCTTCTTCTTCTTTTTTTTTTTTTGGGCTGTTTCTCCGTCGAATCGGCTTTGGTTGTCTCGGGGCTATGGAACTACTTCGGCACATGTTTATTTCCAGCCATGCTTCTGGTCCAGAGGTTCTCAAACGCTTTGCCGGTGGGTGGCCCCGAGACGGCTACCCGCCCGACAAAAGAGAAATTAGAGCATGAAAGATCCAGAAAGGGAAAGTCAAACAAAATAAGATTGATGAAAAGGGATCCATCCTTCGAGCCGAAAGTTTAAGAAGGGGAATATCGGAATTCGGGCTGTGAAAGCATATACCCAACGAACATTTCTCGGAACCATGCTCGCACAGCTAGTAGCTAAGTAGCTATCGGCTAACAGGCAAAGTATACGATACCTGTGCGTACATACAATGTATCTTGTGAAAAAAGCGCACAGGCTTCTTCTTCTTCTCTCTCTCTTTTTTTTTTTTTTTTCTTCGCCTGGAACCCGGTGGGTGTTCTCCTCTTACAGTACGTCATCGTCGCTTTCACCGTCCGAGTCAGGCACGATGGTTCGACCGAACGTCTGGGGAATTACCGGTTTCAACGTTTTTGCTTCAGAACTTTCCATAGCTTCTCCGTAAAAACCACTGTCTCGCGCCTGGCTCAATATCGGGAACGATTCTGTACCGGATCCAGCCAAAACTTCTGGGACAGGCACCAAATCAACCGTATCTGATGAATAATCATCATCGAGTTTTTCTCCTGGGACGCTGTTTGTGACATTGGCGCCTGAATTCCCATGAGACTCCGAGTCGCTAGCCGTATCACTGCTACGTTTCCGTTTCAGGTACCCTCCAGGCAAGGGAGTTACTTCTGGTTCTTCGTCGCTGTCTGAGAACCCGATACCGTAGTGTTCTTCCGAGTTCCCTCCCGATGTAGCAAACGATTCGGCCATTGAAATTGCACCAGTCAGTGCCTCGAAAATCCGTTGTTTCTCATCTTCGACACCATTCTGTTCCAAGTTAGCGCAAGGGAAACCCCAAATTTTCCGCACGGCCTATCCGAAAATTTTTTTAGCGCAAAATTGCTACTGACTTTGGTAACTCTAATCACAAAGAACTGGTCTGGCCGGCTTAGATTTGTGTTTTGTATATCCACCCCGGACGACTTGAGCACGAAAATAAATCGCAGATGTCTCTTATCCGCCCGCGGATCCGTTTTCGGTATATGCTTTCTCAGGAGCAATATCCTATGGTGGAACGCATGAGCCCAGCTATGGGTTGCGGAATCTAGCTCGTTTGCTGTCAATCCGGGATTCTCGAATTCCCATAGTAATCAAATTACGCGGGGTAGCTCACGGACGGATGGCGCCAGCTCCAGAGGGCCTCCTCCCCTTGCGGCCTTTGTCGCTAGCTGGTTTAAAACAACAACCTGTTACATCATAATCCCGTCAACGAAGTCCTCCCTAGTCTCTAGAATGGTATAGACGACGTACAGCTGCCATCCTAGATGCGGAGAAACGCTGGAGTTGATTCGCGATATCTGCTACAAGTCTCCCACGCTTGTCTATTTGTTTCTCGTGACCTCTGTTTGGTAAGTTCTGAAATTGTGGCGCATCCGATGCTGCTGGGGGGAATTCTTTCGTAAACAGCAATGATATGCCGTCGATAATAACCAGTGATATTTCAAGGGAAATCTTTGTTAGATGGGATATGATGGCGAAAAAGTGAGCCAGAGACGTGATCTGGTACCGAAGGATTGATGACGCCTTGGACGCCAGATCCCGTTCCATTAGGATACCTTCAAGTCGTGAGGTTGGACATTGTGATAAAGTATCTACCACGCCATCCGTCGAACAGTTTTAGCTTCCCGTCCTCTAGAATAAACCCTTTTCAACGTTCTCACCTATCCAGCAAACCTGTTCACCCTTAGAGACCGCATCCACTACTAGCTGTACTCTGAAAGTCCGGGCGAAATTAGGTTATCGAGTTTATCCTGAAGGTCACGAGCGGACATACGCGATCGTGGTCTTTCCGGAGCCTGGAGGGCCACAGATTTCTACCAATTTGCCTCTTTCGAGCCCGGCGCCTCCCCATGAATTGTCAAGAGCTTCGCTCCCAGTTGCAAAGCTTCCATACCCTTGATCAAGCTGTGTAGCTAGCGCAGCGGCGGCAGACTGTGTGGGTAGTCTGTCTGCACGTAAACATGTGTTAACCAACCCAGTATAATTAATCAAATTAATACAATTAAACGCAGGCGTGGGTGTACAAACGCCGGCTATTGTCCGCTGAACTCGGCGGATCCATGTTAAGGATCGTTCCAGCCATGTATTCGTTGTCTTCGGTCGGAAGGGTGGTCGGGTTATGGTATCATGATATGTATGTGCTGTGTGTGTTTTATATGTAACAAGGACGATGTTGTAGCTTGGTTCTCACCACTCTAACTACCTATGCGTATGGAATGACATCCATCCAAACCCGTCGCCTCAACCCAAAGCTGTGAGACGAAAATGGGAATCAATCTACTGCTATTTTCACTACATCTATGACAATTCTAAACCGCGGTGTAATGGGTCGGGGACTCAGGTATTTGGAAGATTCAGTGGCTGATTCAAATGAAGGGCTTACACACAATCTGATGAACATCGTTTTGAGGTTTCTAACGCGGACCCTTCACTACGTTTCAGAATACCGCTTATTACGAGTAATTTTGCGAGCGACTTTTGAAGCTGTATCTCTACTACCACACAGTCCCCACCGCACACTAGATGGGCTCCCCTTACAAATTATGCTTGGTCCAAGGATAGAAAGGAGTGATAGAAAATGAAGAAATAGAGAAAAGAAAACCGAGATTATCAATGCAAGCGAGGGTACAAGTGAAGGTTAGTTAAACATGGAGACACATTTCCGTCGGCGACGACCTTCAGCCGAGTTAAAAGCTAAACTTCGGGGTACTAATCCCGGACGTCGACGCAGCGCGGGGTGTAACGTTCTTTCTCCTATACCAGTTTGTGAAATCTTGGAGCTGGTACCTCACCTTCTTTGCGTCTCTGGTGATTATGGATCTATGGCCCTTTTGATTAGTGGTCTGTGTGCATTGTAGCCTGAGATGTTGCTTACTGTTGGAAATTTGTCATAAACTTTTGTCTTTCCTGTTCGGTTACTGAACCGGGGGGGAGCTGATTGACTGTCTTAGAAACCCAGCCGATGGTCTCTTCAGGGAGTAGCTCGATCAGGGTCATCAAGACTCCAGAGCTATCAGGAACGCAGTCTCGTGGGAAGGAATACATGAGCCCACTCAAGATCCGGATGGTGAGTACGTCTCCCTGAGCCCTGGTGATATTGACCACAGCAGACCTGATCTCAGGAGGGTTCTCTGGGGAATCATAGCGAGATGTTGGAGGTGTCGGAGTGCCATACACAAGGAGGTCGCGAAGGAAATGGAGCACTGCGATGAGAGGCTCGTTTTGTTCAAGAACCAGGCAGGCTAATGCTGCTTTAAGGCTGGGTTCTAGAAGCTGGGATGGGATTATTCGCATAGGGTGAAACATTATTGCATCTTGCATCAGTCTGAAAAAGTCTTCAACCACTAAGCGGCGACAAATCTTGGTTAGTTAAGCTACTAAGTCAAGGGTTTGTGGTAATTACACTTACGGTCCGGAATATCCTTGGGTTGCTCTTCCGAAAGGATCTTGAACATCGTCCAACACTGCTGTTGAAGGAATTGGTATATAGCCTCTCTTGTGTTCTGGTCTACAAACTCCTCGTCGTTGAATTCTCTGATGACAGAGCCGGTAACCCATAAAAAGCATCCTTGCTTTGATTTTTGGAAGCATGTAGCCAATTTGTCGGCTAGGACTGGCAACAGTGGAAGCATAGCCGTCCTATATGAAATCAAAAGTGTGCGATAGAACTTGGATACCCGTTCACAAATCGCGGGATAGGCAATAAAGGTCTCCAGGATAGTTGTAACCACCGGGAAAACGTCTGTCCAGAAGCGGACCATTGGGTTCTCTTTGTCGGCTTCAACATTCGGTCGGACGATTGCCGCGAACGTGGTGAGAAGGGAGACGATTTCTTTCATAAATTAGCCAATTTTCGAAAACAAGAAAGGTGAAAACAATGCGTACCGGAGAGTTCTCGAACTGATTCTTTATCCCTTGCTTGATTCGCTTTGTCCATCAATCTTTTCGTAATCGGTTCGCAAAAAAGTCTGAGTGCATCGTAAATCTTTTCAATCGGCTGTGCGGCAACTACATGGGCGACTCCATCCGTGACTTCCTCTAAACTTTGGGTAGGTAGATTTGCGCTGACTTGCTCGTAAAATGTATGCAACTGGGTAATATGGCCAACGAGCAATTGGTGGCAGTCTTGACAAAAGTATCGCAGGGCCATAGCAGCAGCTCGCATAACATCCTTGTCGCTATGGGCAAATCCGTTGGTGATATATGTGAGCTGGGCCTCCAAGTATTCCGGGTGCTTCGCAGTCCATTCTGTGTATCTCCCCAAAACCAAGGTGGCTGCAAATCGCACTTTAGGGTGTTCTGGGAGTTGGATGAGAAGACTCATGATTCTGGGGAGTACTTCAGCCTCGTCGCTAGGGACCATTCGTCCCATTGCACGCATGCTGAACAGGGGAGCTTCCAAAGCTTGCCAGTTAGGGACAGGGTTCTGTGCTGATGGGGTTCCAGCGACATAGGATCTCATGTACTGCTCGACTAGTGTATATGCCTTCGCCAAGCAATCTCGAGCTCCCAAAACTTCACAACAATCCTTCAAAACATCACCCATCTTGTGTCGGAATTCTCTAAATCTTTCTTCCTGTTCTCGGTCTCCGTCGAAGAGGTCCGACTCGTTGTTAGACTCGGGGATTGGATATTTTAGATGGCCAATCATAACATCCACGAGACTAGCGAAAAGGTCGGCTAGCTGAACCCTAGCTTCAATATAATTTTCTAAGACGAGGTAGTTCTTGAGGTCGAACCAAAAGTTGAATGTAAGGCCAATAACTTCCTGCTCTCTATCCCTGGCAGAACATTCTAGGATAGCTTCGACGAGAGGTCGGAACGCTACTGGCATCCGAGCAATTAGGATGACCCATGCTTCTCCAGCCTCTGCAAACAGTTTCGTATATCCTCGGAGTTGTTCGATGTCGTTTTCGGCTGCATCGGCGATTCTCGGTTGCAATTTCATGACCTCCGGGATCAAAACATTTATAGTATCTAAGCATTCATCCACATCCCGGGTTTCGGCGAACATTGCACAGAGGCAATCAACCGCAGAGTCGAAAGCCGCTTCTGATGACAATGCTTTAATCGTGCTTGCGAGGAGGGGGGAGTTTACTATCGTGAGCACAGGAATCTCCCTCAACCAAGATGTGAGACAAGATGTGAGGAGTGGCTCTTCGCAAGCTGTGGGAACAGATTGTGAGTAGGATACTAGTATGTTAATGACTTGTTGTGTATTGTCCTCGAGGAGCTCTTTTGCACGAGCATCTAGCTCTTCGTCCTAGCAGTAGAAATGGTTTAGTTATGAAGGGTATAGTGCCGTATAGGCGATAGAATGGCATACCGTCATGCGAATTCTGCGACCTTCTGTGACTTCTTCTGGGAGAACTTTGAGGAATTCTAGGAGACAAATATTGCCATCGGCATCGGTTCCTAGTTTTTCGATAACGGAGTCCAGGACGTTCTTCCATTCTGTCATTTGAATCGCAAGAATTGCGAGGCAGACATTGAGTTGGGTTCTGATAATTCTGTTTTTTTTCTCGGATCTGAAATCTCGGAGTAGGCCAAGAAGTGAATCCCTAAGTTCTCCAAGAAAATGCCGGGGAAGCTGGGGGACATCGTAGATTATCTGTAAAGAGTGATATTTTATATCAGTTATGGGTACGGGTTGGGTTTTGGGTAGAAACACTTACCTTTCCCTTGAGAGTAGTGGCCGCAAATAGTTTGACGTCGAGAGGTAATTCTGTTGATTTTAACATAGTGAAGGTGAAGCTCCATGCTTCTGGCTGTTGGGTAAAAAAAAAACGTCCACCAAAACCAGCGGAATCGTTGAATCAGTCTCCGATCTTCATTGTAGCAGTAGTAGGAGTAGTGATGAGTTGAATATCCGTAGCCCGTCCAGAAATTTGATTGACACATATGAACCATGACAGATGTTCAAGTATAGCTTGCGGAACGACTGGTTCTTTCTCCCAAACCGGCGAGGTGAAGGTATCTACTTGCGGGAGCAAGAAACGAGAGGGGTGTTTGAGAAAAAGCAGAGGGACGAGGAGGGTATTGAGCCAGGAAACATGAACTGCGCGAACTGCTGGTGGCGTAACTTCAACGACTATGCTTTATCTGTTCATCATATATCCTTTTCTGAAATAACAATGCAGACGCCAAGGGCAAATTATTTCGAATGGGTACTGATCAGGATGGCTCGTCTGGACTTTGTCTGGACTGGACGGGACGGGGTTGTAGAGCAGAGGAGAGGTTGTGCGAAAGGACCCACCGATTTCTGAAATGCCTCGAGATATTCGTTGGCTTGGTACTTTTGTGCTCGATCGGCATGGCCCTGCATGGTAGCCAGGGCCTGAAGAATTGGAGCGAGATCCGGGCTTGTTGTAGCCATTATTACGGTTCTGGAGATGGTCTTCCCGGTCGGGGATGACGGAAGGTGAAGGCTTGAGATTTAGAATATTCCGATGATTCGAGTGCGGGGAACTCTGGCGGTGATTCTGGGTAGGCTATTTTAGTTCCTTTCCTTTATGCTGAGGGTAGGTCCCCCGCGCGTTTATCGTTATCAAAAATAGCTCTATCCGTAAAGCAGCGTCAGGAAACTGATGCTCTCTGGAGGCAAGTAGTGCTTTCGGAGGCCTTGGAAGAGCAGTCAAGTCGTAAGCAAAAAAAAGTATGATGTTTATGGGAGGGAGGTTGAAGTAGCTGATAGTAAATATGCGGATGATGAGAGGTCGAGGTCAGGATCAGGTGGTCGACAGACGAGATGAAGTCAGAGGTTGCTTGTTTGGTGGAGGTCCCTCCTCCCTCACTTTCGCTTGCTGGTGGGGGCAAGGAAAAAAAGTGTGTTGTGGGAAGCCAAGACTTGGCCGACTGACTGGCTTCCAATGTTAGGCTGGCTTGGCTTCACTAAGTACTTTAGTACCTATCATTCAAAGTCGTACTTAACTTAATCACCATCATCACCACCACCATCATCACCGTCATCACTATAATCTTCGTCACCCGTTGCCGTCGCCGATTGCAGCCCTTCAACGACAATAGCCGCTACTGCTGCTCCTGCAATACTCGTCGGTGCCATTGCGATAGAGGTAATTCCTCTGCAAGTTCCGTCGATAGGGTCTGTGCAGAAAAGATCTCTATCCTCCTCAACGCGACAAGTGCGACTGTCCACCTACGTCCTCTACGCGAAACCCTCCTTAACATAACCCAAAATCAATATGTCCGGTAGAGGCGGTGGTGGAGGTGGAGGCCGAAGAGTCTTGCTACCTCCCATCAACTTCATTTTCAAGCTTCTTCAAACCCACGCGACTGTTCAGATTTGTACGCGACCCTAATCTCCATTCCCCTTCATGGAACCATTGTCAATTAATGCAATGCTTTCATCATTGTAGGGTTATATGAGCAGCTTCAGACACGCATAGAAGGAAAGATCAGGGTTAGTTCCTTTCATTTCCACCCACGATCAAAATTACCCAATTGAAAGCTAATCTATGCATAAACCCTCCCAAAAATAATAGGGATTTGACGAGTTCATGAACTTGGTTATCGATGAGGCTGTTGAAATTAAGTTACCGTCTAAAACGGAGGACGAAACTCGTCGAGAACTAGGTTAGTAACTGTGTTTCCATGTCCGAATCTTAATACTAAACCATATCTTCAAATTAGGGCGGATATTACTCAAGGGCGACAACGTCACATGTATCGCGTGCGCTTCGCTTTCGTAAACTGATCGACTACTTTGATGAACACCTGGGACGCTATCAGCTTAAATACAGGATGTTTGATATGGACATATATATCATAGCTGCATGTAGGATATGAAATACATCACGACGAGAGCTTGCAAGCATTCTGGACGAGTTTTGCCCATTCTTAAATGGAGGACGGTATCATGGCTTATTGCTGCACTGAATATGGTCTCATCATATCATCGACGAACCACCGAGCCATCTCCGACAATTATTACGTCTAGGGGCCAGTCTTTGTCCCCGACAGGAACATTTGCTGGGGGGTCTAGGAACTGGTCCTTCAATGCGACTCCAACTATAAACTCTGAAATTTCAGTATTATCCTGGAATTTAATGACTTGATTGTACGGACCTGTGAAGGGCACTTTCCCACCGGCTTCCTCACTATATCTTCTCAGAAAATAATCATAGTACCCCTTCCCGTGACCTAAACGCCTGCCCCCGCCGTCGAATGCTACTCCAGGCATCACAATCAGATCTAAACCAGCCTTGCCAGCCCTCAATTCGTCTATGCAATTCTCTCGGGTTTCCAGAGATTTTTTCGTTGGAGTCGGGATCCCCCAACTGTTCCGTTTGAGTCCTTGGTAATCCTCGGGGGAGTCTAGTGATACCATATCCATGACTGAAGGTTTTTGGTCTTCGCCCTGTGTGGGAGCGGGCATGGCTTTGTGCGTAAATGGTATAAAGACTCGTTTCCCTTGAGAAATGCGATATTGTCAGCACAGTGTGATACCATATGCCTGAGTGAGACAAAGCCGAAGCGGCTACCGACATACCTTGCCCAAACGCATCTTGCACAATTGCCGTCGTGTCGACTTCGCCGGTTGGCATGGATAGGTATATGCTGATGCGCTGAGCTTGCCGATACTCAGGCAAGCTGGTTAGGAGGGAAAGTACTACCCGAGCTAGCAAGTGAAGAGCTATTAGCTACCCTAGCACTAGGTTTACTATCATGCCATGCATGCCAATCGAAGTTGAACCGGGTCGAATAGGATGCTAACATTGCTCTCGAACGGATTCCGTATCTAATGCATCGAGTCGTTTTGCGACTGCAGCCCGTAATTCTCGTTTGGCACTCCGTAGGGTTTCATTTGTAGCCATTCTTATAATCGTGAGGGTTGACACGCTCATATGCATCGCATCAATATAGTCTTTTAATACCAAACGGCCAACCTAACAAAATAAGATAGCTTTCGGTGGTAAGCCAAGCCGGGAACTTAACGGTACCTGGCAGATGTATTCTGTAACGAACGAGCCTGGCCAATGTTCGGGGGGGCTGGAGCACGTTGGCTGCCCGCTGTGTCTTGGCAATATCTCTGCCTGATGCGATTCTAAACCTCGATGCAACCTCAAAATCCGCCCAAATACTCCTTACCCTTTGATACACTGAAAAGTTAGGTAAAGAGATAGAAGAATTCGACGGGTACTGCTTTCCGAGTATCATTTATATCTACGGCATCCTATACGGTCCTTTCAATCGTTTTTCCGGCGCAGCTACAATGCGAGTAAATCTAGCGGCGGCCTCGACATTCCTTGCTTCGTTGATCCGGTACACGACTGCAGCCAATGTTACTTCGCTTGAGGGCACATGGACATCAAAGTCGGAGACGGTCGTAACTGGACCGGTATGTGCAATATAAAATAAATATTCTTTCCTTCTCCTTCTTCTCTTTCTTTTGCTAACCGCCTTCCATCTAGGATATCTACGACCCAGTTGGAGAACGGCTTATTGAGCCTAGACTACCCGGAACAGCATTCTCCTTTACAAATGACGGATACTTTGAAGAAGCCATATATGTCGTTATTGGAAATCGTATGACTTAGTTTGGATACCGATCATGAAGTAATTATGGACTAGTGCCTGACGCATACATCTATGAGCAGCTACGACTCCCGAATGCCCCAATGCGATTATACTCTGGCAGCATGGGAAATATACCCTCTACGATAACGGCTCCATGGTTTTGTTCCCATTCGATTCCGATGGAAGAAAGCTATGGTCCGACCCTTGCAAGCAAAAGAAATCGATTTATACTAGATATAATCAGACAGAATTGTACAGGGTAAGACCCCAAAAATGACCGGAAGATGATAGCCACGCTGACAAGATCATATAACTGTTAGTCTTGGGATATCGTTAAAGACGACTACAGAGGCCAGTTCCGACTCAATCTGTATAAATTTGATGGCGCACCAATGAATCCATTGTATGTAGACCGATCATTCGACACATGAGAGAAAATGGAATACTAATTCAACAATAGATACCTAACATACAAGCCGCCCCAAATGCTTCCAACTACGACGCTCAATCCCTTCCCGACTTCGACCCCTACAACGGCCGCCAAAATCAAGCGATCTATTGAGAATTTCAAAAACTCGCTTCCAGACGGCGCGCCTGGGCTCGATATTTGGTGGTGGGCCGCTGTGGTGATGACACTAGTCGGTGGCTTGGGTGTCTACCTCGCTCGGCCCCCGCCTTCCTAACTTCGTCATAGATTCGTGTTTTCCGATATATGGAACGGCATTGGTTTAAGCTGGTGTGGCAATTTCAGTACTTTTCGTCGTTCCCCGAAGCCAGGTCCTCTGCAGCTAAGAGGTCCGGTGGCCTACAGCTATGTCTCAACAACTCTGTTGAGATTCGTTTATTTCGATGGGCTCTGTGATTTGGAGCCACTTGTTTTCATGTTTTGAGATCTCTTAGCATTTTAGGTTTGACATAGCATAGACGCTTTGTGGTTTCTTTCTTCCTCGTTATGTAGCGGCAAGATGTTTTCTTTACGTCGTATCTACCATTTGATGAATACAATATTTATGAAAACACTCCGAGGCCTCGAGAATACAGTATATCGCCGTTGTAAGCTCAGGGATTATCTATATTTGACCCCTCTACCCTTAGAAGGCGATTCATTTTTGCTCTCGTCTTCATCTTCATACTCGTCATAGTCACTTTCACCAAACGCGGGTGACTGGAATCCAACCCTCGGGGTTTCTAAGCTCACGCCATGGTCATCCCTTGATGGCTGGGGTGTAAATGGGGGGCTTAATGCAACCCTTGGTCGAGACTTGAATGGGTCTGCTTCAAGCTCCTCCTTTGACCTGACAGGATTCGGGTGTAATCGCTGCGTCCGGGTTGGTGCAGGAGTATCAGCCGAAGTCGCAATTTGTGCGATCATCTAAATGATTGTTAGTCTTATGTAGGGGTTCGAGAAAGGCTATAGGCAGTGGATACTGTACCTTCTCCACCATGTATTCGTCTACGGAATACTCCCCGTCGAAACGATGAGATCCGAGTTTTTGTGGGGAAGGTTCAACGATGTAAGGGATCTCACTCGGGCTTTCTGGAGAAGGGGGGTCCCGCATGATAGTATCCTCGAGGCTATCCTCCGGGTCATCACTCGGTTCGATTGGCTTAGGAGGCGGAGGCGGGCTTCGCAGTCGAGGCTTTGGGGATGGCTTTGGGGATGGTTTTGGTTGTACTAATTCAGGCGTTGAAGCTCGGGGTGGTATTTTAGACATTGACGCTGTTCTAGTTTGGTTGTGCCCTGTATTGACAGTCGTGGACCCTGGCAGTGGCCTGGAGGTGGTATCCGTGGGCAGGTGGGATGTTAGTAGTTTCAATGCTTCCTCTTCCGTTATGTCCTTCGGGATAGGGGTATCTTTTTGCTCGTCCGATGCTACGGACTCCTCGTCCCCGCCTTCACCATACGTCGAGGCATATGACAAAGTACCAAGTTTACGTCTAGACACTCGGATGGTTTGTAATTCCTTCCGCATACTGTTGAACAGTTTCCCAAAATCGTCATCCGTTGATGGGATAGGAAGTTGTGTTCCTTCCTGTAGTGTGAAGGCGCTAGCGTGGAGATTCTAACAGAAAATTAGCTCCACGCATCGTAGTCTATGCTCTCTCTAGTCTGACCTGATGTTTGTTAAAGTCCACACCGAGGCCTCCTCCCACATCGGCTGCGAAACTGACTTTCTTTCCAGGAAGTGATTTCTTAGACCCTGTCCTTTCCTTGAGGAATTGATAATTGTACTCTTTCCAGCGCGCTAAACGGCTCTCGTGGACCTTCACGGCGTCCTCCATTGTCTTCACAGTCGAGCCACTGCCATCGGATGCGCAAGGCTTGTTAAAAGACCCAGTTTGCAACAATTTTTTAAAGGAGGCGTTTGACCATAGTTCCCGTTCCGTTGCATCATCGCGATCTGGTAGTAGTAGCTTGTAGATGCTTTGATCACCGACCCAATTCTTCTCCCATACAGAAGTGATGTCGTTTTCTTTGATACCGAGCCCTTTCCTTGATTCGCGGGCAATCGCAGTCGCCTGTTCCCTTTCAGAAACCAGCCTATCCTGCTCTTCAAGCCTCCTTGAAGCTAAAAACCATTTCTTCTTGTCAACAAAGCGGTGCTGAAGCGTGTTTCGAAGAGAATTCTGGTATGCAATGTTAAGGATATTAACTGTATCGAGATCCGGGTGTGTGCTCAGAGCTTCATCGAGAGCTGATTTCATCCCATGGTAAGCATTATGGATGCCATAAAGCAAGAGTCAGGCGCACCTATCGAGTCTCCGGTGTGATCCTTGTGTTCTCTCTGCACGACCTTCTTCAAGGCCATAGTCGATAAGAATAGCAAGAGCTCTTCATATCGATCACCTTGACACTCATCGAACATGCTCTTACGAATGATAATCGCATTATGCAAAGCACCGGCTTTTTTGAGGTCGTTCAACCAATTTACAATAGCGGCGCGAAAATTCTTCGACTGGGCAGGTTCATATATTGGCCAATTCCCTGCAAACCTCTAGAAATTAGAGAATTAATGAGGTTTCAACGCTGTTGTCAAGATTTCAAGGGATAATATACGGATTTGGATTCGATCGGGTCATATCGATCGAAGATGTGGTGGGCGATAAGCTCGAACGCTCTGCTCTTGTTCTTTCCCAAGGAGAAGGTCTCATCATCGATAGGTAGGTCTTGGTAGACGGGGAGGTCGAGTAGCCGAAGATTTGTGAGTAGAAGGGCAACGGGTGTGATTTCCGCCGTGTGTTTCATTGCGTATACACAGGCAGGTTTTCGAGGATGGGCCTTTCTTCGGAATAGAATGAAATCATGAATCAGTGGTGAATGTTCATGAACGTCGGACGTTGCACAATAAATGGATGGATGGATGTTGTTTGTTGTTGGCGAGGTCTGTCGCTTAGGAGATCCTGGTCTGCAGGAACTCCCCAGTAACTACCTAGTATCCTAGGTACTGAGGCACCTACCCAGTAGGTAACAAGCCCAGGGCAGGACAGTGACGTGCAGAATTAAGTTTCGACCCGTCCCATATTAGATCTTCCCATCGTTTGTTTATCACTTTAAGCAGGCGAGGTATTCTGGCCCCCATTCCACTTACATACGTCTTATATACTTAAGTACTTAAGTAAATATTTAATAATAGACCTGGGTACCAGGTAAGAAGTATAAAAATGCTCGCAAGGTCACGTCTTCCTCGACTTTTCTCATCAAACATCCGTTTGTTCTCGACAACCGTAATGTCACTTAAGGCAGGCATTGGTGGTAAGTACTTTCTTTTTGCCGGCTTCAAACCAACATTAGCATGCAGAGACTTCATATATAACGTTTGCGGCTAACATTTTGGCATCCAGCGATCGACCACAAGGACACATGGTCTGTCTCTAAAGGCAAGTTCCAAATAAATCTAGCTACCTTCTAACCCGGTCTTCATACGTCTAAAAAACACGTTATCGCTGACTGTGCCATAGTTCTTAATCCATTACCCACGCCTCCCAGCAGCTCATCGTCTTCGCCAATCGCATTTCTCCATGTAATAGAACGGCTCAAGACCAACGCCCGCGAAGGGTGGAAAAGGCATGGCATAGTTGGAGGTACAGGCTGTTCTACCAAACCGGTAAAACGATTTATCGTTGCTAAAATTAGCTGTGACATTCGTGTAGAAAGCATAGCGGACCATATGTATCGTATGTCAGTCATTACGATGCTTTGCCCAGACTCTACGATTCAAAAGGACAAGTGCATCAAGATGGCCATTGTTCACGATATGGCAGAGTGCTTGGTGGGCGACATCACCCCCCTTGACGGCGTTGAGAAATGTTGGTCTCCCCAGACGTATTCCTCACGGTTATTATAGCACAATAGCTGACACCCCTTCCTATCCTTCTGTCTAGCGGAAAAGCATCGCCGTGAATTAGAGTCTATGGAGTATTTGACCCAAACCTTACTAGCTCCGATATCCAAATCCATAGCTCGCGAGTTCATGGATATTTGGGAGGAATACGAACAGGGCCAAAGTCCAGAAGCAATATTTGTCAAAGACGGTAGGTATTCATGTATACTACGATGGATGTATCACTGGACTTGCTAATGTGTATGTGCCACTAGTCGACCGCTATGAGCTCATTCTTCAAACAATAGAATATGAAAGAGCCCACAATCTTGAGCTTGAAGAGTTTTTCCACGTAGCAGAGCGTGTCCAGACACCCTTCATGAAGGATTGGGTTGCTGAAGCTTTAGACAAGAGGGCTCATGAACTCAAACTTACCGTCGGGGGAGCAGCTAACTAGTGGAGGCGCTCCTACCATTCTTATACCAGAATTTTCAAAAAATGGTACCGGCGTAACACTCTATTCTTTGCAGCTACTGATATCCTTTTCTTTGCTCTGCTTTTAACGGGGTTTATTCTGGGTCATCCTGGGCGAAGGGATAAAGATAGATATCCTTGATGAACAGGCGCTTGCGTGCATTAGTTTGTTTAGATACATGGAGACAACCATCATAATTGGCGTTTGGAAACTATGGGCTTTCTTTCTTTCGTTCCTTTCTTCCTTTCGTTCCTTTCTTTTCTCTCTCCTAGGCGTTGTACTTTCTAGTTATGTACCATTAGAATTGCAAGAGAAGCCACCACATGCAAGGGATTAACCTCTATCAGGTTTAATTTCTAAGCTGATCTCCACCCTGATCCAATCTCATGACAACTTGCCAACCATTGACAAGTCCCACTGATATGACGTTAGAGACCTGTATCCGATTCATCCCCATCCGGTATTTTGAAGAGTGCCCGCTTTTCCTCTTTTCTTATTAGGCACCAGATGACTATCGCATTATATTATGCCGGTTCAGGCCGTGGTGCTTGCCTCGTTTTGGGGGCGTTCCTGTTCTTTCTTTTTCACCAAGTCCTCGAATCTTGCTAACCTCCACTTATACCCCCATCGTCTTTCTATCATCAGCAAGGGGAAACAAATACAACATGCCGTGCCCCAGATAGTGAACGTCCAGCCCACTCCTAATTTAGTTATCATTATCTCAATAAAACTAGTTGAAATGGCACCAAACATGCAGCGGCAGAGGTTTCCGGAAGCCGTAGCCGTAGCAGGCGCAGTTGGATAAAGATCGACTAGGAAAACCGAAATTATCTTATTCATTTTTAAAAATGAATATTTTCAGTTAGCTAAACCCCGATAAACATGCCTCAGGGAGCACTTACACTGATGACGCTGACATTTGAGGCACCGATGATGAACTGGAGGACTAGAGGAACCACAACATGCTACCATAGATACATCATGGAGTTAGGCGCATTGATGGTTTAAATTCTCACTCAAGTAGTCCAATGGGGTAGCTGGCTAACCGGTTTCCTAGATAGAGCCCACCCATATGGAATTATAGCCGCAATACACAACCCCATTGCATACCAAATGCTCTTCAGCCTTGCTTCCTCTAACGGGAATTCACCCACGTTTTCCAACTTCCTCCGATCAAATTTTATTCCCGCTTTTTTCTCCACTGTCTGGAAATCTCTATCAATGATTTTCCCTGTCACGATACTGCTAATAATGCCACCCGTACCAAACGCAAGGTAACACAATCCAATCTGGAGCTCGTTATATCCGTATATTTCTGAGAAAAGCTTTGGGAGACTAGCCATTACGGCATAGAATGCCGCATAGAATATACTCATAACCAGGAGTATGATACTGACATCCTTGTTGAATATTATCAAAATGCTCCGAAGCGGGTTTGGGACCATATCCTTGAGAGTTCTCTTTCTTCTGGCTGAAGCATATTCACTTCTTAGAGCCCAACTCTCCTTCGGACTTACCAATTTCTCCAAGATCGCTCTATTTAAAACCGGGGGGCGAATGCTACCATCCCCTACAACTTTACGGTTTGTCTCGGGGAAGGCAAAGAACATAAGGATAAGTGCCAATGACGAGAATATCACGAGAAACCAGAATATCCACCTCCAGCCGGCAGATTTAGCTATTGCACCCCCAATAACGGGACCCAACGCAGGCGAAGAGAGGGGAAACGAGTTCATAAAGCCCATATATGAACCTCTTTCTGCTGGAGTGGTGAAGTCTGCCAGCGTGCCAAAGGCGATGGCGACGGTACCTGAATAGATTGTTTAGCACGTGCAACCATCAATAACACAGCATACATAGGATGTACCTGAGTTGCCGCTACTTTGAAGCATTCTCAATATCAATAGGGCGGCCAAACTCTTCTGGACAGCGAGGCCGGCACATGCGCCGACGTATACAATGAAAGTAAGGAGATATACTGGGCGTCGACCTAGTGTGTCAGATAGCTCCCCTGAAAGAGTCGGAGCAATGGCCTGAAATATTAAATAAGTTGTGAGAGATAAATTGACCTGCGTTGTAGTTATTTTTAGTTCCTGCTGCACCGGTAGGAGGGCAGGGAGGTAGACTGTCGAACTGAAAGGGGAGAAAAAGGCGAATAGTGTTAGGAGGAATACAATCCATTTCTTTTGAGCTAATGTGAAGACTGAGTAGGCGTTTTCAGATGTATGTGTATATTTGGTAGAATTTGGTGGAACGTGGTCTTGCCTGTTCTTCTCCTCACGTTCCTCTTGCTTCGTTTCGATGTTCTGATGCTGGGACTGGTACGTTGTTACAGACATGGAGATATTTGTTTTTTTCTATGCGTTGAGTCCGTGGTATTTTTTCAGAGGTCCTTGGTTTCAGTGTTTACCAAGTCAATATTAGATATAAGTACCTTCGGGATGGCAATACTTGAAATTTGAAAGATAAAGAATAGAAATAAAAAAGAAAAGATTGAAGTTTATGGGAGGAAATCTTTTATTCATAGTAACCCGGATAATCGGCCGGAGTTTAACCCAGGCTATCGCCGCTTGAATCCTCACAGGTCGCCATTCGTTCATGGTCGAAAGGCTTGGCATTTAGTCAGGTTGGTGTTCAATGGCGGGAAGTTTGATCTAAGCTATCCTACTTACGCAACAACATCAACCTCGAGGAATCGTTTCGCGATGGCTGCACCGTCATCTTATAAGGATAGGAACTTTCTGGCGGTCATTGGAGATGAGGTAGGGTTTTATCCCTGGGGGTTTGACGGCCTTTAGTATAAACATATGTGCTGACTGACAGTATCAACCGTAGGATACAGTAACTGGGCTTCTACTGGCTGGAATCGGTGTACGTCTCGCCCACCGGTTGTAAATAGACCCACTGCCAAACCGGCGAAATTCTAATATGATAACAGCATGTAACGACCGGCGCAAATGCCACTCGGAACTTCCTCGTTGTGGACCCGAAAATAGAAATCGAGAAAATCGAAAAGGCGTTTGATGAGATGACGAGCCGTAAAGATATCGGTATTTTGCTTATCAACCAGCACGTACGTCATTATATACCCCACCGATACCCTAAAATGAAATTATGGGAAGTTTGGCTAACTTTGGGCCACGAGGGAGGGGAGGTGTGTTAGGTTGCGGAGAGAATACGATATAAAATCGACATGTACACAGCTGCGTTCCCTGCCGTCCTAGAGATCCCGTCGAAAGACCACCCATACGACCCGGAGAAGGATAGCGTCTTGAAGAGGGTTAAGAAGTTATTCGGGGAATAGGACGATTGATCGATATATGCTCTAGGGTGCTCGGTGGGCCAATGCTTTCCTCGTTGGCTGCTTTCGGCTTATTTTGTATAGAAACTTGGGTCTTCATACTATGATTTAGTATCTAGCGTACATGATATATCTAGGATCACTACAGGTCACGAAACATGTAGCTCTTTCCACGGGTGAATTGTAGTTGTTGTATGAAGGGGTGCATGATCATTCCACATCCCTGAGACGCTTGTAAAACTGATATCATCCCATTCAAGTTGCACCAAAACCCAATCTCAACAGACCTTCTACATGCCAATTAAAAACCAGACACAAGATACTCCAGCAAGCAAATGGCTATTGTTGTACACCGCAAATATCAGGACTTAACAGCTAACAGAAGAAAAAAAGCAACCAAAGGAAGAAAGAAACAAAGCCCGTGCAATCTGTTTCGGCTGAAATTAAATGTACGCGGATGCCACGATTAATGTCGGACGCTACAGCCATAGAAAAACAATTGATGATGATAATGATGAACACCAAACTGGTTGGAATAGCACACGCTATTTCGGATATAGCCAATGGAAGAGTTCTGTCGAGGTGTCTTTAGCGGCGGGCAAAGGTCACTTCTGCGTGCAAGCAAGTAATAAGGTCGCCGTCCTCTTTCTCAGTATAGAGCTCGGCTGTAACCTTGAATTTACCCTGTATACATGTTAGTCTCGAATTACTGTGGTTTTACAATGATCCAAGTTATCATAACTTGGAGGGAACGAGCATACTGGTGGGATTTCCTTTGGGAGGTCCTGATCCTTGACAATTTTCAACGGACCTGGTTCGATTGGGCAGTTGACGGTGGTGTTGGCTTTTTCGAGGTTGGAGCAGAAATCAAGAGTCTGCTTGATAAGGGTGATATAGCCAAGTTTAACCTCTACTTTCATTATAGCGCCCTCTTCGATGCGTCTCTTTACTTCACCGGAAGCCTCCAAGTGTAATGTTTTACCACTGTTTTTTTTGAGAAGAAAAACCAAAAAGAACGGTGGGATACAAATGTTAGTACCCAAAGATTTTAATTTGAGTGCAGAGTTCACGAAGAGAGTACTAACACAGCAGGCGGGTTTGGGTTGATGTAAATTCTGTCAATTTTTACCAGGTCTGTGGCTGGGTCTGAGCAGTGAACGATTGGAGAGCCGCCGGGGATGGTGGCATCCCAGCTGACGGGTTCATCAAAACTCCCGATGGGAGACTGCCCAAGGTCGATAGCAAAGGCAGAGGCAGAGGAGGCAGCGGCCAAAAGAGTGACGACATTTGAGAACTTCATGGTGGTAGTGGTGATGATGATGACGATGGTCTAATGTGGTGGCGATTTCGGAGTGACGCCGGTCTGTTTTACAACAGGAAGCACTTTAAGAAACCAAATTCAACGATACGGAGGAGGAGAAATAAAAACCAAATTCTTCCGCGATGGCTTCGCTCGACTCTAAAGAATACGAAGTAGGACGATACTCAAGAATGAGACTTTAAGTATATTCGAGAAGGGGAGAAAGGGAGAGAGAGGGAGAAGGGAAGGGAAGAGAAGAGAAGGATGAAGAGGAAGTTCTAGTTTGGGCTGGCCTGGCGATGATGAAATAGCACAGCGCAGGCTGAGACTCCCAGCCATTTTTGGGAGACCGCCGGGCGGGCAAACAGAGAATGTGACCAACGAGCAGGCATTATTCTGCACCAAGCTAAGCTACCAAACGGGAGAGCTCGACCGGCCGACTCATATTATTTTTTTTAAATATAAAACCCGCAGTTTCCCAGGACTTGATATGAGGTAAGTAAATAATTAATAGCCAGTCCATTCGATATAGATTCTACATGCCTGTATATGATATCGATATGCCTGTATGTCTGTAGGTAAGTAAGTACTTACATAAGTACCTATCTTCCTTCTATTATATAAGGGTAGATGTCCTATATACACCTTATACCTTATATATATTATATATACTTACCTACTTACCTACTACTTAAGTATAGGTATATTGACGGATGTCGGATGTTCAAGTCAACAGCTTCTATTCTCCCCATCAACATTTGCATCGATATCTCGATTATCCTGCCCCAAACAACGGCCGCCGACAAGGGAAAGAAGTTGCAAGGATCGGGGTGTTCTCTTGCATCACACCAATCTGGAAACGGCTTGGTCCCATGCAAGTTCGAAAGATGGGTGCTTTCGTCGACTGCCTTAGTACTTATCGGTCTTCCTTAAAAGAATGATGACTACATCGGTTCCCACATGCCAGTTGCATTCCCAGGGCAAGCGACAGTGCATACACAGTGCCTGCTACCTCTAGTACTCCACAGGAGGATACACAGGCATACTCCTTTATGTAAGTGAGTAGTGTACTGTGCCTGGTGAAGCAGCAGCAGCAGATGGAACGGATGCATGGTAACATAGTCAAGTCACCACCCGACACTGTGCAGCCTTAACCGCTCCAATTCTCCGGGCCATCTCTCGGACCCTCTCTTTCTCTATTTTCTCTTCCTCTGTATGTATGTCCTTACCTAGGTAAGTCTGTATATGTACGGTAAAGTACAGTACAGTACAGTACTCAAGGACATACCGACTGATATGATGGAAGTGGTGACGGTTGAAATGGATAATCATCACCAAAAAAAGTTTTTTTTTTTTTTTTTTTTTTTCTCTCCCTTCCCTTCCCTTCCTCTTAACTCATCCTTTGACATAACTTCCTTTCCTCTCCTCCCAATAATACCTCCTTCTTACTCTTCTGCCGTGCTTAACCTGGGATGTGCCAACAGGAAGGGGGAAAAATAAAAATAAAATAAAAATAAAAGTGAGAATAGATAAGGAGAGGCTACATACACTCCACCGTCAGCATGGTTCGAAGCACGAAGGACACACTAAAACCCATCTTGAGATGGCGGGTCTGTGGTGTGCATGTCCTTCACACTCACACTCGCACTCACACGCACCCGCACACACCTACCAAGTGGAGACAACAGTTGGAAACTATCTAAATGTGTTGACAGCCTCAACACAACACTCCATACGCAACACTACGCAACACAACAACACATTATCCAGTCTGACAAACGATTTTCTCTCGCTCCCTCCCGCCCTCTCTTTCTCCCTGTTTATCTCTCCCTTCTCCCTCTCTTTCTTTTTGTGTATGTGTATGTGTGCCTGTTCTGTTCTCTTCGGTGTGCCTGTTTTGTTTTGTCTGTTCTGTTCTGTTCTGTTCTGTTCCCGCTCTGGTTCAATCCCGTTCAGTTCAGTTCGGTTCAGTTCAGTCTTGTCCGTTTTGTCTGTTCTGTCCGTTCTGTCCGTCTGCTCTGGCTGGCTGGCTGGTTCTGGCTGGCTGGCTTTGGCTGGCTGAGAAAGTAAGTCAGTCCGCTGTGGTTTCCTCCCTCCTTCCTCTCTTTCTCCCTCAGAAGCTTCTTTCTTCCATCATCATCATCACCACACCACCACCATCACACACACTCACCTATTCCCATCGTCACTTGCCGCCGCCCGTCTGTCGTCTCACCCTCAGGAACCCCTCCACCGCTCTAAATACCTTCAGTCGTCGCCGAAACCAATCTCAATTCTTGCCTCCCCTCCGTCTCGCCTCTTCTCTTTTGCTCCGGTCTGTCCTTCCATCCTCATCCCCCCCCGCGACTGTTTTTGTTTCCTTCCAATCTCGACACCTTCGCCGTTTCGAAACCAGCCTCACTCTCATACTCTCCTCGGCTACTTTTCTTATACTGACTTCCACCCCTCTCGACTGTTGTCTAGATTCTCTATTCTCCATTGGATCCGTCGTCTACTCCTTATCGCCTCAGCCGCCTCTTTGTTTTGGTTCGAGTCAACGTTCATCCTTTTCGGCGACTCTACGCACAGACAGCCCGAAATCTCCTTACATAAACGTTCGTCAAAGGAAGCGCAAAACACTGGCCCGACAAGATAACTTTGCCAACCAATTCTGTAAATACCTTTCGACTCTCGATATCGCTAGGAATTCTCCTCGTGATAAGCAAAGAAATCGACCCAACCGATAGGCTTCACAAGCCGCCCCTTTGCCTCGGAGGGAGAGAGAAAAAGTGAGAGAGAGAGAGAGAGAGAGAGAGAGAGAGAGAGAGATAGGAAAGATAAAAGTAAAATACAATACTAATAAAGTAATAAGTCGCAGGGAGCCATAGGCTGTATCGTTTCTCTCGATCCGTCACTTCTCTCTCTTTTTTCCCTTTCCCGCTCGTACCCTCTCTATATCCCACACTGAGGATGATCATCCGGTTGATATAATCCTGAACAACTTCTGCTCCTCTCTTCTTATCGTGTTTCCTTACGAGGAGGACTTCATTTAAGCTAGAAATGAATGAGGTTCTCACAAATGGCTCGCGTCCATCCCCCACCCCATCGAATCCGCCTTCTACCGTTCGAAATTCCGTCTCCGTCTCCGATCTTCCAAATGTCAACACGGCAAGCGAAATCCGTTGTTTTTGCGGCTACGATTCCGATGATGGTTTCACAATACAGTGTGAGAGATGCCTTCACTGGCAGCACGCGCGTTGTGTCAATATAAACCAGAATAGTGTCCCGGAGACCTTCATCTGCTACTATTGCGAAGTCCGGGATCTGACGCAGGCCGATATCACAAGGGCGAGAGAATACCAGTTGAAGGAAATTGGCGGCGGTCCGAAGAAGACCCAAACCCAGGCCAAACGGGGAACCGGGGCTTCTCATCGAAGGCGTGACACTAACGGTGCCGGTCATTCGAGAAGTTATTCGGAAAGTACATCACACAAACTCCAAACCCCTAAAGACCACCCTGCCGGAAAATCGAGAGGACGGCAGCGGCAAATATCCACACAAGCACACACGAACCTACCAGATACATCCGCCTCTCCCGATGAACACTCGCCGACAGGGAAGAGCCCAAGCATGGAACGGGAACTTGGTTCTGATTCTGAGGTCCCACCGTCAGTATACACCAAGGAATACAGTCCTATTACATGTAACACCATAGTTTCTCCCGAGGTTGACCACAAGATCAAGACCTGGACCCACGATGCTGTCAATAACCGTACCAAAACCACGGATGCCTCGCTCCCATGTATCCCTCGAAGATACTCAAGTTCTGAATTCCACGAACTGATACCTTCCGGGCACACTGTGAGATATGTATCATCACCAGAAGAACTATCTTCCATCGGCCTCCCCCTCATTCGACTAGTCGCCGATACACCTTCCAAAGCGGACCAATTTGTCATTGAATACGTCGGCGAGATCGGATCGAAAACCAGTTACATTCAGGATACTCTCAACCAGTACGGAAGGATACGTCACCCTAAGGCTTTCGTCCTGTTTCACCCCCAGCTCCCGATCTATATCGACGCAAGGCGATGCGGTTCCGAAGCCCGTTTCGTACGGAGGAGCTGCCGACCCAACCTCAAGTTTGAGACTATGGTCATCGACGGTACCGACCTGAAATTCGCTCTATACACGAGCCAACCCATAGAGCGTGGTGCCGAACTCACCATCGGCTGGGAGTGGGACAATACCCTCCCATTCGCAAGATTATTGGACGATGCCGCCACGGTCGAAGAACTCGAACCCGAGTTGGTACAAAGGATGAAGACTTGGGCCGATACGGTCACAGCTACTGTCGGTGAATGCGCCTGTCCTGATAGCGATGTATGCTTAATGGCAAGACTAAAAGGGGATGCCCCGGTCGGAAAATCGAAAAAGGTGTCCAAGTCGGGGACTAAGCGTCGCTGGCGGGAGATGCACGAATCTAATTCCACCGGTCGGGAAATGAGCCCTGAGAAGCACGATCCCGAAGCAAAATATAAACGCCGCTCATCCAGCACGTCATCCCATCGCAAGTCTGAGAGTAGAGACAGAACTCCGACTTATATCACTGCTGATATCACACAAAGCAGCGTGATAACAGACCAGAATTCATCCGCAAGAGAGGCTCGGAAAATGAAGGATACTATCAATCTCATCGAGAAACTAACCAATCCAGAGTCATCGCATAACAGGGGGAAGCGAGTAAAACGTTCTGGGCTACCACCATCGGTCCAATCAGCTTCTACATTAGATTTTCCGGAGAAATTACCCAAACCCGTTGCAGAGCCAGGACCAATAGCAGCTCCTTCGGCTGTTGGACAGGCCACGGGGCCGAACAAGGCATTGAACTCCAATCAGAGCAGCCCCGGCAAGCAGGTCAATGGGACATCGCCACCCCGACTTGGTCCGAAAGTATCTTATGTCGACGGCGGTGTACAAACCGATGTTGACATCACCACCCGTGCTCCTATCCACTCACTCCCAACCAGTCGAAAAATGAGGATCTTGGCACAGTTCCGGGCACAAAGTGCACAGCGTGAGAACGCCTTGAAGAGCCAACTCTCCATCGTCAAAGAAGAAGAGTTTTCACCAAAAGAGGCCACCACCACCGTTTCTGATGGAGATGTTGTCATGGCTGACGATGAAGCCAGCGCTCAACAGACCACATCGCCCCTAACCCCTCTCCTCGAAATAAAATCCGAGCAGTCAGAGCAAACCAACATGGCAGAGATGGATGTCGATATTGCGACTAAGCCTCTTGCAGACAGTGATGCTAGTGGCGATAATATTACCCCAGCTGTCGTATCGGCATCAAAAACCCCCCTCTCTGTTCAACTACCTCCAACGCCGCCGTTGCCTAGTGTCAATATTCCCCCACAGAACACTACAAAGCAGGTACTATCCACTCCTTCAGCATCTTCGACTTCACCGATATCCCCTTTCCAACCTCAGACGCCTAGTCTTCCGGCACCTGCAAACACAACACAGTCAACGTTGCCAACACCTCCAGCACCTTCTACTGGCCGCAAGAAGATGAGCCTGAGTGACTACACAAGGAAGAAAGCAGAGTCTCTTGAGAAGGACAAGGTTGGCCCCACGGCGAACCATTTATCCACTGTTGTAGATAGTGAACCTGAGGTTAATGGCGCTCGATCTTCTACCCCCGCGGAGTCTACAGCGGTGATGGACCTTGATCCTCCAAACGCTAATATCTTAGCGAATGGGGCTTGAGGATCTTGAATCGCCCTAGAAGATGAAATGATGCTCGGAGGTGGATTTGATGGAATATTCGTCTCCCTTATTGCCGTCTATTGTTTATTGTCCACGAACTTAGATACCTTCTACGGTGGCCTGGAGTTTTTCTTTTCTCTTTCTCTTCGTTTTTTTCTTTCCTTTTTTTTCTTTCGGAGTTTCATTACTTTTTGGGCGGTTGTTTTTCCTGATATCCCCGTTTGGGTCCTTCAAGAGCTCCCTTTGATTTACGAAGCTATTATTTTCCCTTATTACTTGTAGTACCCCTTGCTCGGTCTCTTTGGGGGTGGTTTCGGTTCGCTCCCAGATAACACGCTCTCCTCAGGGACCGCTCCAACCCCGTAAACACTTTTACTCTTTTCCTTTCAAGGTCTCTGCATATGTCTTTACGGTTGGGGCGTCAAAAAAACGAAAAGCTCAGGTCTTATGTTTTCAAACTACCTTTCGTTATCCTATCTAAATCATTACACTACTTTACTATTACTTCTTGTAAATCCCTTCTCTTCCTTTTCTTCTTCTTTTGATTTTCCCCCTCTTTTTGCTACTCAACGAGCGCCTGGAAAGACCGTTGCGTTCATACCCGGCGAAGAATGAAAGATGCCCGCTTCTAGACATGCAGGCGATTGTGATGTTAATTCATGGCCTTTCCTTCTACTATTTCTCTTTGTGTATCCCTCGGGAACGACGTGAAATGTCCATAAATGAGCGAGTGGATTAAATGGATTCTTTCATATGAGTGTTTAACATATTAAGTATTTCCGAGCAGCTAAATGCGTAGTTGTTCGACGTTGGGGGGATTGGGCAGACTAGATAGGTACCTATGTGCATATATATATATACTACTTAAGTCCCTATATAGGTATATATACATGCGGTTTATGATGCAATTTCGAGACGAGGCTACATGCATGCACAGGGCATCAATGCATTCTTTTCCTCTCCTCTTCTTTATTATTTTTTATTTATCGTAGGTCGTGATTAGATTAGAGAAAGAACATCATAGGGAAAACTAGTATTTGAATTTGTTTCTTATAGCATTTGTCCACCTCTTCGAGTTCCCAATAATACATAGAATAACAGACAGCAGGAAGAATGAGATGAGATAACCATCTTTGCGTTCGTACTGCAAGAAAAAATAGAGAGAGTCTGACATAAACCACAGAATATTACCAAAAAAAAAAAGCCCATCAAAGTAAAGATATCATGACACCATATCGAAGCACAGTGAAACGGGAAAGGAATAATAACAATGAATACCAATCATTAAAAAGGCCATGAAGGAAAGAAATAGAAAGAGGAAATGAGAAGGCCAAAAGAACAAACAAGCAAACAAGCAAACAAAAGAAGTGTACGTCTATTTCCTCAGCTTAATTTAGTTGCCTGCCTTCTTGTACGCCGCATCAATCTCAGTTTTGTAGTGGTCAGTTAGGCCTCTTCTGTTCAGTTTCATAGCAGCAGTGACAAGACCCTATAATTATCGTCAGCTTTGTTTTCAGAGGTATAGCGGAATTTAGGGGGCTACGTACGCTCTGCGGTGTCCATTCATCGTCAGCAATAACGACGCCATCGATGAGTTCAATACCAGCGAGACCTCCTCGCCTTCCGACAGCAAGCAAGTCCTTCAAGACAGCGGATTGAATCTTGCTATCGTGGACGATAGTCTCGAGTTCACCTGCAACACTGAGATCGGCAGCGAGTTTCTTGATGTTGACTTCATGAGGTTGAATGAGAGCGACAGGCTTGGCCTTCTGCGTATCTGCGTAGACGCAGATGTTCTGAACGTACGAGCAGGATCGGTAAATAGATTCAAGCTAGAATTTGTAGAAATTAGAAACCATTTTCAAAGGGGGGGTTTTTTTCCGTGAAGAGGGGAGTTATTACCTTTTCAAGAGCAATGTACTCTCCGTGGAGTGTCTTGACAAGATTCTTCTTTCTGTCGATGATCTTTAGATGACCACTAGGAGTCCATTCGCCGACGTCGCCCGTCTTGAACCAACCATCGTCGGAGTAGGCTTCACTCGTCTCCTTCTCGTTGTTGTAGTACTTTTCGGCGACGGCCGGTCCACGGATCCAGATTTCGCCCTGTGGCGGGTTGCTAGCGGTGGAGTATCCAGCATCTAAGTAGTCAACAAGCTTAATTTCAACGGCACCGACAGGCGCACCCAATGTCGTGTTAGTCCATTGGTAGGGGTTCATGATGCACCCGTTTGCGCAAGTCTCAGTCAAACCGTAACCAATAATCATTGGTGCAATAGCCATGGAGACAAAATGCTGAGTTTCTTTAGACAAAGGACCACCACCGTTGAAGCAAACCTTGAGTCTACCACCGGTGGCCTCGCGTATCTTGCTGAAAACCACAGCATCAAGAAGACTAGTACCTGGCAAACCAGAATTCAACAGGAACGACTTGGCGGACATAGCACCCCAGAAAAGCTTCTGTCTAAAAGCTGGTTGCTGCTTAACTCTGATTTCAACACCCTTCTTGACGGTTTCCCAGACCTGTGGCACGCCAACGAGGACAGTGGGTTTTAATTCACGGATGTCACCGGCGCAATTCTTCATGGAGACATCGGTCAAGGTTCGGATGGAACCGTAACCCAAAGTACCACCCCAGTAAAGAACAACATTTTCGAATGCGAATTCGAGGATATGGGCAAGTGGGAGGTATGCAAGAAGAGTATCTTCTCCACCAACAAAATCGCCAACGGCGGTGTGAATGCCGGCAACTAAATCGTATAATTAGCGTCTCAATCCTTCACCAAGCGCATTAATTCTCGAACTTACTAGCGGCGACAACATTAGATTGCTTGATGTAGACACCCTTGGGGGTACCGGTCGACCCAGATGTGTACATGATGCAGGCAAGGTCGGAAGATTCGGAGGGGTTGGATTCGGCTGGGTGTTCCTTGCCCTTGGCCTTGACAGCGTCCCAAGAAAGGATAGTAAGGTGTGGGTGGGCACTTTGGAGCTTCTCTACATGTTCTGGATTTGGGGCGGCATCGGCATCATTGTAGATGATGAGGGAAACCTCCTTCGCAGTTTTGAGGGGCTCGACAAGATTATTCAAGAGGTGTGCATCAACAACGACAGCCTTAGCACCGGTTTCGACAAGAGCATGGGTAAGACCGCTTTGTCCGAGAGTATCGTAGGCTGTTGTGATGGCCATTCCTTGAGACATGGCAGCTGTACAAAGTGTATATTAGCTTCAGGCCCAGCAGATTCACAGCGGATTTGTTATTTTTAGACTCACCGTGAGCACTTGACAACCATTGTACGCTACAGAAGTTCAAATATGTCAGAATCTCTTTCCGGGTTTCGAAATTCGCTTTCAAGCGTGCATCCAAGGGGGAAGAGTAGAAGGGGGTTTTTACCTAGTCGCAGCATAAATCTGTATTCTATCACCCTTCTTTAAGCCAAGAGCAACAAAACCGCTGGCAACGTCCTTGCAGAGTTCATGGTATTGCGAGTAGGTAATAAATTCAAATGGTGATTTTTCAAAGTAAGCCCATTCCTTTGGAACTTCGGTCTCCTTTCCATCGACGAATTTCTTGATCATCTTGGTTTCCTTGTGCATTTGAATCAACTTCCTCCAACCGACACAGCGGATATCGCCGTACTTTTGGGAACTGCGAACGACGATGTCCCAAACGGTATTGACATCGTCGGAAGGACGCTCCCAGATACCGTCTTTGGCGGCAGGATGTCTACGCGGGATGCCTTCACCTTCAACTTTTGTGGCGCCGGGAACCTCCACGGAGAATGGTGGCTTGGCCGACATAACCGGGTATAGATGTGCAGGCTTCATTTTGGCGGTGATTTAAGGTATAGGAAACGAATTCTAAGTATACTTGAAAGGGAAAAAAGGAGCGAAGATATGGCGATGAATTCCTGCGGGAAGAAGGACGAGGTCCGGAGAGTTAGCAGGAGTTTCGGGTACACGGACGTACGATAATAAATGAAGGTGTTAATGGCAGCAACGGGACGCGCGAAAACGAGGGACGACAAGCACAAGGTACAAGCAAGTTCCCAGCAAGCATCCAGCAAGCACCCAGCATCCACACACGCATACACATACAAACACGCAAGCTCAAGCAGACAAACTAGGATGACGTCGACCACAAGTAACGTGAGGAAGAAAACTGACAGCACCTTTTTTATTCTTATTTCTTTTCTTTTTCGTCTTTTTGGGAGCCGATAATGCTAGGACGGGCGCTGTTTGGGGGTTTATTATTATTGATGGCTCAGAAGGAAAGGAAAAATGAAAGGGAGAGAAAGGAAGAAAGAAAAGAGAGGAGAGGAGAGAAGAGGAGAGAAGAGCGAGTTATAGTTTGAATCCTGGGCTTGGGGGTGGGATAGCACTGTTTTGTTGGGAGATGCTGAGTCCTCAGGTATTTCGCCATGCAATGCAGGTACTTGATAAGTAAGTAGCTAAACTGCCACTACTCCTACCACAGCCTCTGCTGCTGCTACTTCCTGGCGTTCGCACTGCTGCTCTTTCCAAGCGACTACCCAAATAGGTACACGTACCTACTTGACGAACTACTAACTGGCAGTTGGCAGTTGGCAGTTCAGCATCGAAAAGAAAAGAAAAACTCACTCCCAGGAATGCAGCTGCTGAAAACGTACCCACGGCGCGGAAAGAAGCAGGTCAACGGTTCGTTGGTTTTACATAAGCAGGCATCCGCTCGCAAACGGGCTGCTTCTTTGATATCTCGACACTCCAGATACGTATGTACGAGTGTATGTATGTGTGTATGAACAATCCGGGGTAATGAACGGGGTGGATACAATGACAAACAACTGACTGGGGGTTCGTGCACAAACAGATGTGATAAAGAACGGAACGGAAAGGGACAATTCGATTTATGTACTCACCCACAAAGGTCGATATAAAACTTCTGATCCCGGCCGGTCTTGTGCAAAAGTCTGTACGGTTCTACAAAAGTATGGGGGAATATATATGATCGAGCGGAGGGGAAAGAGAAGTGAAAGAAAAGGAAGAGTGGGACACGACGGCTGTTTAAAGGGCCTCTTCCCCAAGCATACACGGCGAACAAACGGGGTGGGTGGCTAGCTGGGGTTCAGATCAAATCGCGGCCAAGGAGCCTGGTCACTCTCCCGCTTTGTCTGGGCTCAAAGCCTGCTGATATTGCACCTGTCACTTTTTTTTGACTTCGTGGTCTTCTTTGATCCCGCAATCGCGATATCACTGCAGAGGCGTTGGTTGTCTGCGGAAATAGCCTTTGGCTAAGAGACAGAGGGCTGGGGAGAGCTTCTTGGCGAGACAGTTTATATCGAGATATCGACCCTGGGCGTTTCTTGGGCCTGTCCTGGGCGTTGGGTTCCAATGAGATGTCGAGGGTCAGGCGACTTTTCAGCTGATAATTCGATGATATGTAGGACCGCAAGTGTAAAACGGTTCGAATGGCAAGCAGAACTGGGGGGAAGAGGGGGGGGGAGAAAGGGGACTATGGAGGATTACGGCAGCCCAGCTCGTATAAGAACCTCTCGCCATGCATGGTATTCCGACGATATTGTTATTTCCAATTTGCATCTGCATCACAATGTTGGTAAAACCGAGGCTGGACTGTTTTACCTCGTTTTTGCTTGAAGCAGTGAACGTGATTAATTCCTTCCGCTTTGATACCGAACACAGTTGCATTGTCAAGAAGCTTGCTGGGCATCTTGTTCGAGGAAGCCTGCGCCGTTGTAGACCATTCCATCTCTGGTTCAAATGGTGCCGGGAATTATTCAATCAAATTTGCAAAGGACTGGCAATTTCATGCATCTGATAGGACCCTCGAATGGGGCATACCGAGGCTCAACCATATTAGCTAATTGTCTGGTAACGGAAAAGTTTGCGGTTGTTCTGAAGCTGTCTCTCGCCTATTTTTCGCTTCTAAGCAGGTGGATAACCATCCCATTACATCTGCATCGGTCACCCCGCCATACGTACCGCATACGTATATATTATCCATGCACACCTACATGCTGTAAGTATACATACATACGTATTAGTCCCTTGGTTCTGGAGATTACTTGATTAACATTGCTTTACCCGCATCCACAACAGGCGCCGGCGGTGGCCTTGACGTCTGTTTCACTCTTCTCTGTTGCATTGTGCCACTAGCAGCTCATTTCAACGCAAACTATTGCCAATGTCAGACTTAGTCTCAAGCCTTGACGACGAATTCAAAGTCCTGGACCCTGAAGAAGGTTAGCACCCGTTTTGACGTTTATGGCAGGAACCTGCATAGGTATCTGACAATTTGTTTCTAGAATGCTTCCTTCTCTTCTTAAACAAGCCGGATAGTAGGGTAAGAGAAACAAAAACAAAAAAGATAGTGGTGATGATGATAATTCTTACTTTTATCGATTTATTTTCCCATGATAGCGCTACAAGCTAAGCTGCTCCAGGACTTAGGCTTCGTCAACCGTACCGAGTCCACCGTCTCGGTATCGATCAACTCCCAGGATCTCACGATCCACCAGTCCCCGTCATTACTTACCTCAACCAGGGAGGCGGGCACAACAGGGGCTGTTCTCTGGAAGGTAACCCCTCTACTCGCCAGTTGGCTCACTCACCCATGTAACACCGTTTTCCAACGGATCTTGAAGCCGGATTACACGGTAATCGAACTGGGGGCTGGAACATCAGGTGTTCTCGCAGTATCCTGTGCGCCGTTTGTAGGAGCATACTATGCAACGGACCAAGATTACTGCCTCAAACTCCTGCGCAAAAACATATTAGAGAATACTAAAGACGTCGCCGAAAAGTCCTCAAAATCGAAGGGGAAATCATCGAATAAGCGAGCTAAAAGAGGTCCGGAAGCATCGTCTCAAACAACCACCACAGGGAATGCGACTGTCCTGCCCCTTGATTGGCAACTAACAGAAGCATCTTCGATCCCGGAATTCAAAGAGAGACAAATCGACATAATCATTGCGGCTGACTGCATATACAATGAATCTCTGGTCGAACCGCTGGTAGACACCATGGCGGACCTGAGCAAATTGAACAGAAGTAAAAATACATCTGGCGAAACCGATCACGATGTAACATTGGTTATGGTTGCACAAGAACTAAGATCCCCTGATGTTTTGGAAGCATTCATGAAAACCTTCTGTGCAAAGTTCCAAGTGTGGCGCCTTCCAGACAAACTCTTCAAGGACTGTGGCGATGGAGGAAAAGGTCTCATGGAGGGTGGTGGATATGTTGTGCATGTTGGTATCCTGAAGCAATATTGATAAGCCCACTTTCAACCATTATCGTAAAGCTGCCGGTCGCCATCCACCGATATTAGAACTAGCTACATGTAGATCTTTATTACCGATCGCTACGTGTCCGAAATCCGGTTCGTTCCCTCGGGCCCAGAATCCGGGGTAGCTCTGAATTCAGCCGTAGTTACCCGCACTTGCTTCCCGAGCTTCAGCATGCCAATACCCCAAAGCTACCTAGTTAACTAGCCCAAATGGTTCTCTGCCAACTTACCCAGAGAATAGATAGAAAGACAACCAGAAGACAAAGACGTAGACAATACCTGCCAAGCATCTTCATGATCAATTCGTTATGAGGAGATCCATATCCACCATTGCCTCATGCGCCGGGCCCCGTAGCCCAATAGGAGGATGTCTACAAGCTCCCCTCCGAGGCCGGATCCTTCGGTACATTAGGTACCAGAGCACCGTACCGGCCAAGCCCTCCCCTCTAGCTGGAGTTCGGGTCCTTGACCTCACCCGAGTGCTCGCTGGGGTATGTATGCTCCCCGAACATCATACAAATATACCACGATTTCAACACATATAAATCCACTAACATCTTATAGCCATATTGCACACAAATACTAGGGGATTTAGGGTAACTCCCCCCCTCCTCCTCCTCTCTTTCCTCTACCATCCATATAGCCCCGTTCTTTCTTTTTGCGCCGTATATTCTAATACTGTTTGGTGTATAGTGCGGATGTCATCAAAATCGAGCATGTCACTAGAGGTGATGATACCCGAGCCTGGGGGCCACCATATGCGCCGCGAAAGGATGGAAAATCTGGACCCGGTGAAAGCGCATACTTTCTTGCGGTTAGTGTATCATTCGATTGAATTCTCACGGACCCCAAACTAATGACAAAAAACAAACTTAGGTGAACAGGTTCGTCTCCCTGCAGAGAAAAATATGTACTATTGTTTAACGTTTCAAGCAGGAATAAACGATCGCTCGCCTTGGACTTTAAGGCAGCCGAAGGACAAGCTATCGTCAAAGCCCTCGCGAAAACAAGTGATGTACTAGTAGAAAACTATCTACCTGGAACTCTAGCTAAATACGGTCTCGACTATGAAACCCTGAGAGCGGAGAATAAAGGTTTGATTTACGCAAGCATTACGGGATATGGACAAACCGGCCCTTATAGCGATAGAGCCGGATATGATGTTATGGTTGAAGCGTAGGTCTACAGCAGCCGCCCAAAATGAAAGTAGAGAATCGGAATATGATATTAAAAACCGTTTGTAGGGAAATGGGCCTCATGCACATTACCGGCGAGCGTGATGGTTCCCCAGTCAAAGTGGGTGTCGCAGTAACAGATCTGACAACAGGTTTATACACTTCCAACGCCATTCTTGCCGCTCTTTTATCTCGCGCTTCTACTTCGCAGGGCCAACATATCGACATGTCACTTTCAGACTGCCAGGTTGCAACATTAGCTAACATCGCATCTTCTGTTTTGGTATCTGGGAAACGGGATGGAGGTAGATGGGGGACAGCGCACCCCAGTATTGTACCTTACGAGGCCTTCCCTACTTCCGATGGAAGTATTTTGTTAGGAGGAGGGAATGATAGGTTATTCGGGATTTTGTGCAAGAGGATTGGGTACCCCGAATGGGCTTCTGATGAACGATTTGTGACGAACGAGAAGAGAGTAGAGTACCGATATATACTTGTTCCGATGATTGGAGAGGAAACAAAGAACAAGAGTACACAGGTATGCTTAGCTTACTATTTTAGAGGTTGCAATGCTTACAGATGCGGGTTTACAGGAGTGGCTAGAGATATTTGAGGGTAGCGGCATGCCGTATGCAGCAGTCAACGATGTTTATGACACACTACATCATGATCATGGTGAGTTACATACTACGAATAGTCCCCAATGTGCCCCTACAGCACTAATTTACTGCCTAATCTCGGTCGATAGTTCTTGCTCGGGGCATGGTGAAAGAAGTCCATCACGAAGCATGCGGCCCCATCAAGCTCGTCAATACTCCATTTAAATTCTCAGATGCCGAAGTGTCGATTCGTCACGCACCACCAACCTTGGGCGAAGACACGAGTGATATATTGAAAGAATTGGGGTTTACATCGGACCAAATTAACGATCTCAAATCTGAAGGGGTTGTCGCTTGAGCTATTGACAGATTACAATTTATTCTGTACAGATAGCACGTGTTGGAGTCTCGCATCACGAAGGTCAGATTTAGGACTAGATTTGCCATAATGTAGGTCGGTATTTGCCTTTAGAGCATTCATATACGTGACATAGCCACCATCTAGATAAGTACTTCATACCAAGCATTGCATGTACACCTTAGAACTCCGAAAGGCGAGTTCCCCCCGAGTTTTCGTCATCCGCGAAGAAATCACCATCGTCTAATGGTGAATACTCCTCCTCCAATAGTTGCTGATCTGGAACTATCTCATCACCAGATTGGATATATTGATCGTTGCTTGAACTTGGATTCCCTCCTCTTCCCATTCCCACTCTTCCCAACTGGGGCTCTTGATACAGATTAGCTTCGTTGTTGTCAATATCTGGCACGACATCTTGACCGTATCCTGGAAGCTGAATTCCAGAATCAGGTTCATCCACTTGGCCTCCGTAAGCCTGAGTGTTATATATCTCCGACAACATTCTAGGAAAATCTTCTTGCATACCCAACATACGCTCACCATTTGCAAGCGATTGATGTGATCGCTGTTGGTTCTCCAGAGCCTGGTCATGGGAGTTATAATATCGGCCATGATACATAGGTTCGGGTATTAATGGTTGCCACCTAGCCATATACGGATTACTGCCAAATAGCCGCGGATCCCATAAATTTTCACCTATTGGTGTATTATCACGATACGCCATGTCAAACTCGGGTCCCTGCATAGGGTCATTTCTCGACATCTGTATCTCTTCGATAATTTGGTTGTTTACTTGATTCGACTGGCCTTCTTCTTTAGTTAGTCCTTCGCCCTCGTTTTTGACCTGCACATCCTCTAGTAACTCGGGGGGTATACTATTAGGTTCGATCCCAACGGTCGGCCAATTATTGACCATATCCGGTACAGTCTCCTCATTGACATCTGATAGATACTTTTTTAGCATCTCCGTTCGTCTTTCGACTTCCTCAACTGGTGCCATGGGGTTAAGCAGTCAAAGTTCATATCCAAATTGAGATACAGCTTCTTCTAATAATTGTCTCGCTTTGGCTGACTCGTCCGTCTGTGGGATGTTTTGCGGGTTTGGTGGTCTTGTAAGCGGCCAGGGTTGATTGTTTTGGTTCATACCGTTAGCATTAACATCAGGAAACCCCTGCTGGGTGTATATAAGCGGGTTCGCGAGATAGGATGTTAGCTGCTGCGTCGACGAGTCGAAGGGGATACTATTCTGAGGCTGTTGTGGCAATTGTGGAAGTCTCATAAACGGGTTAGACATCATGTTTTGAGATTGGTAAGGTAGTGAAAGCGGCGTGGGGATGTTATTGATATTGGGAAACGGATGCATCATCATATTTGCCCCAGCCCGTATCATGTATGGATTCCCTGTTGCCCAAGATTGTAGGGATGGATTTTGTCCCATTGGAATTCGGCCTTGCGAGTTCGTGTTCGCCATTGTATTCAGCTCCCTTTGACGTTGTCCGCTGCCAGCGTACTGCCACCCGCCATGCGGACCATTTGTTTGCGTATAACTCGTACCCTCCGGTTGCGGATTTGACTGATATTGACTAACATCTTCTACATAATCATTGCCATCATTGCCATTATCATCATCATCATCATCACCATCATCATCAATTTCATCCATCGTTAAGAAGGCCTTTCGAACCGCCCCGGCCCTTTGAATCAACTCTAACTTTGCAGCAGCTGGAGTTTCCTCTATTCCAGTAGTAACCACCGGCATTCCTTCCTCGACGTAAATACGCTCACCCTCTTCGCCTTCATTGGGGTCAGCTCCATTACCCCCGAACTTGTAAATGTACCCAAAAGGTTGGCCTAGTCTTCGTAAATGCGTATTCTTTGGTTGCAAGTCCATCCAACTTCTAACATTTATAACCTGCCCCGCCAACGCCATATCTGCAAGTTGCATCCCTTGGATTCCCTCCCTCCAACTAATGATATAATCCGGAGTCGTGGCAAGGCAATCTGGCTCTCTCCATAGTGCTATTGCTCTCATCTTTCGCCGTGTGTTCGCGCCAATACCCTGCTTTACACCGTTTATGACACCGACGGCTAGGACTTCTCCATCAGGTCCTTCTTGGCAGTTTGTTAAATCAACGCGATCAGGGTTGCCGTCTAGGTATGGATACGTTTTCAATGTAATGACCGGGTCGGAGGATAGTTGGAATCCTAAGATGAAGGATTGTGCTACTTGTGAGAATTGTAGCTCCATAAAGAGCAGGACGGCGGGGAGTATGCGTCGACGCTTCATTATTATTGTTTTTCTCTTCCATTCAATATTTGTTATGTACTTTATTTTGTATATTCTATTTTACTGCTTTCGAATCAAGAGTCTTTAAAGGAAGGCTCACCGTGTTCACGTTTTTAGTTCAAGGACCAGATGCCATATGGCTGGCTCTAGATGTGTCGAGGGTCATGCGAGGTGGTTTTCGAGTATGTTCGCGGCAAATCAAGGGAAACATGTTATTGTGCGGGAATTCTTCAACGGTCTTGCAACGGCTTAATGTGCCATACACAGCCCTGAGAATCAGCCTGGGATTCAGTTTCTTCTCCGGCTGGATAGGAAATTCTCACTAAGTCCGCCGGTATAGACATTCTACGGCTAGATTGTTGGAAAATGTGCGTTGTATATTTGACCTTCGATTCCTCCAAGGTAATTGGCACAGTCTCGGCACTAAACAACTTGTGCAAAGGGTAAATGGATAGAATTCGAGGAGTATTTATCTTCTCTGAAGTGATATTAAATGGTGAACGGGTGTAGCTTCGTTACAAAACGCTGGTACATAAAGTGCAAACTGTGGTAATCAATGACAAGAAGAACGGCAGTATATATATAAAACGCCCGCTAACACCTGTTATGACCCCAAATGAAACCCATGGTATAAAAGGGGGAGGGGAGAGGGGGGGTTGTATATCCTACAGATCCACCATGTCCTCCATCTTGACTCCCCGTAACAAGACAATAGTATTCCCATCTCCACAAGCGTCCCCGATTTTCTCTCCAAAACTCAAGAGTCTACCGCTCTCCACATGGAACACCCTTAGTTTCTTCTCATCATCCGCCGACTGGTTGTTCAGATTGGGGATCTGCAAGTTTTTTGCGGTGATATCCATGACTCTACCCACACTCCATTCCTTGTTATAGAAGAACGTTCCTTCGGGTATTTTCGCTGCTGTCGATTTGCCTTCTGCCTGCGCATAGAGGTAAACCCTTTTCTCCTGTGCTATCTTGTCGTCTCCCTTTGCCTCCTTTTTCAATTTATTCATCTCCACCATCCTGGCCGCCACGCTTTTCTGCTTTTGCGTAATCGGTGTTGCTTTTAGGTCCTTAAGCTTCGAGCTTCCACTGCTAGCCCACAGTTTAAATTTACTTAGGGCCGTCTGCTTCTTTTCCTGTAGCGTGGCAGCAGCAGGTGTAACAACGGGTTTACAGTCATGCTGGGCAGGTAATCTATGCGGCAGACAAAATTGTTTCCGACAGGCCGGACAGGCGACACCGATCATTTTCGGGGTGTTTATGATTGTTTTGCATTCTTCATTGGCGCAAGGACCCGGGGTTGAAGAGGAACCGAGACGAATACCGGCGCCGGATATGAGGGATGTCGGTTTGCTATTCAGGGAATTTTGACGGCGTTTTTGGGCCCATAGACCCTCTTTGGGACATACATGGGATGTTTCTGTGCGGTGGTCGAGGCAGAATGTCCTATAAATAAGTACATGTAGATACATTTCAAAACATTAGAAACCAATATATCCACATAGGGGTGTTTTTTCGAGAGTGAGGATTTAAAGGGAGAACATACCCTTCGCAACTACCACATTTGAAGGGTAAAAAGTCTAGCTGGTGACATGTCGAGACGTCGCAGTGCTGGCCTATAGCTGTAACGTCGCCTGTAGAATCCATGATGGGTGAAAAACTGTCGTTCTCGTCGGTGGGGACCAGCTTGCCCTTGCCTTTGGGTTCTGTGGTAAACATGGCTGAAGAAGTAATAGTAGCTCGCCCTTTATAGCCGGAAGGATATTGTACGAGGCCGCGTAATTTGGCTTTGTAATAAGGAGGGTGACGAGAGATACTTTGCCCGAGAGAGGAGGCTGTTTCTGCGGATGCGCTTTCGGGGATATGAAGAGGTAAAGCAAGCTGGAGAAGCTCGAAGCTGGTAAGTAAGAGGTAATGTGAATGTGAACATTCGACAGCCTTCTGGAACGCATGACTGGATGACTTACCTGACACAGCAACGCAGGGCGCGGCATCCACGCTAACCACAACTAGCTTCATTGCTTGCTTGGGTTCCCCATAATCTGGCGCCATAATTAGATCTGGTTATGGGTATTTCGGATCACAAGCCGGACTGCGAAGGATTGCATATGATGTGTAGCTACTTAAGTCAGTAAGTGAGTAGAATTGGAATAGAGTCCAAGTATGTAAATTCGAAGCCAGGTCGTCATCCAGCCGGGATAGTTCAGTGGTAGAATTCTCGCTTCGGGTTTGCCCCAGCACGAGCAAAACGTGCCTGAAGTGTGAGAGGTCCTGGGTTCAACTCCCAGTTTCGGCCCTTCTTTTTGCCCTTTTCACCATCAACTCCTTTTTTTGTCCCCGATACTATTATCTATATTTATTATTACTATTTATATTTATTATTACGGTTATTACGGAATCTGTACCGGTCGCAACTTGACTGGGTTGGTTCCTCGAAGGGGAAGGAGCGGGGAAGAATGATGTAGATGGCTTAGATCCATTGAGTATCAATCGGTGTATCCAGAAAAGATTATAATACAAAAGCAAATCAAATCAAATCAAAAACCATAGCTGAACTGCCAGAAAGTAACTTTTCACGCCAAAAACTCCATCCAGATTTTTGTTTTTTTCTGAGAGAAAACATATCATATCGTACATTTCATTCATAAATCATGAAAGGCTCGAGCCCGAACCATCCAGGGTTTCGCCTGCTGCAAAGTTGATTGCTCTCATACCGTCGGGCGTCACTCGGACGGCGCCAGCCTTGACGAGCTGTGTAAACAAACATGTTAGTGTTATCTATACCCATTGATCGGAAAGGGGGAGAAAAAAATGGTACTTACAGCCGTTTGTAGGTCATCGATCAAGTCTTCAGCATCTTCGATACCCACACACAATCTAATCAGATCCTCACTCAAGTTGCGCTCCTTGCGTGTTTTTGCATCAATCGAAGCATGTGACATGCGTGTGGGCACTGTATTTCACATCAGAATCTTCCTCTATCTATCCATATAGACTAGTCTATCTTGTATGGGAGCTGTGTACTTACTGCTGATGAGACTATTTACGCATCCAAAGCTCACACTGATAGCCCACAGCCTTGTCGCTTCTACAATCTTCTCGCTGACATCTAAATCTCCGGTCTCAAAGCTTAGAACGGCACCAGCGCCCCGAGCCATGCTCCAGTGCAAATCATATTGAGGATGGCTTCTCAGTCCGGGATATCTGACTTTGAAGCCCGTATCTTCCAAAAATGTGGCAATACGCATGGCATTTGATTGCTGCTTTTCCATACGAACGCCGAGGGTCTTGACGCCTCTCATGAGCAACCAGGAGTCAAAGGGACTGAGACCACAGCCGCTGGCATTGATTGTGAAGTATAGTTTTTCTCCCAAGGGTAGATTGTTCACGGCGATGACACCGGCCATGAGATCATGGTGGCCCGAAAGGTACTTTGTGCCCGATTCGTAGACAATGTCAGCGCCGAGGTCGAGAGGGTTTTGGAGCATGGGAGAAAGCATGGTATTGTCGACAGCGACGAGAGCATCAGGGTTGGTTTCATGGGTTATCCGAGCTATTGTTGGGATATCGACAATTTTGATGAGAGGGTTTGTGGGAGATTCGAGGAGGACGAGTTTTGTTTTACTATTGAGATAAGGTCTGACATTTTCGGGGTCGGTGTGGTCGATATGATGGACAACGATGTCGCCATGGGTGCTTAAGTATTTGAGAAGACGGTTGGTACCACCGTAGATGTCGTCACCGGCTATGACTTCGTCGCCGGGTCTGAGAAGTCTGGAGATAACATCCATAGCAGCCATACCGGATGAGACGGTAAGACAACGGTTGGCGGACATGATCTTGGCTAAGTGTTTCTCGAGATGGGATCGGGTGGGATTTCCAGAGCGAGTGTAGTCATATTCGGAGCCTCCGGAACCGGACGATTGTTTAAAGGTAGCTGTCTATCCTCCCTCTCAATATATCAGCCATCTTGCATAATGTAGTTTACAACCATACAATCAATCATACTAGATATAGATTCAAGGGAGAGAAGAAAAGGGAGGGAAAAAAAGGTACCTGGTAGATAGGCATGGAGGAAGCATTGTATTGGTCGCCATGCTCGGTGTAGACGAGTTCGGTAGCTAGAGCGTATTTCCTAGCATTCCGTGGGGTGGAAGGAGCAGGAGAAGGCGGGAGATTGTTCCCGTCGATATCGAGCTTGGCCAGGGCCTTAAGGTCTGTTGGGTTGGACATTTTCCGCCTGTTCTTCTTCCTGTTAGAAAACAATTGTATCAGGACGTATTCTAGGATGACGATCTTACCTGGTATTAAATTTGTCTGATACTAAATATGGTCTCGATGTATATTTAATAAACGGGGAAGTGATGATGAGTCTTATTAAAGAAGAAAGAAGGAAGAAGAAAGAAGAAGAGAAGGAGGAACAGGAACAGGAGCAAGAGCAAGAGCAAGAGCAAGAGCAAGCAGGACCGACGTCGGATAAATGGGCGGCTACCAACCAGCAGAGCACGCAATGACCAAAGAAGAAATTAAACCTCGCAGTTGGATCCAAAGAACCCGGTCTGTTTCAGGCTCCACATTCAGTGATATAAACATACTTTATACTTTATACTTCCTTTTAAGTAAGTAAGTACTTATATAAGTAAATAGATAAGTACTTAATAGTATGCTGTAGATACTGATAATTGGATGAAAGGGTGGGAGTGTAGTGGTGGGTACGGCAGGGGTCACTTACATACATAAACCGGGGAAGAAGAAGCTCCAGTCGAAAGACAGACAGACACACACACAGAGACACACAACACACATCGTGGCCTCACTCGACACACATTTACAATGTTCCTGTCACTGTTACTGTTATCTCCACCACCATCACCATCATCGCCATCATCATCGCCATCATGACATTCCTTCTACCTCTCCTTCTCCTCTTCTTCGCCCCTCATATACACCCTACCGTTGCTGTCTCTTCCTCGTCCGACAACTTCAAGCTCGCCACTTACTCTCCTGGCGATGCCGTTCCCATATCCTGTCTCAATCGCACTCTGTACGTCATACATACTAATCTAACTACTTAGGTAGTTAACTTAACCTCTTACCCACCTAATTGGATACTATAATAGCTAACAAGATCCAGTGAGTCCGGCGAACACGTAACCGATGAACATGGAATCCTTCAATACGTCCCTTTCCTTGCTTGTGCCGAAACCGGTCGCCCTCTCGAACTTAAATATCTCTCCGAGGACCCCTTGAATTGCACCATTAAATCAATTTCCGACGATACCTTTCATCTTTGGGAGTTTTATATCCACAATGACTCCCCTCTGTCATGTCGCGTCCCCGCCCGTCCCCAGTCCGGCGACAGGCATATCACCGGCGACGTTGGTGTCGAGGATGGCGAGTGGATTCCCTTTGGTATGTTCTCTTCTCCCTCGCAAGTTATAGGCTCTTAGCTATACTTGTGCTTATCACTCTATCAATCAATTACTTACCCAATTGCTTGATAGTCATATCCCTCACCGGCAAACTTGACCTCACCCACCTCCACGTTTCCACCACGATAAACGTAATATTCCACACCGGTATCTTCTCTCAAGACTCCACCGAAATCCTCTACCCGGGCACCATAGACTCTGCCACCGCCTACTCCGTCTCTCCAAACATCGATTCAACCCGTATCATCATCGGCGATGACCTACCCCTCCGCTTCAATATCAGATGGTACACAGGCACCGACCTCCCCTTATCCGACTCAGCTATCAACGATTGGGGCAAAAACAGATGTTACGGTGAACATGTTACCTTATCCACACTCATGTACTGCATTTTAACCGCCATATGTACTTCTATCGCCTGCACCGCCTGGTTCCTGGGTTTCGAGTTCCCTAAACGCCTACGAAGGGTCAGGGTTGGAAGTGTAGCCGGTAGCGGTTATGCCATAGGTTCTAACAACGGCGGTGGTGGTGGGAAGGGTACTTATTCTCCAGCTGCCAATGGTGTATCTGGGCCTGGTGGAGGCTGGTATACTAAGAAGGATTGATATCTACCCCAGTTAATCAGGCTTATTATTTGAGTCAAAGCCTTTTTGTGTGTGTATATGGTAAGTTACCCGAGTACTTGGCCTTTTAGAATACATATTTCATGCGCATAGCTTGCACTGCATTGCACTTTACTGTACAATATGTTGTCTTTTCATCTCTGAATTTAATCGTGAAGCCATTGATATGATATAAAAAAAAGTCTTTTTTAATTGAAAACAAAAAAACATAAAGCCAATTGCAAATTCCAACATCCGGAAAACGCCCGTCCATAAATAGTCGTAAACACAACCGTAAACCTCCAAATGCATCTCAGACATAATATCAGTACAAAAGAACACCAGTATAAAATCATGGCAGATGAAGAAAGGGGTCCATCAAGGCACCGAGAAGAAGAAAACCGGAGAGGAAAGAAAAAGAAAGAAAGACGGGGGAAAAAAGGGAAAGAGAAGATAAATAAAACACATCAAGCATTTAAAGGGAATCAGAATTTTAACCTGTTCAGAGACCTCTCCTTCAAGGGACTCTCTCCATTCGCTCGCTTCCTTTTCAGAGCTTGGACTTCATTCCTTAGCGAGTTATTCTCAGCCTCAAGCTCGCGAACATACTCTTCGATTTCCATATCTCGTGCGCGATCGTTTTCATCGTTGGTTTCTGCGGAAAACAACAAGTTAGTTGACTGCAGTTGCACGAAGGATGATGAAGAATATATAAAAACAAGACTTACCCATCAGGGTCCGCTTCAGGATATCAAGCTTGTGGTCAACATGCATCTCCTCCTTTTCCGCTTGATCCTGAAGCTTAAGGAGCATCCTTTTCTCCATCATACTCATCCTAAGTTCCATATCGCTAGTAACCTCCTCCCTGACCTGCATCTCAATTTCCAAGCATCTGGCATCCGCCTCCTCTGCTCTCTTTTCTGCCACCTTGATTTTCTCATCCGCTTCTTTCAACTGCCGCTGTAATAAAACGATCATATTCATCATATCCTGCGACAGCATCGCTCTATGACTCGACGCAGCGGATAGAGCAGACAAAGAAGAATCTGGCCTCTCCTCCGTGTACCCACTCACAGTGCTAAAGTGACTGAACAGGCTAGAGCCACTAACACTCCTCCCGCTCATCACCGTAGGCGGCCTAAGGTTCACCGAACTCTTCGCAAGTGCAGAGTACTTGAGCATTTGACTGGTGGCATTGAAATCTCCTGCTGGATCCGCCGTTACCACAATAGCTGCGATCTGGGGCTCTGCCGCTGGATTATAACTATTTGTAAACAGCAGTTCCGTCAGCTTGGACTGTCGATACGGTACCTTCGGGGTATGGCCCAAAGATTGCGCCGTCGACAGTTCCAAGCATTGCCCGAGAAACATAAGCGACTTGTTGATATGTCCACCCTCTGCGAGCCTATCCCCTGCAGTCTTTGCATTCCTCGCCCGTTCCGAACCAGCAAGGTCGACGATTGTGAAAGTTGATTCCTTAATCTTCGTCGAACCGTCAAGTTTGTTCTTAAGCTTCTTGAGTTCGAGTGAAATGAAGCAGTGAGATCGGGAACTCTTGTCGTTGCTACCAGTTTCACCATGAGAACGTTGGTATTGTCCGACACCCATTACCTGCAGAGCATCGTATAGGTTTGTGACCATGACCTTCCGTAGTCCCGTAACAACTTTACGGTCGCCGCTTGACCTGGTGCTCTTGAAAAGAAGTGCTTTCCTTCTCGCAACGTTAGATGGCGCCAACAGATCAAATATCTTGTCATTGTACACCTCATAGATGGACATTAGAATAGCATATTTGGTGCTTGGCGGGCCGGGACATTGCACTATGTAAGGATCGACGGAAGGTTTTGTGGGGAAAGTGTTCGGTTTAGGGATCTGATGAGGTTCGATGACAGATGTGACCTTTGTCATGAAGGCGTCGGCGTCCATGATTTCTGCATCGGCGTCATTGCATTGCTCGATTTGTGATTCAGATAACTAGATGCCGTTATTTAGCTTTGACTTCATAAAATCAATATATGTATATGGAAAAGAATACCCTTGATATCCTATCGCTCAGGGACCTGAAGAGCACATCTAACGACATCTGTGTCATTCCTCTTGCCTGTCTATTCCCTAAAATCGTGTGCGTTTTCCCACTCCCCGTAACACCAAGGGTAGCCAACATCCCATCTCTCCCATCCTGCAGCACTCCTTCCAATATAGGTGTTACGACTCTTCCAAATACGTCGTTCTGCCCGCAGGTTTCGTCGAAGACCTCTGTGAAGCTAAATGTTTCTATCTTCTGGGATCTATGGTTCGATGGCGGATGGATTGTGACCTGGGTACTGGTCATGCACTCAATGTTCTCGTCTGAAGCCGTCGGCACCGGCGGGAGAACGGTCAAGAAGTTTTCTCTATGGGACTTTCTCGGCGACTGCTGGTATGGGGGCCGTAGGCGAAGATACACCTGGAAAGAAGCGTGGGGTTGGCTCTCCATTGTTCTAGTTCGGTCCTGATGATCGATCGATGATGTTGTCGTACTTAATGCATGTAAAGTAAGTACCTGGGTACCTATACTAGGAAGTGTGTCGATGGCCAGTAAGGAGAGGAGGGATAGGGGAAGAGGGGGGGTGGGGCACAGGTCGACAACCCCGATGCCGATGTCGTTGTTATGTATTATGATTCTTATTATTATAAAAAGGTTCATCGACGACGACGGGCGAAAGTGTTGACATTGTTTCGGCCTAGCGCCGTTCTGCTGACTTTCTCGAGGGTTGGCATGGGCGCGGTAAAGGTAGGCCTGGTCTACTCCGTCAACCCCCCGCGCGTTGTCGTGTTGTAACCACAGCAACTGCTTCCATCGTTAATTACTTGTCCTAATCTGGTAATTTCGAAGTCGACAAACGCACCTCGCTAAGAATTAGCTTGAACTCAACGACATCAATACGGCCATCCAATGAAACGTTGCAAACATCCTTTCCTGACCCTCACAAGGCTCTAGGAAGGCTCTCCAGGATGCTTGCGACAGTTACCCGAGATGGCGTCAGAACCCGGTGACAAAAGGCTGGCCAAACCGTCGTCGTATACTATTCCTGTCAGCACCGGTCATGAGGACCTCTTGCATAGCGTTGCATATGGTTAGTACCAACTATCTTCTTCCCTACCTACCTATAGGCCTAATATATCGATGAAAGGGTGGTGATATAATAAAATTTATACAATAGATTTCTACGGCCAAAGAATAGCAACCTGTTCCTCTGACCAGCGTATCAAGGTCTTCGATGCCACTGAAACCGGCGAATGGAAAGAAAACGACGCATGGCGTGCCCACGATGCTAATATTTCCAAAATCGCCTGGGCGCACCCATCATTCGGACAAATTCTAGCATCATGCTCTTTCGACAGAACTGTCAAGATCTTTGAGGAACAGGAAGCGGAACCGAAAAATAGCGGGAGGCGGTGGAGACAGATGTTTAGGATGATCGGGGATACCAGAGGTGCTATCTGTGATATCTCATTTGCACCTGCGAATGTGGGGTTAAAGTTGGCGTATATCTCGTCGGATGGTGTGGTGCAAGTTCAGGAGGCAATTGAAACCCACACAGTATCGCGGTGGACGTCGGTAGACGAGTTTAGGGTGGTCCCCTCCGCCCCTCCTAGGGAGGCAGAAACATCATTCTGTCTGAACTACTGCCCAGGTAGGTGGGGCGGAGAACAGCTGTTGGTCGGCGCGATGGATAAAGTCAGGATTTACAGGCATGATAGCAATGGGAAGTTCAAACCCGCTGAGGAGCTGAGGGGCCACAAAGGCCTCGTGAGGGATGTAAGCTGGGCTCCTAACCTGGGTCGAAGCTATCATCTCATTGCCACAGCCTGCAAGGATGGACACGTCAGGATCTTCAGACTAACCGACCCACGGATGACATTCTCACCGAAGTCTTCGCGTCCCGGTTCACGGTCAAAGGAAAGAAACAACGAGGACCTGGGGCCCGACAAGTCACATTTTAGCGGACTCACACGGGACATCTCCAATCTTTCGGTTAGTGGACAGTCTGGAGGCGGGGTGGGAGGTCGTGGGCTGAACGCCACTGCGTTTCCGGGAAGCAGCGGGGTATCCCTTTCACAGGCGAACTCGTTTGAAAAGTCAGAAGATGCCCTTGGAGTATTAACAGTAGAAGAACAAGAAAGTCGCGAGCTTTCCGGATTTCATGTTGAGGAAATCGCGGCTTTCAATGATCACGGAAGGGAAGTCTGGCGCGTGGAATGGAACCCGACAGGCACGGTTCTCAGCAGCGCGGGGGATGATGGAAAGATACGGCTATGGAGAGCTGACCGGACGATGAGGTGGAAATGCATGTCCGTGATGGGTTCCGGCTGGAAGCCGACAAAACGAAGAGAAGACGATGATGATGACTAAAGTTTCTTTCCTTTTCTTTCCCCTTTCCTTTCAGAACGCGCGCGGGGGGGTGATTAATAATTGTAGATAAGTATTTTCTTAAGTTTTTATTCCAGGACCATTTTTGTGAACCACCGGTGCATGCACCACCGCGTCCCGTTTTTCGGGCATTCCTATTCGTACAGGTTTGTATGTTTAAAAATGAAGAAGAACCGGGCCAATTGAAATAAGAAGAACTTCCCCCCAGAAGTTGCTAAGCCAACTTCTATGAGAAGAAAATGAAAACAAGACCGGTTGTACTGTATATGAGTATTATCGCCAGCGTTGGCGATGTGTCTACATTTCAGCCATTGATACATGAACAAAGAGAATGATCAAGTGAAAACATGATAGGGTCGTTTTTTTTTCCCCCTTTCTCCCTCTCCCTCTTCTTATTTTTGGAAAACCGATAGAATGACACAATGATTAGATATTCATATATGCGGAAGACAAGACAGGTTCACGTCCGATGATATGGTATGCTTGATACCGAGCAGGGCCAAGCTACTTCTTGGCAGCAGTGGGAATCGGAGCGGCCTTGCCCTTGCCGTCATCTTCGGCATCGTCATCCTCTTCCTCCTCTGGTTCAGCGTCTTCGTCATCTTCACCTTCACCCTCTTCATCAAGATCATCTTCCTCTCCCTCGAGTTCCTCCTCCTCTTCTTCCTCATCTTCTTCAGGTAGTTCACCCTCAGCTTCTTCCTCGCCGTTCGGCTCTGTCTTCTGTCGCTTTACTTTCGGAACATCGGCGGCGGGCTCGCTAGGGTGTATTGATACGCGTTAGCATGGGTCTTTCCCAATCGATAACCTAGCGGGCGAGTAGCAAGGGGCGAGCACTAGCACGGAATGGGAACCTAGCCTTGCAACCTGCGACTGCAAGCTCCGCAAGCTCTGCAAACTCGCAACCCGCACGTGCATCGGGGCCGGACTACATATGGATGGGTGGGGGGGAAAGAAGAAAACGGAATTCGAGACCGCAAGCAAAGCAAGCCAAAAAGTAAAGTAGCAAGGGAACAATCGGGAAAAGAAACTAACCCTTCCTCATCGGCTTCTTCATCGTCTTCTTCCCTGTTCAGACACACACCCAACCCGGCCCAACAAGTTAGCAAGCACACCCCCAAAAAACAAAAAAACAAAAAAAAAACAATTTTTTTGATCAATCAATCCAGGCTGGGAGGAACCGGAAAGCGGTGACAATCGTTCCCAGCAGCTGAAGGTTGGAGATTTCATTTTATTTTATTTTTTTGTTATTTTTTTATATATATTTTTATATATATTTTTCTGGGGGAGGGGAGGGTTTCCCGTACTCGTCGTATTCCTCGCTTCCCTCGTCTGTGGAGACATATCTAATGAAAAGAAAGAACGCGAACGATATATATGATTAGCATTTTATTCTCAAACAAGCTGATTGAATTGAAGGGCAGCAAAGAGGGTAGCCTGGTGTTGCAACTGAAGGGCTGCTGCAGCGTCCGGCCTAGAACTTGAGCGAATGGGAATGGCGAAAAATCCTCAATTGGCAAGGATCCAGCTCCAGCGAGGTAGCTAGTTTGTGCATCCTTCCTTTCCATCTTTCCACCTTTCCATATTTCCATGGGGTGGAAGGAAAGGAAGAAGGAAAGAAAGAAGGAAAGAAAGAAAGAAAGGAAGAAAGAGGGGGGGGGGAGAAGAGAACATAGATTGTGATATGCCAATGATGGATGATGGATGATGGATGATGATGATGATGATGATGATGATGATGATATAAAAAAAGATGGCGAATGGACATACTCTTCTTCCTCTTCACTGTCGTCAGACGGAAGGGCAACAAGTTCCTCCTCCTCTTCTTCGGCACCTTCCTCTTGCTTTCTCTTACGGGAAGACATGATTTCCTTTCCCTTTTCTTCCTATGATTGTTTCTTTTATAAAAATAATAGATAGATAGATAAAATAGTAGTAATTGGGTACGGTGGATGTAGGTAAGTAAGTAAGTAAGTAAGTTCGGGCGAGAAAAAGCGCGCGGTGGTTGAGATGGAAGTGGTGTTTGACTGGTTCGCACAGGGCTTTTCCCTTCTTCCTGTTCGATTTCCCGCTGTCTGTCCTTCCTGTTCTTCTTCTATTATAGGAAGAACGGCTGGCTGCTCGACGAGGAAACGAGAAAGAGAAAGAAAAGGGAAAAAGGACAGAGTTTATTTGAGAAGAAAACCCAGCGGTCTATTAAAAATAGCACTGGTAAACCTCGCGAGCGCCGGTGGAATTCACTGGTATTGAGGGAGAAGGAAGAGGACAAGCTTCAGTTTGGAGAGTAAATAGTAAATAAAATAGGACAAATCGAGGGGAAAAAAATGGAAAATAGAAAATAGAAAACAGAAAACAGAAAATAGGAAGGGAAAAAAAGAGGCGTCTGGGCCGGGTAATATAAATTTCCTGAGGGAATCGAAGGGAAATTTACGAGACAAATGGATTGATGTGATCGCGGATGGGTGGGAACCAGGCATCTTTTTATATCGACAGCCAGTTCCCACGGTACATTATACATTTACTTCTTTCATTTACCTACTTACATACTTACTTACATACTTACATACTTACATACTTACATACTTACTTACGTCCGTATGTACTTGCATGCATACATACATACATACATACACACACACACACATGGACAGTTGCAAGCAAGTATACTAGTATAGTGTAGTATATAGTTAGCCAGTTAGCGGATGTGGTGGTGGTGGTGGTGGTGGCCCCTTCGATCCTTCCTGTCTGTTACCTTGCCTCGCCCAGCCCTGTCTGGCCCTTTCCCTCCCCTTCATTTTCCCTTCCCCTTCCCTTCCCTTCCCTTTCCTTTTCCTTTTCCTTTTCCCTTCCCATTTTCTATTTTCCCTTCCTTTCCTGCCTGCCTGCCTGCCTGCCCTCCTTCTTTTGCTCTTGTCCCGCATTGTAATATTCATATTGCATTGTTCTTGTAATGTTGGATGGATGGCAAGTAGCTAGTCCAGACCAGACCATTGCATCTGCCGCGGCTGTCCGCAGCCTGTTCCCTCTTTTTTTGATTCCCTCGAGAGCGAATGGATTCTTTCTCTTCCCACACCCATAAATCACTGCTACTACTGCTACTACTTCATACAATCACGTATTGATTCTGGCCGGCTAGCGGGGGTTTCTCCTTGTTTGTATATGTATACTCATATATCCGATTCAAGTGATCACCGACTTGCTCCCTTTGACGCCACTATAAAGCTGCGGGGGATTGATTCTCGTAATATTGTACATACTTAACACCATAGTCACGTAAATCTCGAGTGCGATTCCATTTTAATATTAATTCACGTCCTCAAAAACTACTGAAAGTACCCAGGTAAGTACATAATTAAGCAAGTACTTACATCTAAGTATGTATGTATTATATGTATTCTGTACTGCATTTCTATGACCATACAAAATCACCAACTCGAACTGCAGGCGGAAAAAGAGGGAGAGAAAAGGGGGCCCAACCAATCGCCGGGCGTGTATTAATCCGAGCCATGCATCTCCCATCCCATCCCATCGAGTACTCCGTCCCGTATGTACTTGAAGTATGTAAGCTTAACGAAAGAACGGAAAGAAGTGCGTGCAAGGCTGCACAAGCTCCAAGCTAGTTAACCTCCGAAAACGCTGTCTCTAAAAATACAACATTCCAACACACATTTTCACGTAAAGTCATACCGCTGCCATACCATAGGTTCTTCGTAGTACCCACCCCATACTACCCGAGGCATCACGGAGGCATGCAATATCACTTCTTCTTTTACTTCTCCTTCTTCTTTTAAACGATGCTGTCGGCATCGATGCCCATGACGATGTCTCTTACAGTATTTGTGACCATGTCTTCTCCCTGCCCCGCTTTCAACCTCCACAGGTAGAGAACCCGGAGTCGGATCTTTCCTCCGCCTCATCTCGTCTTTCAGAACCCTATGTGAACTATGGTGATGATGGCCGTGTTTACCATGTTCACGTGTATGATGACGATGATGATGATGATGATGTGAAGGTTCGTCCTGTTTCGCTTTCCTTGGAGGGTTCGCGTGTTTCCTTGGAGGGTCCGAATCATTATCATGAAACCCTGGCCTCAGCGCCATCGGTAGGGCCTTCTCCAGTGTCCGAAAGTCTACCGAAAAGAAGGAATCTCGTTTTCTATTGTGTTCTCGGACGGGAACTGCATCATAACCATAATTCCCAGCGTGGGCTGGGGACTTTGGTGGCACTATCGGTCGTATCTTCCTGGAGGTCTTTGCATTATCCTGATTCCCTGTTCGCGGATCGGAATAAGCAGGGCTCTTGGCTGTAGTTTCTCTTATGGGAATATTCAGTCTACTGAAATTGATCGGAATCGTCGACCGCGTCTGTGGTAGGGGAAGGTCCGGTTTCCCCGCTGAAAAGGGAGTATCTTGAAAAACCGGACTCTCCTTTTTTCTCTCTGTCCTCGATCCCCAGTTATCCCTTGTGGGCTTAGGTAAATATTCCTCGGATCTCCTCCTCCTCCGCCGTTCTTTCGGAAGATCTGAAATCAGTGGATCCACCGGCACAGGCGCAGGCACAGGCACAGGCACAGACACCGACCTCAACGGCAACCCACCCCCCTTTTCGTCTTTTCCCTCCTTCTTCCTCGTTCTTTTATCTGCCTCCTCCTCCTCCCCCCTTTGATGCTCTGTCCAATCTCTTAACCTGGTGAAAATCGGCAGCTTGTCACCCTCCGGCGCTTTCGTCTGCTCCTCGCTACTGATAATCGAATCGAGCTCAAGTAACTTAGCCTCTAACCTCTCTGCCTCCGCTTTCTCGTCTTCTTTTTCTTCTCCGCTACTGGTTTTCTTCTTCCCACAGATAGGAAAACACAAGACATTTTTGATGACACTGCGGATCGGTTTCCGGTCCTGCGGTGGAGGGGAATGCGAGCGTTGCGAACTAGTTACCCGGCGGAAATAGGGAAGGGAACGGGCGGTAGGATCTGACTCTGGATGCTGTTGGGCTAGGTAGGCTGACGGCGACGACATAAAACGGGTGTACGTTACGTGCAAAAGATCTGTATTTCTATGGATAGAATATAATCCTAGAACCGAGAGAAAGAGAGTAGTGTAGCTCGCAATTCTTCAATAGTAGTATTTTCGAAAAAAAGAATGATCGATCATGCATATGTGCCCACGAGAAAATAGTTTAAGTTGGAGAGCTCGATCCTCCGGACGAGTCTTACAGACTTAAGGCCTGCGAATATCATATAACTTGATTTACGATGATAAATGAACGCGGGTTTTATTTTCGCTCTCGAACTTGCGGGGTGTGTCAGATCTCCTCCCACGTACGACGGAAAAACGTGGCTTTTGATTCGAATTAATACAGCAATTTTGTAGGCAAATTTAAAACCAAGTTCCCAGATATTGAAACATTCCAATAACACCCCCAAAAAACAAGTAGCAACATAATATATAACGACAAGTTGGCCTGGAAATCACATAGAGAAAAGGGAAAAGGGCAAAGGAAGAGAAAAGAAATCAGAAGAAAAAAAGACTACCAATCAAGCTTGCCTCCTCTCCTACCAGCCCGGGGTACCTTCACAGCTTCAACCTTAACCGGTCCTTTCCTATACTTGGCCATGTAGCCAGTACCCTCCAACCATGGATACAGCTCAGATCTCTTCGATTCATATCTAACAATCTTATCCTCGTGCTGCATTGTCAAGCCGATATCATCCAGCCCATTTACGAGGCAGTGCTTCCTGAACTCTTCAACTTCAAACTTTGTGATAACTTCTCCATCTTCCGTCTTGATCTCTTGGTTGACCAAGTCCACCTCGATCTCCTTATTGTTCGTAGCAAGTTCGGCTATTTTGTCGATGATAGACTGGTCATCGATGGGGATGGGGAGCATGCCATTCTTGAAAGTATTGTTGAAGAAGATATCGGCGAAACTAGGTGCGATAATGCACTTGATACCAAAGTCAAGGAGAGCCCATGGAGCGTGCTCTCGGCTGGATCCACAGCCAAAGTTTGGTCCCGTAACAACAAGAACCTTTGCATTTCTGTAAAGTGGCTTGTTCAAAACGAACTCTGGGTTCTCGACATGATCAGTGTTGGGAAGGTACCTCCACTGGTCAAAGAGAGCGACACCAAGACCGGTTCTTTTGATGGTTTTGAGGTATTGTTTGGGGATAATGGCATCGGTGTCGACGTTGGCGCGAGCGAGCGGGGCGACAACTCCCTTGAGTACGGTAAACGGAGGGAATCCCGCAGCGGACCCGCCTGCGCCACCCTCGGCATGCAGGTTCTCCCCTGTGGGTATATCCGAAGTCTTGTCATCATAATCCTGGTTCGTCGCAGCATCCTGTTCATGATCAGATCCGACGCTGACCTGCGGCTTATCTGGTGGCGCAGCAGGTGCGTCGAACCCGTCAAGTTTCCTGATGTCGGCAAGGTATCCAGTGATAGCTGCAGCTGCAGCCATGACGGGAGACATGAGATGCGTCCTGCCGCCTGCACCTTGCCGTCCCTCGAAGTTTCGGTTGCTCGTACTGGCACACCTCTCCTTTGGAGACAGGATGTCAGGGTTCATTCCGAGACACATGCTGCATCCCGCCTCTCTCCACTCAAACCCGGCCTCACTAAATATCTGATCGAGACCCTCGGCCTCGGCCTTCTTCTTGATCAACCCGGATCCAGGAACTACCATAGCACGCTTAACGTTCGCTGCGATCTTCTTGCCCTTGACTATCCTAGCAGCAGCTCTCAAATCCTCGATTCTAGAGTTTGTACAGGAACCAATAAATACTTTGTCGATTTGAATATCCTCCATCGGAGTATTGGCTTCGAGACCCATGTATTCCAAGGCTCTTTCAATTCCTGCTCGTTTGGTGGCGTCTTCGTAGTCTTTGGGATCTGGGACCTTCCCGGTGATGGCGACCACATCCTGCGGCGATGTACCCCAAGACACTGTTGGTGCGATGTCTTTGCTATCAATGTAGACTTCGACATCAAATTGTGCCCCAGGATCGGTCTTTAAGCCCCCCCAGTATTCAACTGCAGCCTCCCATTCCGGCGAGTCGACTTTTGGCGCCAATGGCTTGCCCTTGAGATATTCGAATGTAATCTCGTCAGGAGCGATCATTCCAGCCCTAGCACCACCTTCAATAGCCATGTTGCAAACTGACATTCTAGCTTCCATGCTCCAACTCTTGACTGTGGAGCCACAGAACTCGATTACGCATCCGTTTCCACCGGCAGTTCCGATCTTCCCGATAGCATGTAAGATAGCGTCTTTAGAGGTAACACCGGGCTGTAAAGGACCATCGATCTGGATCTTCATGTTTTTGGACTTCTTGGTGATGATTGTTTGTGTGGCGAGGACATGCTCGACTTCAGATGTTCCAATACCGAAGGCGAGGGCTCCGAATGCACCATGGGTGGAAGTATGGGAGTCACCGCAGACGACAGTGGTACCGGGAAGGGTGAACCCCTGTTCGGGTCCGATGACATGGACGATACCCTGACGGTCATCGCCGAGGCCGAAGTAGGTGAGATTGAAGGCTTTTATGTTGTCTTCGAGGGTTGTGCATTGCAGACGAGAATCCTCTTCCTCAATGAAGCTCGAGACGTTCTTGTAACTGTGGAGGAAATAGAATAGTCAGTCAACTCGTTTCGCCGTCTTAGTAGGAGAAGGATAAAGAATTGGTGGTCGGCTTACCTCTTTCTACTCGATGTCGGAACATTGTGGTCTACGGTAGCAAGGGTGCAGTCTGGTCTCCTGACCGAACGGCCCGCATTTCTCAGGCCCTCGAAAGCTTGCTATTTTGAGTTAGTCATTCGTATAAATTAAAATAAAACGGAATATAATAAGATAGAATATGGATATGAATACAGGCGGGGGGGGGCACATACTGGAGAGGTAACCTCGTGGACAAGATGTCTGTCGATGTAGAGGGTTGTGGATTTGCCATCGTTGTAAACGACATGGTCGTTAAAGACCTGCGGGTGGGTACTTTACGTCAGTGGCGGGAAATTTCTTAAAATGGACTGGATGAATCCACGGGAAAATGCACCTTATCGTAGAGGGTTCTGGGGCCAGCCATGTGGGATGTCTACTCGATTATATCTCGAGATCAATGGATGTGATATAAAATATCTGATATGGATGCAATGGACAGATAGATAAGTAGGTATATAGTATGTCAAGCTGGGTAAGTAGTAGCTTGGGTAGATACTAAATAGAGGGCGATGGCGATGGTGATGGTTATATCTGTTGATGAGGATGGTGATGGCAAGGAAAGCAGGATCCAGCTGTATTAAGTATGTCTCTGCTTCTCTCCATCGAACATCCGAACTTCGGCCATCCCTCGCACCCCCTCCAACTCATTCAGACTCATTCTCCGTATCGTACCTGCAGTTTTTCGCATCTAGATTCACCGATCTACTCTAGTCCACTCTGGTCGGGCTTATGAATTGCAGTGCTAGGATTGGTTCTAGCGCTAGACTGGTGCGCGACCTTCCCTGCCGACATCGGCGCTCTCAGAGACCTGATTTGTCTGAACTCCGACTTTATCTGGGGTAGCATCCACATCCGGAATAGTCCATCCGACGACATGTCCAACGCAAAAGCAATGCAACAGCTGGTCTGAGATGCTGAATGACGGAAGGTCCGATTGCGATTATGCATTACACCCAAGTTAGTAAGTCCTCAAGTACCTAAGCACTGGCTCCCTGTACTGCAGTGGGGACCGATCCGGTTGGAGACTGCAAAGCTCGGCTGTTCAAGGCATTTGATTTCGCCGTGGCTATATATAAAAACAACGATCAGATTGGACAATCCTCTCATCATCGAATGGAGATGCGATCTCGGAGGGCCTTAACTAGGGCCTAGTCTCTTATCTTAGAGATGAGATATTTAATATTCAGAAAACTGGCACTAGAATGAGTCTTATTTTTTTGAAAGGTAAAACGGGACTGCTAGTTCTACAGGTGCTGTGACTATACGGTGCTAGAATTGAAATTCGAAAGCGAAGAAGGAAAGGGGGGAAGAAAGAAGAGGGGAAGAAAGAAAAACGGCATATTACAGTACGTAGTTACTTAGTTTTAAAAGGCCGAGGACTTGCATGTACTAGAGTAAAATGAAGCTAAAGAGCAATGATAAGGATAAGTATACCCCTCTTAGTCGTGTAATAGACATTGGAATACGCAATGCCGAAGAGCGGAGGGGTAGGCAAAGCAAACCTAAATTGTTACAACTACGAGGAAAATGGAAAAGAAAGGGGAGAAGGGGGCAGAAAAGTGAAGAAAGAAAAACGAAGCAAAAAAACAAAGTGCTTGAGAAGGTGAAGAAGAGAAGGGAAGAGATAGAAAGGAAAAATACAAGTCCGAGAATCCCGAAAAGCGCCCAATGCATCTTTGAAAGCCATAATTTTTTGTTTATCCCGTTATTTTGTATGCAAGTCGTTAGGTATCATCAATCAAATCCAGGAGGTAGAGAAAGGGGTCGATAAGGTCTCTCCGTATGTCGTTAGACAGTTGAAGAGAGTGAGGTGGGTAAGGAAACCAAGGCCGTTGCGAAAAACGAATTCCCATGCTAATATACCATGAATTCCCAAAGTAAAGCTCTGAAAAGAAAAACAGATTAAAAAAAAAAAAAACGCCAGCGGGTAAACTGCCGGAGTAAGTGTTCTTTGACCCGTCGCTAAAGTTTAAAAAATGGTGACGGCGAATCAAGCTATCCTCCGAGGGAATGCCAGGCACCGAGAATCAACTCGAAGATAATGAAAATGAAGAAGAAGAGAAGAGAAAGGACATTGACAATTAGAGGTTCTACCTAAAGAACACGCGAAGCGGAATGTCAATAACCCATACTTCTTTCTTTCTTAAAGGGTTGGTAAGCTAGGATAGTGTTGCGAGGACGATTCAGTAGAGTAAAGCTTGTCGCTGATATGGTTGCGCTGATACTCAACTCTTGGGGTATCTCGAGGCCAACTGAGGCTATTGTACATTCCCTCGTTCTTAACGCGAGAGCGGCCGTTGCTTGGGATATATCCATAAGTTGAGTCACCGTATGTAGTGCAGCTGATACCAACGGGCTGATAGCCTTTGAAGGTGTCATGAACACCCCCGGAGATATAGTAGCCGCTGAATGGGGCATGGTTTGGGCGGTTGTCGTAAGGATTGTTTAGTGCTTGAGGGTAGTACGAGTAGGCAGGTTGGTCACCTTCACTAGGTAATGGGTGGCCGTAGTGCTCATGATCGGCCCCTACCCCAGGTTGCGCTGCTTTGGCATAGTAAGAGTGGTGGTCTGCTGGGAGACCGATACCGGGAGCGTATGAGGTTGCCGGAGTAGACGGCTGAGTTCCGGATCCCTTCCCATCTGGTCCAGCACTTGTAGGCCGGTTATGTTTCCGTTCATCAACGTAGTGACCGGGGCTCCGGCCACGGACCACCATGGGAGCGGAAATTCTTTTGGCAACGAGAACATAAGAGGTATCTGATTCTCCGCTTACTGTTGAGACAATTTCAGCGTAGAGCTCCACGACGAGATGGTAATACTGCTGTGCAGCACGACGTTTGCCGTTATTGGCGGTGGCGGACTTAAACTGAATACGGTCGTAAACAGCCTGGTTTAATGGTTGGTGGGGTAAATGAGCGTGAGGGTAGTTATAGTCATACTCTGACCCATGTTTCATAACATTTCCTGAAAGCGAACTACCAAATTGATTACCGCTTGCGGATTGTGGGATTAATTTGATAATTCCAGGCTGCATCTGTGGTCCTTTATCGCGTTTGGGCGTATGCTGGACGAGCTCAACGGGTTTACCGCCAGCTCCTTCGACTGCAGCGCTAATCTTTACGGCGAAGCCGGCAACGTGGTCGACTCCCTGATGGCTCTGAAGATATACACCACCGCTTGGCTGAGGGTACAAAGAATATGAACACCCCACCGAGAAGTAGTTTCTGCGGTAGCAGGTCCAATCATTATCGGATAAAAAAAATCCTTTATCTATCCTCGCGTGGATTTCGGGTCGGATTATGTGACCCTCGGGGGTCACCAGCTTTTGAAGCACCTCTGTATCTAGAAGTGGTGGTCCAGTTGCCTGGTGGCCGCTTGATGATTGCGAATCCATCGCCAAGGGTGGTAATAGATGAATTGAGCCTTCCGATGAATCAGATAGTGGGGGGGACCTAGCACCAGACGGGGAACGAGATGATCTGTGTCTCGTGAGGCCTGGGATAGTTGGAAGGGTGGGAAGAGTAGAATGGTCGATAGAAGAACGATGATGGTGATGGTGATGGTGGTGATGGTGGTGATGATGATTTTCTGGGTGCGAGGCGTCCGGTCTATTGAATGATGGCGATGCGGGTAATCCTATTGGACGTGGAACTGTGGGATCCATCTGTGTAGCAGCAGCTGGGCTGGAATTATATAAGATTCTGGGTCAGCGAACTCTGGTTTCTCGAACGATAGTAACCATCCCCAAAGCTTCAATGCTTAATGGTGACAGGACTGTAGTCTAAATTTTGTCCAGCTATCGAGAGCCAGAAGAGGCACTCGAATATGGGAACTGGATATACAGGGATCGGGATAAATGGACGTACCTCAGAGGCCTCCCTGCGTCATTGGTATGACCGTACGGCATAACTATTCGTGATAGGGCGGGTAATGTATTCGACAGAGTGCCAGCATGAGAAGCCGAGCTTGAAGATGGGGAAGTCGAAGTGTGTGTATGGGATTTCCCGTGGAGATTCAAGGTTTCTTGCTCGGGGTGTTTGATATCAGACAGAAGAACTGCTGAATGAACTGGACTAGCAGCCTTGGTGCTACCAGAAGTCAAGTGCTCTTGGTTGCTAGGGGTCGATGTTTGGACCTCACTTGGTTCGGACAGTAGTCTACTTGAAAGTTCCAAAGGGTATGTCAGTGGGTTGAAATCGAGAGATTCGAACTTTAAATGATGGTCCACCAAAGAGGCAAAGCTGGTCTGCTTGTGTCTGACAACTTTTATAGACGGAGGAATCGGATTGTCCCTGCTAATTGTTGGCGCACAAGCCATGGGAGCGTCGTAGTATTTTATTCCTTGTCCAGTCCTGGGTCCGGAAGGCTGCTCTGCTCCATATGCGATCCGAGACAGTGGGAAGGGTATGACAATCAAGCAGCTCGGAAAGGGAAATGGATCCAAGCGTCCACCTGTCTGCTGAATTTCAAAAGAAATAATAATAAAAATCAAACGCGATCGAAGGGGGTGATAGCTCTAGGGAGTAAGAAAGTAGTGTAGAAGCAAAATTGTCTCCAGAAGCAATTTTTGGGGAAAAAAGAAAGAAAGGAAACGGAAAAAGAAGAAAAGAAAGCAAGCAAGCAAGAGGTAAAGAGAAGGTTGACGACGAACGCGAAAGATGACTGCGCGGAGGTCAACTAGGTGAGGGAATCAAATGGGCGAGCGTCCCCAGACGACAAATGGGTGACAAGCAAATAATCGAAAGGGAGAAAAGGAAAAAAAAAAAAAAGGAAAGAATATGGATGAACCTTAGGAAAGTTTTGCGTACCTCTCATGCAGCTGCCCGCTCGGGGGCGTGGTTGTTTCGTCGGCTAGAGAAATCTTTTCGATAAGGGCTGGAGGAGGATGGTCAACAAGGGACTGCCCGGGCGGGATGCCCGTGTCCCGAGCCTCGGCGGACTCTCCCGGGGGCGGAGGGCGCGATATACTCTCTCCCTCAGATGGAGGAACAGTGTCGACTGGATTTGGGGCAACAGCCGTATCTTGAGGATTGCTACCGATGGCCGTGGTCGGGTGAGTGATCCCATCCGTTGATAGTGCAGTTATCGGTTCCATTTCGTTCCCTGAAGCAGCGTTCGAGGCCTGGGTCGAGCCACTTTCGTGGCCGGTCATCATCGATGACAAAGAGTGTAGTGCTCACTGAGGTAAGCGTTTGGGAGTTGCTGTCGACTAATGCAAGAAACGATGCGGAAATGCAGCTTAACCTAGCAAATTCATATACCTTTTCCGCAGCCTCAGCGACCTGATTGATATAAAGTATCCCTTGATGTATAGAAGCTGCCCGCTTATGGAATATCAAACAAAACGCAATTCCTCACAAACGCCCAAAAGAAAAATCGGAATTTCGAGTAGCTCCTGCCAGGTTCACTGCTTTGTCTGTATTTCAACTTTGGTATCGGTGAGGAATTAAAAAGGAACTTCTTGAAACATTTTATTAGCCATCGGGATCCTGACACATGTTCAAACAACGGGAATCAAGCTGGTAATTATCGCTTAAGATTAATAAAATAAAAAAAATGCAAAACCTCCGCTGGGAGGGTGCCCTGTAAGAGCTAGAAAGGGGAAGGGAAAGAAAGGACCGAGATGATGGCGCCCTATTCCGCGACTGACTCTTGCGCAGAGTGACTTGGCCTTGCATGAATTGATGAAGATGGATTTAGATAAGAGGGAATAAATGTGCTCTTTGGGGGAGGGAATTGGGGACCCGGAAGATCACGAGAGGGCAAATCAAGTGCTGCTAGGCTTGTTGCCAGGTATCAAGCCTCAACAGGCAAGTTATTCAAAACCGGGGGGAGGGGGGGGGGGCATCAGTTCATGGGGAGGGTTTATGATGACTTGGCTGTGCGGCCCTTGCCTCCCAAAGCCTGAAGCAAACGGAACACAAAAGGCTGCATTTTGCATAGACAGGCCACTTGATTGATTGCGAAGGGCATCATAGTTGATTTAATTTCGTGGCTAGCCCTGTAAGAACCGGATGCACGCATGTATGTACTGCCGTAATGCAAGCATTCCCTCAGCCCAGGAGTCCTGGCGTCTCAATTCGTTGATATTATTGATCAGATCTCGTTTAGTGAGACTGAAGAATTCTCGAAAGACGCGGGCTTGATAGGTCTGCCCATGGAATATTCCACTCGAGCTGTCTTTATCGCCGGAACAAGCAGGAAGCAATATTCGAGGGTGTGTAAATGCCGGCACCCGGCTACCCAGGCCCTGAAGAAGCGCTCGGCTTGAAGGTATGCTGGAGCCACCCGGCTCTCCCTACGGATGTGGATTTTGGATTTCGGTGACACAGGCTGGACGAAATCAAGCAATTCGGAGCGAACATACTGGTCCAAACATGTTTTTGATACTTGTTTTAAAAGAGTTTTCGAACAAGAGTATCCCAGGATAAAACGTTAACATTTCGACAATAGCGCGGTAAGCAACGTACCTTAGAAGGTGGTGTTTTTTTTTTTTGTCGAAGTCGAAGTTGCACCACGTGACTTTCGGTGGGATGACGACTTCGTAAATGGCAATTTTATAGGGAAATATAATATATATGTGGGTATAATCGCGCGATGAGCAGACGGGTCGTGGCGAAGGGCGCCGGAAGACGAGGCAAGACAAAGCAAGAAAATCCCGAGACGAAAGGTTGCAGAGAACAGTCAGATGGCCTCAACGATATTACCCAGTTGGTAAGAGAGATAGGCTGGTTCAGGACGGGTACATGTAAGCAAAGTCAGGTAGGTTGGTCGGATGGCTGCAGGCTTGCAGGCTTGCAGGCTGGTTAGAGGTTACGGTGCAGCGGTGCAGCGGTGCAGAACGAGGGCAAGATGAGGCGGCTGGGAATGCTGTTTCGAGGGGCAGCAGGAGCAGCGGGTCAACAAACGGAAAAAAAAAAAAAAAAGATTCAAGGGTTGGAGGTAACCCAGGGCTAGGTTGGTTGTCGAGGTGCGTAAGTGCCAGAGATGCAGCGCTGCCGGGGTTGCGAAACCGAAGAGGGTGGTGCCAGCAGGATGATTATAAGAGCAGTAGGTGTTCCATGTAATTGGACGAAGCGATGTTGGTTGGTAGTTAAAACGTCGATATGTGAGTAGGTACCTACTTGGGTATAGTACAAGGTGGACCGGGGTGATAGTAGTGGTGATGGCGGTGATGGCGGTGGTAGTTGATGATTGATGGTTTGATTGATGGTTGATTGATGGTTGATGGTGGTGGTTGATGGTTGATGATTTGATTGATTTGATTAGGAGAAAGGCACACACACAGACACAAGCACACTAACCAAGCACATGTAAGGACTCCGTACTGGTGGTAATAAGTGCTGGGTGGAGCCTTTTTTTTTGAGTTGCCGAACTCCGGCCAACCAGCTGGCCAGACAGACCATCTAAGCTATGGATCCATGGATACTCTATCATGGATCATTCTAATTCTAATCAACTGATCGATTTAACAGTTATCATAAAAATATAAAGAAAAGGAAAATGAAGAAAATATTTGAATTAAGACCATGATTCTCCAAGGGGCAGAAGTCTTTGCGAATACAAGCAAAACTAGGTGAATCTAATATTATAATATAATAGCTGCCACCTTAGGTGCTTGGGTAATCTAATGAAGCCTGAATATCCAAATTAATTCTCATACCTAATTGGCAATCCAGACCATATAATATCTGTTCCTAATTATCTACTGACATACATGTATGCACATGTACGTACATACCCACTTAGTAAGTATATAGGTAGGTAAGTACCGATGTATAATGATATTTGGAGGGTTAGTTACTCCGGATTGAATGCCTGAAAATCAATCACCACCGAGGAGCTCACCAGTTCGGACTGTACTGGCCAACTGGTCTGTACTTACATGACTACCCGAATCTTCGACCCGAGTATACTCTGATAAGCAAGTACCCCAAATAAAACTATCTACTTCTATGCAATGCACAGAACGTACGGTATGAATACAGCATGTATGCATGGGGAAGTGAGTACTTACTTCCTCGTGGTGCATTAATAACTACTGGTCAATTACTTACTCGCCGACTTGTCAGCTTCGGGACCGAAGTGACTATTCTTGTTATATTCGTATCGAATCCATTTACGTCCCCCTCGAGTCCCCGTCAACTCGGTAAGTCTTGAGTTAGAGTGGCCTACATCGGGCTGCGGATACTACCTTACCCTCCTCGACGCCGGGTACTGCAGCGCAGCCTCCATTCCAGATTGACTGGCTCATACGTATGCTATTATTACACTGCCATATGGCCATAGTATTACTACCATTGCAACCACTCTTTCCGAATACAATACATGTCCCTACAAGTTAAAAAAAAAAAAAAAAAGAAGAAAAAGGGAAATTCGTTTTTTTCGATAATAAAATAAAACAAGTACCTACAATAGGTAGTGTGGTTTATCTCGAGACATAGCAGTGCCGTGCTGCGGTGAAAAGCCAACTAAACTGCTTCGGTCGTCGACGAATGAGGTCGCGATTCAAGACAAGCCTTGTGTAACATCCAATCTGGTAACAACCTCATTTCGATTTGCTGTTCCGGCCGCAATTTCACATCGTCCAAACTCCACCCCAGGGACTTCAATTTCTTTTTTTTTAAAAAAAATTTTAAATTTAAAAAAAATTTTAAATTTAAAAAAAAAAATCCTATCAAACCCCCCTCCCCGGGGGTGCGTGAGTCCGAGTGTGTGTTCGTGTGTGGGCGTGTGAGCGATTTATGGGACATCGATCCAATCAATCAATACTTCATCTCGAATCCAGAACCAATTCTTTTATGTATGTATCTGTAAGTACAAATATACTTTCTCTACCCGACTTTCAGTTCCAACATATATATTATTTGCGGCTGTTCTTTCCTTTCTTTCCTTTTCTTTCTTTTTATTTCTTCCCTAACATTGATGTCTCAAACCAGGCTTCCTAAAAATCGGGAACGGGAGGGTGCAAAAAAAAAACCCCCATCAGTTCCAAAGGAATTCTAGATCCCGCCAGCGACTGAGTCGCTTTCCAACAAATCGTGCATGACGTTTCAGAGAACGCTCTGACGAATCGGGAGCTAAGATATCGACGTAGGCTTGTTTTAGGCCGTCCGAAATTTTCTCGATTATGTGGAGAATGCTGGACATATCGAACCCCATGCGACTGATGCACGCCAGTGAAATACTTTACATCCAGTGGCGATGCATGATTTTATCTCCCACGCCCGCATACGCTCCCTCCGCTTCGATGCAATGTTGTCTGCTTGCCTGGCTCAGCCTGCCCTGGTCTCTTTGGGCTGGCCTGTCCCTTCCTGTGGGATGCCAACATTGAACAACACGGAAGACTACCGCTACCGCTGTGTCCGAGCGTCCCCGGCTTGGCCTACCGAAGAACTGCCCTGCTTAGCTTTGCCCTGTACTCCATGGTACCGTTTGAGGCATGGCAGACCTGGCAGGCTAGCCTGTGGATGCACTTACATGCAGCGAGCCAGTCCATATCCGTACATGTACCTACATGTACTTACATTAATTACACATATGGAGGATGTAGAGTCCTGCTGCGGCGCTCTCGCAAGGGACGGAGGGTAGCCCAGGAGAACTCTCCATCCTGCATCTGCATTTTATTGAAATACGATGATGATGATGGTGATGATGATGATGATCAACCAGAATAACGCAAGGCGAAGCTTCCGCTGTGCGTGATTGGTGGGCTGAGTCCTGGGAATTTTATTACTCTGCATCCGCTCAAACCATCATAACATGTTGAAAAATACGTTATGTCTTCCACACCCTCGCTGCCTATCGTCTATCTCTCGAACTTTCTTTCCCTTGACTGAGGCCTGGATGCCATGCTGACATTCTCAATAGAAAATCCAGGAAAATCAATCTGTCATCCGTCTACACCTTCCCCTTGTTAGTGCAACAGTGATCATCCTTAGGAGGGTGGTAGGCCCAAGGAATTTAAACCTTCGGGGAATTTATATGTTGCTCTCTCAGAATCCACATAGAGGATAGAGACGAATCTAATTTGACATGTTTCACGACCTGGATCTTGTAAAACCACACCCAAAACTCTAAACATATTGACATTTATGTTATGGCGGCTATGAAACATAACTCTTGTGGGCAATATACCTAGCCATGAATATTTCCAATCGATTGGTGCAGTATCCACTTTTGATTCATTCCTGCTGTACAAATGCATTTAAGGTTGTGGCTTGTTCCCGAATACTTCCTAAGAGCTGATGTTACATTGTTCGAATTTAGTATCGTAGAAACTGAAGAGACCATTGTGGTAGGCAATATGCTAAGACCACCCCATCGCGAAGGAATTGAACTCTCTCTCTCTCTCTCTCTCTCTCTCTCTCTCTCTCTTTTTTTTTTTTTTTTTTTTTTTTTTTTTTTCAGGCAAAGTCACAAGATCGGACGCAGGTTCCTGCATTATTGCAGAACTTACCAATTGAATTGGCGCGAGAGACATCTCGAGATATCGGTTTCCAAATACATCCTCCTTGAACCATGTCTTCGTGTCAGACACTCGGCGTTTTACAACTAGCTGACTACATCAATATACTTTAATATACACCTGTTCTTCAATGCAATGAACGACAGCCTTTGTTTTGTTTTATTTTTTAAAAGAAAAAAACTAAAAAAAAAAAGTTTAGATAAAGAGAATTGGATTCTAACAAGGTAGAGAGAGAGAAAAAGCCTCAGAATCGAACGTTCACGATATCTCAAGAGCCATGTGGTTGCTATCCATTCGCTTGCTAATATATCTTCTGCATCAGTTCAAAGATCAGGGCATAGAGATTTGCGGAGTACATACACCCCTCCTTGATTTCGCGTGCTTCAGCCCGCATATCTCATGTGATCACAGACCTCGTTTGGCGGATAAGATGATGCCTGCTGCCGGCAGGTATGGGGGCCATGGTCAACCATGCATGCATACTCTCATGCCTGCTAAGTAAGTTATCCTCGACCCTCATTACGCACCCTGACTTAAAGAAAAAGTCAAGTTTAAAGCTTTCAAGTTGCCTTCGTGATTCCGTCCGCCATCAGCCCGATCGATGAGTACTCGAGTGGAATTAATAAAACTGCAAAAGATCGGTATTCCTCCAACATGGAGCCTCCTGGGCTGGAATCTTACCCTGGACCCCGTGGCCAGCTAAGTCATTTTCCGAGTTCCCCGCTGCGAGTTAGACATGTCGACAGCTGCATGAAACTTGCATATATATGGGTTATTTTAAGTATTTTAAGCACCCGCGCTACCCTTGCCATCGGTGGTGAAGTCTCAAAGCTTGAGCCAATCTCAACGTCGACAAGGCCAGCCCAGCGAGAGAGTGGCGGCTCATGGATTTCACAATCCTGGAAGAAATCCGTCCGTGTCTTGAAAAGCCGTGGCTAGGCCTATAGGACGCGGAATAGTTGCAGATTTGGAGAGTACCGGGGTATGCTTCTCAGGTACCAAACAACGGTTCTCCGATATCGATACCAACTACCTCCCAGTGCTTCCTTTCTCAAGTATATGCAGGCCTACTTTGGATACTAAGTAAGTAAGTATTTCGGTATGCATGGTCAGTGCCACTTCTGTACAATCTGCTTTGACGAGCTCTTCTCGGGCGACCAAACCCGGGATACAACTGGACATCTTGTGTTGCAATTTGAAGTTGCCTGCTATGTAAGTATAAGCATTCCTCGGGAGACTGCAGCTTCGAAACGCTCAACTCTGCGGCTTCCCGTCAAAAGTTCTACGGAATAGGCAAACCCTTCGAAGCTCCTTCGGAAATGACTTCCAGAAGCGGCTTTTTACCAATCCTTCGGGTCTCTAAAAGAAATCAGATTTTAGAAGGATCGGAATAGAGAAGGGATCCCAATTGCAAACACAATTTAGGGACATGTATTTGTATGCATGCATACACGATTGTACAAACTCGAGACAGAATTGGACCGGCCTGGTCAAGACAATCAACGGTTCGGCCGTACTCTTTTCAGACAGATATACATCCTCTAGCGTAAGTACTGCGGCTGCTCTCTTCACAGGAAAAAAAAAAAACTGGAAAAAACTAAAAAAGAAACTGGGGTTTCGACGACGAAAAAATCCGCAAGCTATCCCATAGATCCATGTTCTCGATCTAAACGAGCAAATGCAAATAGGAGCTGCTAGGCGGCTGCATCAAAGACGGCAAAGGTTATTTATGACATGAGGATCAACGTCAGACTTTAACTCCGGCTAGACGATACATCTTGGGATTAATCGACATTCGAGACGCCATGCAGAAGTCCGTGCCCGAAACTCCTCCAAAACCTCGAAGAGTTCCTCGAAGACCTACTCTCAAGATCCCAAGCCTTGCAAGCTTATCCCTTGCTAGAATGTCGACTCCATGTCTATGCTCACATGGCGAATCAAGTCAGATGCTGTCTGCTGCGGACCTTACGTACTAATATATTTGCGCGCGGGCCACTCATTCCGTCTCCCTCTAATCGTGCACATGCGACTATTTTAGGACAGCTGCTATATCGAGCTCGAGCGCTCCCTATCCGGGTCCACTGTGTTCTGCCACTTAGATATGTTCGGCTACGTGTGCTGCAGACAACGTTACCATGGGAAGCTTTAGGGATCCTGTCTGGGATTTTAGATATCAGCTCGAGCGTTCCGAACCCCTCGACTGGCCGCTATATGCCGCATATGTGATAGATTGGGTACACAAATGCAAGCTCAAGGTTTCTTCTTTTATGCAATGCGAGAAACGTGTGCTTTCGATCGCCTTGATTCCTTTTCTTCAATAACTTTCACCTCCAGACCCGACAGTTCGGGTCTATGGCCTGCTGTACGAGGCAAGCAGAAATGAGCGAAAAAGATCCTAACCCCCTTCCTACAACCCAATATCCCTCCCTCATTCTCCTGCTACCCTTCGAACTGATGTGCAAACGAGATTGCCATTCTGCATGATCAATCATGTGGTGCGCTCTTCTCCTCATAAGAAAGGGAAAAGGGAAGATGAGAAGGGAAAAAGAAAAGGGAAAAGGGAAAAGGAACAATAAAACGCCATTGCTGGTCGAAATGCAATCTGATACCGGTCCGACATCCCCATACTTTCCTACTCGACTCTTTTGGTCCCAACCGACAGGTCCAACTGGCGGTTACCCTTGTACAGAGTACTTGTGTTATCGTGAGTATCTGGACTCCCATTTTATGTCCCATGCCTGCTCCCTTTGGAGATTCGAAACTTCCAACTGGATACCACGAACCCGTTTCCTTTTTACCCAAGGTATGTGGTTGAGAGTTACAATCCTCTCCTTCCGTGGTTTATATTTAACTGGTATACTACCTTGTGGGGAAGCCCTTATTCGGTACCAGAAATGGTCAAATATACAAGCTACATATACGTCGAACTCATCAAGGTATCACAAAGAATATCACTTGTGCACATCTCAGCTGTCATAACACCTCGCCGCCCCGCCCCCTTTCAATTACCTTTTTCACCCTTTCCACGACTGAAACTTGATCTTGCATATTCGTTTGCTGTCGTGCCAGCGCCTCTAGGCACACGTAGCATCCGAAAATCTTGTATTCGAGTGCTTTGCATGCCCATGAAATTCTGACGATAGAGTTATCTCATGGGGCTATTGAATGGCACAATTTGTCATTGGATGGTTAGTATATCCCTAAGCTCCCCTTTCTATATCGCCAGCTTTGTGATGAGAATCCGGAAAAGAAAAGAATAAAAATCTAAGATCCCTTTGGTTGTAACCACACGGTGTCTTGTCAAATTGAGAAAAAAAGAAAAAAGGCTTGCCCCCTCGGATGCAGTGCTAGTACATGATTCATATGCATATTCACCATTTTTCCAACATCCGACGCTCTGCCCGGCCCCGTCGTGATCTGTTGACGCTAATTATTCATTTATTTGAGGTAAAAAAAAAAGGCGTAGTTCGATTCGCCCGGAGTTAATCATCTTCAGATTGATCATCAAATACTTTCGTTGGAGGATATACGTTAGGGATCCAGGAATTTTCATGTATCTTGTTTTTATTTTCATTATCACTTCACAGACAATTATACTCTTTATCAAAATTGACCACACGGGAACAAAAAAAACAGTTCAAAGTACCCTATACTACACATATCCACCCGACTTCTTCCACTCCTCATGTGACAGTATCCTCTCAATGGTCAGCCCAGCCTCTTCATCTGCATCATTACTACCCTCCTCGTAAGTTTCTAATGTCCTCCTCACCCCATCTGCCATCGGCGAAACCGCATATCCAATACCGTCTACTTGTGAAAACTTCCGCCCGTCGCCATTCCCATATACCTCCGGCACCCCAGAGCTATCGACTGAAGTTCTATTATACGCTCCCCTCAATCTTTGGGGTAAATTATGTTCAACGCTAGGGTCTAAACAATAATCGTTTTGGTCAAGTTGCCAGTCTCTTATATGATGGATTTCCGCGGGTCCGCTATAATCGCTGCCGTTATTACCTGCAAAGACACGTGTTGTACGTCTGTTCCCGTTGGCGTTCTTAGGGAAAGCAGCCTGTGTGGGCAGGACCCCTATTGTATCCAGAAGGGCTGGTTCTCGATTCGAGCGGGATGCAGGCGCCTGCTGTCTCAGTTGATTCGCATATCAGCCTTCAACGGGTGTACTTTTATTACTTTTTCTTTTTGTTTGAAAAATCCCTTCCTTCTTTCTTTCTTTGCGGGATTAATGCAGAGTCGAGAGACTTTTTATGCAAGTAAAATGAAACAGAATAATTAAATATATGCAAGAACAAAAGAGGTAAACTTACGGTATCATGGTTCGTATTCCCAGTTCGATTTATGCTACTTCGATCTTTACTGACGACTGACCCTCTAGGCGATATAATCTTCTTCATAACCTCGGAGATAGCGAGTCGATGCTTTTTTTCGTTACCTGGCAAAGGCGCGGGTGTCTTTGACTGACTCGTGGCATTCGTTGTAATCTTAGCTGAAGCTGAAGAAACCTTCGACTTCTTAACTCCAGATGAGCCGTTCGACTCGCCTCCGCCGCCGCCGCCCCTTCCATTTCCACCATTTTTTGAAAGGGTCCAGGTAGTTGAAGATAACTTTGACTCAACGGTACTTCGCACAACTCTGAGTGTCTTGCCTAGTAAAGGCTTAAGAGCCGGTGCAGATGCAGCTATAATCCCCAGATTATTTTGAATCGCAGCGTAAACGGCAAGACGCCATGATCCCCCTATATTGGAGCGGACCAATCGGATTAGTGAGACTACTATAATAATATATGCAAGATTTATCCGATTGGTAAAAAAAAAAAGTGCTGGACAATATTGAAGAAGAAGAAAAAAGAAACTTTACATGTTTTGTCTGGGTCGTTAATGGCCAATGGAAGCTCTGCCAATGCGAGGATCGAAGCTATGGTCGCACTGTATGCCGTAAAATACAACAATTAGTTTTCATAATATGCGTTGGGTTGGGTTTTGTTAAGGAGCTAGAGCGGGCTGACATTAAACCACAGCCGAAGATGCTAAGAACCATGATCTTTCGTCTCCGATCGACTTTCAATGCTAGAATCCAATCACTCTTAAGTGTTAGTTTGGGATTGGGCTTTGCTGATTCTATAGCAATTGTAGAATTAAAGAAAAGAAAAGAAGAAAATTCCGCACCAAGGAGCATTCGTGTTGGCAGTACCAGTATCCATATATTCGTAGCTACATTCAAGGCCAATATGACATGCCAGAATACGGCCCGATTGATACAGCTACCCCGCGTTTCGTATGGATCCCATTGCCTGCTAACGGGAATACATGCCAGCGCAAGTGTTAATATAAATGCTAGCATCATTGCGGCGACGAAGACGAATGTGGAGCGGGTGAGGATCAAGAATCGGTTCGAGCCAGGAAGTCGGAGGTAAAAAGATAGAATAGAAAGTTTTATGCAGTTTAATGTTACGGGCTGAAGAATCGTTTCCGCGTAGAGTAACTACTCTAGGTATTAGAATTAAATCATAGGATATTGTAGGAAAGGATTCATATTGGAAGTCCTTGCCTTGAGGACATATACTAGATCATCATCTTCTACATCATTGATATGGCTCCCCTCCCCTCTAAATGTCCCTATACAGAACATACAATGAGTTAGTTGAACTGACGGCTATATGTATATATATAATAATAAAATGAACTGATACTGACCTGCGACAGGTAACATTGTTCCAGCGGTATTACTTGCCTTAACACTCGAGATAAGATCAGATATATATTAATTTTAAAGCTTGGTATTCAACGGACCCCCAAGAATGGAAAAGAAAAAGGGATATTAACCCACCAAAGCTCCGAGAATCCACCAATCGTCCATTCCAAAGAACTTGACCATCCGCGCCCTCGTCCAAACTCGTAGCCCCACCACTACGATCGAAAGAGCCAGCAACACTAGCGGAACGGTCAAGATTGCTTTGTTGTCATTAGATATATGGCCTGGATGCACCTGGATATGCAAATATCCTCCATGTACTACCTGTTAGCCATTTAGTCATACTTATTAACACTGATGATGCGCAGAGATATGAACTTCGGTGAGGGGTATAGCTACGTACGTACATGATCGGTAGGCGATGCTGCTGGTTGATTTGCTTGGATGTCATTGGGTGTCGCCCCGACCATTACCTCTGTCATATTCGGAATGATCTAATTCTTTTTAGAGCAAAAGAATAGTAAAGGGAGCATGGAATGCTGTAGATTACCGGGAAAACGGATTATATAAAATTGAGGAGGCTATACGTCTATTGATATTGTCGAACTTGGTATAGATAAAGATTCAGACCTAAACGTGCCGCAAGGCGAAACAAGAAGCTGGCTAAGCACAAAGACAAAAATCACGGATCGCACCGTGGAATAGTGAACAGGGGAGGATACAGATACCACTTAGATCCAAAGTTTCATCCGTTATTTTCTGAACCCTGTTTCTCGGCAGTATTGTGTGAGAGGGCTTCGGAAATGCTTTCTCAACAGCCGGCGGCCAGAGGCGATCGTCTGACATTTAAATCATACCCTGCAACGAGTATAGCCATGGCAGGTCGTGCAGGGCTTATGGGGTGGGCTAGAATATGGACGTCTGAATCTCGGGCCCGCCATTTTTAGTAATGGGTGGTCATGGCGTCTCATGTTTTCCGGTTATGGCACATGCGCGCATTCCAGTCGCATGTATTTTCAAAATGCTAACAAAGGGGACTCTGTATACACCAGCACTGGCCGCATCGGGTAGTAAACTAAACGGAATGCGAAACTGTCGGGTAAGAAAGCGAGTTGGTTCCTGTCTAATTTATTTCTCACATTTTAGGCCGAGTTTCTGCTTGGATACATCGACATACGGGGAAATGCTGCAAACGGAACGGTTTGTGAGATGCCCTGCCAACTGTTAGATAAGTATCAATCGTGAGCGTTACGGTGGTATCACTCTGTCTCGGGCTGAGCGATGGCACAAAAGTTTAACTTAATTCTCGATTCACATGAGAAGTACCTAAAATATATTTATTTGGTTTAGTAGATAGGGAAAGAAGGATAGAATTCGTTTTAGACATGACATGAGGGTACACTGAATCCACGCAAACGTTCCACATATATGAACCAAAGAATACTTCATAAAAGTATTAAAAGCAGTAGAGAGTTCGGGAAGTCTATGAATACTTGGGCGATTGTGCAGATAAATATCTTTTTAAGGCATCTCAGAGCCTAGTAATATTCTTTCGTTGTCCGATAGCGATGACATTGCGGTCGGGATCAGGTTTCTTATCCTTAGTCTCGTTCGGTTCCTACTGTGAACGTTTGGCGAATTCAACCTTCAAGATCAAATGACCATAACCAACTAAAGATTAAAATGAAGCGATTAGCCCAAAAAATTGTACTTGAAACCTTTATTTCATAATATTGTAACTTACAGCCATCCATCTTCTCGCAAGCTCGTTGCGCATCCAGCCTGTCTTGGTAGCTGACAAAAGCGAATCCCTTTGCCCTGCCAGTGTCTCTGTCTTTTGCCAAGAACACTCTGGTAACTCTTCCAAATCTTTCAAACATATCTCTGAGATCTTGTTCCTCTGCGAACTCGCTAAGATTTGTGACACGGAGGGTTGCCAGGTCATCGCGCTCGCGGCCAGCGTTGAAAGAAGACGACCCAGCACCGGCGTCCTTGCCCTTGTTTCTGAGATGTGGGGGAACGTAGCTGCCACCAGTGGCACCACCGCCAGCACCAAGATCTGGCGAATCCGGTCGGGATTCATCTGGAGGAGCTTCTCCGACAGGCGCGAGAGTGTCCTTGAAGGGACATCTTGCTGTGAAATGGTCTCCTTGACAGATACGACAGGAAACTTTCTTGTCCTTCAATTGGGTCTTCAGGGCGCCAGTCGCCTCCTCTTCCTTCTCAACGGCCTTCCATTGCAAGCTTGGCTTGAATAAAATGTTCTCTCCAACGGTTGTTGTCGACATATCTGGTCCTGGTGGGTGTCCTTGTTCCCTTCCAAACTTGGCCCATTCCCTCCTCTCTGCGACGCGTGGGTTGACTCTCTCCTTGACTACTGAAATCTTGATCTTTCGTGTCGTCTTGATTTTCTTTCCGGAGTCGGATAGTCTGTATGTGATAGTTGTCTTTGTTCCGTCCGGATTTGAGATGACCTGGTTCTGTGGAAGGGCATTTGGGTCATCGAATTCCTCGTCTTCGGCCCACTCTCTTCTTTGTGATCTGGCGAAAATAGCAGAATTAGCTAGAGCTGTTTTTGGAGCTTCGTTCATTTTTCGAGAAACAAGCGGAACTTACGCCATGTTGTGTAGCTGTTATATACGGGTCTTGATAGTTGGTAAAAGTTGATGATGCGAGACTGAAAACGGTCGGCTCTTCTGATTGTAATGGTTGTCGGTGGTTGGTGTAGATGGAGCTTTGATGTCGAAGTGGGATGTGCAGCTATCTATCTTATCGTCGTCGTCGACTCATTCAACTTTGATTTTTTTTTAGATTTTTGATTTTCAGTTGCCACACAAATATTAGTCACATGATCTACGTACGTTCTACGTTCAGGGCGACTCGACAACACGACAACACATTTATTCTGCACATTGCAACCTCCAATGCAACCCAGATCGACACATGCCAGGCCAGGCTTCGATCAACAATTAACATTCTCTGTTACAAGGCTAATCTTGAGACCTTTCGTATCTGTGTGCATCTTTCGATTCGATTCGTCGTCACATTTTTTAAATTTAAGATGTACGCCTTCTCTCCCGATGTGATAGTTCATATAAATAACTCAATGCTTCATTGCATTCATTCGTTTGCTCATGTGTATTCATGATCATGACATATCATATATAGGCACTAATTCCTCCAAATTGCGTCTGCCATCTTTGCGACTTTGGTCATTTCATCGATGTCATGAACCCTGATTATGTCTACCCCTCCAGCTACGGATGCTGTCACAGCAGCGCCGGTTCTATAGTACAATAAGAACAGTTAGCATATTCCTGGTAGCTGGTCGACTCGAGGCCAGCCAAAGTTGCAAAAAATGGATTTAGTTTGAATTCCTTACCCCCATTGTCTCTGAGAAGCATCAGGAACCCCAGTTATCTCCCCGATAAACTTTTTCCTGCTGGGGCCTATCAGCCAAGGGATGCCGACAAGTCCCTTCCTCGCCCTTAACTTGGCAAAATTTCTAAGTATCTCTAAATTATGCTCCGTAGTCTTCGCGAATCCTAACCCGGGGTCGAGAATAATCTTCCAGCGCTTGACACCTGCTTTTAGGGCAGCATCAAGTCTCTCTTCGAGTTCCCTTCCAACAGTTTCGATAACTCCATCTGGATAATTTGCTTGCGAACCCATCGTCTGCGGTGTCCCTCGCATGTGCATCAACATGATTGGAACGTCGAGTTCGATGGCTGTTTTGATCATTTCGGGGTCGAGCACACCGCCTGAGATATCATTGATAATATCCGCACCTGCGTTTACCGCTTCTCTAGCAACAGACGCCCTGAAAGTATCGATTGATATAGTGACCTTCTTGACAGCTGGATCGCTAGATGATCTAATAGCCTTGATCGCGGGTATCACCCGATTGATCTCCTCGGCTTCTGAAATTTCAGCTGCATTCGGTCGAGTGGACATGCCGCCGAGGTCTACGATTGAGACACCAGCTTTTACTGCTTTAGAAACGGTATCCTCGACGTTAGGGGTGGTATGTATTCCACCATCAGAGAATGAGTCTGGCGTGAGATTTATGATGGCCATTACGTGAGTAGGACGAGTTTCGCTGGTCGGTTGGAGGGATGGGATTGATGGGGATAACAGAACTCGAGGATAGACCGTCGATTCTCCAGGAAGGGATGACAAGTGAGAAGCGAACGTAGTCGAAGTTTGCGGATGCGGTAGGTCCGCTGCGATATCACATAGCGGCCTGAGGACGAACTCCCGTTCAAGCATGGATGCATGAGGAATTATAAGGTCTGGTTCGTTGACCACCTGTGTGCCATATAGTAGGATGTCTAAGTCGATATTTCGGGGTCCCTTGTCGATAAGCTTGACCCTGCCGAAATGGTTTTCTATAGCTTGGAGTTCCCGTAAAAGTTCCATAGGGGCTAGTTTTGTTTGAACCTGGCATACTCCATTTAAGAACAAATCTTGATCTTCGACGTACATTGGTTTGCTTTCGTAGAGAGAAGACGTTCTGATCACCCTAATACCACGCCTATTCAGCTCGGCCAAGGCGTCTCGTATTAAGACAAACTTGTCTCCAAGATTTGACCCGAATGCAATGAATGCAGTTCTATATTCACCACCGGATTCCTCACCGGATACGGTGGAAGCTGCAAAGTAGGATTTGTGTCTAGTAACCTCGACTTCCGAGGACCGGGCAAGTGCGAGAGCACTTGGTTTTTCGGCACGAACGGTGATAGATTCGACACCACAGTCGATACACGCAACTCGTGCAATACCCGTCACCAAAGCCTCGATGGTTCCATAGTCCGAGGCCTCGACAAAGTTGACAACAGCGTCCGAAATCTTTTTAGCGTCATAGACAGGCACAAAAGACTTTTCTTGTACGTGGCCATTGGTTTTGGCTGATTCGATCTGCGCCGAGGGTTTGTAGAGTGTCAAGCTTACAATAACCTGCTGTCTTTCAAGTCTCTCGCAATCGTTTATGCCAATAATCGTGGCAATTCTTAGGTTCTTGATGTAGACTTTGTCTTGAGTTTCTTGAACTCCATCTTTTCTCCGGACTATTTCCAGGGCGGCAGAGTCGGCTCTCAAAAGAGTTTTCGGCTGCTCGACTTTGATATACACCCATTGGCCTCGAAGTTCATCTCCGAGAACCTTTGCAGCGAGGGTCTCCGCAAGGTGCTCAAGAGATACGAACTGGGTTTTTTGGACAATTTCCAGGGCTTTCTTGCACACAGTACCATAGTTGATGGAGTGAATCAAATGATCTGTGGATCCGGCCAGACCAACGGATGTTTTAATTCTCAGGCTGACCAAAAGCGGCTGAAGCTTTGGTTTATGCCATCCATCGAGCCCAACAATGGCAGGCCTATATGCCGAGTTTAGTACATCTTTTTTCCTCTTGTCATTAATTTTGTAGGGACTTTTTTTAACTTACAAAGCCAATTCATTGACAGCGATGAAGTCGGAAACGTTTTCTAGCTGAAAGGCCATCGTTTTTAAATCGATATAAGTTCTTCGCTGAGCTTCTCCGAGCGAGAGGACTTGTGGCAACGGACGACCCCGCCAGATATTTATACCGAGAACGGATCTGGGATATAGTATCTTGATATTTGGTCTCTGCCACAAACGGACGGAAACGGATCCAAATGACCTTGCAGCCGACATACGGCTTCCCACTTCTATGCTAAGCTAGGGCCAACGGCAAAGAAAGGGAAAAAAATAAAATAAAATAAAACGGCGCAGGAATGCAGAGTGTTCGAGTTACCTATACTCCGCCGGTTCCCGTCGCGGTGGTGCAAAGCTAGCTTTTTAGAAAAAGCTTCGAACATACGCATGCGTGTCGTACATAACGATTACTGTTGGATGTTGATTGAATTGCATCTTCTCGATGGTTAGTCATGGTTGACTATGTTGGCTACGGTTAGAGGGTTGTTCCTGTAACCGTTTTTAGCTTTTAAGGTTTCCAGCTGGCTCCACGGATTTCTTTGCGGGCAACGGCAACACAATTAATGCAGTTGGGAGCGAAGATGTCGGTGCATTCTTGGATGGGCATTTACGCTTTATAGAAGGCGCCCCCCGCAGCTGGATGAGGCAGTTGTGGGGCTTAAGCTTGCAGATAGATGTATCACCTCCGAAATTAAAGGTAGGATAGTAGGGCCCGAATAGGAAATTTTAATGGATCTATAGGTATTCGAAGCGCAGACAATGCGGGCACTAGAACGTCTGGAATGATGATTACGGTAAGCAAGCTTTATGTTAATTGACTTTTAACTTATTTTACTTTATTTTTTATTTTTATTTCTTATTTCTATTTTTTATTATTCTATTGACTAGTGTTCCAGCCTACTCTCGAATAGCGGTATATACTTCTCAGAAAGTGAGTACTAAGCGGAAGTTTATTAGGAGGACACTAGTAGCTAGAAAGACTATTCATCCTCGAATCTGTATTGGACCTACTCTTATGATATTCCGATTTTGATTCTTCGGCAACTGTCCTGATAATCTGCTTAGTCATCTAGCATCAGGTGCTAGCCAGTCTCGCAGTCTCACAATAGAGGTATAATATATGCTTGTCGGTTAGTGCCATGGAAAGGGACGAAGTCGTTTCCGGAAGCTGTCAAGAAGAAATCGAACTGCTTCCCAATGTAACAGGGTCTGGAGGACCCTGCATGCTGGCCCAATATTACCATAGACTCCCAGGAGCAAAGCTTTCAGATGAGTATAATGAATGCTCAAGTACCTGGTAAATAAATAATCAATCGAACCAGTGTGTAAATAACGGTTATAATAAAGTGATAGAGGAAGAAGAAGATCAGGCAGATAAGATTAGATTACCGGCCGGCTGTCCCGCCTTCAAAAGCCATGGCCCGTCCGTCCTCCCCGCATGTTCGGCCTCGGGGTAACTTCGTTTATTCAGTTAATATTATACTCCAGCTGCGTTTCGGTAGAGTCGGCTCTCCATTTATTTTATACTCGAGAATAGTCGAAATCCGGGGTCGAGTTAGGTAGAGCGGAGAGTGTTAATTCAACCTCGGCAATAAATTCGTTTTTTGGGGGTACCCGATGGCAACCCTTCACCACGCATGTCCATGTGGTTAACACGCTGGGAACTAGCTAGGTATGTGAGTAAGTATGTAAGTATGTACTATGTAAATAAGTACCTGGAACCTGCATGGATGGAGAGAGCAAAGGAAGACTCTGGGGATGTCAGACCGGGGCTGAACATGTGAGGTCGCCCAGCGCAGATGCCTCGGCTTGTTAGCACCAGCTGAACAGGGAAAGTCGCGGTTGTCAACTCCAGTTTTGTTTGCTGGGCCGAGACTTTGGCCCAAAATCGCCGTCACCGAATCCCGCTTTCATCCTTTTTCCATTCCCTTCGAACTCTTAAATATCACCGTGCTGCCGTTCTCCTGATCCTTTGACTTCCATCTCCTGTCTTCTATTCTTCTTTACTATCTGATACCCGGTCTGCCTTTGTAATATATACCCTTACCCTTACCCTTACCCTTACCCTTACCCATACTATACACAAAGACAATACAATAACTTAAAAATCAAAGATGTCGACCATCTCTACTCCCATCACCAAGCTCTTCGGAGTCAGACACCCAGGTAGGATCCCCCGAAATAATATGCTTCCTTATCTATACGTCAACTTGTGAATATCAGCTAAAACTCGATTCCTTTCTTCTTTTTGTCTAGTCCTTTTGGCTGGTATGAACGTTGCCGCCGGCCCAAAGCTCGCTGCCGCCGTCTCTAATGCCGGTGGTCTCGGTGTCATTGGTGGTGTCGGTTATTCGCCTGACATGCTCCGCGAGCAAATCCACGAGCTCAAGAGCTTCTTGAACAAGCCAGACCTTCCATTCGGTGTCGACTTGCTATTGCCCCAAGTTGGTGGCAGTGCTCGAAAGACCAACTACGACTACACCAAGGGAAAGCTTGAGGACTTGATCAATGTCGTTATCGAGGAGAAGGCTAGCTTGTTCGTCTCCGCTGTCGGTATCCCACCCAGGTTTGTCGTTGACAAGCTTCACAAGGCTGGAATCCCATACATGAAGTAAGTTCAGCCTCTTTACATCGTACATCCCTGATGTCGTAATCGTTCGTCTGCACCGACATTTGCTGACTGACTTGGTAATTTAGCATGATCGGACACCCAAAGCATGTCCAAAAGTGCCTTGATGCTGGTGTCGATATCATCTGCGCTCAGGGCGGTGAGGGAGGGTAAGCTTGATAAATCTTTACTCTTTTGCTTAGAGGTTATCATACTAATCATGACTAATCTTATTTAGTGGCCACACTGGAGATGTCCCCACTTCCATCCTCATCCCCACCGTAGTTGACCTCTGCAAGGGCAAGAAGTCCCCACTCACTGGCCAAGACGTCCTCGTCGTCGCTGCCGGTGGTATCTTCAACGGAAAGGGTCTCGCTGCCGTTCTCGCCATGGGTGCCGCCGCCGCCTGGGTCGGAACCCGCTTCATTCTCGCTGAGGAAGCCGGTGCACCAAAGGCTCACCAAGAAGCCGTCATCACATCCGGATATGAAGACAACGTCCGAACAATCATCTTCACTGGTCGCCCAATGCGTGTCAAGATGAACCCCTACATCAAGAACTGGGAGGAGAACCGAAAGGACGAGATTACCAAGCTTACCAGCAAGGGTGTCATCCCAGTCGAGCACGATATCGAGCAGCTCGACAAGGAAGACAAGTTGGACGATGACACCATGGATGCCGCTAGACCATGGTTGATGGGCAAGGTCGCCGCTGTCTGCAATGAGATCAAGCCTGCGAAGGTTATCATTGATGAGATGGTTGGAGAGGCCATCCAACAGATCCAGAAGTCGTCGTCGATGGTTGCCAAGTTGTAGATAATCGTCTTTATTTTCGGGTTTCCTTTGTCCGGTCTCTTGTTGTTTTTTCGGTCTTAGCATTGTCGGGAGCTTTTGAGTCAATCTTCTGATACTTTTTTTTTTTAATTTCCACGGGAGAATCATCTGTATTATAAGAAGCCATGAGATAATGGAATATGAAGTCCTGAGGAAGCCACTTTTTTTGTGCAAATATCAATCGTAATTGATCGTAAATAAGTAGCTACAATGAACCGAGCATATGCATATGTACAAACCCACGGGAGGAATATTAGTATTCCCGAGGATATCGACCTTGGTATTGAAAAGGAAGACGTATATTAATTATCGCGATTCCTCTTCAATTCAGCTAGCTGGGCCTCGATTTCTTTATCCTGTGGGGTGTGACCGGGTTTGTCCACCGTAGATATCTTCGGGATCATGCTCTTCAGTTTCTGTTTGTCCTGCTCAGTTGGAGTCAGACCAAAGGCATCCCCGACTGTGTCAGTCAGATAGTCGCCGACGAGGCCGTATGCTATCAAGCCGCCTCCTAGTGCGAGCCTAGAAGTTTTTGACAAGCCCGTGAACCATCTGATGTAACGCAGATATGTTATTATATTAGCAGAATAGCACCATCCGATATCGGGGGCTATTTAGGCATTACGTACCGCCAAACTGCAGACATCTCTTCAGAAATATATGTACTCAAGATTCTTTATTGTAAATCAATCCAATTTGCAATTAAATGGAAATGTCGTCGAAGTTGAAGTCGTAGACCGGGAAGTTTGTGATACAAAGTTAACCCTCCAAACTGAACTGAGGGCCCCTCTCGACAGGCTAAAAATGTGAATGTACGTACTGTACAAACTGTAATTAACTTAGCAAAGATGGAATGAAGAGGAGTAGAAAGAATTAAAATGAGGAGAAAGGAGGAGGACCTGGTACAATAGTTAGAATAGTTAGAATAGTATCATATGCATACCAATCGATCTTGAAAATTTCCTTGTCGGGCAGATCTACTATGGGCAGCTACTGGCACAATGCAATGAGGGTCGGATTTATGCCCGGAAAGGCCGACCGCAGCCAACAACGCTAACCTGCTAACCTGTCCTCCTTAACTGAAGCCCTGTTCTGACTGGCCTGCTGGTAAACTTAAAGTACTTAACTACCACCGGATCCCTCTCGAGACTTGTAATTACGCTACATCCACCCACCTCAGGCGACATCTCCATCTTTCACCCATCGCCAGTACCCACTATCCAATCGATCACATATCCACCATGGCTGCCCTTGCTGACAAGGCCGAGTCGCAGAAGATCTTTGATAAGCTCAAGTCTAAGCCGGCCAACAAGGTACATACATCTTCTGTCCGGGTTCCTTCGTTCGGATTCCATTAGCTAACACGCTGGCTCATTACAGGTCTGCTTCGACTGTGGCGGCAAAGCACCTACCTGGGCGTCAGTTCCCTTTGGTATTTATCTTTGCCTAGACTGCTCTGCCGTTCACCGAAACCTTGGAGTTCACATCTCCTTCGTCAGATCCACCGTTCTTGACCGTACGTCCTTACCACATTCGCCACCCCTGAGCTTCGATCCGCATAGGCCTGCTTACACACGCGCAATAAACAGAATGGACATGGGACCAACTTCGTCTTATGAAAGTCGGCGGGAACAAGGCTATCCAGGAGTTCTTCATCGATAACGGTGGTTCTGCCGCTCTATCAGCCAAGGACGCGAAAGTCAAGTATCAGTCAAATGCTGCCACCAAGTATAAGGAAGAAATTAAGAGGAGAGCTGCTGAAGACGCTAAAATGTACGTATATCTAAGTTCTGTTTTGTTTATGTTCACACTATATCTTTATTTTATCTGTTTTATTTATTTGGGGTAAAGCTAATGTGGGATCGCACTTACGCAGTCATCCAGACTTCGACGTCGACGACGGGGCCGTTGTCGTAACTGCCGAAGAGGAAGAAGAAGATTTTTTCTCATCATGGGATAAACCAGCTATCAAGCGGCCATCGCCATCTCCTTCACGAACTGGCACCCCTGTCAGCCGAACCGCCTCTCCATTCTTGAACGCTAATGCTGCCGGTAACGGAACATCACGACCGAAATCACCGCTCGCCTCTGGGGCAAAAGCTTCCACTCCAGCCGGCACACCACCTGCCACCGTCGTCTCGAAAGCTGTCCCCGCTGCCGCCGCTGCCGCAACAAGGGCCAAGCCAACCGGCGCTGGTGCTGCAGGTGCCAAACGTGGAGTGTTATCTGGGAAGAAGGCACAGAAGATTGGGGCTAAAAAGGTCGTTGCTGCCGATATAGATTTTGAAGCAGCCGAGAAGAAAGCAAAGGAAGAAGCGGAAAGAATTGCAAAGCTGGGGTACGACCCTGACGCCGACGAAGTCGATGAGAAGCCCGCCAAGAGCAGCGTCGCAAGCCCCACAATTTCGTCGTCTAGCAGGAGTGTGAATACAACTACGGCGGATACAGAAAAGGCTACAGCACAGATGGCTAGATTAGGATTCGGACAAATTGCAAATAATAAACCTGCTCCAGCCCCTGCGAAGAAGATGGGTGGATTCGGATCTACAGGCACAAGACCGGTTGATGGTATGTTCATTTCTCATGAATGGCAAAATATTAGAATTTTGTTAACATTACCCTACAGATGACTCGGAAAGATATGCTCGAGATAAATTTGGCACCCAGAAGGCCATTTCCTCTGATCAATTCTTTGGAAGAAATGCTTATGACCCCTCAGCACAAGCTGAAGCCAAAACTCGTCTTCAGAACTTCGACGGCGCCACCGCTATCTCTTCAAATGCCTACTTCGGACGGGAAGAGGAGGAAGATAACCGACCTACTAGTGGAGACTTCAGCAGTATTGAGGGTACTGCTCGAGACATTGCCCGAAGATTTGCTGGTACTGCGGGTGATGATTTGGAAAACATTAGCCAAATGGTTGGACAGGGTGTGGAGAAGGCCCAGGATCTTTTGAGGCAGTACATGCGGTGATTGCAAAGTTCACATATTTGGATTTTTATACGGATTAGTCGGTTCTCTTTCTCTTTCTCTTTTATTGGTTTCACAAAGTTTTATGTATTCGATGTGAAAACGAAAGATTGATGGTGATTCTGATTCTAAAGTTCGGTTTCACCCACGTCCCCACAAAAGAGAGTACGCCGCTTTTCGCTTCGTTATGTAAATTTTTTACTCAGTACTTCGTGCCGGTCTTTTTATAGCGCCCCTTTCCCCCTCTTTTTTTTCCCCCTTTTTTTTGCGGGGGAATTGTTTAACCCGTCAACTTTTGTGCCTGTAGGATGATTTTTAGAGGGTATATAAATCTTCAGTTTTTTCGATTTAGGTCTATCAGCGACCAAAGGTACAAGAACACTAGCTCGGAAACATTGGGACAAAGCTTACAGAACGAAGAAGAGAAACCCCCGTCACTTTTCATTACATCAATGATATTATTGGGGAGAGACGACCTTTTATTCTCAGAGCACAAGGTGTCTCTATAAAAGAAACAGGAAAAAGACAGGAAAAAGAAAGAGTGGTTTTATTAAATAGATAAATAAAAGGGTTTTCCCAAGCAGCAATTATGTCAACAGATCATCAGGCCCGTTTACTATCCTTAGGGTCTTCCCCTCCGCCATCCCATCCCTCTGTTTGGGATACGCCCGATTGTCCCCTCCCGGGGTACGGGAACAGTGGAGGGTAAACCTCATGGGCAGGGCGCCCAACCCCATCCCGGTAGACGATGTGCGTAATAGAAGGGGTTTCCGGATCCTCACGCCACAACCAATACCGCTGCGAAGCGGTAAGCTTGCGACGTTTGGATTCCGGAGAACGGCCCCCGTCCGAACCTTCGTCTTCTCCCTCGAGTGAAGGGACCGGCTCGTCAACCGGGCCGGATTCCCTCTCGTTTGGTGCTTCATCGGCCAAAGCCTTGCGCTTTGTGCCTTTGTCCTTTTTGATCTGGGCGCGAGTGAACTCGGCAAGCTTGTCCTTGATTCCTGAAGGGAAATCGAAGTCAAAAGTTGCACCTTTTAATCTTAGGTGACATATTAAGTCGACTAGATCGTCATGGGTAAGGGTTTTGAGGAAGAGTTTATGCTAGAGAGAAGGTTAGTCAGGATATGTGAAGGATACAGGGGGGTGATTATGAATGATTTAAGAGTGGGCCGGGGGGTTCGCTCACCTGGTCATCATCAAGTTCTTTGATAGCAGCCTCCATGTTTTGGGATCCCATGGTACCGAGATTTTTGATGGTATTAGTAGGTGTCATGGTAGTCTCGTTCCCAGGTGCCATGGTAGGTTGAGATTCATTTTGTTCTCTTTCTTCGGTAGGGTGGTGATCGTTCCCATCCTCTTCCTTCTGCCGTTCTTCATCCCTGTGCTCTTCAGAAGTGGCGTCTACATCTCTAAGATAGGCTCTGTCATCATTCTGTTCAGCTTGGATTTGATTTATAAGTTCATTCCTCCTGTTGGCTTCCTCTCCTTCTTCATAATATCCCATCTCTTCAGATAAATCATCACCTTCCCCGGGTACCGTTGCACACTCGAAGCAAAACCAGTTCTTCTCTAAAACCTCGATATAGGACTGATCGATTATTGGTCGGTGACATTTTTGGTGGTAGGGTCTCTCGCAGCCATCGCAAAAGACGATCTTATCACCCTTCGAATCGGAAGCTTTATGACAATTTACGCATCGAGCGTTGAGGATCGATAATCTCATTGCCGCTTCCAACTCAACTTGGTTGACAGCAAGCTTGCGGCCCACAGTAGCTGATTTTGAAGAAGTGAAGCTGGTACGGGACATCTTCTTAGATTTGAATTTGGGTTTGGACTTGGACTTCTGGGGAGTGTGATGGTTGATTGGTGGCAAAGGGAGTGGTGATGGTGACAGTGACGGTTCTTTCCGAGTATTTGGGTTGATTACTGTCCGGCCAGAGAGGGTTTTAAAACCAGATTGAATGTATTCTTCTGAGGAGGTTGAAGACTGTGGGTAGGTGATAGAAAGTTGGTTTGATAGACTGAGTTTAGCAAAGAGCAAAGATGGAAAGGAGAACGAGGGCTGTGGTAAAATACGAAGTTGGATTAAGGGAATAGTGGTGACTTGTTACTTAGGAATTCAGGAGATGTTCAAGTCAAGTGGTGATGATGGTGATGATGGTGATGGTGATGGTAGTGGCAGTGGTAGTGATGAGCTAGAGTTGTTCACACTCACATCATATCTTCTATGGCTTGTTTTGGACTTCCTACGCTTTCTCTTTTTACGAACAGGGACAGTTGCTACACAACATAACATTCCTCTTAATTAATACAACTAACCCAACTTACCTGCTGTTTGCCAGTATGATAATAGAATATCAAAACTCACCGACTTCTTCGAGTTCCTCCGGGTTCCGTTTTGGGGCTTTCAAGATGATACGGATGGGCCGAAACGGAAGCTTGGGTTCGGCGTTTAGTACGGGATTATCAAGAGTAGATTCCCCCGTATATTTATCGATGGAATTAGGTGATATCGGATGTTCTTCAAAAGAATCAACATCAATATCGTCGTCATCGGATGACTCGGGCTAGAAGGGGGGGGAAGGCGCCGGGTCAATCATAAAGTCCACAATATCCCTTCCTTTTCTCTCTCTATATATATGTGCATGTGCTTATATATTCACAACAACGCTAGAATAGGAGCTAGGAGGTTGATACTTCTTCAGATTCTATTACTTCTTCGTCTTCGTCGATTCCTCCATCCTGCTCCGTCGGCGGAGGTGGATACGCGCCAGCACTGAAGTGCAGCTTTATCCTAGGCATCGGAACCGCGGCTGTCGCCATGGCCATGACCGGACACGAACCTATCGATCTAAACAAAAATTTAAAGCGGAGGGATCAAAGTGATTATAGATTTATATAAGCAATTGTATACGACAGGAAAAGACGCAATCAACGTCTCCGACAAAAAGAATAGGTACGGCGCGATGCATGGCGAGAACGGGAGAAGAACCTGTCTATCAGAGCCTTTCTTTAGCACCATCAGTAACCAGGTAATTTAACTTATAACTTGTTTTTTTTGCATCCGCCGTGACGTTGGATTTTGCAGACCGGATTTGCGTTGTGATGTCGTTGGGGGGACTGCTTCGAGGCCAACACCAAAATTACAACGAGATGTTCTTCGAGATGCATTGTCAGTGCTGAAGGATATCCCGGAGGCACAGATCTATCTTTTAGGATAAATAGGTATCAAATTGAGAGGTATACGGTAATTGTGTGTCTAATTTGAAAGTCACTTTATATTATGAAACGTTAGACGGTTAGTTAAGCATATGAAGCAATCTAAATGTATATTTATCTAGCTAGGATTGTAGATACCGGTATGTATCAGTACAATTCAAAATGTGTAGTATATACTACCTAGCTTTTAGAAGTATATAGCAAGCTCGGTACTAGTTAAACCATGATTATATTATATTACAGATTGGGTGGATAGAATGATACCGGCAAGTTTATAATTTATGTGTCCAGGTTCTCCGCTCTGCCATTGGTTTAGTATATAGTATAGTATACGGTATAATCATCCCTAGAATATTAGTATTGAAAGAAACCATAAACTATAGCCTAAAAACTGCATCAGATATCGATAGTTAAAATACTACTGTGTAATTTCTTTTCACATTGATTAGGGCGCAAATGAATGAATGACGATACTCCTATATCTAATTAAAATAATGATGATTGAGGCTGTTTCTGTAGCTAGAACCACACCCATTTTTGGATTTCAAATATATATCCTCTGGCAACTAAATCTCTAACCAAACCAACTCTAAGAGAACAGAATTAACTAACCAGGTAAATACTTAAGTCGGTCTATATAATATATATCTGAGTTTGATTCTAGAATCAATTATATTCAGCCAAGACTGTACATACATGCATATGCATCGCGTGGTGTTGTGGCCATCTGCTGCCTCTTCGGAACTAAGCGAACTGAACAACGTCACCTTTAACTGCGCCAGTACTCACTGCTGGAACAAACCATACCCACGCTCCTCCTCGATCCAACTTTACCAGCTATCCTTTCGACAGAACAAACCACATACTCTTCCGTACTCAGATGGTTCTCCGGTAGCACGAGGGCGGACCAATTCGCAGCCTAGATGGCCAACATTTCCGATGTCTTCAACAAGCTGCTCGAGAGCCATGGTTCTGCGCCCGTTCGCGGGCCCAGGTGGAAGGTACCTGAGGATGGCTTCATCAAGGAAGCCTACACTATCGTAAACCTCACCTTATACATATATCTAACATATATACCTAAGTATGCTACTGATTTTGGGCTTGTATCATCCATACTAACGATCCCTTTTGGATTTTTCTAAAAAAATTGGTAGAACTCTTCAATAATGAATCTCACCCGCTTCCTCCTATCCATCCGTCAGGCATACCTCTCCACTGCCCGAGCGCCTCGACACACCTCCACCTTAACAGCCAAACAGCCAGACCGCCGTTATTTCACCGACAAGGAGCGCGATGAGATTGACTTCGAAGCAAAGACTATGATAAAACAGTACCTTCAGGTCATCGCCAATCTCGAGGGTGCAGAAAAGACCCGTGTAATGCTAGAAAAGAAGACAAGAGAAAAGAATTTAAATCTCAGAAAGTGGATACAAGATTTACGGCGGGGCGACGAACCGGACGAAGAAGAGGAAAAGAGTAAATGGACGGCGCTGCATAGGGAGGGAGTGTTATGGCTACTAAAGAATAGACTGGAGAAACTGAGCGAGATTCAAAGGGAACAACAGGAGACTAGAGTCATGAGAGCTGTTGAGAAAAACAAGAGTATACTGGAGAATGTGGCGTTTGATAAAGCTGGGATGGCGATGGGGAGTGCTGCTGTTCAGGCGTCAAAGGCGGCGCAGATGGAAGCGCAGGCGAAGGCTTATAAAAGATCGCAAGCCGCCGCGGCTTTAGAAGATGAAGAAGGGAATAATATTGAGCAAGTGCTGTCCGCAGACCAACTACAAATTTTTGCGAAGGAGAATCAAGATATGATGAATTACTACCAGGATACACTGGACCAAATTAGGTGAGGAACAAGACACTAGCTGCAAATAAACCTTGAAGTGCAAATCTAACGTAATAACTACAGGTCCGCCGAGAGGTCTTTGCTGGAGATATCCGAACTTCAGAATCGGATAGTAATGGATATCGCAGCACAGTCGGATCATATCGACCAACTGATGGCTGATTCCATCCAAACGGCACAGAACATGGAAGCAGGCAATAAGCAACTAAAACAAGCTTCCGAAAGAAGCTCTCCTGCCCGATATGTGTTCCAGGCGTCTGTGGGGTTCTGCGCTTTCCTGATCTTAGCGGATTTATTAACATGATTATCTTGAGCATTTAGTGTACTGATAGCATCTATTTTATAATAATCTGCGATACCCTATACTATGTTTATGAATTTCACCAGACCACTACCTTGAGCTTAGATAATTATCTTATTTCGAACAGTGCCAAGAGTGCTAGCCCAGGGGCCAAAATCGAGTTCTCGCAACAACCAGCATTAATTTCAAATGCAGGTTACGTAGCGGGCTGCCAGCTACTCCATCCTGGCGATACCACTGGAAGCTTAGCTTTCCAGCTATATACCAGCCAGCAAATCTCAAAATGAGTGTACCCATTTAATCGCCATTGCCAAGTATACATAACTAGTAACCGTAGCGCCCAATCGAATCTGAACCTGAGCAAAGCTGCTTTAGCAGTCAAAATCCAACATCCAATCAACACCTACACGATAGGAATTGGCGTCAAGATGCTAGCGCGGCGGTCGCGAGTCGCTGTTGCATTCGTGCTTGCATGTGGCTTCTATCTATTCCACCGAGCCTTTTTCTCTTCCCCGGGAGGAATAGGATTTAATTTTATCATCCCGCATGACATCCGAATCCAATACCCTTTTGAAGAGAAAGGTACCAACGCGAGGGATGCGAAAAAGGCAGAGGCTGTAAAGGAGGTGATGAGGCGCACCTGGAAGCTTTACAAAGAACGAGCTTGGGGATTCGACGAAATTAAGCCTGGTACTTGCTTTTTGATCCATACGCACTAGAGTATTTCATGGGTATGTTTACTAATATTTCTTTGTGACATCTTAGTATCTGGGAAAAGCAGAAACAGTAGGAATGGATGGGGTGCAACTATAATCGATTCCATGACTACAGCTGCAATAATGGGCTTAACCGATGTGTAAGTAATATAAAGTGGTCTCATTCCCATGAGTATTAAGTTTGATACAGTAAAATTCCGGTTTCTGAAAATTGATATCATAGTATAGGTTCGCCGAACAATATGATTGGGTCGTCAACCATGTCGACTTTAATAAGGCTGAAGGTCTAGTTGATCCGTTTGAAACGTCAGTACATTACTCCAATGCCTAAATATTAGGGTATTTATAGAATTCTAACACTCCTCATTGAAAATAGAACAATCAGATACCTTGGGGCCCTAGTTTCTAGCGTAGATCTACTCGAGGCGGGGATAATACCTCCTCCCAGTCCACTATTTCGCCAGGAGATTCTAAAACAAGCAAAAACTCTCGCGGATAATCTTGGGCCTGGATTCGATACCCCCACAGGTATGATATGGCCCAGGGTCAACTTTACTGAAGCCCGCGGGATGGATATGTCGGGAAGACGGCACCAACATGCTGCCGTCCACCTTGCCAGGGCGGGGAGCCATTGGCTTGAATACTCGACTCTATCACACTTGACGGGCGATAGAATATATTTGAAAAATTCTACCAAGGCGTGGGATTGCTTGGTCTTTAATAAGAGGGGTGAACCGTGGCCTGGTATTCTGCAGTACGAAGTAGTGGTTTTAAATATAGTCACAATGTTTCCGGACCGCTAACAGTAGTACGATATATAGAAGCCCGAGATCTATATGGACTGGCCTCCCGGTTGGGGCGACAAGAACTCTAGGAGCACCGGATGATAGTCACTACGAGGTTTGTTACTCTACCCCTCTATCAGGTTATATTCGCTATATAAAATCTCACGATGAGATACATAGTACCTCATAAAAGCCCACCTATTAGACCCAAATGGTTCCACAAAGGACCATGCAAGACGATGGTACCAAGCCATGACATCTGCCCAAAAGCATCTCTCATCTACCACAAAATCCGAATCTAACCCGCACACCTTCCTACTTTCCTACTCCAAAGATCGATACGAGAACACCATGGGTCATTTAACATGCTTCATCGGTGGTAATATCCTGTTAGGCGCCAAGTACCTTTCGCAACCGTCCTTATTATCATTTGGCGAAGCATTAATCGAAGGTTGCCACCATTCATATGATTCCATGCCATCCAAAATCGGCCCGGAGAGTTGGAGCTGGATGCCTCGAGAATCTCATCTACGGCCACCGCATTTTCCAGGCCCGGTAGCGCTTTCTCAAAAGGAGATGTACGAAAAGACAGGAATATGGGTTACAGTTACAAATTACAACTTACGGCCTGAGGTCGTGGAAAGCTACTTTTACGGTTGGAGGATCACAGGAGAGGAAAAATATAGACAGTGGGCATGGGAAGCGTTTGAAGCAATTGTAAAAGCGACGGAGACAGAGTGGGGGTACTCGGAAGTGGAAGATGTGACAGAGGTGAGGAAAGGGAGGAATTTGAGGGACACCAGTGAAAGTTTTTGGAGTGGTAAGTGTGAATAACAATCATCATCAAGATACAGGTGCTGATAAGTGAGTGACTATAGCTGAGACCTTGAAGTATCTTTATTTGATTTTCGAAGATCCGGAGTTGTGTAGTTTGGACAAGTGGGTTTTTAATACCGGTAAGAGACATTACTAACGTCGAAAGATATAAATGATTGGTAACTAATATATATATATTGGTAGAGGCACATCCATTGAAGCGGCGTCTCTAGCGGGTAAACTTGAGCTATTATAGCGCATTTACCGGGACAATACTTGCGAGACGATGATTCCTCATGCCTAGATATATCGACGGACCTTGATAGAAGACATTGGGCGAAAATTGGGGGAACTATTAGAAGCCAGATATCCTTGACAATAGGAAATACGCAACAGATCGAAACCGGGAACAGAAGATCGGCCAGGGAATGCATTCTCACACCCACGGTAGAATTCGAGCGATATGTGGATGAAGAAGAAGCTTCCAAAAAGAAACCCAAGAAATAGTGAAGTAAAAATAAGAATGAAATAAGATAAAAACAAAAATAAAAATAGACAGCAGTCTCTGGCACCGAGACTAGAAAGCAGTAGAGAATCGATGTAAGAAATATAGAATTGATTTAATTTACATGAAATAATTCGCAGATTGACCATTTCCCGTCCCAGGTTATAAAAAAAGAAGAAAAAAGAGGAAGAAAACATTAACACATAGACGAGTTTTCGCATCAGCAGCATTAAACACATCACCGAGGGTTGGGAGGAGGACAGTAAGACATATCGGCATAAGGAAACACCAGAAAGACGCCATTAAAGTGCTGGCCGGAAAGTATAGAAAGACTTATGGTCAAACCCCGAAAAATGAAGAGAAGCCATCCGAAAGAAGCGTGGTATTTGGCTGCCCACAATAAGAAGTCGCTTTGTCGAAAAGTGATGCAGTGGTAGATCCATTCTGGTCCAAAGGGGAAGAGGAAGGAAGAGGAAGAAGAAGGTTGGAAGCGAAGAGAGAAATAAAGTAGAAAGCGAAGACCTGTGAACTTTTAGGCACCCCACAAAAAAGAAAAGAAGAAACAAAGAAATCAACTGCCAGACGGTCCCCCATTTGAAAAAAAAAGGAGGGAAGAAGAGAAAAAGTGGTATAAAGAGAAAAAAAAACTTTGGACCAGAAGGTAGCAAAAATAACCACACGAAAAGGTATCAGAGGTACATGCTCAGGGGAAAATATATGCAGTGAGAAAAAAAAAAGTTAACAAGAGAAGAAGAGAAGAAGATAGACCTAGATTTACGACACCGACAGTACCAGCTTGGGGTTTCGTTTTATCGCGGTACTGAGATCACTGTCACTCATAATGTCGTAGTATTCGCCTGTCTGCTCGTCCCGGTATTGAATGCAAGTGAGTCTAGTTTCTAGCCTCTGCTCCAGCTTATCTTGAAGGTGTGAGAGTGGGATATCAGCCGGTAAGCGAATAGCGATCAAATCGTCCTGGTAGTGAACCTTGATCTTAATAAAGGCCCCGCTAGCACTGTTCCCTGACACAGCAGTAATCGCACTAAGGTTACTATCTGCTCGAGCCATCTGGCTGGGCCTCATATCGGAGTTTGAACGCATATGAATTTCTCTGGAGTGGCCATTTGTGGGGCCAGGTGACCTCATCCCATGCGCAGCAGTTCTCTGCACTGGTGGGGGTGAAAGAATGGAGGGGTAAGATCCATTTCCCCGCATATTTGTGCTCAAGTCCACCCGGGAACTTTGGCGGGAGGGGGCTGGTGATGAGTCAGAAGAAACATTGGAAAGATGGGAGTCTCGATTTTGCATTGCGAGTGTTTGTTGCTGCGCGACGTATGTGGATCCGGAGTATGTCGAGCCACGGACGCTATCTGTGACGTCGAGATCGCCTTGACGGGGAGCGAATAGTTGTCGCACCAAGGGGCACTCAGATATTTCTTGGTTTGCAGCCATGATCTTGAGCAACTGTTTGATATACTCATCTAAGCTCTTCCTTCGCTGGGACGACAAACTGTCAGTAACATACGCAACCGGTCCGGGCATATAGGGTAGCGTCCTCTGCTCTCCAGTAGCGCCGGCTTCACGAGGGAATGCTTTAAGTAAAGCAATTTGGAAGTCGTAAAAGTCTTCGTAGTAACGACAGAGGTGCCATATCCGGCCATCTTCCATTTGACATCGGACTAGATACCAGTATCTGCCCGATTCGAAGGCATAACTATCGACGGAGGCAGAGATAGGAGCAAGGAGATATTCTTCCTCGTGAATTGGCTGTTGGTGTGGCTGTACAAATATGTGAGCATAGATCTTCGCCTCCTTATCGAGAGCAATCCAAAACTTACCGTCGGAGGATCTGGGCCCGGTGACGTTGGTTGTGGTTCACCAAATTCAAATTTACCAAGAGATATGCTACTATTCTTGTAATTTGCGGCCTGACGTTTCCACTCCTCAACCTTAGGGACTTGGGCTTTGGTGATGGCTTCTTCTTGGTTTTCAACGGGTAACCCGGTCGCCATGTCTCTGATCTCTATAAAAGAGACGGGAATTAAGCCTGGCCCACCCAAACGACCGATTGGTTTGGCCAAAAACCATTCCGAATTCGACTGGGCTATTACAATGATTGCCTCACCGGCAGTGGCCTGTAGTTCGTCTTGTCGCTCTGCATGGAAGTCGTACACAACGATGCCATAAAGCGGGCCGCCGGGTTTCGTCGAAATGCTCGTTCGCGACTGATGGGCCCGTTCTTTCATAGAATCGCTGAGCGTGCTGCTCCCCGAGTAACCTGAATCGTCAGTCTTGCGGTTGTCGCTTCCATTTGATCCTTGGCTGTCCCTCCCGTTCCCGCCCATAAGTTGGAAGTAGTTCGCTGGAACCATTCCCTGAGTATGGGTAGTAGGGTTGTAGGCCTCGTAATAATCGTCCTCGTGGGAGACAACGTGGAAAAGGTCGCCTTTAGAGAATGCGAGTTCGCCAGGGTTTACGGGTTTGTAGTCTCGGGTTGCCTTGATTACCTGCGTGTTAAAGGAAGCCTAATATGATATGAGGATTATAAATTAGCCATCGATTCCGGCCCTGTCGGAGCAAAGTCTTGAGAGTTATAGAATTGTCATTACGTTTATCTTCTTTAGAGGCGGTGATTTTGGAGAGTTGCCGATATGCTGTACATTTGTGCCTTTGTCGCTTTTGAGCGACCTTCTAAGTCCCTAAGACGATAGTACGACGTCAGCATGCATAGCTAGCGACGATTATTCGGCCGTTATGACCCACCTGGAACATGTCGGACGGTATGAACTGGCTGACTCAGAGCAGTGAGGTCGGGAAGAGAGGATTCGAGTTGAGATGGTGATGCGTTGATGAGGGTGTTCTGGTAGGTGTTGAGCAGAGTTGAGTTTCGAACCTTCGCTTTCAATCTTATCCGCCGCAAGACGATAAACAATCGATGAATCCCGACGAGCTTCAAATCGGTCGCCGTCGCCGCTACCTATTATTCCGTTTCCTACGAATAGCCTAATCGAGCTGAGACGATAGCGATGGCGGTGAAATTATGAGAGTGACTGTGGCGGAGAACAGCGACAAAGCCCTCCCTTTTTTTTTTCAATGTTTCCTGCAGCTCACTCGATGGCGCCGTATACGAATCTGAACCCGATTTCCCGCCTAATCCTAGTTTTTCGGATAGATTCTCGTGGCCCAGGCTCGATAGCGTTTCAGAAGGCGGTCAAAAGCCTCCGTTGGTCGAGAGTCTTGAAACGGGAACAGCGTGAGGATGTCGTCTGGACGAGGTTCGTCGACGTCGGTGGAAGGAGACGGCTGATCTTTCAGAGTGAGACTTTCGCTTTTGAGGACCCTGTTCGTTCGTCTTGTCCTTGTCCTCGTCCTCGTGGTGGGATGTTCTGGAGTGGAGTGGAGTGGTGGAAGAGATGACCGGTTTGTCGGCTGCTCTGAGTGGGAATTGAAAGGGCTACCATACAGTACCGTACTGGGCTAAACAAGACAGGACAGGCTCACATCCAGCTCGAATGCCCGGAACCAGATCAATCTCCAGCGAAAGGCCGTTCGGGTGAAACTGGACTGAGGGCGTAAGGTGGAATGGGAGGTTGCGATTGCGATCAGCTGATTGGATGGATGCGCTCTGGGCTAAAATCTAGCTCAGACGTCGATTTATATTATATTGCAGTGTCGTCAGCGGATTATCGTCAGTCGCATATGTTATCCCACGACAATTGATCAAACACTACTTTGGGTCATCGGCTTCGAGAAGAAAGAGAACAATAGGAATGTCCGGCTTGAAGAAGACGAAGAAAATGAAGCTAGGTACGTAAGTCAGAAGTATTTTCCTATCTTACTTTTTTATTTTATTTTTTTATTCCTTCTGTTTTATTCTTTTTTATTTTATGCTTCGGCTTCGCTCGATAATACATTTTGATTGCACGGATATCCTGCATGTTGGAAACCCTGCGGCAGGTTTAATCTTATTTTTAATTTTTCCTGTCAAACGAGCATACAACCACATTCCAGTCACTCGCTCCACCGACATGCAGGCAGGGAAGGATGGCGGGCGGGAGGTAGGTTGAGGTATCTGAGTACCTGAGCTATCGAGCGAATCTAATCCAATTCAATCAGGTATGTCACGGTATCACATTCGTGGGCAATGTCGACATCATGCTAATTGTCATCCCAGATGTAAGTACTTACAGTCCTGGCACTTGCTAACATTACCCACCACCCTAGTGGTAGGAAGCATTTATTATTTATTCGTTCGTTCATTCATTCGCTTCGCCATGCCATCCAGTTAGATGAGATGCATGCCGGTATGATATAGTATCATGCCAAATGCAATGATCCATCATATCCTCCCTCTCAGGATCAAGAAGAAGGAGAAGAAGAGCATTGCCTGCTTTTGCCCAACGTTGCGCTACCACACAGTCGAATGTAGCCCAATCGCTCATTGAGATGTGATCATTTCACGGCGGCCTGCAATCTCTCCAATCAAAGCTTTTCTCACCACTATGCATCGGTTTGGGAAGGTGGGGAAACAAAAAAAAAAGTGGCCTTTGAATCCGAACCTCCTATATCCTCTATCTGACGGACATACACAGAATACTCGTCTAAACATGGATACATAAATACTTCCCTACACAATCCTAACCGGTCTTATCCCGATGGGTTTACGCTTGTGTCTTCTTGTGTTCCAAAAGAAGACTGTCTGTCTTCTGCCGGATGTCGAAAAAAAAAAACCCTCGTCGGAATACAATGCAACAGATGTACTGACTAAAAGGCCCAGCATTGCGAAATCTACTGGGATGGAATTTGTTATTATTGACCAGGAATCTTACCGATCCATGCCTTTGCTGTTTGCCCGCTTTCCTGTGCCTTCCGATGCCCGTCAGATCACCCTTCCACCCTCCAGCCGTGTCTTCGTTCAACCGACCTACCAGCTGAACCATCTCTAGCCCGGGCGGTTGGAGTCCCACTAAAAACTAACCCTGCCCAAATACCTTCTAGAAAGCTCTTGCAATCATCCTCAAACCCTGAATGGCTTGTCCTTAAGCTGACGGCTCAAAAAGCCATCGCATCCCAGTCACCCCGCCATATATCGATAGACTGAGGCTCGTTTTTGCCCAATCACAGCCACCTTTACAGGGCTCCCACGTTTTCGACCTTTCAACACAGACTAAGCTTCAAAATGTCTACCACAAGCGAGCTAACCTCTTAGATTCGACAGTCAAAATATCGGACCCAGAAAGTCTAGAGTATTTAGGCGCCCGCACGGTAGCTATTAATAGCAGGAACTCCGGTGACTCGAATTATCTTCATCATTCTGGAGGGGAAAAGTTATTCTATTTTCCGCTTTATATTATATCTTCGGTATCGATAACGGGATGTGTATAGCCATCTTGCTGCAGGTTGTACCCCGCTATGCAGGTCGCCCCATGTCTTACCAAGTGATATGATGTTAAAATACCACTAGAACGACTGTTAGCGTTCACGTAGAACATGGTACCATTTTATATATCCACGCTTATTTCCACCCAAGCACGGAGATATTCGATGGAGCTATTCATACTCATGGCTTTTAAAAAAGATCAAGTCTTCAATAATACGATAATGTCGCTTACAACCACCTTTTCACAAAAATAATAATAATAATAATAATAAAACTAAGAAATTTAAACGCTTTGTGGCGGCCATATGCATTTAATGACAAGAGTCCATATGTACACCGACGAAGCTGTGTATCCCGCTTCACGAGCTCAACCAGACGCAATAGGAACTCTAGTTTTCGATTCGCCCATCTTCAATCTCCATAGCCCTTCTACGCCCCTCCTATTCCGAATCCTCACATCCATTTTCTCATTCGGAGGTTCTATAACGGCGAGCGCTCCAGTCAACAGCTTCGGCTCCTTCCACTGACCTTCGCCGTAGACCGGGTCAACTTCAAACCTTAGCACCATCAATGCCGTGAAAAGTAATATCTGCGTCGCTGCAAACTGTCTAGCAGGACACAGCGTCGGCGCTGTACCCCACGCCAAAAAAGCGTACGACGTTGACAATGCAGATCTCCCAATTGGTAGCCCTTTCTCGGATGTAAACCTCCTCGGATTATATTCCTTTGCGTTTGCGCCCCATATCTCAGGATGGTTATGTATCATCTTATTTGGTATTATTATCATGCTTCCCTTTTTCAACCAGTGCCTTCCGTCCAACACTGTGTCCTCCATCGCTTTACGGACATTTGCATGTCTAAATCTTGTTCTTTGAGTTTCTTCATGGGCGGACAATAGTAAAGGACAACGGGATTTGAGTGCTGCGAGATCAAGCTCGAATATTTGCTCCTTCTCGTTATTGTGCCTAGTTACAGCGACTCGCTCCAATTCCTCACGGATATCGGCGAGTAGTTGTGGCCTAGAGAATATATCCCAGACTGTCCAGAAGACTGTCGGACTTAAATTTCCAATAAGCCCCACGGTGAACAGCGCCTGTGAGGATGCCATATCTTTGACCGGTACTTGATCTCTAGTATATAACCGCTCCCTGGCAAAAATAACCTCTCCGGCATCCGAGTGATCGCTTTGAAGATACTGGCTAAATGAATTGAGAAATTTATCCCGTGCCTTGGCCGATTCTTTCAATAGGAAGTTAGGGTACCCAGAAAGATGCCTCATTATATTTGGATACCATCCTCTATATCATGTCAAAGAATTTTAGCTATGCATTTTCCGAGAATGTGTATATCCAAATAAATTGAAACTTACAAGAAAGCGCCCCATATCTCAGGGTCTCTCATCGGATTCGCACTACCATATATCCCATTTGTAGCCGCGATCATGTTCGTATACCTCGTCCACTCGAAGAAATCTGCCACCGCACTTCCTTGCATTGAGATTTGTTCGGATAATTTCTCCATCTCAAGCATTAAAGTATCTGCTACTCGGACATTTTGATGGTCCAGATCCTTTCCGGGGGTCCATGCCGCAAGTTGAACCCTTGTAATTTCATGTATGTGATCCGTATCGAACAAGTCGAGCGTATGCTTTGATGGACGGGTTAAGGCGTCTGCGAATTGCTTTTGAAACGGGGCGAAGGACAGTGATTTATTTTTCTGAACAGCAGGAATAAGGTGTCGAGAGTTTATGATATAAATACGAAAGCTGAAGAAGTTGATAGCAAAGATTTCTTCAGTACGGCCGACACTTTTTTATATATGAAATATTAGCTCCAGCTCGGTGTCTTTTTTCTTGAATAAGGATATCATGTGGGTGGAGATTGAATTTAGTAGATATACCTAATAATTGCAGCGTATCCGGTAGCATACTTGGCGAAGCCAATGAGATGTCCAATGAGTGGAATGCTGGGTGCGATGGTCGGGGGTTCCTTAGGATCATAACGCCGTCTAAACCAGAAGTCTAGCACGAGGAGGAAGCCCAATACACCAAAGATGCTGTAGATAGTTGTGATCATGGTATTGCACTTGATCGAAGGAGAATTTTGACCCTAGTGGAGGTTTCACAAAGATGTATATATATACTCGGTATTTACGGGAAATTTGGGTTTATATACCCTCTATTTGGTCGCTAGTGCCGACGAAGCTACCTGTGAGGGCTTCTTCTTAACGCAATATAGACCGTCCCGTGTTTGACTCCACGTTTCTTTGCATGAGATTACTTTGAAGCGTCATCATCTGCGAAACCTGTTGGATTTCCATGGTCAAAACAGGACTGGGCGAAGCTGGGCTCACCGACTAGCACCAATTGGGTTGTATCCGGCAGTTATGTAGGAACGGAGGGTAAAATACAACAATCGCCATTGGTTCGGAGCCACCCAGAAACAGATAATCTGCGTGAAAACGGACAATTCAATTGATAGAATAGGTTAATGTAAAACGCGGTGGGTATAGCCAAGATTAGTCCCACGAGAGGGCACTGTCAGCAGCTCACATAGTGATGTTGGCATCAGAATTATCCGCGCCTTCATCGTCGGCATCCTCACTATTTGGGCTAGCCGGGTCTTCGGGGTATTTCTCCCTCATAGGGCTGTCCTTCATTTCAATATCACCTTCCCTACCCAGATCCTCCTTCGGGGATACTTCCTTGGTAGAGTCCTTACCAGCCATGATCAACTTTGCTGCGTTTTGAGAGTTTTGTGCATTCTTGTTTTTGTGTTTTTAGAAATTAGCATTGCGCTACTCACTCAGATATAAAGCCACTTACCCAAATAATCCTGAACATTGAGTTGACCTTCTGCAGGACATCTTTTCTCAGAACTTTCGTCATTTTCCTCCCTAGGTAATCGTCGATCTTGCCATGAGCTGCTGCTAAGACGACCGAATTATTAACTTGTGCGGCGGAGCTATCAACCCCATCGACAAGATTATGCAAAGACATTGGGTTCGTGTTGGCCCCAAGCTTTGGACTCGCAGTACTTGTCGGCCCTGAAAGCTTAGCGATCAAGTCTGGAACTACTTCTTGATACAGCAAAGAAAATGTGTCAGTGAGCAAGTCGTCAATCATAGCGGTCTTTGTCTGTCCCGTATTTAGCTTTTTGAGATCGTAAGTATCCTTAAGAATTTCAAACATTTTGCCCTTCTGGTTTTCCGGATTCTCATAATGCTCTTCCATCTTTTGGGAATAGGTATTAAATTCGTCGTACGTAACGTTCTCATATACCGTCGTCTCCATATTTTCACCAATTTCATTGACTTGGCGCAGGGTTTTGGCATATGTAAGGACAACTTTGTCCCAGACTTCTGGCTGTTTCCAACATCCGCCAGTGGATCCAGCTTTCTTGAGTTTCTTCACCAGCGCTTCCAGTGTTGACTTATCATTGATTTCTCCCAGTATCTGGGTCCAGAATAACAGGTATTGATGGACATAGACGTAATGTCGCCCGGGGCGTTCATTCTCGGGCTTCCAGATTGTATAAAGCTGGTTCTTGTGAGAAAAGAACGTCGAGATTTCTTTATGCGCCTTGTCATGATCTTCAATATCATCATACATGATTCTCGCCATTCGATACGTCATACGGTGGTGCCACTTTTGCTTATCTAAATTTCGTATCTTGTTGAGAAGGTCGTGTATGCCCCTAGCAAAGGTCGTGAATGAGACTGGGTCTTGAGCGAGATCCTTCAGGTTCTTTTGGAGCCATGGGTTTGCATTGAGTTGTTCGTAGGCCTCTTGAATCTATTCATCTTGTCAATATATGAAAAGTTAGAAGTACCGAGTAGGGAACATACTGCGATCTCGCCAGATTTGGCGTACTTATAGACGGATGCAACGAGCTTATAGTAAGGTTCAAGAACTTGTTCACCCCTGTCCCGAATAGGGATCTGGCTGACAGCGTCCGAAAGATATGAGAGAATGACCTGTGGTTCTGCTTCAAGCTTCCCGTAACACTTAGCAATCATATAGTAATTTTTCCAGTCAGTTGAGCCCTCTTTGATCGCCCGCTTGAAAAGTGTGATGGCGAATTTCAAGGCATTTTCGAGCGAGACGTCGCCGTGTATTCGCTGCATGAACACACCCTCTGCACCACTGCAGTATCGTTCATAGCCATCAACTAGGAAGGCCTCGCGTTCGAGAGGTGGCCGGATAGCGGAGTATACTTGCATTGCAAAATCGATGTATAATTGACACTTGTTGGCTGCATCCTCCTCCGATTCGTCCTCTTCTTCGGAAATAAGCCCAATTGCCATAGAGTAACAATGCAATATTTTCCGCTCAAGGACAGCCAGCTCATCTCTCTTCGCATTGATCTTCTCGGCTCCATAGGTAATGTCATCCTCGAATTGAAATTCATATGATTGCCCGAGACGGTACCACGGCTCCCAGCGCTGGAAGTTTCCACAAACGAGATTATATCGAAGGTATTTGACAACATCTTCTACATCATCAACGTCTTGGTTTTGGGCCTTTTTTGCAAATTTGTATCGGAGGAATAATGACATGCCATATTCAAAGAAGAAACCCTTCTCAGCCACCTTTGCGTAATCAGATCGAATCGAAACGAAGTTCGGGGTACTCCCACCCCGAAGGGAGGCATAAAAGGGAAGAGGATTCATTGGAGAGCCAATATACTCATCTAGCATTTTGGTGTTATATGCAACATCCTTATCCCTGTCGGAGGGTGTGCCGATGACATCAACTAGTGTCTGCATGGCCTCTTTCATGGCGCCCTTGAGCCCAACTTGCGCAGATTTCTTCTTTTCAGCGAGAGTCATAACGAAGGGGAAAACCTTGAGAGCAGTATCACGATCCAGTTTCAATGGGTCGCATTTGTGATCTGCTACATCATATAGATCAAGGGCGACATCAAAATTATAGACACACTTTAAGCACTGGACTAGATCCGGCTCCGAACCTTGGATTTCGAAGTCCAGAATATCTTTAAGCGCAATTTTGAGAAAGACTCGACTATGCAACTTGCATAAATTGCGAATCCCAATTTCTGTGTGTATCGCCGAGGCAAGTCGGACACACTTTTCTTGCCAAATTTGAGTCGAGTCATCTTCCGACGGAGTCTCGACTTTGCCTCGATACATGAGGTACATCATCGACCAGCAGTGGACAAGGAGTTTGTTCATCGCTGTTGTCAACATTCTGTATGAATGGAGAGTTGGTTTCGTGATTTCACCTGACACGACAGCATCCTCGAAGAAAACATAGACGTGTAATAGTCGAAGAATTTGGGGTATGATGGTGTATGCCATATTTTGGAGTTCTGGGTTGAGGTTCAAGAGTTTTCGAGGGTCTCCGATTAGTTGCTCAGCCATACCGGGTAACGTTTCATTGAGCTAAGGAATTAGCATTATACAACCAATCTATACTACGAGGGGACGAAATTAACATACCCAGAAAATGGCTCGCAATAAAATAAATGTTCTATTCTCAACGGATTTTTCGGAATAGGCCGGATTCATCAACTCTTTGACGATAATATTCATACAGGTGATCCGGCACCTCAGAACATTAGCATAGTCCCCCAAGCGGTTGTAAGCCTAAAGAGCGTTAGAATTGGAGTTCGCAATTAGCTAATGATGTGACTTACATCTCGTAGTTTCTGCCAAAGAGAAACTTTCACTTGTACACTTGATGTCTCTAGGACTTTTGTCATTTCCTGGATATTCTTGATTCCATCCTCGTCGATGTCGTATTCTTCAACTTTCGGCTCGAGGATAATTTCGAGGTCCTCGATTACTTCGAAAGGGTCTGTGCTTTGAACAGCCGACGAGAAGATGTTTGCGAAGAAATCCATAGTTTTCGCCTTGGAAATTTCTCTATCTGCCCGAGCGACCGATATTTCCGGCATAGAAGCGCTGAATGATGTGGTTAGATAGCCTCGGGTACTGTATATAATCGCATAACTCTGGTTGACTTACCTATTTGGGAGCTCGATTGTCGGATTGCCTAACCGTGTTAAGGTTTCTTTTAAATCATCATAGCATTCCAACAGGAAATCCCGTGAGGGGTTTGTGAAGGGGACAAGAACGGCATTTGCCCATAGATACCGCAGAGTTAGAGAGTCTAGATGAATGTTACTCTCCTCATCCCGGGCACGGAATCTCATAAGATCCCCAACTAACGTTCCCCACCTAACAGCCTTCAACTTCAACGGAGAAGCTTCATTTGTTGAAAGTTCTGTCGAGTTTCTGTCTCGCTCGCTAGATGAGAGATTATCCAACGATAGCTCGAACAATGACTGAGCGACCTCGACTTCCCCATTAATAAAGTCCTCCGAAGCATTCCCCTCGCTCAAGTCGTCTCGAAGTTGCTGAAAATAGCGTTCAAAATCTTCGTTCCGGGACTCAGAAAGGGTGCGAACCACGTCCTTGAGGGTTTCAGACCATGAATAAGCAGAATATTTTGCTTTTCCACCATTGCCAGCAGAGAGTAAAGCGCGAACAAAAGAAACGCAAAGTTCAGGAATTTGGAGTCTTTGACTATTCGACTTCTGGATCCATCGCCGAAGCCCATCATCTGCGGGTAACGATGGTCTCTGCGATTGAGTCGCGCTTGGGGCAGCCTGAGTAAAACTCTGTAAACTTAGAATCTCCTCGTCTGGCCTACGTTCAAGTTAGCATAAGTTTCGAAATGGTTTGAATGTAGGGCTCAAACTTTTTAATTCCCTCGCCATAAAGGGCAACATTGCCTTTCTCGTCATCCCATTCTACTAGCGTGCTTTTGAAGTCTTTGATAAATATATCGCTCACGGAGAAGCCATTATCTTCATCGTCCTCCTTCTTAAGATCAGGCTTCAGTAAAGAGGATGGCCCCAACGATATTCCTAACTCAGCAAACAATTCGTTTGCCGTTTTAAAGAGCCTATCTTCAAGCACTACCGATTCTCGAGGGGTTATTTCTGTGATAACTGCGGCAGCGGCGGCAGCTGCGTTAGACTCGCGGTTCCTGACTCTCTTGCTGGCCCTTGTACTTCCTTCAGCATCAACTGGGACTGCAGAACCCTTCCTCTTAGCATTCGTTGAAGTACTTCTCCTCCGAGCGGCAATAGGGCGTTCAATTTCCTGGTCATCGACCATTGGGACGTCACCATCAGGAGACAATTTGACTGCTATTTCTGCTATTGGAGTAGGGGCAGGTATTTCAAGCTCCAAAGGCTCTCCTTCTAGTTGTATTACTACAGAGCGGTCGGCTACTGCGTCTTCATCTTGCAGGCGGTCGAGTATTGCAACACCCACAGCTGTCCAGTTCTTTTTCGAAACGGTGAGAACATCGTACTGCCCCTCGTGGTCTGTAGAAATTGTGATTTGGGAAGAAGCTTTGAGCCATGGGTAGACCTCCAGATAGACCTGATACTTCGGATTCAGCGACTTATTTCCAACCTTTTTGAATGTTTTTGACTGAAGGCCGACGTCGTCAGATGTTTCCTTGAGTGTCTACCGTTGTCTATTAGCACACATTCCAAGAGTGCAACATCGTAAGCATAGTATATAGGGGCCCACATACATCTCTAAGGAGGAAAGTTGCGTAAAGTTCTTCTGGATTAGAGGGTGTGGACTGGCTCAAGACCGAGTCCAGTCCCCTCGAAACTACAGCCTCCAGCGCGAACCGAGTTAACCGTGACGACTTTAGCCGCTTAGCAAGCTTAGCAGTCTTGCGCCAAAGCGAACCATCATCCGCATCTCTAGCCAGGGCTTCCCCAAACCATTCCAGCGCCTGTGCAATGATCTTGTCCGCTTCTTCGTCGGAGTATTCATTCACCCTTGCTTTCATGAGATCCAGCTTGAACTCCGCATACCCCCGATATGCCAGGTACAATATGTTTCGTAGCCGTAATGCCTATTTTTCAGCTAAAATTAACATTGTTTAGGTGGATTTGTCCGAAAATGACTTGGGAATACCCACATCCTCCGTCTGATCCTGCTGAAAGATCTCCGAACGGAATAATTCTTCGAAAGTCTCACCAGCCGACTTCCATTCCTTCTCGCTGTGTAGTTTCAATGCCTTCTGATGTAGTTTGAGAGCCTCTTCGATCTAGCTAGTCCGTCAGTAAGCCTGCGCAACGTCCTGGTTTCGACAATGGGAAGTTCGAACTTGGATTTCTTGTGTATTATCGGCAACTTCTTCGTCCTCCGAATCCTCGAGTATGTTAAGGGCAGCCCAGGAAGCCTACACAAGCACACCGTTAGCATTCGTCTCCGGGAATAAGGCGGAATTGATGATACCATGGCGAGATGATTGCCTATAGGTGGTGACGATGGCAGTGGTGATGACAAGGGATAAGTATGTAAATATTTAAGATTGATGAAGGATTAAGATATATGAGCGCTGAGACTGGCCATGGAACTGCGGGCATCTGGCGGGCGCTGGAAGCTCTTGGGCGCAAGTTCGAGCTGTGTCCATGTCCAGGATGGGGAGACGCGTTTGAGGTGGCGTCCCCGGGAATCCCATGGGCTCTGGTGTGTCACATGACCATGTTGGGGGAGCATCTGTCCCTGAAATTAGCTTATCCAGGGGCCCCGTGGTGATGCCCAGCTCTCAGTCTTATTTTGGCCGCCCGGAGTCGTTCAGCCAGCAAGTCCCCACAGCAGTAATCCTGTTAACATTAACTATCACGAACTTCCTCGTCAGCATCCTCATCGGCATCATTCCAACCCGTAGTTACCTACGAACTCGCCCAAAAGCTACTCTCCCTATTCCTTCGCAAATATCTCGGCTTCGTACCACCGAGTTTCCACGATCATGGTTCAGCCCGCGGTGCCAGAGTAAGACACCTCTGTCCACAATTGCGACTCCCGGGACGGTATCCCACAATACTAACCGCATACCATCACTAGGCTAGTCGAAGTCGACCTACATGAATCCCTAGAGGCGCGAACCGAGTCCTTGCTTACCCTGCGCCAATTGGGGCCTCCTGATCTGGTTCACCTAATTAAGGTTCAGCCAAAAGGAACTCACAAAGAGGTACTACCTTCCAGCTTCACAATAACTCAGTCATGGGAACAATACCTTACAATCCCGATTTGTGCGATTATTAGATTGGAACATACCATCATGTCACAGGAATAGACGCTTCATCCTCGGCCTCTCTCGCCGCTTACATCAATACGCTCACCTACTCAATTGGCGAGAACCAGATATGGTTTGGAAAGCCGCAGTCATGGAAGATTCAAGCAGGAACTTATTGGTAAAGGGAATCCATATGTTTTATCCAAGAATATATGCGTACATTTACATATTCTGATATCTTTTCGGTTTGATAGCTGCTATAATGCCTTCTCCCGAGTCGACATGCGTGTCGACGTCAGCTTCCCGGGAAGTGTAGACGCTTACGCAGTGGATGATCGTGGCGAAAGACGGGTAGCGACAGAGCCGCTATGGCTGGAAACATATCTCTGTTCCGTTTTACGAGCTTATGCTTATGCTGAGGATAGTGTGCAAACGCGGATTGTGGGCTGTCGTCGATTCAACCCTATTGTCTCAACCGAGAGCGAACATAGGTTCCTTGATGCAGCGGAGAGGCTATTCGCGAAAGGGTGGCAGCTGGGTTCGGACCCGGAAGTCCAGGTTCCTAACCTCGTATCTAACCATCTGACCACCGGGGTCCTCAAATACATTCAGACAACTGGCCGGTTTGCAAGTGGTGTAAACCTGTTCGAGAAGCTACGGATTAAGTACCCAGAGGTCGCTTCTCTTCTCGCCAGGGTGTTGATAGATGCAGACGAAGAGGTCAAGGCGGTGCAGCTCCTCTACGAAACAATCAAAGTACTACCAATGGATCATGCTTTGCTCAGTGTACAGGCGGACTTCTGCCAAAGCAAAGGAAGGAGTGATTTGGCTCTCGAATGTGCAAAGAGGGCTGTTAATTCTGCGCCTAGCGAATTTACAACATGGGCCAAGCTAGCAGAGATCTATATTGCCCTTGAACAGTATGAAATGGTGAGTGCGATCGATGGGCGGGATATCATCCGGATTAGATACTAATAAACCGGTTAGGCATTATTAACATTAAACTCGTGTCCAATGTTTACATATCAAGAGCGAGATTTCCCAAGAATGCCACAACCTGCTAAAATGCATCTCCCGATACTCCCAGAGTCGATGATAGACGAGTCACTTGATGAGTATGACGTCAAGCAGGATCCAGTAAGTGATGAAGACAGCTTTATTTTAATATATACAATACCAGGCGATCCAGCTAATACTATGCTTTAGCTACCTGCTGCATCCCTGAAAGGCACTTTCGCTACGGCGTATAGGCTGTTAACCGAAATAGTGGCCCAAGTCGGCTGGGACACTCTTCTAAAATGCAGATCAAACGTATTTGTCATGGAGGAAGAATATAGACACGAGAAAAACGCTAGTACGGTTACAAATGCAAGCACAACGGCACTTCGAGGGAACAGTTCAGAAGCTGAACGGAAACCGGAAGAGCTAGAAAAACCCAATGGGTCGGCGGAGAAGCCCAATGACGAGAAGGAAGTTACAGAAAGCATTGCCGCGATATCGATATCAGAATCCAATGCGGACACGGTAATAGAGAAGCCGGAACAGACAAAGGAAAATGATAATGACGAGGAGGGTTCAGAGGACGATAGTAAAAACTATACTCAATTTCAGAACAAACGTCTCTGTGAGCGGTGGCTGGACAATCTTTTCATGGTTTTGTATGAGGATCTTAGGATATACACGATATGGCGTGGCGAAATCCAGAAACAAAAGATGAAGAACCTACCAGTAGAAAAGAGCGCGAGTGACTGGGAGATTCACGGAGAGCTTGCAGAGCGGTTACATCACGTCGATGAGGCCATCGAGGCATATCGAAATTGTTTGAATATAAGGTTCTCAAGCAAGGCCTTTAGGGGACTACTCGTTGCACAAGAAAAGGCCCGAGATGTTAGAGGGGCCTTGAACAGCATCATAAGGTTGACTGCATGGAATTATAGGTGGTACTCCGAGGTAAGATGTTTCGATTCAAAGAGTAGATATATAAATTATTGCTAACGCAGGTTCTACACTTAGTTCTCTCCGAACCTTCTTAATTCGGTCCGAAAACTAATTGCAGAAGAGGGAGCCATCAAGTTCAGAAGTGTAGTACAGTCGACGAATCTCCCACAGTCGGCTCTGGACTTAACTCACCATTATTCTGAAATCTGCGTTGCTTTCCGAAGCAGTGGCAGTGAGATGTAAATATCGAGGTTGTGATTTTATTTCCTTCCATGCAACGGGTCACGTTGGCCCGACATATATTCTACTTTTAAATTTTGAAGTTCGAAAATGGATTTGGGGTGGGATAGAGTCCCTTATGTTATACTGGCCGGGACGGTAATTTCTTCTACGTCATCTTTTTACATCGTCACCAACATCCATATATATATACCTTACTTAGCTTCTTTCGAGATAAGTGCCTAAGTACTTACCTACTATTCATATCAGGAAAACCGTTGTCCCGGAATTCGGCAGTGCATGATCTATCTGTTCTTAAGATTTTGTTTGGAGATTTTCGGTTCTGTGGATATCAAGACATTGACATGAATTAGAAAAAATAGAATTGGCTTAAATTCAATTAAATGTTTCCGTATCTGATGTTACTCTTTCCAAAAACATTCTACACAATCGAAATGATATAATTGAAATCATATAACCGGGCCGTTTTTATATATCACGATGATACATCCGGACCCCAGACTCATGATCATACGCATATCATCACGGGCAAACAAAACTGGGTTCAGTACTACTTACAAGGTACGCATACTATAATATGGTATATACAAGCCGAGCTCCCTTCTGCGCGATTCCACCGCCTTCCTGGCCGAGTGCTCGGTTGAAAGGTGGGCATGTCCCGCTTTGCCCGAAAAGTGCTAGCGGGGCGGGCTCACAGTCGCTATCGATTGCCGAACCAAACGCATATAAAATTTTCTTTGCGTGGAATTTTTCACCTCTCCCAAAATTTTCCTTCCATCATCCCGCTGCCATCCACATCCACAAAACCTCCCCATCTTTTCACTTTCCTCCGTAGACAGGAATTCCATCTTCCTCGTGAGAAGAATAAATCCTCTATTCTCAATCTCTTCGGATTCTTCCTTTGCTCTGATTACCTTTTCTCTCTCCAGCGAAAGGTCTTTGACACTCCCTCTTGCACTCACCCCCACCATCTATATCCGCTCACACACACAAAATGCTTGCCGCCAGAGCAGCGAGAGCTGTAAGTTTCTGTTTTTGGCCCCAAGTAACCAAAATATCACCAGATAAGCTCCTAACATGAATTGATTATCTAGCTCCCTCGAGGAGGCGCCGCCCGTCTATGGAACCAAACCTCGGTTCGATCGTCCTTGAGCTCCGTCTATGCCAGGCATCAGTCGACAGACCAGAAGGTTACCGGTGCCGTCGTTGGTATCGATCTCGGTAAGTCACCAGGCTCGGCCCTATTGGTCCAAGGGCGCTGATATTAATCATATCATCGATAGGCACAACCAACTCTGCCGTCTGTATCATGGAGGGAAAGGTCCCAAAGATTATTGAAAACTCCGAGGGTTCGAGGACAACGCCATCCGTTGTTGGTTTCACTTCCGACGGTGAGCGATTAGTTGGTATTTCCGCTAAGCGTCAGAGCATTGTCAACTCTGATGCCACCGTATTTGCCACCAAGCGTCTCATCGGAAGAAAGTTCACGGATGCTGAAGTCCAGAAGGATATCAAGGAAGTCCCCTTCAAGATCGTCCAGCACACCAACGGAGATGCCTGGGTTGAGGCCCGTGGCGAAAAGTACAGTCCTTCGCAGATTGGTGGTTTCGTCCTCGGAAAGATGAAGGAAACTGCTGAGGGTTACCTTAGCAAGCCCGTTAAGAATGCCGTTGTCACTGTCCCAGCTTACTTCAACGATTCCCAGCGTCAAGCTACCAAGGATGCCGGGCAGATTGCCGGTTTGAACGTTCTTCGTGTTGTTAACGAGCCCACCGCTGCTGCTTTGGCCTATGGTCTTGATAAGGATGCCGACAAAATCATTGCCGTCTATGATCTTGGTGGCGGTACATTCGATGTCTCCATTCTCGAGATCCAAAAGGGTGTCTTTGAAGTCAAGTCTACCAACGGCGACACCCATCTCGGTGGTGAGGACTTCGATATCACTCTTGTCCGCCACTTGGTTGAGCAGTTCAAGAAGGAGCAGGGCATTGATCTGTCCAAAGATCGCATGGCTATCCAGAGAATTCGTGAGGCCTCTGAAAAGGCTAAAATCGAATTGTCCTCCAGCGCTTCCACTGATATCAACCTTCCTTTCATCACTGCTGATGCCTCCGGTCCAAAGCACATCAACACCAAGCTTTCCCGGGCTCAATTCGAGAACCTTGTCGGCCCATTAGTCACCAAGACCATCGATCCAGTCCGAAAGGCTCTCAAGGATGCCGGCCTTCAAGCCAAGGAAATTCAAGAAGTCATCCTCGTTGGTGGTATGACCCGTATGCCAAAGGTCATCGAGACTGTCAAGAGCTTGTTCGGCCGTGATCCTGCCAAGTCCGTCAACCCTGACGAAGCTGTTGCCATCGGTGCTGCCATCCAGGGTGCAGTCCTCGCTGGAGAAGTTACCGATCTCTTGTTGCTCGATGTCACCCCATTGTCCCTTGGTATTGAAACCCTTGGAGGCGTCTTTACTCGTTTGATCAACCGAAACACCACCATCCCTACCAAGAAGTCCCAAGTCTTCTCTACTGCTGCCGATTTCCAAACCGCCGTCGAGATCAAGGTTTACCAGGGAGAGCGTGAGCTCGTCCGTGATAACAAGCTCTTGGGCAACTTCCAGTTGGTTGGAATCCCGCCAGCCCATCGTGGTGTTCCACAGATCGAGGTTACTTTCGACATCGATGCCGACTCCATTGTTCATGTTCACGCCAAGGATAAGTCCACTAACAAGGACCAGTCCATCACCATTGCTTCCGGTTCCGGTTTGAGCGACAGCGAAATCCAGTCCATGGTTGACGATGCTGAGCGATATGCCGAGACCGACAAAGCCCGCAAGCACCTCATTGAGACTGCTAATCGCGCCGACAGCTTCATCAACGATACCGAGAAGGCCATGAAGGAGTTTGAAGACAGGATCGACAAGGCTGAAGCTGAGAAGATCAAGGAGAAGATCACTTCTCTCCGTGAATTGGTTGGCCAATCCCAAGGTGGAGAGAGCACCGTTACCGGTGAGGAACTCAAGGCCAAGATGGACGAACTCCAGATGGCTAGCTTGACCCTCTTCGACAAGATGCACCAAGCCGCCCGGGAGAAGGATGCCCCATCGGAAAGCAGCTCCAGCGAGTCTTCTGAGGGCCAGAACTCCAATACTGGATCTGGCGAACAGAAGCAGTAAATTCTGATTACCACTTGATGCTTTCTTCCGTCTAGCCCGACTTTTTATTCCCCCACTATACCCGTTGCGTCCTAATGCAAACCACGCTATTTTCTTCCATTGTATTCCTATTTCACCTATCGACTCATAATCGTCAAGCAAGGACCCGGCATCTCCCTCCTTCCGACCAGGTGTTCATACGGCATACCTCACTCAAAATCAAACACCCCACTCCCACTCCCCACATTATCATCATCTAAGCCCGTAGCAATGGGCTATATTATATTGTGATCTGTATATAGAAATTGAAAAGTTTTATGTTCTTTGGTGGTCTTCCTTTTTCCTTTACTTCTTTTTTTTAATTTTTTTTTTCGACCGCGGATTTCCGTCTATGGGAAGGAGTTCGAGAAACTGTTTATTATGAAATCTGTGTATATGGTTGTTTACCCCCCCCCCCCCCTCTCTCTTCTTTCCTTTTACGTTGCCCAATGGGACAGAATTTTGTTCCCATGGCTTCTCCATTCACGTCTTCTCATGTATAGACGGTCTGCTCTTTACAGAAAGATTTTGTACAAAGTTTTTTTGGTGATGGTGGAGTGTGGGTTTCTTTCGGTTTGTTATAGTGTCATATAATAAATTAAGATATCTCCACTCTGAGGTCAATATGCCCCAAATATGATTATATATGCCTGCCTACCTACTTATCTACCTGCTAAATAATTAAATATCTTACGTATGTGTATAATGGTTAGTATCGAAGCTAGATTTATATATTGCTGTAATATATAAGACCCTTTGAGTACCCGAGTACCCGCGAGATTCAGGTATGTCGTCTCCAAAACGCTGCGTATCGTGGTGGAGGATGGCGCTTTTGACAGAAACATCACGCAAAAAAAAAAAAAAAAGCCAAGGGTGTCCTTGCAGCTGCTAGCGTGTCCCCACCCTGTCATGGATTTCTTGCATTGGGGAGACAGTCGGGGATAATATTCGTCTGGGCTGAAAAAAAGCACATGCACCCAAGTACTCACATACTTAGCTTAGCTTGTATCACAGAAATCCAACCATGAACGATCAAGGTATTTGAGTAGACGTGTCGAATTGATATTAATAATTAATATTCTGAGATGAATTCATAAAAGTGGGATATCAAAGCGTAGGTGTGTATGTGATATCCATCCGAGACTCCTTCCTCTTTTTCCATGGGCCCAGCTGAAAGAGTCGCATTCGAGTTCTTTGTACGTAAGCCATCATACGGCTGCAGTACCGAATGTTTTTAGGGAAAGACTAAGCCAGGACGGTTAGTATACCATGTAAGTAAGGACCTGGACACCAGGGATATCGGCCATCTCCAGAGAAAAGACCCGTTCCTCCGCATTCCGAAAGTTGAAGTTGGAGTTTCCTTCCATGTAATTTGGTATATCATTTTGTATCGATATCGGCAGCGGCTCTTAGACAGGCTTTGGATCTGGTGTGACAAGACGGTACACAATCCACGGTATTTTAGATTTCTTTCGTGGGTGCCACTTTATCGTATATTATATTCTAAGGGTGGCAATACAGAGTACAGTATCGTGCAGGTGCTCACATTCTGACCAGGTTTTTTCTCTCTTTTTTCTCTTTTTTTTTTTTTTTTTTTCTCTTTCGAATTTCCTGCAGTCGAAGTGGAGTTGCAGTCAAGTTGCAGGACATGTGAGGAGGGTCTCTTCTTCTTCCTGTTCTTGTTCTCGTTCTTGTTCTCGTTCTTATTCCTCTTCTTTCTCTCCAACCTAATCTACGCCAGACCACTTTGTTTCGAACTCCCGTTGATTCATCACTCTTCTAAATACCTCCTCGTGGATGGATTGTCCGGCTTCACCACCCCCTCGCGACCCCGTATAACCGCATTCCTCCAACCATGACTGTCACCGACCCGTATGTATAGTTACTGTGCCTCTTTTACCTACCCTTACCTTGACTACATCAATCAGTGGAGAACTCCCATCTCGCTAACCGTTGGCTGTTGGCCACCACGAATAGGTCTGGGCAGGCAACCATCTCCTTCATCTCTCAAACGCCCTCTCCGGTCTTCTACAATGCCCCCGTGCCATATAAGTAAGCAATCCCTTCACCAGAAACACACTCTTTTCTTCCTTTCCTTTTCTTTGGTACAAAGTACGGTGTTTTAACTGTTATAAAACTTTATATATGTAGGCATTGGCAGCTCCGGTCACTGCTCTGTTCGCCACTCCCCAATGTTTTGTACTACCCTGTTGACGCCCGGATATACTCTCTGAACACGGCCACCAAGGAACGAAAATTGATCACTTTCCTACCTTTCGAACCAAGATGCATAAGTGCCAAGTATGGATGGATATGTACAGGTGGTGTGGAACATGGACAAATCGCAATCATCAAAATCGGGGACAAGCCTGCCTCTACGTCTGTCAGTCAACAACCAAGATCTGTAGCTGTTGATCCAACAGCTATAGAGTCCGAGCAAAGTTGGTGCCAGACAGAATATATTCGTTTAGCCGAGCTGGGTGGGACAATTGTTAATTCAATTACCCTATATCGGCCGGCTGATTCGAAGAAGGATGGCGATGTAATCGCTGTTATCACGTATGATTGAACCCCGCTTTGGACATGGCAAAATTTGGAACAAAATCCTAACGAGAGTTTTTCCTCTCTATTCTTCGATACTAGTAATAATGACAAGACAGTTCGGTTGTTTTCTCTTTCTAAGTTTGAAGTCATTACTACCCTCACCCTTGACTTTCCCACGAATCACGCCTCGATCTCGCCAAACGGCAAATATCTCGTCGTTGTTGGCGATTCCCCCAAGGTTTTCTTTTACGATCTTGCGTCCCTGACTTCAGAATCTAGCCCTGACTACTACTGGAAACTTACTTCCAGCCCATCATATGGCGGTGGTGATGCGTTGATCTCGACCGATTTCTCGCCATGTTCGAAATTATGCGCAGTGGCCTCGCAGGATGGATCAATAACATTGTTCGACACTCGGTTATTCGACGATGTGGACATTTCGCCGATTGTACGCGTCATTCAATCTTCGCGGCCACAAACTCAAGCGGGTGCAGTTCGTTGCGTCGTTTTCAGCCCGAGCCCCTGGGACCTCCTCGTATGGGCTGAGCATACAGATAGAATCACGATCACCGACATCCGAAGAGAATTCTGCTCGGAGACGATTCGAGTTAGTGTAGGTGGTGATAAAGTACAGCAGACAGAATTATCGGGCGATCCACTGTATCACGGGCGACCAGCTACGTTTGGTAGTACAGATGAAGCCGAACTTGCGTTTGCTGCAGAGGAACAGGAGATTCATGACGAAATGTATGCTGCAGCCGCTTTAGATGAGGACGAGACCGCGCTTCCGACCCAGCCACAAGCTCGGCCTCGTGAAGGGACATCGGCTTCAAGTGCTGGAAGAAGCAGTATATACTTGCCACCTTTGATCCTGTTTCATGATGGGCAGAGCTATCCGGCCGATTCGGGATTGCATCCTCCGAGGCGTTATTCAGGGGCCGATAGTTCGAGCTCTTCCGGCACCGCCACTAATGATGCTGCAACGTCTCCTGCCGCAAGTCGCAGCAACAATACGTCGAGTTCCCTTACATTATCTCGGTTACAGGCCTCATCAAGTGCCTTAGCCCAACTTGAGGCTCAGTATCAACGGCTCGTGGCCCAGCTCACCACTCCGCCACCTAGGCCGCCTACTTCTGCCCCATCAAATGCTAGTAATGACGGCAGTGAACAAAGTTCTAGTTCTTCCCCAATTGCATCTCGAAGACGATATCTAGCGTTACCAGCATCGGCCAGTGCGACAACCACGAACCCTAATGCTGATAATATCCTTCAGTTCGAAAGCCGGTGGTACCGAACTCGCCAGAGACAATGGCGATTAGAGTACTTGCGAAGGAGGGCAAGGGAGGGGGGCGTGTCTAGCACCGACCCGGGGGCCGAGAATGCGCTTAATACGGTTGTGCGGAGTAGAAGAGGAGATGGTGAGTTAGACATTACTGGGTTAACCTGGAGTTGCGACGGCAGGAAACTGTAAGTCTGAGCATAATTCTTTCCTTTTATCATGATACATACCGCTTGCTAACTCTGGATACAGGTATGTCGCAACTACCAGTGGCATTGTGGAATACGCTGTGGCTCCCAGAAACGTCTTCCCCAAATTTGATTTCCGTTGAACATATCTTTAGCTTTACAACTACTCATATAAGTAGCTATGGGAAGCCTATTTTGTCGATTTAGCGACCAAAACATGCTCATGCGCCTTATGAATTATCAGTATCTTGCTTGCTTGCTTTGATTTATTATTATTATTTTTACTTATTGTTTCTTTTGGGTTCAGGATGCCTCCTAAGTACCCGTTTGATTTGTTCACCCTTTCAGGATATTTTTTAGCTTCTTCGGTGGAATCATGTTGGGTGCATGCCGGTGTATCATTTTGGGATTTTGGAAAGGGCGAATGCGAATAATGCTTTTGTATGAACAAAATAGGCACTGGCGAAAAAGGGAACCGATGACTGCTGCAATGGAATTTGACCATTAGTATTATTATTAGTATTATTACTATTCATTACTCGTTTATTTCAATATCATGAGACGCGTGTCGTTATCTATTCAACTTACATACCTAAGCAGGTATACTTATCCAGTGTGTACATAAGTAAGTACCTGGGTTTGCGGTAGATGGCCAATGTGGTCGTGCCATGTAGTTGTAGCTCCTCTCAATAAATGAATGAATAAATGAATGAATGAATGAATGAATGTGTTGTGTTGTGTTGTGTGTTTGTGAGTCAGATGTGTTGTGCGTTGTGCGTTTGTCGTTTTGTGGCAGGAACAGCCCACGACCCACCCACTTTCTCCTAACTAGTAATAATATAGTACTTAACCATAATCTTTCTTCCTCCCAGCCAGCCATTTCCTCCCTCCCTTTCCTTACTCATCATCACTATCCTATCACCAACCATCAACAATCACAACCATCGACAGCTTCCATCTGGATAATCAACGTTGCGGCCTTCGACATCCTGCCGGCCCCCTCGATATCATCATCAGGTAAACATCACTCACATATCGTTTCGAAACAGCTTACTACTTTCACGATGACAACACCGCCCTGGAGAGCTGCTGGTGGAACTGCTGTTCAAAGTAAGTCCTTTTCTACCCCAGAACCTCGCCTTTTCATCAGACAACGGCTGACTCTCTCTCAGGACCAAGCTTCCACCCAGTACCTGTCCGTAAAAATCTCGGAAAAGCTAATAACAACAATGCTTACTCTGTTCGTCATCCTAACCATCGCCATCATCCGTATCCTGCGGTGAAAGCCAAAGCGAAAAACTCACATTACCATCACGAACAGGCATCTCAAGCTTCACAACAGCCAGCCCGTCGAACACAGTTTCCCGATGCACTCAAAGCTTATGTTGCACGAACATTCGAGGACTGTCCTTCGGAGAACAAAGCTGAGGTCGAAGTGTCTCTCAAAAAGATTATCACGGATGCCTTTGAGAACAAGTCAGTTTGGACCATAGACTGGGCCACACACCCGCTTCCCGCCGCCGCTCGCCGACAATCTACAACAAATTCCGACAAGATGGATATCTCTTCCGGCGACGATGCAAGCCCGATTATCAACACAAACAAAAAAAATAACTTTAACAACGTATCGAAAGGAAACAAACGCAAGCTGAGTAGTAGAATCGCAAGTGACAAGAATGACTTTAAAGTCACACGACCCGATAAGAAGTACAAGAAGACGAACGCCAGTGACTACTCTGATGAAGGCCCAGATGCTTTTAAGAAATTGGACAGCCGCTACAGGAGACATCAAACCAAGAATGTGTTCAGCCATTACAATGCTATGCATAGTGCCCTTGATTCCCCGGCCTTTGCTCCCATCGTCGGCAGAGCCACTAACTTGGAGAAGCGGTACTTGAGGTTGACTTCAGCACCAGATCCGGATACTGTCCGGCCTTTGCATGTTCTGGAGAAGGCCCTGGAATTGCTGAAGTCCAAGTGGAAGGCCGAAAATAACTACTCGTATATTTGTGATCAGTTCAAGTCCCTACGCCAAGATTTGACCGTCCAGCATATAAAAAATGACTTTACCATCAACGTTTACGAAATCCACGCTAGAATTGCGTTAGAGAAGGTAAGCAATCTCCATGATGAGATAGCATCAGGGAGCCAATACTAACAGACCATTGAATAGGCGGATTTGGGTGAGTATAACCAATGTCAATCACAGTTAGCCAATCTCTATTCCGAGAAGATTCCCGGCGGCCATCCACACGAGTTTAAGGCCTATCGAATTCTATATCTCCTACACACTTGCAACAGATCCGATATGAATGACATACTAGCAAGCCTAACCCCAGCAGAGAAAGAAGACCGTGCCATATTGCACGCACTAGCAGTCAGGAGTGCCGTCGCTGGCGGTAATTTCCACCGCTTCTTCAAGTTGTATCTCGATGCACCGAACATGGGGGGATACCTTATGGACTCCTTCATCGATCGCGAACGACTTGCTGCCCTTACTGCAATTTGTAAATCGTAGGTAACATCCGTGTCATTTCATCACCAGAGACGTTGCTAATGGTTCCCCGAACTAGGTACCGTCCCGACATCCCCTTCCGCCATATCACCGAGGAACTGGGATTTGAAAATGACGCCGAATGTGAAGCTTTTCTTGTGAAACACAACGCTGGCAATTTTATCAAGACTAAAGAGAGTGCTAAGGACGACGGAATCAACAAGATAGTCCTTGAAACTGCCAAAGCTCTGCCGACCGTCGAGGCAGCAAGAGCCGTTGCGTTCAAGAAAGTTGACATCAAGGGACAAATCTGAGTGTTCCCTAAACATCTATCACTCGCTTGATTACTTCTTTACCCAAATTTTTTTTTTACGACAACCCCGACCCACATGATAAGGTAACCATAACTAACACTGAAACCATTTTGCGGCTACGGCACCGCATCTCCCGACATGTGTGGGCTCAAATATCTATTCTAAGAGCTTAGCCCTTGGGTTCTCCATTGGCTTTGCAAACCGGAAACATCTTTCAGTATCTTGTATTTAGGGAGATATCCACTGATACGATACTCGTCCCCTTACCGGATATTATATCCTACCGACATTTTTATCTTTATTTTTCTTGTCTTGTTTCACCACCCCTTACCGCCTTCCTACCTTTGGATCGCGATCCGATAAAGACCACCTTTCATCATGGGTTGTCGGATCTATCACCAAGCATCCTCAGCTCTTCTCTTTACACCGCAAAAAGAATTACCACGCCACCCGAACAAAGCTACTAGACCTTGCACGAAACCGACTTCACAAACACGATTATAATGCAACATTATTCGTCTTCAAAAGAGTTGGATCATGAAACGGTTCCTAAATGTCTTAAGGGACTGGCGACTAGGTCTTCTTTTTCCCCTTCTGTTATCTACCCGTCCCCAAACCCCTTACAATTCCCACCCTCCACCACACCGAAATATCTTTTCACAACATTCACCTTCCGAATTAAACATACCTTAGCCCCATAATAAACTTCCCTTGAGTTCTTATGTTTCAGTCTACCCTTCGGCGTTAACGGAGGCACTGTGTTCCTATGCTGTTTCGTTCTTCTGTCTCCTTTTCCCTATGCTCTAGCCTTGCTTTTCCAACGTTTTTTTAGCCCGTTACTTCTTAAACCCTCAAGTCTGAACAAAGAATCAAAAAAGTTTTTCTATATAATTTTCCCGAGTGATTTGCGGCATTCGAATGTTGCCATTCAAGAGCCCAATCTACTGATGAGGCCCTAGTTTCTGTGAATGCCCTCAGCATCTTTCACGATGTATGCATGAGTATATATAAACTCGCCGTATTACTGGTTCCAATTTGTGATGCACAATAAATTTTAATATAATACTTTTCATCCCCTATTTAGTTGGTATTCAACATTTCTCGAGCTTGACCATCCAACGTCGGCATTTTGCTCCTTCCCTCACAATATTTTTTACAATATTAATGAGGGTTCGTTCCACTTCCGCCTCTTTCACCCCCCCCTTGTAAATAGGTATAGGATATATATATACTGATATATACGTTTCGAACTAGCAGTAGTAATCAAAAGTAAGGAATCAAAAAAAGAGGGACCATAAGAAAATCGGGACGAGCAACTTCCTTCCACCCAACCCTCTTCCAACTCGTTATCCCCCCCCTCCCTCCCTCCGCCTTTTCAGTTGCGTATATATAATCATAGAGAATTGTTTATATCGCTTACCTTGATGGAAGGATTTCGTCTTCTTTTTATGTTGGCGGTAGGGGAAGGAAGGGGGGGAGTACGAGAGAAGTTGGTTGAGGGAAAGAGGGAGGTCGCATAACATAAACATTAGGACATAAAGCTAGAAGATCGGAAACCAGAGAGCACGCATTAGGGCCCAATTTTCTTCGAGGGGCAGTACTATAAGAGAACACGGATGAAGGGGGGCAGAAAGAAAGAAAGAAAGAAATTCAAGTTCAATCGATGGCACGTAAAGTAATGCTTGCGCAGATATAAATGAAACAAAAAAAAAACCAGGTACAAACGTGAAGCATAAGCCAGGCATTGCAAGAGCAAAAGCAAAAGAGACAGCTAATAACAGCATTCGCCAGGGCAGCCTTCCGGTTTTCCTTTCCACATTAAGATTCTTTCAACCCCGCCCCCCCTCGCCGACGTAGTTAAAGTTAAGAAGTAATTTGGTATTTCCCTCCCATCCCACCTCCCAGGTCTAAGTTTTCTTGATCAAAAAAAGGAGGACTTTGAATTCGTAAGAAAGGAAAGGGTTAAGAAGGGACATTAATAACGTAAAAGGAAAAAGAAGACGAATAGGAAAGCCATCGCTGGATAGGACATAAGAGGGGTCATTTCTTTGGTGTGGGAATGCTCGAAAACAAAAGGAACAGTTCTGACAGACTTATTGCTGTCGATAAAAAACAGGGAGGAATAAACTGTAAAGTAAAGGCGGGAGATGAATGAGGGCTATGGATGGATGGACAAGCAAAAGAAGAATCAGTGCGAAGTAACACAAAACAGAACACCTGCGAACATCAATAAAGAACAGAGCTTTTGGGATCAGTAAAATTATTAGGACATTTAATCACCACAGGGAAAGATGCGGAGACACATGCAGTACCACAATCGTTGTGAATGCTGCTCAGATGAATGGATACCGATGAGTTTAGTCAGAAGGAGTAGACTCAGTGGTACAGGCTGATCAATAGGGAGGAGAAATGGCGGAAGGAGGCAATGTATCCACTCAAGGTTATACTCTTCGTAATCGCCTTAGATATCGATATTATCGGTAGCGAACATGCCATCATCATCACCATTCTTCGGCTTCCCGTTAGTGCCACCTTTTCCACGGTGGCCAAATCCTTCGTCAAAATCGTCGTCGTCGTCACTATCATCATCCATTTTATGATCCTCATAGCTATGGTGTGACTGAACAGATTTCCCAAATTGCTCCTCAAGAGTTCGTTCATCAACAAACGTGAATCCACGGAAGGCATTCTGCATTCCCGGGCTAAGCGGCGTGCTTGCCACGATATCGTTTCTAACCGATCCTGGAATGGGCGCATTCGTGAACTCAGTGTCGAAATTCTGAGTATCCGTTTCGGATTTAAGAGTTGGCTTAAACGGCGGAATAGATTTCTTTTGTTTAAGCGCCTCCCAGTCAACATCAGCGAAGAACGGATGTTCCTTCAGCTCAGCTGCATCACGTAGAGCGCCAAGTCGGTGCTTCGGATTGCGATTCAAGAGCTGTAAAGACATTAGTAAGAGTCAAAAGGGGAAATACCAATCTATCACACTTACCCCTTTAACGAAATTTCTACCCTCGAGGCTCAGAGCATCCTTAGGGAACCTGACTTTACCAAAGGCGATGTTCTTGTACATTTGTTGGGTATCTTCTGCAAAAAAGGGGCTCCAGCCGCAGCACATCTCGAAAACGAGGACACCAAGGGACCAGAAGTCCACCATTTTGGTGTATCCTTGCTCATCCAACAGCACCTCTGGAGCAAGGTACTCTGTTGTTCCGCAGAAGGTATTGGTTGTCTCGTTCTTGCTAAGGTTCGATTTCGAGAGGCCGAAGTCACATAGTGCAATATGCCCGTTTGCATCGAGCAGAATATTTTCGGGTTTTAGGTCGCGGTAGACGATATCATGGTTATGGAGGTGCTCGAGTGCAAGAATAAGTTCCGCAATATAGAACTTAGCACGCTCTTCGCTAAAGCGTCCTTCTTGCTGCAGGTGCCAGAACAACTCGCCTCCGGACATATAATCGGTGACAAGGAAGAGGTCTGTGGGTGTTTGAAAGGAGAATTTAAGGCCGACGATGAATGGGGAGTCAGTAGTCGCTGTCCGAACCAGGATATTACGCTCTCCTATGGTATGCGCAACCTCCTTCTTCTGGACAATAACCTTCTTAGACAGTACTTTCATCGCATAGATACGATTTGTATCCTTTTTCCTAACTTGATAAACTTGTCCAAACGTGCCTGTAGCATTGTTAGAAAGGAACCAAATCCAGAAATATAAAGGGAAGTACATACCTCTTCCGATCAACCTGAGAATCTGGAAGTCACTCGGACCGAAGTGTTTCTTCGCCGTTTTCTCGTAAATCACTTGTAGTTGGATCTCTCCAGTTACAACAGCTCGCTCCTCCTCGGATCTCGGTTGAAGTGGGAACCACTCATCGATAACGGTGCCTTCTTCTTTGAGGATAGGCCTTATACGAACCATCCCAACGAAAGTCTCTTGGTTTTCGCGATCGTAGATAGTAACCACCATTTCCGAGTGATCCTGAACAACATCGCTAGAGACAGTATTAGCACTTTCTTTTTTTGAACTTCGAGTTCCGGGAGCAAGATACATACAAGATAGCTTCATGATCCCAACTTGCTGTCGCAAATCCACCTTTCTCTTTTCCAAGTGTCTGCAAGTCCGTGCTAGAGCTTGTTCGACTTTTCATGGGGATAGAGATTCCTCGAAGTCCAGGAATTCCGATAGGCTTTCCCAATCCATCGTCTTTCTTACTAGGACCTTTTGAAATGGACTCGTTGCTCTCAAATGTACACACTATGTAAGGGTCTTTCGGTCCGTTGGGGCTACTAGGGGTTGTTCGTAAATTACGTCCAGCTATGACTCTAACGGTGATTTTTCCTCTGGGAGGTCTTGTGACTGGCGATGTAGCTGAGCCAGAAGAGTCTGAACCCTTCTTTGTGATTTTGGTGTCGATGCTGATCAGTGCCTTCCCTTCAGATGTCGTTCCTCGAGGTGTGGCCGGGGGTGTATCCTTGATACCAGCAATAGGCTTCGTTAGTTTAGTAGGTCCATTTCTTTGAGCAAGTGGGATACCAAGAGGCGGTTGAGTTTCGGCGTCTGGGGCGAAAGGCACCCCAGAGACTGACAAAATGACGACTTCCCCTTTCTGCGGGCAAGATATCGAACGAGAAAGAGGGATAGCTATCGGACGGTTCGAGGTGAGGGGTTGGACCGCTCGATCGTCCGAAACTACGGCTTCCTCAGGGACAAACGGCTTTGTTGAAAGCTCACTTTGAAGCTGGGAAAGTGGGAAAACACTACTAAAGGTTCTACGAAGCGTAGCTGAAATATTTGGAATGTGGTTCAAACAAACCTGTTGGAAACCGTGAAGGATGGCGGGGATACGTCTATCCTGAAAGTCTGGGCGAGGGGTTCGTTGGCCGGAGACTTCATCTTCGTTCTCCAATCTTAGTAAGCCGCTGTAAACCGAAAAAAAATAAAGTCAGTCAGAGACCGCACGATACTATGATACAGCCAAAGCAGTTGATTTATAATCAGGTATTTTCACCATTTTGGCAACAGAGGCAATGTTGATAGTGAAGGCAATAGAGGAATGAAAGATAAACAATTTTTTCCTGTATCAAAGAGGTGATGAAAGAAGAATTGATTGCTACTAACTTTTGAGCCATGGCCATCTTGAGGAGGTCGGTTGCTGAGTTGGCTTGAGAATCGGAGGATGTGTGATTTAGACGGGTTTTTTGTGGCGTAACCACCACAGCTGATACTGAAGTGGTGGCTGTTGTTAGAGGTTCAGTCAATCCGGTGGGAGGACAAGTCGGAGAGGAAGCCAGAGGAGAATTGGTCCTAGATGTATAAGCTGAGGAGGTATTCAAGGTCGGGGTGGAGTCGGATCGACTTGAAAGCTTCGGCTTCTTGGCAGAGGAAGCAGCTTGAGCAGAAGCAGAAGCAGAAGTGAAAGCGGAGGAGTTTGGTTTTGCAAGAGTGGCAAGCTGTAGGAAGGATGAAGATAGTGAAGAGAGAAGTCTAGACGGAGGCTTCTCAGGCGGCTGGTGAGAATCAGTCGGAAGTGGAGATGGTGGAAGAGAGTTTTTTATGGGTTCGAGGTTGTTAGTGATGTTTGCGGTGGAGGTGGTTGTGGTGGTGGTGGCGGACTGAGAGGAGGTGGAAGTTGGTGTCAGAGGAGGGGAAACAGAAGTGTTGCTGGCCGTGTTGCTGGCAGCCGCACCCGGTGTCGTCGTCGGTTTTTTGGCAGACAAGGAACAATCCGAAGGGACAGTTGAGGAAGAAGCAGCAGCAGCAGCGGACGAAGAGGAAGAGGAAGAAGAAGAAGCATTCGTATTAGTATTAGTATTAGTATTAGCATTCGTATTGGTATTAGTATTCTTCGAGCTAGTGGAAGTGGTATTAATGGTGGTGCAGCCATTGGTCGTTTTGGCAGCACCTGTACCAGTACCAGTACTCGGGCCAGCACCACCACCACCAGACATGGTTGTTCGATTAGCTGCTACCGCTGCTGCTGTTGGTGCCGGTGATCCTGCAGCTGCCATGCTGGACGACGACGACCTTGACGAGGTACTTTTGAAAAAGCCCAGGACCATTTTCGGAATCTTTGACCGGGCTGGGCTTGGTCACGGATTTTGGGAACGGCTCATCAGGCCAAAAGCAAATTGTTTTTTTAGGTTGAGTTTCAGATCAATTAGTACTCAATCAATCAATAATATTACTGGTATCTGCCTGGTGTTTTCGGTCGACTGCGATTGATTGATTGAATCGGATCGATAGAATTGAATTGAGTTGACTAATTGAATGAGCCGTTTATCTGTTTGAATGTCATTCCGTCAGCAAGTTTCTTCCGGTCCAAAAGAATCAGTTTCATCCGATGCTCCCTGCTGTTTTGTGAAGATGCAATTTCAAAAAAAAAAAAAAACATTGCGCGTTTTTTCTCAGCATGTGCTAAACATGATGCTGCAGGAGGTTCCATACCATACCATACCAACAGGTCCAAACGGTGCAGTTGGTTGCGCAAAGTGGAGCAGATTCCGGTATAGCGAATATCAGTGGATATTGATTGAATGCTGCAGGCTGACCTTGTTCCCAAGCTCTGGATCTGGGATGACCGATGCAGAACTGCAGAACTGCAGCTGAACCCAACCGGACCCGTCGAAGATGTGGATTCAAGTCGGATCGTGCTGGAACCGACGGCAATGAATTTGAAGCTTGAGACTTAATTCGTCAACTAGATTTGGTTCATTAAGAACTTCAATGAGTCCGCTCAAATCCAAATCCAAATTCAAATTCAAGTTCAAGTTCAAGTTCAAGTTCAAGTCCAAGTTCGAATTCAAATTCAACGTCAAGGAAGAAAATTCTTCTGTTCTTTTCTTCGTTTCTTTCCTTCCCTTTTTTTTTTTTTTCCTTCCGTTAGCTTAGTTGATGAGGAAAAGGAAAGAAAAGCTTATTCAAGTAAGTAAAATGGAAAAAAAAAAAAAAAAAAAAAAAAAAGGTGTTTGTTCCTGAAAGAAAAAAAAGAAGAGGAAGAAGAAGAAGAAGAAGAAGCTTCCCAGATTGGTAATACACACCGACACTGCCCGAAGAAGGTATGTAACGAAGCTCGAAGTAGCTCGATGGATAATATAATATGGATGCTGCTTGTCCTATTTCCTGTTCCTGTTCCTGTTCCTGTTCCTGTGTGTTTCTTTGTTCCTGTTCCTGCAGCTCGAGGAGTCCCGTGCATCTATTATCCAATAGACCGGGATCGAGACTGTGGAAAGTGGTCTGAGAAGAATAAAATATAAAAAGGGCAAGAGGAACGACAAGCAATCGAAAAGACCAAAAAAAAAAAAAAAAAAAAAAAAAGCCCGTTGGATGCAGTTGTGAGCTTGACAAATGCAGTAATAAGAACGATTAATTGACTTACTTCTTCCTCTTCTTCTTCGCCTTTCTACCCTCTAGTTATCCTAGCTTCGATTATAATTCCAGATGGTTTCTACCTTCCAGATTCGACCCGGAAACGTTTGGTATTCGACACAAGCAAGCGACTCTGGGCGGGCACCCAATTGCTGAAGGTTGTTTGGATGCTAAACGAAGAGGGATTTTACACCACGGATCACGGTTCTCTTTGTCTTCCTGAACCGGGTGAATGGGATTCGATGTGGCTCTGCTGGCCTACTGTGTAGGAAGGTTCGATTTTGTCGTGATAGAACTCTGGTATACCTAGTGGTTGCCTGAATAGAAATCGGAGAGGAACGGAAACAAAATGGGTTATTTCCTTCTTTCCCTTGGTTCCTGCAAAGTGGCAGATGGTCTGATGATTGATGACTGATGACTGATGACTGAAAAGCTAACTGACTAACTGGCTAAATGGTTGACTTTGAATGAATCGATGATTGATGGTTGATGGTTGAATAGAATAGAATATCTGAAATATGAAATATGAAAAGGGTTGGGAGGGAATAACAGCAATATGTTGTTGGGTTTGCAATTTGTTCGTCAACCAAGCAAGCCGCACTTTTTATGTGTCAAATGAGGCTGCCCAGTTTCGACTTTTGACCTTCACGATACTTAGCAATTAACAACCAGCTACAATCAATTGGATTTAATGCAACCTTCGAATCAGTGCAATGCAATGCAGAAATTGGATCGAATTGGACTCTCACTGCCTTACAGCCCTCGAATGTTAAATACTAAATATCAGAAGGTTGGTCTCGCAACCAATTGCAATCGAACCCTCCTGCGCCGGGAAATGAGGAAGAATCAAAGAATGCAGTCAAATCAGACAACTTGCGACATGCCTGAATTCTTTTTGTTCTTCGATTCGCGCGCGATGTGTCATTCGACTCAAGTCGCTCTTGCGCCGAAATATTAATGCTACTAGCTAGGTAGGTAAGTGTTTAGATACATGGACCTAGGTACCCGCCCTTAGGTTAGGTAGGTATTCCTAGTATTCCTGGCTTAATATTCTCCATTACTTAACAGCTTCGCAGGGCCTCTTTTTTTTTCTTCTGTCTCCTAGCTCAGCGCCGTCAAATCATAAGAATAATAATAATAGCCATCGCACAAGCAAGGGTTTATCCTGTTCCCTTCAAATCGTTTCCCCCAGCCGAAATAATCTTTGGCCCTATCAGTCTGCAACGTTGGGGCTTTTTTGGGCCTGGCAAAATCGGTCGCTCTGGCTTCACTTGGTGGTCTGATCCGATAATCCAAAAAGCCACCCGATGGCCGGCGAACTTCTGTTTGCTTTGTCCCAAAAGACCATCATCGCGCGCATCGGTGTATGGAGATAACAAACATCGGGCGGAGCCAGTCTGGATGCTGGTAAGTAAGTAAGTACCTAAGCATTCCTGGTTCCTATCGTTTTATTTACGTTTGTCCTTTCGCTTTTTCCATTTGCATTTGCAGGGGTCATTCCTATTTTGATTTGTCTCCAACGTGGTACAAATACCGAATACTTACTTATCTATACAGACGTAAGGTTCTTCGCAGCCTTATCTCCCTTGCCGGACAGGTGCCTACATGTCCGGACATACATAGTCAAGTCCTTTGAATTTATATCTCTTTTACTATTTGTATCTCTTCTTTGTCGTATTGACACCTTTATCGATTGCCCATTCAAATCGTTCATATCCGTCATGTGATTGCAAACCAAATAAAAAGTTAGGTATCAACCTATATAAGTACATATTAATACTCTTTATTCTTGCCTTGTGATATTTGAAGCTTAAGCTTTTAGTCACATTCTTTGCATATGATAATCTACCATACAACCTTTAAGAGAATATATTCGGAGTTCGTTATTTTTTCATATCATAGGCCCTACGTACACCACTACGAAACTTAGTTCAATTCTCTGATTGAGTAGAATGGCATAAACAAATTCAATCAAGAGGCCTATCCCAAGCTGCTCTACAGGTCTGACCCCGGCCGGTGGGGAAAAAGTGGTCGAGGATGATTGGCCAGGGTTCCGCGGTCGAAAACCAAGACGTTACATGTAGTTTGTCCCGAGAAAGAATATTAATGTCAAAAGCAAAGCTCACAATTGCGATCCCCGCTACCTGGGGTTCTGTGTTAGTTTTCTATCATTTAAGATTTCGACAAAGTATCGTATCCTTCAACAGTTTGGCCTGCAGAATAATCTTGGTGAATGTCGACAGTTAGCCCGCAGCTTTTTCCCCCTCGTTTCTTTCTTCCTTTAACTTTTTACATATTTCAGCAAGGACTCGGAAGGTTTCGATTTGATTGCCTTTCAACAAAACTAGTCTCTATTATTAATATTATCGTATTCAAACTGCTTTTTGGACACTCATTGCATCCCCAGATCCAGTGTAAAATCTTGAAGTCGAATTATGAAGCTCATAACTAGTTATTAAGCTAAAGAATGTTTTAAGTACGTACTGTAGCCTGTAGAGTAGATCCACTGCCAGCCTAGTAAGAATTCTAGAATACCATAAAGATTTGGCTTCAATTCGAGACCTAACTCTGGATCTAGTCTCATATATCTAGACCTGCTTGTCTATCAATTGCTCAACAGCCTGTCTGTTTATTCATTGGCTAGCCTGTTCGACAGCTTTATATATAAATTTAATATTAATTGTGATTTTAAGGTACATTAATGAGCAGTATATCTATAGGCTGCTTCTATCTTATTGATGTATATCTATGCTCATCGTATATATCACCATATATACCACGCGGAATTATATCAATGTTTCAAACCGTGAAGCGTATATGATTGATGTATAAATGTGTAAATGTCCCCAAACCTACTTTGCAGAAAATGATGTGTAATTCAAGTCCGCTAGGTGTATAAGGGGGTGAACAAGGCGTTCCATCTTCTTTTTACTCTTTCGTACACTTTACACACCATTTATAGTCGGTCTTTGGCAGTATACTTCAAGGCGAAGATGGCCCCTCAGTTCCCGCGATTTCACTCGACGTGTGGCAGCAAAGCTGGACGATAGAGATAGGTGAGTTTTCCTTTGAAGGTTTCTTACTTAGCATCCGATGATGATTTATGTCGACATTCTAAGGCTTGCATGCTGCGGCCAGTGACGAATGAACACCTTCGCGCTATGGACCAAGCCAAGTCTGAGTCGCTAATAACTTATTGTTTAGGATCAGTGGCCCTTGATTCGAATCACGAGTTATGAATGATGTATTTAAGGCAGTGGTTGCTTACCTCAGTTAAGTATTACTGTATGTGTACTTTAATGTTTTTTTCTCGGGGGAGAGTTGCTAATGCTGCAGTTTAGTTAGAAAGAAACAGATTTGTGTTTCCGATCAGCGCGAGGGCTACAGTGTATTTTTGGCAATTAAACGATTATCTGCTTTATCCTCTCTTATAGTCAAAAAGGTAGTCGCTTGATAAGATAGTTACATCTTCAGTTTATAAACGTTATAAACTTTATTTCATTCCATTCTGACTGCCATGAAGTAAAAATATATTATACGCCAGTACTCAAAATGAAGGACGCCTGGATTCGAGGCTACCCAAATGCAACATCTACAACACGTGCGATATATATGTGTTAGGCATCCGGCAGGCTGTTGGGTGTTATTGTGTTACTGTGTTGTGCGCTTAGCAGTTACGAAGTTAGGTACTGAGATGTACTCGAGTATTAGTCTCATAGCCAGAGCTGCCCCAGCCCTCGGCCTGGCCACCCTCCATCTCGAAAGTATTTGTTTCAGCCGGATGCCCCAGGAAGGACTCACATGTTTTGCCCAACATGTTAACATTGATATCTACAAACCTAGATCTAGACTTCAGGGATTTTCTTTCTGTCTTGATCGTTGGGCACAAGCTAACGGGAACATGTAACCCGCCCGGCCGAATGTAAGTACTTACACAAGAAATCCAAAGTTATTTTCCCCCCTCCACCATCCTTGACACATGCACAAACAAAATGTCCTGGGATCTATATTCTGTGAACCGCCCAGGAATTCTAGAATCCCGATACCGCCATGGCTGATGAATGACTAAGAATAGTTCTCTTCCGGGCCGTCATGGCGCCATTCAAGGTTGGCGCTTCAATCCTCAGCCTTATCATTCCAAACTTCAACATCCACCGTGCCCACCAAATTGGTATCAATACCTCTGAGGCAATCCTTTTCCTTTGCCACCAGGATAAATAAAAGTGGACTCATAATCGTCTTCGCGATGATTGCATAAACCTAGGCTCGAAAAAAGCTTGGACCTTCCTTCCAGTTTCGAAAAAGCGGTGACGCAACTAAGCTAAGCTTACCGTGAACCTAGCTACCTCTGTTTGATTCTCGTGTCACCATAATCTAATCGGGCCGAAACGATGCACACTATAATACAAACCAGATATAGGTTATCCCCTCCGATTGGCACGATCTGTACGATGCAGGCGCCCAATTCCAAACCAATCTTTTGAAACCAAGTAGCAAGAAGCACTCGGACAGCCAGGAATTCTATACTCGGGTCACTCAGCTCTTACCTGCCACAGGTAAGTCGTACCGGTCGATAGTCAGATCTATGCATTTATGGGGCAAATGAATGATCCCGAACTTTGCATGCTTATTTGAGAAATCGGTTACGCCGAAGAGGTTTATGAAAAACTGCGGTACTACATGCAGCTCGTATAGGATGGGCTTGGTTTTTTCGTATATGTAAGCGTTTTTTTCTTTCTTGAAATATGGGGGCAAGATGAGGAGTAATAAACCTAGGGTTGTCCTCTATGAGCTTACGAGTATGTGAGATATGAGAAATCTCATTACCTAATTCAGTAACTCCTCTCGAATACGAGAAAAGCTCGACCATCTTCCATACCACAGAAACCCCGCAAGCTCCTTATCTGAGAAATCTCCAATGGATGATATCAGTTAGCGCTGCCTACGGGCTTATGGCAAGGCGTCTGACTACGATTCCACTGTCGATATGAATTGGTACTAAGTTAAAGTAGCTGAATTAGGAAGTGTTTGTTCGGGTTTCAATCCAACGGCAGCTCGGAGCTACGAATGGTCGAAAAACCCCGAAGCAAAATTTTTATGCTTTCTCGAACCCATCTATCGTATCTATTGTCTGACTATATTATCTGCATTGAATCTTATGTGGCTTAGTAATTCTATAGTTATCAAAAACGATTTTATCAAGGACATACAGTAATAGAAGGGTGTGTTGGTGCTTGTTGTATTTTTGTATTAGTTGATATGTTGCAAGAGGTAGAGTCCAACATCTACTTACATAGCTTTGTACCTAGGTAGCTAATTAGAGCTCGAGCCAATGATCGATATCATGATCACCAACTACAAAATTTTTCAATCGATGCTTACCTTAAACTCCTCAAGAACAATCAGCCTGTACAAGGTTCCAAAATTAAAAATATAATCTTCCTTAACCTACGCAGGAATCGAACCTGCAATTTCCTGATACTGACATCGAGGTTGTAGCCAGATACCGCCATGGCCGTGGGCGGCGCCAGCAGGTCTAGTGTTCATGAAGCCCAACACTGGGTTTTGCAACCATGTACCTGGTCCTGTTCAACCATAATCCCACACTTCATTGTGATGCATGAATTCCTCACTTCGGCAAACATACGCACGGATTCGAGACTACATACGCACATACCCACGGGTCGGTGGGTATGTTTATATTACTATTTTCACATTGAACAATGGTCTATAAAGCCCTTATTATGTATTCTATTGTAACTTAGCTTTCCGGGTGCCCGTGGTTGTTGCCGGAAACTTCTTCAAGTCCTTTTAGCACCCGGTAATCAGTGTGTTCGGTTAGCCCAGCGGTTAGGGTATATCTTTTTTTCAATCGGGTAGGTAAGAGTGCAAAATTATTTCGGGGAGTATCGCCAGAGTCCGAGGATAACCCGTACATTGAAATACCTCCCGCTATATCTGGGCCCCTCATATATATTATCGCTGTAGTATACATGTATACATCGACTGGGATGGTCAGGTGAGGGTCTTATGCCCAAGATAACATTCCTGCAAAAGGTTCAACGTTGTTTTGATTTCATTGGCCATCTTTAGGAAGATTATTTGTTCATAATTTGGTTTGCATGTAATCATTACGCTGGATGATAAAGATGTATGTTTTGGATAGATAGACTGATTGATTGTAAGAATATGTTATTTTATTTAGATAATTGTCGAACCTAGGCTTCTGCTGAAGCTCTCCTGTGGCCCTTCTATCTTTTTTTTTTTTTTTTTGTTCGAGCTGATCTATGTGATATGAACAGCATAGAGCTCTAAAACAGCAATGTTCCAAAGCTAGGCCTCAAAGCCTCAAAGCCGGTGCCAAAATATGGCATAGGAACTAGAATTAAGAATACATCTGAACATGAAGTCATGATACATGTACTGCAGGATATCTACCGAAGGTCCCTGCCCTCCTGCCAACCCGAAGCTAAATTCAAGCACCCTCGGTGGTAGTACTATCGACCGGTAAGATTGTCATGTCCGTGATAACAAGAATCATATTCTCATTACCATTCATTGTAGCTGCTCTCTTCCCCCTCTTGACCCTTGAGACGGCCCCGTCCCCTGTGAAGGTGACAATGACAGAGTGTTCTCCTTTTACCATGGAATCAGAAGCCGACTCATCCAATATCAAACTGCTTGTTGAAATGGACCCGGATTCAGTATCGGTAGCAGTGCTCGACGGCGCTGCTACAGCCGAACCCTCGGTCTTTGTAGCATCCTTCCCGCCACTCCCTGCCCCGGTGCTTGCAGCGGTAGCTTTACACTTCACCTGCTGACACTGGTGTCCTTCTAAAATACTCTCTCCTTCCTTGGAAGAACAGCAAAAGAAATTCAAGGACTGTAAGCGCTTCCCAGATGGTATTATAATCTCCCCGCCCGAAGGTGCAGTTTTAGGATCGATTATTGCTACCGTGGTAGAAGGTGCATCGGCGGTTGGGTGGAGTAAACCGTTTGAATCGGCAAGAACCCCTTCGTTGCTATCGGTACCCAGTAATTGGGTGGCCATGTGGACTACTTCAATGTTTTGGAATTTGATGCCCCCGAAGTCTCCCAGGGGAACTGGAGAGGTTTCGTCTGCTGGTATGACTAAATTTCGGAACTATAGTTTGAAGAAAAAAGTAAAAGATTAGATAAATGTTGGGATGTGATGTATACTATACATGTGGTCAGATATACACAAGGGATGTGGATTGCTTACGTCTAATACCGAACTAGCAGCTGATACAGCAACAGCGCCCTGATAAAGAGCGTTCAATGTGATATAGAACACGGGGAGTGATGATGTGAAGTGCATGATGGGCAAATAAGAAGAAAAAAATGAATGTTGATACAGGTGGAGTTCAGCTCGACAGCCTGTGATATATTTAAAGACTATAAAAATGAAAGACTTATATCGAATATATCTACTGATAAGACTAGAAGAGAATGAAAGTCTGCCGTATCAAACGAGCACTGCACTGCAGAATGAAGTGTTAAAGAAAAAAAAAATCCAGTTATTTCTCCAGATCCCTGATAGCTTATATAGAAGAAAGATATATCCCGTAGAATAATTCTCCGTCGGTGGAAGGAGACCAGTATTTCAACCTGAGGCCCCCAAGCCTCCTTGCATGACTGGGGGGGCGGGCGCGAGAAGATTCTCCCCTCCAAAGAAAATTAACCCCCTGAATTGGGCAATCGCTAAGCCAAGGGGGTGGCGAGTTCGTTCTAACCTACTATGGTTATTTTGTTTCGTTTTATACCTATAGACTAACGGGAAGGGCTTACTTGTTTTAGACTGTAACGGAATATGCATGGCTAGAATGCGCGCGAATGTAGGTTACAATACCACATTTCCCGGATTTGGTTAGAAATCGGCACGGCGGTGGGGGGAAAGGCTAGCGAGAGGGCGGGGCGGGTAGAGGAATGGAAGTACACGATAATGATGTATCTTCTACATATTTACGTATCAGGTTCTCGAAGAATCCCATGGGCTGGTGATAACCGTCTTAAAGATGACATTCAAAGGTGGTTCTAGGAAATTTCCTTTCTAAAGCGGTATTTAGAAATAAAGGTCAAGGCGTAAGATTTAATTGGTTTTAACATTGGTTAATTAGCGTGATATAAAAAATTACTTCTATGCAACTAGTACCCGTTACATTTGAGAAAGTATAGAACGCCCTTGCTTAAGCTAATATTGAAAACTAGTTGAAAGCTAATTCGTAGATCCGCGTAGTAAACACCAATTCATTGGCTCCGACAGCGTTATTCTGTAACTTAGGTTTCAAAATATCCTCTGTCTTGGCTCGATCGAAAGGCCAGGGCATCGGAGGTATTGGCACTGAAAACGTCGGGTTGGGCCGTGGGACTGAGAGGGCGCCTGCAGCTGCTGCCCTGGCAGGTGCACTCCCCCCTCCTGGCAGCTTAGGGGCTTCGGTTGGTAAAACTCCCGTAGGGAGCGGTAACATCGGAAGACCAGTGGGAGCTTTCGTCAGACGAGACAGATCGGTTCTAGTGGGTAGGGGAAAGGGCAGCGTTATAGGAATCCCGAATAGCTGTCGTCTTCCAAGGCCACCGATAGGAAATGCTCCGATCACAATAGTTGTAGCCTTTTCCAAGGGATTCCCTTCCCCAACCAATCTTCCCGTAACAATAATAGCTTCCTTAAACATATCACCTATTCCAGCTATACCACGGCCGGTAATGTCTGGAGTGACTGTGAACGATCTTTCAAATAATTTTTTCCCCTGTGCATCTTTTCCGGTCAAGGAGATGGCGCAAGGAACCGGTTGGTCGCATTTCGTAGGGTCAGTACTTTGGCAGCATATCAATCTGATCGATTTTAAAGATATTGGGCCATTGGTTGATGTGATTGTTCCAGTTAAGCCACCATTGGAGGGGTTCACGCCACTCAATATGGCAAATGCCTTGTTGGTACCGAGAAGAGTTCCGAAGGAGAATCTGGATGGCTTGAAAGCTTTGATACCTCCCCAGATGAGACCGGCGTAGTCGGTAAGGCCTAAAGCATTCCCTAATGGGAGAGCTAGGTCCTGAAACTGTGATAACGGTTACATTCATTTTTTTTTGTAAGAGTGAGATGATATATATCTTACGTTAACAAGGTCTCCTCCCAAGGGCTCTGCAGCAGCCGGGTTGAGGGTAAGTCCCATGGCGGATGCCCCAAGGAGGATTGATTTCCAGATGTGAACCATCTTGTGGATTTGTTTAAATTTATAAAGTATGGGAATTAGCTGTCGCAATCCCAATTGCCCATACCTTGCGATGGTCCACTACCCCTGGATATTCGAAGAAGAATCAACATTATTTATATAAAATTACAAGTTGACAGACACGTTGGCCATGTTTTCGAGTGTCCTATCCCCAGATCCCTAGACCTCCGCATTCATGATCGATCGGTATTGGGGTCTACCCACCATAACACAATTACAACCAAAATTTCAAGATCTGAAGACCTTTCTATTGTTAACATGTTCCACAAAGAATCGTTACAGTTTCAAATCGAACCAACTTTCTCAAACCCACTTTCTTCATCCGGCCGGACGCATTGTACGTACGTATATATGGTATTAGAACGACCAGGCTGAGCCCATAAACTTCATGAAACTTCCCGCAGGCTGCCATAAAGAATGAAACTCAGCCAAGCCAATGTTCAACCCAAAGAAACGCTGAAGCCACGCAATCTCTGCGAATCGAAAAAAATACTAAATTAATAGATTAAGGGACACCTGCAGAGAGAAAATATGTCTACCTTAGAATATCCGAGTTAAGCGACGCCACTCCCCGCCTTGTGTAACTGAGATCGGGAGGATCGTTGTTGTATTTTGACACAGATATCGTGTTGCACAAGTTAACCACAGCTAGTACTACAGTCCTGCCAACTGTACTGTCCATATGGATGCGAGAGTTTCACGAAAAAACATTCTCTAGTCGATATCGAATACTGTGAAACAAAACATGATAGTTTCAAGATCGAAGATGTAAGGAAGGCAGGCCGTGATACACATCATCACCTCGGTTTAGCTTAGCGGTAGAAGACGCCTGAAAACTGCAAGCCTGGAACCAACAAAGCAACATTCACCATATGCATCAACATGTAATTAAATCACAGTAGCCAAAGACATGTACGTATGTCGGAGCAGCAGCGATGGATCTCTTAGGTTGCACAGAGAAGTTAAGCTTCCAAACATATAACTAGCTAAGGGTTAAGGCTACTACAAGAGCACTCACCGATCTGTGATCCATCGCCTCCCCCCAACAAGTTCATGACGTTCCTTTAAACAGTTTTATAGACCATCGATCGCTCTTTAATTAGGTTATATGTTTTACAAAGATTAGAAGTCGAACTTTTTCAATGAGCTCATGATTTTGAAATAAAAATTCGTAAGAATACACTAGAGTAACAATACTGCGAAATGATAAAGAAAAGGATAGATAATCGCCACCGTTGGTACATTCTCATTAATACAAAGAAATTCGAACCATTTCACACTAACCCATCACATGTACAACCACCACCGTTAGTATCGAAGAAAAAATATGTTATGCAAGAAGGAAAAGAAAGGATAAGAAATAATGATAGCATTAGCTAGCCAGGTCGAGACAATCAACTTTCAACAACAAAGAACGAAACGAGCATAGCAAAAAAAAGATACGCTTCAGTGATAACCCTCTAAAGTAAGGCACAAGGGTGGACGAGGACAGAGGACTCTATTGACGTTCGAGCAGTATAAAAGTCGATAAGCCTTGTTTTTGTATTCACTGACAGTCGTACAGTAACCGGAACAAACCTCGGGCCCTGAGAAAAAGCCCCGGTTGCGTAGATGTGGCAGGAATAGGAAAAAGACTCTCAGACATCTGGCCATGGTACCATATTTGTCGTATAGTTTAATCAGAAAGGTTGAGGTCAATGACTAATCCAAGGCCGAGGGGGTCCCTTTTATTGCGGCTTTGGGAGCGCGACTTGTAACTGTAACGGCCACTGTGCTCCTTGTCGGCGCCATTGCCGGTGGTGTCGAGGAAGTCAACATCGATGTTCATGGAGCTCAAATATTGGCCAGGGACCCCGTGGGTGGCAATACCGTCGCGAGTGGCATCGAGATAAACTGGAGCCCTGCCCCTGTGGCTTGACTTGGGGATATAAAACTCGTGGTCATAGATCTTCCTGCCGCCTTCTGGCTTGTCGTATCCACTAATTTTGATTTTGCAGTCGACAGGGTCGCATCTCCTAGAGATATGGGGAGCGCAGCAGAGAGTCTTGAGACCGAGGATGTTGAATGGTTTTCCCGAGGTGTGATGGATGCGGCCTAGCTTATATTGATCATACCCGCCAATTATTCCAACGCCATGGCCATACCTTGTCCTCCCACCACCAAGGATGTCCCCTACTGTAGCGAGAAGGTCGTATACAAGATTCCCAGTGGTATCGAGAAGACCACCGATAAGGTCGAAGTGCTCGAATGTGTAGCCGTGAGATTCGTAGAGCGGCCTGATCTCACCGGGTTTGACATAGTTATCTGAGAAGTCAATGGGCTGGATACCAGCGAGAGCAACTGGAAGAGCAGCGGCTGTGAAAGCCAAAGCAGTAGAGATAGTTCCAAAAGCAACCATTTTGATAGATTGAAGGATTATTGATTAGAAAATAAAGAGGATTTGATTCCAAAAGAGTGTGTGGGTATATATATACGCAAACAGTGAATTAGGATTGTTAAAGGTGTTAAAAGAGCGACTGATTTGCTTGAACGAGTGGAAGTGCCAGAGGCTTTTTATCTTTTGCTGTCGAATGTTGATTGAATGATTGACTGTGCTGATGATGATAGAAAAGAACTCCGTCATGCACTGGATCAAGCTCTTTATATACTTAATAGCTGTACAGTCTACACCTTTTGGATTGTGTCGCCAGCTTCAAAATCCTACCAAGGGACATGACTCTACTATTTCGCCTAATTCAAGCCACCAATTGATCTCCTTACTGCAAACCATATTCGATCCATGATTGTGGAGCAAAACTCCTACCAATACAGGAGCCCAATATACAATATGATATGATGTCCCAGGCCAAGGCTAGGTAAGCTAAGCGATAGTCGATAGCTTTCGACGCTATCTAACAAGGGCCTTCCTGGATCACCTACCCAGCTCAACCGACCCTAGTTGTGAATAATACAGTATCCCCGTGACAAGTGTGTCGAGTCGTAATAGATAAGTAATAGTCGGGCCGAGGAAGCAAGGAGGCTTTCTGTGAGTTGGCTCTCCAACAAATCGTACCTCGGACCAAGAGCGGCTGGCAAGCGTTGCAAACATGCGCTGCGCATGCTGCAGTCACGTTTTTCTCAGGTTGTATTGCTTCGAAACTCCTGGTATAATGTGCTAATTACGCATGCGAGGGCGTTAAAAACATCAAGTTGGGATATATCCGGGTGATATCATCCAATCTCCTTGCATTCTGGGCACAGGAGGTCCGCCAACACACCACTTTGTTGGATATTAATAACATCACAAAGGTGGGTCTATAGCTTGTTTTATTCTACGGGCGCAGGAGTAGTCCAAGTAGGATGATTCAAAGAGCTGAATAGGTAACTAAGCTCTCTATCATGGGGCACTATATGCAAGGTCATTCATCTATTAGTTCATCATTTGTAGTGCCAAGTTATGTATCGTCTGCGAAGTAACCCCGTTGGTGGTAGTACTAGACCCGACATAGTATATATCGCGAGATTAGTTTTCGATTCGGCGGGCACGAAAACCTATTTTGCTCTATTTATCTCTAGAGCCGAGTTTGGGGTATGTATTAATTAAAGGCTATGAGCGCTGGTAAATATGATATGTGATTTGGGTAGAAGAGATATTTCCAAGAGATCATCTGTGTCTCTGACCAATTCATTTCCTAGCTACTGGCTCCTTTCTGGGTGAATATATCCGAAATTATATATAGTAAATAGTAGATAGAACGGAGTTGATTTCGGTGCATATGGAGTTGACCTAGAATAACTAACAGCTCGGCCATCTCTGGTATGCTGGCGTCTGGCTCAAGTTTGCTTCAGTGTACTAAGAATACTTCTATCCATATCTAAACCACCAAAATGTTATTGAGACTCGGATACGTATCAAAAAGAAGCAGAAAGATAGTAAGAATCATGGTATAAAATATTTTCTACCTTATTATCAGGAAGTTCATAATCATTAAAAGGAGCAGCGGTAGATACCGAAATATAAATCATAAAATAGAACAAATTTGCACGCTAAAGTATACAAGACTACTTCTAAAACACTACTATAAGACTGAGCACAAGTTGTTTAGTGCAGACTGACTATAAGAGATATAAAAGAAATATATAAAACTAAAACACGATTCAGTCATATTATCATAAACCCGTGTCAATAAAAAGATAGCTCGTAATTCGTCTCAGTCGTTAAGTCATTTCAAAACAATCCTCTCTCTTTAGAGCAGACTACCCCCTCCCCCCCTTCCAGGCCTTTTCTATAAACTGAAATTAAAAATCAATACCACCGATTTAATAGGTGATTCTTCTTTCGCACCAGTCTCCCCATCCGGTGCCGGAGCCGTAAAACTCAGTCGAATTTCATCAACTTCTAATGGTTTAGCTCCCACTAACCCTCCACTCGAAGGAGTAGCAGTAGGCGAAGTAGTAGTGGCGGTAGTAGTAGTAGCAGGAGCCACAGTAGTAGTAGGAGAAGCAGCAAGAGTAACATCGTATCTCTTCACGGCTCTAGATATAATACTCCGTGGCTTCAAATCCCCCACGGGTTTCCCTTCTACCAGTCCAACAACTGTCATACTGCAAGGTATAGTCAACAACTCCACCCCCTCAGTAATATCACTTGTAAAACAAATAGCCCCAATACTAGCCGGTCCGATCTTAAACTTCGCTCCGCTGATACTTTTAACCGAGCTTCCCGTTGGTACGCGGGTCAACCAGGTTGTCTTTTTACCGCCGAGGAGTAGTTGGAGTATAAAATCTGTTATTCCGACTTTGGGACTGAATACTTCGATGTTTGTGAATTCGAACCCATCTTGGGGTTTTGCGGCGACAACGGTGCCAGCTTTGACATTTTGCTTGGAGGGGTCGAGACCTGGGAATTTGAGCTGTCCACCACCGAGAAGACTATTAAGGAGGCCACCAACGATACCCAATTCACCGTTGATGCCCATGTTTCCGAGAAGGGAGCTGAGGCCATTGTCAGGGCTTAGAAAGCTGTTACGGAGACCATCAAGGCCGGCTCCTCCGGGTAGCCCTTCTGGTAACTTTTCAGGTAATTTCCCGGGTAGTTTTCCAGGTAGCCCTTCAGGTAGCCCTCCGGGTAGTTTTCCAGGCAATCCTCCAGGTAGGCCCCCAGGCAACCCACCTGGGAGGCCAACAGAGCCGAGGAGGCTATCAAGAAACCCCTAGATAGAAACGTTAGTCATATATATTTTAAAAGAGGTATCGTAACAAAGGATAGTTCGAATGGGCCGATTACATACTCTAGGCTTCATAACTGTGGCCGAGGGGTTTGTGATTGGGATACCGATAGCGGTTAGAGGGAGTATAGCGAGGAGAATATGACTGAGATACATATTGTATACTAATTCCTTTCTTTTCTTTGAAAAAAAAAAAAAAAAAAAAAAAAAGGAGTGACCCAATCCAGCTGTCTTCGAAGCTCAGTATAATCGATTTTAACCCGGATATTAAGCCTGGGACTTTGAGAAATTTGCATAAAGACACAAGGAGACAACCTCTATGTTATTAAATTTTAGAAATATTAATTTAAAAAAAATGAATAGAAATAAAATAGAATGTTAAGATCCCTCTAAAATACAGAGGAGATATAAGCTAGTTAGAATAGAACCACAGCCTTACAGAGATCTTAAGATCAATCTGCTACTGTTTTTTGGAGCAGGGTAAAAGGAATCGTTTAATTCCTAGTCGCCGGCCTTCCAGAAGTGCTTGCTGATGAGGGAATGGGCGATATCACGCTGAAAGACTTGCATCTTTATACCTCTATACACGAAGGGATTGTAATCGATACTAACCGGCCCTTTTGTTTCATCAGCATAATTGTAATTCTTATGCTTCTTAATGATCATGAGCCAAAACAATGTTGCTGAGATCGATGTTTGGTGGTTTATGGGTAGAGGCTACATATCCCCCCCACATTCTTGTCATGATTACAGCGTGGCTGTCATCTTGTTGGATCTGGATATGATCCTAGCCTTAGTATGAAAATCCGACGCAGGTACGAGTGCCTGCCAATGCAAGGGGTTACCACCCTTTTAGGACGATTTGGAATCTAAGGAGGGGTAAGACTTCCCATATTGTCACGACTGAATTTAGTTGCTGAAGTTGTGTTTTTGGGAGTAGAACATTCCCAACCTGTGGAAACACTCTCCCACCGAAGAATAGAATACACTTGCTAAAGCGCTAGTAGGAGAGCATTATAATACATATGGAATAAAGGTGACAAGATACCAACCCATGAACCCGTCTATCGTTATATAAAAAAAACCGTAATCGATAGATCCGAATAACCAACTCCCATCTTTCTTCCCACCAGCCCTTGATCCGGCCATTTGCGGAATTCTATTGTCAGAAGGATATGGAAACAGCTTGGCAGATAAAGCATTCCAACTTCTACCGCCCCGTTATTATAACTGTGAAGCTCCGATAGGGCGTTTCCGCGTATATTCAACCAAACAATCGATCGCATTCCGTCTCTTGCAGGAATGCAGACGTTCTATCCGCGCTTAACAGAGGGGAAGAGGATCTTTGCCTCGCCTCTCGTTTTTCTAGCCTTGATTACTCCAGTACCTTTCCATTTTGGTCCTCATATCATACCACAGCCTCCTCATATCCTCTTCCCCAGCGGACCAGAACTTCTCATGCAGGCTGGCAACACCTCCCTTGAGGTCGGCGTGGTTTGGCCATGTCGCACTCCATTTGTAGTCCAGCCTCCCCCATGGCATTGTGCCACTGAGCCTGTGAGCATAGTTTAACAGGCTTTGTTCCATAGTATGTGGGTTAAACCGTCTCCATCGATTCATGACGCTGTAATAGTAGTCAAACAGCTCGAAGCTTGGCGCCGCGACCCAGAACCCGGCTGAGAAGATATCTCCTTCCACGGGAGGGAAAGGATGGTCTCTTTCTCCGTTTAGGGCATTATCTGGGCGTGCGGAAAAGACATACTTTTCCGGCAATACTGCCTCATCCGACTTGAGTTCTCCCCTCTTGGATTCTAGCAGAGTCTCGGAGGGGAACTTGACGGCAGGATCCTCAAAGATGCCGTCCATGTTACGGGTGAGCAGTGTGTCAGCATCGATGAAGACGATTCTCTCGTATTCGACCAGTTCGAAGAGTCGTAGCTTTGTGAATTGATCCTTCCACCTTGTCACCCCGGTTTTCACCCAGAATGGTAAGGGGACGTCTTCGGCAAATATGACTGTTGCTCCATCACTTTCCAATGTCCTTCTTTTGGACTCTGAGACGGCAGATGTGACCAGGACGATGAAGGGTATCGAATTGTTCGTACGAGTCTCAGGGTCGTGAAGGAGCTGGTAGGCTAGGACTCGGGTGGCAACAAAGTACATATCATCATTATCCTTTTCGGTATCACCGGTACGTTTCGTATTCTCAGCGAGGAATGTGGCGAAGGCGACTCTAGAATTGGCAGTCAAGGCTCGAACTTCAGGTACTCCATCGGTTCCATAATGCTGAAGCCGACCTAAGCGTAAGGCCGATGCTGGAGGATAGTATGGAAGTGAAGACCATAGAAAAACGGTCCATATTACGATAAGGAGAGCGAGAGCGAAGATAGCCTGCCGAGGGGTGAGGTTTTTGGCCCGGGAGAAGTGGCGGATCGACTCCAAAAGGCGAAAGCGCAGGGACTCGTGAGCTCCCATGTGGTCGGTCTTTCGTTCCGTCAGAAAATGCACTCCTTTCCCTCGTTTCAAGCTATTTTTCAACCTTTGAAGCTAAAGGAGAGGGCAGGAGATACTCCAAAAAAAAAAAAAAAAAAAGCGGCGATAAGGAAGGAGCGACTGAGTGAGTGAGAATACTGCTGCTGGTGCTGCTGATAGAGGGAGCAGGAGCAAATTAATTATATATCAACCAACTATAAACCATGCAAACTGTAATTCGGACTAATACAATGTAATATGCGAGATGCAGCAGCTTCCACCTAAAGTTGCAGGGAAAAGGGGGGAACTGGATGCACTGGAACTTCCAGTCGGCTCAATTCACAGACGCCCCCAGCGCAAGCCATTCGCGCATTCAGCCAACCTTGCCGTGTACCGTGTCATAACGTATACAATTGCCTTGCCGAGCACTTTGACTGCATCGTTTATAGTGCAAGTGCACACGCAGCAACGTACGGTGAAAGTAAGCAAGTGCGAACAAGAAGGTGTCTTCCTTGATTGAGTACGAAGTCCATAGCAGTCTCGGACCTGGGCCGGGCTGGGCTGAACTGGACTGGGGGGGCCTGTGGGACCCACTTGGCGAGTCGAATCGAGGTTTCTCGGAACGCGACGGTCGTGGAACCTGTTGACCTCAACCACTGGTCGCCCCACTCTTTAATTCTCCCCTCCGCTTCGCTCACGATACTCATCAACCGTCGAAATGGCTCCATTGTCGCCGTCGAGGAGGTCTGTCCTCTTCTTCGTTGCATTCTTCGTCGTGGCCATCTTTAGTCCGTTATGTCGCGCTTCGACTGGTGATGAACTGCCAGAGTTCAAGAACTGTGTTCAGGTAACGTTCACAATCGATGTTATATACACTATACATCCTATGGAACTAACATTTTATATCAGGCCTGCATCCAACAGGAATGCGATGTCGACTCCCCCAAATCTCTCCCTCTCCACCTCCAACTTTTCCTCTGGACCTGTCCCTCAGAATGCGATTACGTCTGTCAACGTCACGTAACTCACGATCGGATAGAAAAGGGCCAATCGATCGAACAATTTCACGGGAAATGGCCGTTTTACCGCGTCATGGGCGTCCAAGAGCCCTTCTCTGTCATATTCTCAATCCTTAACGGTATCCAGTTCTACAGAGGCCTTCAGATCATCAAACGAGAATTCCCAAATACATACCCTCCGAAGGGAATATACTTGTTCGGAGCATACGTGGGAATGGCAGCTTGGTTCTTCAGTACCATATTTCATACCCGTGATTCTATCCCCACGGAGAGATTGGACTATTTCGCAGCCGGTGGATTGGTCCTCTTCAACCTCTTCTACGCTCCCCTCGTAATCTTCCGACCATTCAACAGCACTCCAATGTCGAGATCCGAACAAAAATTTGAAACCTGGGTATACGTCTGGGGTATCATCTGCACGGTCGCATATCTGTCCCACGTCTATTTCTTGCAATTCGTTAGATTCGATTATACTTATAATATGGCTGCGAATGTGGTTGTCGGTCTGTGTCAAAATGTATTGTGGGTTTATTACTCCATTACACGCTATGATAAGGAAAAGAGGCCTTGGGCTTTTTGGCCAGGGTTTATTGTCGTGTGGATGACTTGTTCCATGAGTTTGGAGTTATTGGATTTCCCACCGTTGTTCGATGCACTGGATGCTCATGCCCTTTGGCACGCGGCGACGATTCCGGTGCCCATGTGGATGTATAGGTAATAACCCCCTCTCACTCTTTATAACGTCGAGAAAAAGGAAGTACAGCTAACCTAAATCACGTTATAGGTTTCTCGTTAGAGAGTCAAAAGACGATATCTATGGAAAACGTCTCAAAATGTAAATATCATAAATGTCTTGAAAAGAGAAGGAAAAGGAAAGTAATTTTCAAAAGCGGGATTCATTTTTCAAGCAGGGCCGTAGTATATATATCTATCCACTTTGAGCTAGGGGTTTGACGGAGTCCAGGCGTTTGAACGAACCCTCTTATTCTTGTTGTTGCTATATAAACTTTTCTAAATCTAATTCGAAGATCCAAAATGAACTTCAAAAGCCTCAAGTCTGATAACTATTTTTCCAGAAACACTGATATACCGAAGAAATAAAAGTCATATATCTGCATGGTCTATCGGACATCTATACTAGTACACCATTTTGTACTCTAATTAAGCAGAGCCTTGACCTTCTGTGCTAACTCATCGGCTTCACTCTTGGTCGCCGCCTCAGCATACACCCTTACAACATTTTCTGTCCCACTAGGTCTTACAAAACTCCTGGCCTGATCATATTTGCCGACCAAAGCATCGATTTGCTCTTGCAGCCCAACAGGATGTGTGAGTTTCCTCTCAGCATCCGTAGTCTTATAAATGTTCCGATCCGCGACCTCGGCCTTCTCCAGTCTATTGGGGAGATCAGTATAGCAGGCATCCCAAAGATCTGGAGTCCATTCCTTATGAGCCAGAATGACCTCAACGAGTAGAAGGTCTGATAGAGCATCGCCGACAGTTTGATTGATCAACTCGGTGATATTCTTCAGATGGGTCAATGCAGTATCTTGAGCTGGGTTCTTGGGTTCATGGGCGAAGATTCGCTTTAAAGCTGTGGGTGAGAAAAGGACAGTCCCGTGTCCGTTGGCTTCGAAGTATACACCGCAATCATATGCCAAAGCGGCGTGGTGGAGATGCTTAACACCTGTGGGAGTGCATACGGTTGGGAGACCTAGCTTCTCAATATAAGCTGTCGAGCTTCCGTTCGCATAAGCGGTTTGGACAACACCGATCGAGAAGTCGGTGATTCCGCTCTGGTGGATGAGATCACCGATGAAAGAAGCGGCAAGGGTGGCGATTTTATCACCGTCGAGGAGATGGAAGACGGAGTCCTTGTCGACGTAGTAGTAAACTATACGGTCGGCGTCTCCGTCAAGGGAGGCATAGCGGGCGAGAGGTTGGGCGGATACAGATGGTGGCAGGCGCTGACCTGTTTTAACATAGTCGGCACCACTCTCAGAATTGAGCTTCGAGAATGTCTCCGTGTCATCATTGGTGATGGTGATATCGATTGAACCGTTAAGATATTTTTGGAGTTCTCGAAGTTTGGGGCCTCCAACACCGTTTGCACAATCCACGGTGACAGAACCATTTGATTTATTGGCCATCAACTGATTGAAGGCCGTTGATATTTTTTGATAATATCCTTCGAGAGTAGGTTCTCCATACGCATCGTCTTTCCCTTGAGTATTCAAACATCGGACGACGTAGTGCAACTGAGGGGTGGTTACAGCACCAAAGCCCTGAGACTTAACCCCAACGGCATCGAGAGCATCTTTGAGGGCCTGAACAAGTGCAGGACTAGACTCTCTAGTATCAGAGCCGTAAATGACCTGTGGGACGACATCCTTGTCGATGTTGAACTTCTGTTCAAGCTGGGTGTAGTAGTCATAGACGGCCTGGTCGGATTCTGCATTCGCAAGGGCAGTGCCATATGCTTCCCAGCTTGACTCGAGCATTTCGCCCTGTTCTTTATATCAGCCATGCTTTTCTGCACGCTTCTCTCTTATATATATTTAAAATAGATTTAAAAGAAGGCATACCAAAGGGTCGATGAGCTTGACACCATTATCAGCTGGTGGATTATGGGAAGCAGTGATCATGACACCGATAACCTGACCACCCTTGTATCTCGACCTCAAGGCGGCGAGCAGACCGACGCGAAAAACAACGGACGGTAATAGTTCTCTGCATGATTTTGGAACTCCTTGTCAATTGGCCGAAAGATACAATCAAGTACTTTTATGATATAGGAGAGAGAGCATTACGCTTTCATACGAAACTATCATTTTTGTTTAAATCTGTTAGTGACCGTGTATATTTTATAGCAATGTTTGTACAGAACTGAGGTGGGATAGAACATACCCCTGCGGTGCCATACTGGAAGGTCTGGGCGGGCTTTGGGTAAGCTCCGGACGCGGCAATGACGGCTTCCTGGGACATTTTTGGCACTTCTTTACTTGAACAAGCGGTCAATTGGTAATTTGAAATATAGATGAAGAAGGCTAGATGGTATAGGTATCGCGAGAATTGCAATTGGGAATAGTAGTAGTCAATTAGGATGAGAATGAGGATGAAGGCAGGGGAGAGCTAAGAGGCGGGGCAATTCGAGTTCAGTTTTGTTTTACACTTCGAAACCCGCATTTATATGAGGTCAGCTTTGTCGGATGCGGAAAGCCAATCCACGTCCACTCCACGTCCAATCCATGCACTCGAGGAATGCACATGTACTGTACTTACAAACTTACATACTACTGACTTACATCTCTTCCCATGCCTATGAGCGTGGTGTGTAAGTACTTACATACGCATTATGTAGCATGCATGGCCATGGTCTATTATTGGCTACTGACGTTGTAGTGTAAATCGGGCAAGACATCCTCGGCACGTCTGGAATACGGCTTAGTCGGCAATCACGACATTTAAGGAATTAATTGACCGACTGACCTGTGTGGACCCGTCCAACTTAAACCTACTGCAATGCTATCTCCACTTCATCCCGACACTTACACTTACACCTACATTCCTCCTTGGCCGCCGGCAATCAAGTGAAGCTTTACTTTAAAGAGAGAAAGGGGAATTAAAATGTCGGAAGTCCTCATCTTCGGTGCTGGAGCCGTCGGCGCCTTCTATGGCTCTCTCATCGCCAAAACAGGCACGCCCGTATCCGTCGTCTGCCGTTCAAACTACTCTGCCGTCAAAGCCAATGGCTTCTCCGTAACGTCTCCCCAATACGGTTCCTTTGAATGGACCCCTACTCGTGTTTTCCCATCTGCAGAGGCAGTTAAGGAAGCTAAAGTCCATTGGTCATACATTGTTGTCACCACGAAAGCTCTACCGGACGTGTCGGACGACTCGGCTTTACTCGAGGGCTTAGTATCGTCAGGTACAGCTATCGTACTCATCCAGAACGGCCTGGGTGTAGAGGATCCATACTACTCCCGTTTCCCACAAGCATCCATCCTCTCGGCTGTTACAATCGTTTCGGCATCCCAGCCTTCCCACGGCAAGATAGCTCACAACCGTTGGACGCGTATCAATGTCGGCCCATATCTTCCCGAAACCCACACTTCGGAATCCACTGCCCAGGAGGCAATCTCTAAAACGGAGGAATTTGCAAGATTACTCGTTTCCGGAGGGGTGAAGGATGCAGAAGCCTATACGCACCAAAAACTCCAACAGGTTCGCTGGCATAAAATCGCAATCAATGCTTCCATGAATCCTTCGTCTGTTCTCTCCAATGGGTCCACAAATGCTGCGATGTCACTAGATCCCGATTTATCTATTCATCTCAAGGGCGTGATGGAGGAGGTGCTCACCACGGCTCCGAAAGTTCTTGGGGTGCCATTCCCAAAGGAGTTTGCAACCTCAGATCGAATTATCCGATCGACGCAGAAGAACGATAGCGGTAGTAGACCTAGCATGTGGGGCGACTGGGAGAGCGGACGACCCATGGAACTGGAAGTTATACTAGGAAATCCTATAAGGATAGCGAGGCAGAAAGGGTATGAAATGCCGAGGATGCAGACTCTTTATGCGCTATTGAAGATGGCGCAGGCCAATAGAGACAAGTCGAAGAGTAAGCTGTAGTATATATCATTCGAAGAAAAGAAAAAGTAAGCTACCCAATACCCATCCTTTCCTTTCCTCACCTCCCATATAGTGGGCACCTAGAGCGCTACCGCATGATGATAAACGCTGGGGCCATATGAGATCTATTTTATGTGGGAGATCATTGCTTCAAAACCCAGCTAAATTACAAAATTTTTGACCAAATTATGACCAATATTCTGATACTGCCTCTTCATCCTCTTCTACTATGTTCTATAGGAAACTTCTGGAAAGAGCCATTGCTGACCCATGTTCAGGATATCTAGGGAGGTCCGACTATTTCTATTAACAGTTTTATTTGGCGACTTTTGTACACATTCTATACGATATTTGATAACTACATGATACCCAAAGCATCTTGATGCCGCAATAGTCGTTTCCACACATAGCAGCCTAAGCAACTAAAACAAAGACGTGATGGTTTTTTCCCTGCTAGTTATAGGAGGAGGTATATTCAAATTACTATAGCTTGGGATTCGGTCCCATTGGTCTCGGGGGCATAGGGCCGAGGACAAAAGTCAAAGCAAAGATAACTGATAACAATAAATAGATAAAAAAAAGTAAAACAAAGGAAGCGAAGAGGGCTAGATCGTTTACATAATATCTGACAGGCTTCCCAAGGGCCTTCAAAACATACACAGTAGTGAGGATTGGTCTCGCCTTTTGTAGCTCGGGGCCGTTTGTCAGCTCTTACTCTCATCCAGTAGTTGACACTCGCGCTTGGTATATCAAGGGCCTATATAGCCTATTTTCATTCCAGACGGCCTGACTTCAAGTACTTCTTTGCTCATGTCATATATCGCGTTTGTTTTATCGCTGGGGTTGTACAAAGGTATCCTTGGAAGTTGACGTTTTGTATTATGTATATTCTTGCAACAGCGTTTCAGCTTCAGATAACCCGTCCTCCCTTGCCGAAACGTTAGAAAATCTAGAAACATCCAAAAAAAAACCCCATCCCTTTAAGCTTTCCCTCTCTTACTGTACAAAGATGCCGCTGTTTTCGTCAAACATATATTGTAAATGTTTACATAACCCTCCCCGCTGAGGGTTTTATCCATGGTAATGATACTCATAAGGCCGAAAATAGATTAAACGTATCCGACCCTTAAGCTTTTCTTTGGTGTTTTCCCGGCTATGTAGTCTGGCGAGATGTCTGTTTTTTCTCTCCCGGAACCAACCGAAGTGGCCATTAGCTATTCCTGGGGACTACTAAGCTTTTGATAAGCATTTATTTTTTGGACAGGGGAGAGGAGCTATCTATGGAGGAGGCAGAGCCTCGATCATCCTGGCGCCTGAATATAGTCACCTCATAATATCAGGCAGCGGAGGGAATACGGGGCGCGGCAGTTGGGGGGACCCGGAAAGCAATGCTTTAGCAGACTGACGCACGCATATCCACTATATATACTATATATACATAACGTTAAGGGGTTTTCTTGCATTACAGCCTTGTGGATAAGGATTATATAAAATAACACCGGATAGTAGCCTTTCTTTTATGTTTTCTATTTCTTCTCAATAGTATCTTTATCTTTTATCTTTACAATTAGCTTAACTCGACGTCCCAAAAAGGAACATACATACCGAAATACCACATTTTCAACACCACATTGAACAAAACAAAATATGCATTTCGCACTTCACAAACTCCCACCGACTTCTCATCCTTCCCATCGTCTCCTAAGAAGATATTACTTATCGTATACTTCCCTTCTCTGCTGTTTACAGATATACCTCATATTTGCCATAGTCTACCAGGGTCGCCAACTAGGCATACCATTCGATCCAACATTTGTTTTCCACCTCTTTTTAGCATGGGTAACAACGGTCGGGGGTATCGGGCGGTTTATAGAACACGTTAGTATCAAGGATTTTGAGGAGTATATGAAGTATATGAGGGAAGAGAAGTTGGTGGGTAGATTTGATGGCGTTTTTTCGGGTATTTGGTATGTTTCCCCTCCCCCCCTCTCTTCTCTTTCTTTGGCTCTAAAAGCTGCATTTGTATTTTTGGGAGATGAAGGGGAGTTAATGATGACTGACGTGATTAAATAACTGCAGGTTATTGCCGTATACCATGATTCCGTTCGCTTTATTCGGTGATTTTAGGTATATAGGATTGACATGGGGTATCCCTATCCCTATGGTGTATGTTCCCCAACTCTCCTTTCCCCATCATCATCCTTCACTTTGAAAATACATACTGACGTCAGCTATTTTTCTTAAAAGGCTTGGGTACGCCACCTCTCGCTGGCTATACCGTCGCATCAATGCCACGTATCATACAGGTGAATATGCCAAATTGGCAACAGATGAGGAAGACGTGCTGGATGGTGATGGGTTACCGGCTTATGAGGAACATGAGAGGTCGCCATCTCCTCCTTTCATGCCTACCATTACTACCACCACCGCTACTACTCCTTCTTAAGAATTCGTTCCCTACTCAGACGGCTCCCGTTCCTGTCATTCCAGGGGCAGCGAGTACTGGCCATGGCCAGGAACAGGTGTAAAGGCTATGTGATTTTTTCCTTTCTTCTTCTTTTTGTGATAGCTTAGCGGAGCTGGTTTCTTTGCTCAAGTTTTTTTTCTTATTTCTTTTTATCATTTATCATAACGAAGAGACGATGGATATATCTTGTTTTTGTAAGTTTTGTAAATTTTTTGATTTTGGTATAAAAAAAAGGAGGATATTACAAGTTTACTTGGGACAGAAGAACGTCAATAGGTGAGGAGGACGAGGAGGAAGATATTTACATCTCCTCATGCATGAGTAAGCAATGAAAATCAACAGAATTGCACCCCATGATCCCGAACAAAAGACAGTAAATGGACTTAATCAAAACATAAAAAAAAACCAAATCAAATCAAATCAGATAGGTTGGTAGGTAGTAAGGTTGCAAAAAAGAGGAAAGGAGCTGGATGGTAAAAAATCATGTTGATAAGCTTATTTTTTCAGCGATAATAATGCAGGAAAAAGAGACTGAATAAAAAAAGACAGAAAAGAAGCAGTGTCAACTCATACTACAGAGTAGTACTTCGACAGCAGCTTCTTGGAGATGGGAATTATTACAATTAGTACTCGCAAGGGAAAAAAAAGAGAACAAAAAGGCATGAATACAAAGAAGAAAGAAGGAATAACGCCAGTCATACGCCGTTCCGTGTGCCGTATTGCTTATGATGTTTTTTCTCTCTCGTCGCTTTCTCCCTATCAATGGGCTGTAAAATCAAAATGCTGGGTTTAGTGCGTGATGCGTGTGTGCTTCGTTGGCACTTTTGGAAAGAGCAAAAAAAAGGAGGTAGTCTATTCCTGAAATTTTGGTGTTGGTAGGTTTTCGTCGTAGCTTCATAATTTCGCCTGGCGGATAACTTGTTTAAAAAATAAAATAAAGCTGAGGCAGGCATTGTTTTTGGGAGATAGAGTAATTTAGTCCTTCTTTTGCGATTCGCCTTGGAAGCTTGGATCGCGGACCATGGGGTTGATAGCGCGACGAGCAACCGGAGAAACAGCTGGATCTATCCTATTGTTAGTGAAACTATCTATCAGAAGGTAATCGGGAGCTTGGTTGAACATACGCATACTTCGCCAGTCCCCGCTGTCTGGGGAGGCGCGTGGATTCCCAGCGAGAACGCTCAGGCCGTGGAGGATGTTGCTAAGACCTCCATCGCTAGCATCGCTGGGATGTCGGCGATGAGAGGTATTTGTAGGAGTGCGTGGATTGAAGGGGTAATGACGCATATAGGTGTTTGGGCTGGAAGCACTAGGAGGTTGGGTGCCACCGGTGGTGGAAGCCGAGGAGGCCGAAGTTGGACGGATAATCTTGTAGAGCTCGTCGAGAACATCCTTTGGCGTACTATATTTCGTCGAGTTAGTATTGTTGATCTGTGAATCTATTCGGGCGTGGAGAGGGCAGGAGAAGCAGCGTACTTAAATAGCTTGGAGTCAAGACCCTCCTCTGGAATACCGGTAGAAGCAACAGAGCTACGACGGGTGGAAGTTACAGCTGTAGCTGTAGCTGTAGCTGTGACAGTGGCAGAGGCAGCCTGGGTGTTTTCCTTGGAATCGACGGTGTCGGAGTCGTAGAGGAAAACCGGTCGGGGGAATTGAGGACGGTACATGGGAACCCTCATAGGACGAGGAGCGAAGACGGAGATCCCGGGAGAGGAAGGAGGACGTGGAGGAGGAGTAGGTGAAGTTGAAACATGTTGAGATGTAGGAGACGGGGAAGTGGCGATGAGGGCTGTGAAGTGAGCCTGAGGAGATGGAGAAGCGGTGAATACGGGACGGGGAGAAGGACTGGAGGTAGTCGCCATGATTGATTGATTCCCTTTTTCTTCCTCTTCTTCTAATTCTTCTTGATGGCGTAGATTGGATGCTGATGATTGTGAATATGGTGATGATGGACGTGTGATGAATAGGTGGTACTTCGGTAGACAGACGGTAGATGAGTTTGATGACGGTAGATGGGTTTGATGACGGTTGATGATGAAGCTAGCGAGAGGAGACGTGTCGGGGGGAAACTGAGTGCAGCTGGCGTTGCGTTTGGAGAAGGAAGAACGAGCAAGTGACGGAGTGACTGGGTGACTAGGGGAGTACCTAGGTGAGGTTTAAATATAGACAGAGCCTCACTTTCACTTCGCTTTCACTTCACTTTCACTTCTTTTTAACTCTCAGAAAGGGGCAAATTGGAGGCCGCCACAAGTCACAAGTCACAGTTCACGTTCACAACTTTTGTTACTAAGTCAGTTAGCCGGGGAATGAACAGATCAGATCGGGATCAGATCAGATACATATTTTACAAACATTCATGCACCCATTCATGCACCCATTCATTCTATCTTATAATACTACTAAGTATTTTTTTGTTTAAAGACGTCAAGGTTGGTGGCACTGCTTATTTTTTTTTAAAAAATGTTAGTTATAACCAACTGCCAGCGTGGAGATTATAATAGCAGATACATGTACTGACTTTAGCTGGAGAATATTAGGAAAGAAGACAAAACCCATGCAACCATTGATCATCTGTTAAGCAAAATATACTTACTTACTCAGTATGTATATCCCGGGCTTAGACGGCTAATGGCCGGGTACGGGAACTATAACCGTTCAGGATGCTGATATGTTTATTTAAATTCCGACTTGCGACAGAACCCGGTCCAATTGCCTATTTACCTTATATCTCTACTCGACTCAAGTACTCACTTGAGTAAGTAGGTATTCAATGAATTATATATATGGCACGCTTATATATCCAGTACCTATTACAGAGTATTTCCGGAATCGAAGAAATCATCTTTTTGCATCGTTGGCTTCGGGACAAATAGCCGACGGTACAATGACGTCGCAATTCTCAAGGATCCTTGCCCGTACAGGTACGGCACAGGCACAGGAACAAAACCGTTTGACGATACTCCGTCCTTACCTTCATTACTAATGCAACCCAACCGAAACGAAACCAGCCTTAGCCCGAGTCCTTTCTGCGCATACTTATGTAACTCGGAAAGTACTTTCTCACTTAAAGTATTCAATGCATGCGTGGGCTATGAGCCATGTGCGAGGCTAGCGGTGCGGTCTTTGTGCGGTTGCGTCTTTTGTGCGTAGTTTAGCGTCCTCTCCCGGCGAATCAGAACCTTTTAAACCAACTAAACGAAAGAAAAACTATAACACGCCAAAACACATGTGCGCATGTGCACACTTCTATGCACTTTACATTTGATAAGCAACTTTATGTCTGGGGGGACGGAGGTGGACGTCTTTTCCAGAATTATCGCGGGACTTGTGCGTGTTCTTTGATAATGTGATTTGTAGTTACCGGTCGTAGACATGATTAATTGTAACGAATCCGACCGAGTCATGATGATAGTATTATCTAATGAATGTATATGACGAGATGGGAGTGGCGATGTCGGCCCGCCTGCCGGTATATAAGAACCTTGACCCCTTCCCGAATATATTACTAGTCGGATTCGACTTCATGGATATTCTATTATCTTATAATATAATCTACTCTATCTTATGCTCAATAGTTATATTGTATGATCGGATCTAGTTTGCCTCGTCCAAGATCTTGTCCTACGCACCCACCGGCCACCCGGCAGTTGCAGTTACAGTTACATATCCAGTTACAGTTGCAGCTATAAACTCGGACTGTTATTATTATTTGTCAGTATCTATAAAGATCTGAAAGATACTTATCATTCCCGTCGCACCGTCGCACCGTTTCAAACGAGACTGCATAATTAGTACTCAGGCTGGTACAGAAGTAAGTACTTAAGTACTTAACAGGTATACATACAATGGTATTGTTGTTATATACATAAGCTTCCGAGTCAGTTTAAAGCTTATAATAGTTCCATGCATTTTACTAATCACACCGTTTCTTTCGAATAGAATTCAGATAGATACCCGTCTATTTCAGCTGGTGTTCTATAATTCGGATCTTGTCACACGGAATCGAAGAATTTCTTCTAGATCCAGTTGCTGCCTGAACCCTCTTTTCTTCCCTTGCTTCAGGTTCAAGTTCAGGTGGTACTGTTCATATTTATTTCAAATACTCAATCATTTATCCGCCAGTTTCGATCACCAAAAGGTCTGTACCTCCAGTTCGTATAAAGACAAGCCATCTCTCCTTCACTGCATGCACTTACACATCGTATCAACCACAATCGCTAACAAGTACCAATTCGAATTCAATCTAGTTTAGTCATAGGATATCAATCACAGGATATCAAAAAATGGAGAAGGGGATGGAGGAGATGATGATGAAGGAGGACAATGTCCTTCTAATCAAGACAACCCTCTTCATATCCAATATCCACTGTCCTACCTGTACCGATCTCATCCAATCCACCCTCGCCTCTCTCACTCCTCCTCCAGCTTCTCACAATGCTTCCATCCTCTCAAACAGGGTCGAGGTCTTCCATTCTCCCCTCCTCCCTCCTCAGAAGATCATAAAGGCCCTCAACCTTGTCGGCTTTGACATTGAATCATGCCTCTCAAGCTCCGGTGGTGATGAAGAGTCCCAGCGTGTCGCTGCCCAGAGGTCTCCATACCTCCTCGAAGGCCTTGGTGGTAACCTCATTCGAAAGATGGAATCCAAGAAGCGAAAGCGGCACGAAGAACTCTGTGGTCAATGCCGCTCTGAAAAGGCTGGTGCCACCTCCCCATCCCCCTATGGTTCATCCGAAGCTATCGCCCGCCCGATTCCATTGCACACCAAGCTGTACGGTGATTCTCATGCATCAAATACAGCTTCTGGTGCTGGTAGTCCCACCGTAGAAAGAAGGCAGCCGTTTCCTTCCCCGCTTGATGCTGTCGCTGCTAAAGATTCCGACGACGAAAAGTGGCTTGCTACTCTGGCAATTCAGGGTATGACATGCTCTGCCTGTGTCAATTCGATCCGTCAGAACCTTCGGGCCTTCGGTTTCATCGAAAAGGCCGAGATAAGTGCTCTCACACACAGTGGAAATATCATATTCTTCGGGAAACATAACATGGACACGATTGTCGAGGCAATCGAAGACGGTGGTTATGATGTTGAAGTTGTCGACCTCACTCCCTTCAACCCCAATGAATACGAAACTCGTGAGCGAACAATGACACTTCAGATCAATGGCCTATACTGTCCAAAGTGTCCACCTAAGATCATGGAAGCCGTTGAAAACTTCGCCTCCTCACAGGTGACGGTCATCAAACCCATAACATCCCCCAAGGTCCCTGAGATAACTATTAAATACACTCCCCAGCCCGACATCACGGCTCGAAAGCTAATCGAAAGGATCGAATCCGTCGATCCGGCTTTCAAAGTAATAGTAAAGCCTTCTCAATCCTTAGAGGACCGCAGTGCCCTCGTCCACAAGGCTGAAGTCCGTCGCATCGGCGTTCGGCTCCTTCTCAGTGTCATCTGTGCAATCCCTGCTTTCATCATCGGTATCGTGTTCATGGCGCTTCTTCCCAAGGACAATAAATACCGAGTATGGTCTGAGAAGCCGATTTGGAGTGGTACTGCAAATGTGTCGGAGTGGTCATTATTGATAATATCGACTCCTGTATACTTCTTTGCTGCTGATCTGTTCCACGTCAGAGCCTACCAGGAAATGCGTGGACTGTGGAGCCGTAAGAACCCTAAGCCGGTTTGGAAGAAGTTTATGAAATTTGGGAGCATGAACTTGCTGGTGAGTTAAAGTCTTTAAAAAAATAAAAGTAAAATATTGTGAAGTCGTGTGCTAACTGAATGGATGTATAGATGTCATTGGGAACGACTGTTGCCTACTTCTCGTCAATTGCACTCCTAGCTATTAATGCTGCTCAACAGCCTGAAGCAATAGATCTTGGCCATCATGGAATGCAAATGCAGGCTGAGATGAAGAAGAGCGAAATCGCCCATGCTACTTATTTTGATGCCGTTGTATTCCTCACAATGTTCTTGCTATTTGGTAAGTCATATTACATCCCCGCTTCTCGCGTAGTACAACTATATATAGGAGGCTAACTAATATCCCGAAGGCCGCCTTCTTGAATCTTATAGCAAAGCCAAATCAGCGAACGCTGTCAGCCTCCTTGGCAACTTACGTCCGAAGGAAGCCAGACTCTTGATTAACCCTGCTTCCACAGAGACCACAACCGTCCCCGTCGAACTCCTCGAAGTTGGTGATCATGTGGTCGTCGCTCATGGCCAATCCCCTCCACTCGACGGCAAAATAATCACAGGTTCCGGGCAATTCGACGAATCTGCTTTAACAGGTGAATCTCGTCTCGTTACCAAAACTACCGGCGACGAAGTTTTTGCAGGAACAGTAAATCAAGGCCAGCCTATTACAATCGAAATACAGAGCATCTCAGGCAAGTCTATGCTTGATAATATCGTTCGCATCGTTCGGGAAGGGCAAGTTCAGCGGGCACCTATCGAACGTGTTGCTGATCTTATCACTGGATACTTTGTCCCTGTTGTATCGTACTTGGCCGTCCTGACATGGGTTATTTGGCTCTCCCTTGGTTACTCTGGTGCCATTCCCTCAGAATGGGTCGAAGGAAACCAAGGAGGGTGGGCAGTGTGGAGTATGAGTTTCGCCATCGCAGTGTTTGTTATTGCATGTCCCTGTGGTATTGGATTGGCGGCACCGACAGCGCTGTTCATTGGCACAGGGCTTGCGGCACGATATGGAATTTTGGCAAAGGGTGGCGGTGAAGCGTTTCAAGAAGCCAGTTGGCTCGATGCTGTTGTGTTTGACAAAACTGGGACACTAACACATGGAGGGGAACCAGAGGTTGGAGATGCTGTTGTTGTTGGATACACCGAGGAAGAGAAAGAGTGGGCATGGGGTCGAACAGTTTTAGGAATCGCCGAAGGGTTGGAGAGTGCCAGTGGCCATCCGTTGGCCAAGGCAGTGCTCAAGCATGTCAAGGCAGAGGGAGGAGAAAATGTTGAACGACTAACCGTCGAGGAAATTCCTGGACGCGGTGTCACCGGAACATTCAAGATTCATGGCGTGGAAGTCGAAGCTTTCATTGGGAATGAGGCTTTTATGCACGAAGAAGGAGTTGTCATCTCGCAGCAGGTTAAGAATACTTTGGAAAAATGGAAGCAGGAAGCCAAGTCCGTGATCGTACTTGCCGCAGAGAGGAAGTTTGATGGACCTGCGCCTAGTGGACTAGAGATTGGAGAAACACCAACAGTTCTAGCTTACTTTTCGGTTTCAGATCAAATCCGACCTGAAGCTGGATATGTAATTTCAGAACTGGACAAAATGGGAATCAACGTCTACATGATTACTGGCGACAATGCAACTACTGCTTCTGCGGTGGCAAAGACCGTAGGTATCCCAGCCGAAAACGTTATCGCTGGAGTCCTCCCCCACGAGAAGGCAGAACAAGTCAAATATCTACAACAAACGGCACAGTTACGACGACATACGGGCATCGCAGCCTTCTTCCACAGGAAGAGAAGCGTAAAGAATGCAAACACCCGACCTAGAGTCGCAATGGTCGGCGACGGTATCAACGATTCACCTGCACTGGTTACTGCAGATGTGGGGATCGCGATTGGAAGCGGTAGCGATATTGCACTTAGCTCTGCAAGTTTTATCTTGCTTCGTGAAGATCTAAGACAGGTCCTTGTCCTCATGGAACTTGCGAGGAAGGTTATTAGACGGGTCAAGTTTAACTTCTTTTGGGCGGCGATTTACAATGTCATTGGGATTCCTATTGCAGCCGGGGTGCTTTATGGATACAAGAGGACGAGGTTGGATCCAAGTTGGGCGGCTTTGGCAATGGCTGGGAGCAGTGTCAGCGTTGTGGCGAGTAGTTTGCTGTTGAGGAGTAGGATTAGGGGTTTGGGATTTAGGATTAAAAGGAATTGGAGAAGCAAGGAGTGATTGTAGCCTCCTACGGGATCAGGTGATTGAAATTGTCTTTTGAAGAGATGTATTTAGGAGGTATTGAGAGATATTGAGATCACAATGTTTGGTTTTTGGATTTCAGATCTTTATGGTGTCGACAATATTTGCGTTGGTGTTGCATTTTTGAGTTCTGAGATTCGATCTCGAGATTCAGGCCACTGCATAAGCCAATTTAAAGAGCGGCTCTAGTGTGTATGTAATTATCATCATCATAAAGCGTATCGAGGCGTTTATTCTTGGAATGAAATAATTTACTGTTTGTCATCACAAATCTTTTCTGGTTTGACCGTTATACGTATGAAACTTTCTCCGTCACTCTTTTTTCTTTTGAAAAAACAAGCTTAAAATATTGAAATATGAGTGGGTCCACTTCCCATCTTCGAAACAGTTAACCGTCCGAAGGGGGTCAAACTAGTATGTGGAATCCTGGCCTTCCGAGCGGCGACTACAGTATCGATACGATGGATCAACCCATGTCGGCATTGGAGGGAGCAGACACACTCCATCTCTAATTCATGTCGCTTATCTACAATGAGCCATGGGATGGGGGGAAAGTTGGGGGGGTCTAGAACCTTGGGGTGGGGTGGATGTGCACTGTGATATGGAATAACTGAATAGGTTGCATTTTTGCTGACATGGTTTAGCTGACTTAGTTTACTAAGCTTGATGAGCGGTAAGTGGGTTCCTTTTGGGGGGGGAGGGGAAAGACGGGAAAGCCTCTTTTGAGGGGTTTGAAAATCGTGTGAATGTTTTGAAGTCGTGCGTGTCGCGGCCGTTTTTTTCTGTTTTTTATTTTCCCGCCTCCTATAGGTATACTTGCCATGAGTCGTTTGGTATAGTTATTCCGAAGAGAGTTAAGCTATAGTCAGGACGGGAAGGTCCTCTTTTTTTTTTTTTGTCTCGAAGCCTTCAATGTAATCCAGGGATGACGATGTTTTGGACTATTATATCCGCGGGGTTGAAAAAGAGATAAATTTATAATTAGGCAACGAATGGCTATACAGCAGATAGATATAGAAGGATCTATACCTTTTTTGCAAATGCGCATTTATCATGGTCTCTAAGAAAAGGGTTTCAAGAGTTAAGAAAATAAATGGAACTCAATGATTTCATAGGCTTTTCGAGAGAAAGCGGTTATCGATACGATGTGGTATTCTGGGGGGATCCATGTTTATTCACCACAATTTGATGGTTGATTCGAGGATAGTTATCGAAAAGAAGGATAGAATTGTCGAATTACAGACGAACAGATGGGATGTAAAGAATCCTTTGATATAGGTACATTTAACCATGCACAAAAGCTACTATGATGTTGACAATACTATCTAACTTTGCTAGATGCATCATGTCCCCGCCTCCCCTCCCGATCTATCTCAACGTTCCAGACTCAAAAAGTTGATCAGATGGTCCAGTTCACCATCCTTTACTTTTTGACTCCTGACAACATGCTTCGCTTGAGACTCGCTAGTATTGGACAGTTTAAGATTTTGACGAAAGAGCCCCTTGCGTCGTTTCTGCAACATGATGTAAGTCGTGTGTATGTGTGGATACTTATTGGGCGCTATAGCTAGCAATTTTATGCGCTAGAAGGAAGAATAAGAGTTTGAAGATGGGCTCGTATTTTTTTAATCTTCCCTCGGCCCGGTTGTGTTTAAGGTACGTTACATAGAATGTTTTGATATGGCATTTTAATATCGGGTTTCCTTTTTTATTCTCGCAACTTTGCGATCTTCTTTTATCGTTCTTCTAGTTTGCTATCTTTTTAGGTTATTGTTGAACTTAAAGTGGTTTAACGGCCTCTTAAACACACCTTACTCCTAAAATCGTTTATACTCCTCGCTGCCCCCTTCGTCTCCTGCCTTGAAGGTGGCGTGATATTTCGGTATTATGGGTATTTTGTTTCTGTGCTTTTAGGAGTTAAAGACCTAGCCTTTTAGGGTGGCAAACCGGGGGCAGTTGAATAGATATTTATCTACTAGGTATGTATATTTTCACACATATATAATTCCGGTAATATTGAAGAGGGGTAGAGGGGAAGGGTCTTAGCTAGATCGACGTTGACTTTCTAATCTATGAGTTTACGACTTGGTAGTTGATTGGCTAGATCTTGGAGGAAGAGATGCCCCGCTCGATAACTATAGCATTTCTCGATTAAGTGCTACCTAGTTGGTGGTTTTGGATGGCGGCCGAGGCTTCCTACATATATGGTAGGGAGGCTTTTCTTTATTTCCGTTTGATATTCTGATGGTTGTTTCTCTTTTGGTTATTCTTCCTCTCCCGTTCTTTTTTTATATGACTAGAAGAAGCTTATATCGATGTCCAAGGCCGGGGTAAGAGATATCGCCTTGGCTGTTTCATAGACGAGCTGCGGTAGGGGTTTGGTTTATGGTATGTGGATTTGGTGCCGTTACCCGGTTCACTGATATCCTGCAAGTTGACGAAGGCGTTACGACTTCATATTTACGGTACTTCATTGAGGGGGTTCTTTGTATTTCGGTATATTATTGTCAAGTTACCTTTCTTTTGTTTTCTACCCCTCTTCTCCCCTCTTCTCCCCTCTTCTCCCCTCTTCTCCCCTCCTTTCACCCTGTCTTATTGTCACCTTATTTTTTTTGCTCTTGTGGAACATATATATACTTATACATCTTCGACGCCAGTTCGACAGACGGTATGGCGGCGAATGGTGTGAACCTTACCCGGTTACTCGAATTCTCTGAGCGGGATGAATTAGTGCGTAAAGCTGGACTATTGCCTATTGTGATACCTGAGGATATCTTGAGGGACCAGGTACTAAACCCTAGTATGTATTTCTTTTTTTCTTTTACTTTTACTTTTACCATGTTATATACTCTGCATTTCATATTCACAAGTAACGCTCTTTTCCATAAAAATACATATCAAAGATCTAACGATATATACACAGACTACGTCCCCAAAGACCTCCCGACCCAACTACTGGTCATCACCTGGTTATGCATCTTTATCCCGCTGGTAGGCGTGGTACTCAGATTTCTGGCAAGATTCGGAACTGCAACACGTCTTGGACTTGACGACTGGTTTTCGGCGATAACATGGGTCGTGGCTGCAGCATTCGGATCGACTACTATACTAGCGGCCAAAATGAGTGGGATAGGACGACATATCTGGTTTGCTACTGACGGAGAACTCGACTTTGGGTATATGGTACATGGAACTTCCCCCCCCTCCTTTCCCCGCCATATAAAGCTTACTACATTTTTTTTTCTTGAAAAAAAATAATGTTTCTAATGGAAACCCTTGAAGGGGAGGGGAGGGTAATAGATCGGATACTTCCACCAGATAGCCTATGGAATCACCTCATTCTTCCTTCACATGACGATAATGTTCTTCTACATCCGCATCATCCCTTCTGAACTCGTCGCTCGCAAGGTCCTCTACGTGTTCTTCGTGTTTCATATACTATACCTCCCTGTATACATTATTGTATCAGCGGTACAGTGCTCACCTGTACGGTCAGGGTATGATTTACGATATCGACTTGAGATCGGGGAAGAGAATAAATGTATGGATCCGTTTAAGTTGGTGACCGGGTTGACAATTGTGGGGATTACGACAGATTGTCTTTTGTTTTTGTTGCCGTTGAGTGTGGTTTGGAGGTTGAAATTGGAGGTTGGGAGGAAGGTTTTGGTTAGTGGGTTGTTTTTGTTGGGAGGTTTGTGAGTACTTCTTCTCTTTTAAAATTTCCCCTGTTACTTTGTTTTATTCCTTGTATATGGACTAATCTAGAGGGATAGAGCTTGTATAGCGTCTGGGATTCGACTATACTACCTTAAAGTCCTATACGCCTCATTCGATCGAACCTACTACGCGATGCCGGTAAACGCGCTAGGACACATTGAAATCGCCCTAGGCCTATTAACCGCCTGTTTACCAATGATGCGACAGGCGATATTATTACTTCCCAAAGGATCGTTTTATCCTTTGGTGTTATCACGACTTAATTGCTGCATATGCAGAAGGAGGGGGGATACTATTAGGGTTCAAAAGATCGATAGTAGGTCTACTAGGATCACGTATACTACAACGGATATTGTTGAGAGGAGTGATACTGAGTTGCATGACTTGAGGGAAATTGTGATTCCTCCGGTTCCTGTTGTACCTTTACATGTGGGGGGTGGGAGTATTAATACACCGAGTCTTGGAGGAGGAGGAAGGTCTCGGCCTAGTACGCGAGGGAGCAGTAGTACGAATGTAAGGAATAGCAGGCATGATAGATTCGTAAGAGATATTGTGAGGGAAGCCTATAGGAATCAGAATCATTCGAGAGAGGTTGTGGAAATAGGAGATATGTGGGTCATGACGGGGGATGGGCCTGTGAGGGTACCGATTCGGTACGAGTCGCTGGGGGGGACGGGGAGGGATGGGAGGGATGTGGGGTGATCATAGTTCTGCTTATTCTCTTTGTTTAATTCCTTTCCTTTTTTCCCCCCTGTGTTCCCCGTACACTTTGAGCGTCGTTATAATGGATATATATATATTTTTGCGGGTATTCATTCATGTTATGAATTATGAGGGAGTGTTTGTTATTATGGGCTATAGGATCACTCTGGAAGGTATCGGGTCTTTTTTCTTCCTCTTTTCTCTTATACTTAACAGCACGTATATAGGATAGGCTGTCAATATTATATATCGAAGAACAAGCGCCACCGTATAGTTACTCGCCGCAGTATCGAAGTTGTTGTTTAAGCGTCTGTGCTTGACAACGTGGAGTTTTGGGTACGTATACATGCAATATATACGAAGAGAATAAAACTAACTTTCAAAGCTTTCTACTTGTACCAGGTGTCGATCAACAGGAAAAAGAATAGTATCTCTCCCCATTATCTCTTATGCACGCTCACAGGCCACCCATCTCTATAGCTCTACATAGATGAAGTGCAGTGCAGGATCCCAAATAGGCATTTTTCTGGGGCTGGTTAGTGTCGGTTCGCCAAGTATCGTTTGTGTTACGTCGGCCGGCTTCGGGTGCAACCGGCCGACGCATGTTGGATTTTTTGGGAAGGAGGAATCAAATGTGTTGCCAAGTTGTTGCATTTGGTACTTAGGGCAAAGGCTGGTAGATTGTGAGCAGACATACGAGCCTTGCAATTGGCCTTAAGTGGTAGACACCTAACCCCGATTGTAGATGAATATTGAATACACGATCAGAGTTCATGGGAAGTACCTATTAAACAGGCTTGAATTGAATCCAAACTGAGGTATTAATCTTTCCCAGTATTTGCATTGCGCATACATTGCATGTCGACCGTCGAAACATGTTGACAAGGATGTAGCCTCGAATCCACAGGGATGGCTGGCGGCACGGGAGGGCTGCAGCAAACATGCATTTATATGGTGCCTGAATATTGAATTCTAACTCCAGCCGCGTGTTCTAATGCAATGGGCTTATGGGTCCCATCTGAAGAGGGGTGTCAATGCATTAGTTCTGTGGCACGACATATGTAGTGAACCATTGGTCTACTGGATCCATGGATCGCAGCATAGTATTCGCTGGCAGTCGCTTTATCAAATTCAGGTCGTAAATGTCGCAGATCTAGAGCGGGGTTCACGGAATACTTTGTTAGAAGTACATATATACTAGGAAGGCTAAGATTTGGAGGGAAAGATAGCCACTTAGATACTTAGCTTTGATAGGCCAGGAAGTGACTTCAGGCATATTCTGGTGGGTGGGGCCATGATGTAGAAGTATATTGGATGTGTTTATAAGGCTGCTGAGCTGGCGTTGTATACTTGAGAGATCTAGGATTCTTTCCGTTCCGTTGACGCTAACTAGACCATTCCTCTCTCATCTTCCTACTATCTCGCACTCATCTACAAAAACAGAACGACGCATACCTCTCACTCACTGATTTTGATACGTCAAAGTCCAGTACGCTATCGTATCGGCACCTATCATCATGGATATCCCCGACGACCCAGAATACGAGTGCCTAGAACAAGTCTCTGACTGGTATGCATCACTCCGGCCATTACTACTAGATTTGGTTGGCGACTATGCCGGACAAGAGCTCTTTTTCATCGACGGCGATTCGCTTTGTCGTCACATTTTCAGCGACAAGAGGGTCGCAATAAATTCAAAGAGTAAGTAAGCTCTAAAACCTTCGATGATAACTCATTTAAACTAAAATTCTTTGGGAAATCCTAGATGGCCCTCAAGTTATTACTGCCATCTATGCCCTCGAGAGGTTTCTATCTAATCTCCGACAACGAGGGTGTAATTTCCACCTTGTGTTCTTTGAAGGTAAGCTGCTAGTCGCACGATATGATTATGGTATCTATCTACAGCCGATAGGCGATAGCTAAAGAAAATGTCCTATTAGAACACAAATACCTCTGCTTTGACCAGTCTAAAACAAGCGATAAAAAAGCATGGAAGTACATCTTGGTCCGCGAGGCAGCCATGCGGCATTTACAGGAGACTATACCGTCGAACAATGCCGTCAAGGTCTTCAATTATCCCAGCTTGAACGATCCGAAGTTCGAAGAATACCTTCAAGAATGGAAGCCATACTTTGCGCTAGCACATGACGTGCCGAGTTTGCTCCCTGAAAATGAAAATGAAAACAAAAACCAGCAGCTCATGCAAGCAGGCATCCTTTGGAAGCTGCTAAGTCAAGGTTACAATGTAGCCCTCCTGGACAAAGTAGAGTTTAGAGACTCGAAGGTAAGAATATGCAGTACTCTTCGATAGCTGCCTCTGTATCCCGAAAGCTAATATGTGACCTAAATTTTACCATAGATAATGAGTCTAGTCGCTGAGGGCACTGGGCTAGGCCATTTCACATCTGCTTTTGCCAATAAGTGCAAGGGAGAGATGTCTACCATCGCCACTTCCCTAAGTGATCAGTACCACACTAAAGCAGAGCTTGTCAAAGAAGAAATCCTACCCGACACAATCAAGCTAACAAAAAATCCCCACGAGCTCTTAATCATTGCGGCAATGTCAAAGTTATCAAAGACAGACTGGAAATCTTCAATGCTCATGAAAGCGTGCGGAATTGGCCTATTACAGTCCACTCTATTGACCCAAACCCTGTCATTGAATCAGCGATGCCTTCCATCTGTTGAATTCACCAAAGCAACCCCGACCAAAGTGCTTGGCTTCGTTTATACCTTATGCCAAAATCTTGCGGTGTTCATCAGTGAAGGCCATTGCACAGACATCCAGCAGATATATCCCGGTCATAACATGAATTATTGCGATCTTATCGACGTCCGTCTTTTCCAATACTGCCTTGCCAACCCCTCCTTCGCGGAAGAAACGATAACCGATGACCTTCAACGCTTGATAGAAGCATTCAGAGTCCAGAGTGGCATTACGCTCTGCCCGACTGACACAGAGGATCTTAGCGGAAATATCATCCCGAAGACCATAGATAACCCGACGAGGGTTGCCGTACTACCATTCAAGCACAAATCTTTCGATAAACACCTGGCTAGCATTAAGCTAGATGTTGACGATACGGTATTGGAGAAACCTGAACTCATCTATCGGGCTGCGCAAGAGAAAACCCATTGGCATTCTACAAGTTCATTAAAGAGTGAGATGAAAGTATTAGATAAGTGGCAACAGAGTCGAAGGAACCGCTCGGATCAAATCTTCCACACTCACATGCAGCGTTATGCTGCATCTATCACTGGACAAAACGCTGGTATCCTCGAACCGGAGTTAATTATCGTGGCTGAGAAGGAAGAGAAGCTTAGAAAAGGTAGTAAGGCTAAGAAACTCATGGAGAATGAGAGTTTAAACAGTGGTAAACCGTCAAAAAACCAGAAGGGCGGTCAGAAAGCCCCCACGATGAAGAAGGCAGACGCTATCCGAGAAGCAAATATGAAGGCAAAGGGTAAGAAAACTGAAGATAAAACCAACGACATCTGGGGCAGGGTTCTCGATGAGTTGGTAACGCTCTCCGAAAAGGCGCGTACAAAGGCCGAAACACAGGATGCTGCCATGGTAGCTTTAGGGAAAATCAGTGAATTTCAACGGGTAAAGTTAAAGGGCGAATCATCAACCTATGTCTACTTGGAAACAAGATTGTACAAGATGAAAGTCCTCCTGGAGCTATGGGGAAATGCGTGTAGTATTAGTACACGAGAGAAGGAAACTCATAAGAACCTCGCAGCCTTGATCTTCGATGAAGCACGACACATATTGACGTCCCCGGCTCTCACCAAAGCGGTTTCGATCATGGTCAAAAAGGTTTGGGCTGAAATGGGCTTCGGCGAACCGGTTACTACCTCACCCACAGGCACCGACAAACTATCGCCAACTCTCGAGAATATTCGTGTCAAACCAGGGATGCAGATTGGGATATCACCAATTGAATTTCAACTAACACACAGCGGACCGTATATGGACCGCAGCTTTGGTTCAGCACCAGACAGCCGTGTTAGATTTCAACCTGACACTTGGCAGAGAGACGTTCTGGATCAAATAGATGCTAATAAATCTGTGTTCGTCGTCGCGCCAACATCTGCTGGTAAAACTTTTATTTCATTCTACGCAATGGAGAAGGTCTTGAAGGGAAGTAATGACGGTATCCTCGTCTACGTCGCTCCTACAAAGGCTTTAGTAAGTGCTAAAAATGCTAATAATCTCAATAGAGAAATATTTTACGCTAACTTTAATAATAACAGGTGAACCAAATCGCTGCTGAAGTTCTCGCTCGGTTCAACAAAAAATACCCCCACGATGGACAGAACGTCTGGGCTATCCATACCAGGGATTACCGTATCAATCATCCCGAAAAATGTCAAATCTTGATCACAGTGCCGCATATTCTCCAGATCTTACTTCTAGCACCACATAACGCCTCGAAATGGGCTCCACGAATCAAGCGGATCATCTTCGATGAAATCCACTCTATCGGGCAAGCCGATGATGGTGTTATCTGGGAACAGCTTCTTCTAATCGCACCATGGTAAGTTTTATCTTTCCTCCTACGAACTAGACTACCATCTCCCTATATGTAGTCATATAAAAACTTATTCTCTTAACCGCCACTCCTAGCCCCATCATTGCTCTTTCCGCCACAGTTGGTAATCCGGGAGAGTTCAGAGACTGGCTTGTTGAAACCCAGAAAGCCGCAAACATAGACTTGAAGATGATTGAGCACAAACATCGTTTTTCAGACCTTCGAAAGTTCGTCTACCAACCTCCGACAGACACAAATTTCACCGGACTCGACCAAAAGCGACACTTTGAGGAGTTAGATGACGAGCCAAATTTCATTCCGATCAACCCCATATCGACACTGATAGATGTGAAGAACCGAGCTCTACCAGCCGACTTGACTTTAGAGCCGAGAGATTGTTTAGAAATTTACAAACTTATGAAGAAGCATCAAACTGATAGCTTCAAAATTAGCAGTGCCTTGGACCCTACAAAATTCTTCAGTGGAATCATTGGAAAAGCGGACGTCGTGAAATGGGAATCTGCGCTGAAACGAGAATTAGAGAAATGGATGGCGAATTCTCTTTCTCCTTTTGATGCTGTTCTGGAAGAACTTACTCGTCCCCAAAATGCTAAGATGCCAGTTGATACTATGGATAAACCGAAAACTACTGTGCCGTCGTCAACTTCTTCGCCTTCAAAACCGAATTCACCCTCACCACCACCACCACCACAAGAGGAAGAAACGAATGACGATGGCAACGATGACGATGCACACGATAACGACAAACTTGTACAGGATACAACGTGCTCATTACTCGCTCGCCTGCACAGCAAGAATGCTCTACCGGCAATCCTATTCTCATATGATCGAACCATGGTGGAGAGGATTGTTAAAGCAATCCTCAAGCAATTAGAAGACGGAGAATCGCACTTCAAGAAGACCAATCGCGAATACCTAGCAGAGATGGAACAGTATCAAGAATACCTGAAGCAATCGAAATCAAAGGCTTCTATGAAAACGGATGAAAAGACCAAGAAGAAACAAACTAAGAAAAGCAAGAATAAGGAAGACGACATCGACGCAATGAAGGAAGAGCAAAATAGAGAAGAACGGGAAGAAGTAAGTAAATGGGCGACTTTCGATCCGGATGCACCGCACGAGAAATTCCTCTTCACTGGGAAAGTCAACTACGATGTAGAAGAGGATTTCAAAGTTTTAAGAAACGCAAGTGTTCCAGAGGACTTTATTTCAGCTTTACGAAGAGGAATTGGTATTCACCACGCAGGTTTGAGTCGTCGGTTACGTGAAGCGTATGTTAATTATCGATTTACCTCAAGATCAGATATTGGTTTCTAATGAGTGCATATACAGGACGGAGACATTGTTTCGTATGGGCTATCTTCAGGTCGTCGTCGCCACTGGAACTTTGGCACTAGGCAAGCAATATAACTTTTGACACAAGTAAAGGTCTCCATGGCTAACATTATTGATTAGGTATCAACATGCCCTGCAAGACTGTCGGTTTTGTCGGTGATAGTGTTTATCTCACAGCTCTTGCATACCGTCAATGCTCGGGTCGTGCAGGTCGTCGTGGCTTCGATTTGTTTGGAAATGTTGTGTTTCATGGTCTTTCACAAGCTAAGGTGAATCGCCTTATCAGCTCTCGACTACCTTCGCTACAGGGGCATTTCCCAATCAGTACATCATTGGTTCTTCGCATGTTTTCCCTCATCGATGGATCCCAGGAGTCAATATATTCCCAGAAGGCGATCAACCAGCTACTTTCGCAATCCAGACTATTTTTGGGCGGCGATAGCTTCAAGGAACAGGTGTTGCATCATCTACGATTCTCAATCGAATACCTACGCCGACAGCATCTAATAGACGCCAGAGGAATACCCATCAACTTTGCAGGGCTCGTCGGCCATTTGTATTACACGCAGAACAATGCGTTTGCATTCCATACTTTACTCAAAGATGGAGTTTTACACACTATTTGCAAGGATATAGATAAGAAGCCACGAGGGACAGCCTTAATGCTCATGTCGGTCATGGCGCAGATTTTCGGACGGCGCCGATGCAAGGCTCCCACGGAATTGGGCCAAACCAGAACGGAGATTATCAAGCGTTCACCGAGCGACGTATACCTCCCTCCCTTGCTTAGGATCGCTCGTGAGGCCCTTGAGGAGCACAATGAGGAGACCCTCAAGACATTTACGGGGTACGCCGCAACATTTGCGAAAGAGTATTGTCAGAATATCCCGGATAATGTCCTTCCGTTCACAAACAAGGAAATTGGGAGCTCCATTTCTGAGAAAGACGGAGACGATACCCATGTCAGGTCAACGTTTTTCAGAATATCTGGAGCAACGGATTCGTTCGCCTCGATCGAAGACTTATCCACGTCGACCCGGAATGGAGTTTTTTTAGAGTCGTCTGCAATCCCAATCATTGATACACGAGGTGGGTATTGGAATGCTTATTTACTTGATTTTTATAAACATGGGAGTTTGCATCCATTGGTCGTAGCAAACGGTTTACGCAAAAATGATGTTTGGTTTATGTTAAATGACTTTTCGATGATCTTGGCAACCATCGTCACCTCTATCAAAAACTTTTTTGCGGAGAAGGATGTTGGTGGATCCGACGAAGATCTTTTGGAGCTTCTAGCGATGGAAGAAGGGGAAAGGGTGGATACAGAGGAAGGGGAAGCTGGGTTCGGGGGCGAATATGAAGGGGATATTGACGTGGCCAGGGTCAACCATGCCGCATTCGAGGATCCGAATGGAATGTTGAAGGTATTCAAGGCTTTCGTCCTTTTGAAGTCGCTATTTGATCAGAAACTTGCGGCAATTGGTGCAACAAAGCGGCCGGAGAGGAAGGGGCCTAGGAGGCCAAGATTGCGAGTCGAGAAATGAAGGAATTAATCACGAGAGAGATAGGGAGAGAGAGAGAGGAAGGTGTGTGATTGTTTTCGTTGATGTTGTATTTTGTTAGTGCTATGTCAGGGTCCTAGGCGGGTTAGTGTGGAATTCAAAGGGAGAGAGATCATCAAAACCTTCAATGTATCTAAGCTCTCGGGAAAATAAAATAGGCGACAGTGCTTTTCTGTGCGGCATTTTCACAAGAAAACTCCAAGTTTCGTTGACCTGCAGGAATATGCACAGCACAAGCCTCTGCAGCAAGCAGTGGGGGATCTTTTTCCATCCGAATTTCTTCTGCTGTATCGTGTAAGATGTGGAGCACTTGCATCCCTATCGATTGAATGGATGCTTTGTAGCTTGACCATGCAAAGTATTGGAAGGAGCTCCTCCTTTCTAATCCCAACCTTTCTTTCTTTCTAGTAGCTTTCTCCTCTTCCTCCCAACCATCCCCGCATCTGTCGCTCCTCCAGAACCCATTTGCAACCCGGCGAACTCGTCTGAAAAAAAAAAACTTCAATTGCGGTGACATCCTCTCCTTCTCAAAAGGAAAGGTGGAGATGAGCTTTCCCCTACTAATATCGATATGTAATTCCTGTCTGGTACTACTGACGAGCGCTCTGGGTAGTACCACCATCCAACCGATCCAGTAAGAAAGTGTAAAAGAAAATTCTTCCCCTGCCTTGCATAGCATATTAGCATGGTTTTACCAATAGGTTTGTGAAAAATAGGCCATAGTGAAGGCTCTGGGCATCTGCCGACATGGTTCCGCCATTTTTCTTCCTTTCTGTTGCTGGTGGTCCATCAGATCACTGACGTATGTCCTCGAGATGGATTTGGTCGTTTCGCCACCCAGGATCGAAGGGTACAGACATAGACGAGCACTGAAGAGCCTAAAGAGTCTGCAGCTTGCCTCTTTCTTTGCGCTTCCATTTTTTCGGGATGCCACATTTCGAGATGGGCTCCATGACAAAACTTCTTTTCTTTCTTTTTCTTCCCTTCTTACATACGTAGCATCCCTTATCGATCGATCGATATAAATTTTCATTTTGTCATTGCTAATTTGGTAGGGAAAGAAATTGGGATCCGTGAGTCAAGAGAAGCTTCGTGGTCCGTAATTACAAAGCTTTGTCTTGGAGGGAACGAAAAAATAAAAAAATAAAAAAATTTAATCCTAAAAATTCCTACACCTTCAAAATCTTGAATCTAAGATTGTTCGAGTATAGCCTCAATAGTTTGATCATGAGCTGGTACTTACGTGTATGTACTCCATTGCTCATTGGTACTATACCTTATATCTAAGGAGGAGGAGTGATGGACTGGTTACGTTGGAGTATTGTACCACCTCAACGTATGTACCAAGCTTACACCGTTACGTTTTGTCTTGGGCAAACAGCCGCTGTAAGCTGGCTTCACAATTAATCCGATTCAGGATGCGCATCATATAGAAAACAAATAAATCATACAACCGGACTTCCTTTTTTCCCTCCTTTTCCTTTCTCGTTTTGCTTCCGAAGGCGTGATTGTCGAGAGACAAGTCCAAAAACAAAAGAGGCGCATCAGAGTCAATAAAGAGGCTGGTCTCACGGAAAAACCTGGATGCTAAAACGTGATTGAAATGCGAGTACCTGCAGATTTGTCAAGTTTTGCAGGTCTGTTTTACGAAAATCTGTTGTCGTGTTCGAATCCCATGGACCAGACTACAACGTGATACTTTTTTATTTTATTTTATTTTACTTCATTTTATTTTATTTTGTTTTTTGTTTTCCGTTCTGCACGAGCGCTCGAGCCTGAACGTTATAGACTAGAACGTTATTACCTATTTTTCTTTCTTTTTTGATATTCGATGCTGCAGGACATATGTCGGTGAATCCTTTGGACAGGTGCAGGTGCGAAATGGGTTCCATTAGACCAGTAATATGGTAATTCTTGTTATCTAATGCACGTCGTGAGTCAAAGAGGTCAGAGAAGGTGGTGGTGTTTAGGGTCCACCTTTCCGTGTGATATGCGCCATCATTGGGTCATGTCCTCTTCGCTCCGTCACAAACCGAAGAGCATATGCTTAAGGATGCTTTCGGTTGGTGTATTTCGTTCGAGAAGGTCGGAAGGGGTCCCTTTTGGTTGGGGGGATGAGCAGGAATAGGGAAATCATGTGTCGGTCTTTGCCCGGAACGACATTCTGTAAACGGGAAGGGTGTGCGGGAGACTTGATCGAATTTATTACTTGTTTCCGCGTAGGGCCGAATCCAAAGGGCAAATGGGGGATGATGGCGACAGCTGTCAAAAGTACTCGGTCCGTACACGGTACTAGTCGTTTAAGCAGTCGGATTTGATATTTCTGAATATAAATTTGTAGTAGATACTCTTGTAGACCGACGCCGATACAAAAGACCTTGTAGGCGAGAATAAAGAGGGAAGCATATCCCTACTAGCTCGTCACGAGAATAATCCATTACCCTATTCGACAGCTGGACCGTGAGGGAAAACCTTCAGCCCAGGCACCGATCCGAAGAGGCGACACCAAAGTGACGGGTAAAGGGTTCTTAGTCCGATATACGGAATATGCGAAGGGTAGGGAGCGCCATATCTGACATGTGCAGCCTCTAACATCTTCAGTGAGTAGTTTGATGCTCTACCTAAGTATGTATGGTGACTATTCCTGTACCTCGAATACCCGGTTCCCCCCCCCAAACGACGATTGTCGTAGTCGTCGTACTGCGGGGCTTACGCTTTCGTTTAACGATGTGAACCGAAGGCAGGATGATTACTCGTAGGTACGACTTTGGGCTTCTCGAAATGTGCCAAGCTAACTTCCTATGGCTACACAAAAGTCATTAAAGTTTTGTTTCTCCTGGCTTCCGCATTTGCCTTTTTACCTTTTTTTTTTTTTTTCTAGACTTTTACCTCTTGTGACGTTGAGCGAGTTAAAAAAAATTTTCCCCTTCAGACACAAGGGAAAAGTTTGCATATTATTAAGGAACGTTAAATGTCAAGACTGGAAACGGGATTTGACACCTGGAAGTGAGGCAAGGGAGGGGTTCTAGTGTAAAGTAGGGATATGGAGTGAGAGATCGCCGTGTAGAGGGAATAATTGGAGGGAATAACTAGAGGAAACGAAGGGTTCATTCTTGAAGAACGAAAACTCACCCTTAAAAAAAAAAAAAAAAGAAAAAAAGAAAAAAATTAAAGAAAATTCGCCGGGTCCGATCAGACTCGCATGGCCTGGCTGATCACAAAAAAAAAAAGAACGGAGACCAAAAGAAAGAGAGGGAGGGATGTCGTTGAGGGTTCAATTAATTCTGCTGACCAGCTTCTCTTTGGAATCTTGTAATGTTGCTGCATAAGGCGGGGGTATGGGCATATGATTGGCTGGGCGGGCGGCTGCACAGGTCTTCGAAGTAGGGTCAATAAAAAAATAAAATAAAAATTTAAGAAAAAAATGATATGATATTCTGGGAATATGTCTCTCAGACGTTGAAGCAAAATAAGTATTCATCCCCTTTCCGGGGTATCAATAAAAGACGCTGCTAAAATTACGAACCGTCCTGCATTAGTTATTCGGAGGGATAAATATCAAAATACCCATTCCTTCGAAAAATTTATCGAAAACAGCGGTTTGGTTATGGTAGTTCGGAGTCATCGCGGCAGAACTCTGGAAGTGTGGCTGGGCTTGCTCCTGAAGATCCATCCATGGCCATGGTCGATATCGACGACGGCGGTCATATGGGTTATTGTTTTTCTCACTTTCTGTCTGAGGAGAGGCCAGGGCGGTTGGCTAAGGGTTCTCAGGCACTGATTGCGCCCCGTCAACGCAATAGTCGACTAGGTCAGGGTTGAAGCATTATCTAAACGAAATTGCGCCCTGATCCACGCCAAGCTGCGGCATCGAGTTTGTATTGAAAATATCAAAATGGAGCTTCGATAATGTTAAATACCGAAGGAGACTTTTTTTTTTTTTGGTTATTAATTTGATATTGACGTCGATGTTAATGCGATGTTGGATTGGGAGTAGGAAGCGCCGTGTTGAGGAAGGCGAATCGAATATAAAATCTGGGGGAACATCCAGCCGGTCGGGTCCGTGGTAGCATCGATACCGACGATGCGATGGGAACAAGAAGAGCGATTAATCAGATTCTTGGTGCCTCTTTCTTTTCATTCAAGCCGTGGTTTCCGCCATAGGAAGCAAGGTTGTTTGCAGTGTGTCGTTGAAAACAGTCCACCGACGCCATCTGCATTTCCCATGCCGCTGGGCTCACCTCCACACGCGCCTGCCCTACCCCCAGTCGCTCATATAGTGGGAGGTCCACCTTCCGCCTGTCTATTTTGAACGTGAAACTAAGATGGCCCCACTCATATCATATCGCGGACAGACAAGGCCAATAAGGATTCTTGACACGGTTCAAATTCCGAGAAGCGAAGATGAACAGCACATACTCTAGTAGGGAAGAAAATCACATTAAACTTTTCCGCATGAAAAGGGTTAAGGGATGAAGGGGAAGATAATTTTTTACATACGTACGTAGATATCGTATCGTAATGTGATCTTTCCTGTCCTAGGAGCAAGCCCTAAATGTCTCCGGGCTGGTTGGCTCATCGTCAATCGAAATAAAATGTCAGGTCAGATGCACGAAAGGTATTATCGTCTCGACCTGTCTACTCCACTTTCCCCCCATTAACATGTGCGACACTAAGCCTGTAACGACCCTTATTGTTGTGGAAAAGCCAAAAAAAAAAAAAAAAAAGTATCTGGAAAGGTGACGAGCTCGCATGTTTTTCGACCAACCAGGTGCCCTGTCAGTTTCTTTTTTGGGTTGTCATCACCATGTCGACGAGTGGAAAAAAGGTTGCTTCCCTGTTCACCCATCCTTCTTTCCTTTTTCTTACCTGTTCTTTTGCTTTTCAATTTTGGTGGAAGGAAAAGGCTGGCGGGAGGAAAAAACAGTGGTCACTAAATCTGGAAAATTCGACGGCTAGTTCGGGTACCTCTGCTCGTATATATTGTAACCCTGGCAGCAAGGTATCGACGACTGGCAAGAGTACCAATATGACACGCATGCATAGGACATGTGATGGCTAACAAGACCTTGAATTATTCTTTCTTTGTGAGGAATTCCTCGTTAACGATCCGGCTCTCGCGATATAGGAGCCGGACACCATCTTGAACGGGCAAGCTGCCGCTCAAATTTCTAAAATTTGATCAAATATTAGTGATGAGAGGAAGGTGCATCCGCCAATTTCAATTATGACTGAGGGAGAGTTGCTTTCCTGCTTTTGTTTCTGGGTATTTTCCCTTGAATACTGCCTTTCTTACTCGCTCGGAGGTGCTTTATCAGCGCTGGCGGATCCAATAGAAGGACAATATCGGGTGTTTATGTTTGCCAGCATCTGGACGCTTGACCAGTAGAAGCCGCAGCATTTCCCTTGAGCTCTACATACAGAACACTGCATGCATTAGTAGTGACATCCATTACCTCACCAATGGGAGACGAGATTGTTGCATGGCCGGGCCAAACGTGGGGATGCCTTTTGTTCTGAACCCCTAGTTTCTAAGGTGGTTCGCGTTGACCGGGGGGATACCAGCATTCACATATAGACTTTGGTGAGAAGTGAGGTACCGCATGCGTTGAAGGCGGAGTCGTTCCGAACATTCCTGTCCTTCTCGATCGGGGCTATTTGATACTTGGAGGGCACTCTTTTGAGTTGTAGCGAGACTAAAGTTAGCTCATAGATCTGAGTTAGGCTTCATTCTCTGGAAAGAGGAATGACTTTTTTTTTTTTTTTTTTTTTTTTCCCTTCTGCAGTTCTTTTGCCTTAGAAAAGGCAGACGGGAAAGCAATGACATTATGATATCGTCGTCAGGTAGATGTCAGAAAACACGCAAGAGGGCAACGTTGCCCATCCTTGAACCCCCTCATTTTTGGCTCCATCGCCTCCACCGCGGTCTGCCGGTTGGCTGTGGGACTGACAGACTGGGGCTGGCATGGCATTCGAACCCAACCTTCCCATCGATATAATAATGGGTTTTGAGGGAACCGTAATAATCAATTGACTATCAGAATACTGGTACTTGGAGCCATGAGGAAGCTTGTACCTGCAATGGAGGTGTGCATGTTAATTATGGAGCCGGCCCAATCCTTTCGACGAGATCTCCCACGCAAAAGATGGGGTCGACGTAGTGATGATATGGTGATTCGAGGCCTGGCATCCTGTAGTTCTGACATTATGGGCCTCCGCTCAGCCCGTTTGCTCATTCGTACGTACAGGCATATTACATACATCCACATCCACACCGTCCGTCCGATGTGTGTGTGAGGGTGTGCAGGTCCTCACAGTCCGGTGTAGGAAGTATGTATGTACGTATGTAATGTCCTGAAGCTAATCGAATCACAGGCCCGTCATTTCGTATTGATGGAGAAGGGCCTTTGCTTCTTACATTTGTTTCTTTTTGGTGAACCGACAAGATCGGCTGCCGTCAAGATTTGGGGGAAGTGCAACCTCATTGCTTTTTCAGAGGAGCAGAGAAGAGAGAAGACGGATGTCTCTTAATTTGCTCGTTCTCATTTCTTATTCGTTTGCCTGCTGATTTTCGTGCATTAGCCAGCAGGCTTTGCCCTTTTTTAAAACAAGCAAGAACAGGGAAGAGCAGGAGAACCCACCACGCTAAGCAGGCTTCTTGCTGGCTGCTGCGGTTGCGGTTCCTTAACCCTCTCGACGTGAAGGTGCTGTCACTCGTCTGTTCCCTGCCTGGCCTGCCTGGTCTCTGGCTGCCTCCTGCACTTGCTCTTGTCTCTCCCAGTAACCCACTAGAGTTTTCCATTCGTGCTGCAGTGCACTATCCAGGGTGAAACGGCGGCAGCATCCATCTTCTTTCTCCCACCTCTATGTACACAGAACGGAGTACTCAGTGCACACCACCCACACACCCACGCCCACATCCACTCCCACTCTCCCACTCCGGTCTCGAAAGAGTAGTAGTAACTAAAGAGAAGAGAAGAGAAGAGAAGAGTCCCTGGGAGGAGGGTGGTCAGTTAGTGCAGAGTTACTTGCAGCGGTGGGTGGTCCTGGTACTTACATGCACACACTTACTAGTCCTTAGATAGTGATCGTTAGTGTTTTTGTTTGTGGGAACATTCTCCTCCTCCAATCCTCTCCATCTCCCTAAAACCAAGACCCTTCCCTTTCCCTCACCTCCCTCTTCAACCTCACCTCATCCGTCAACCCCAAACCGCCTCTCTCCCTTTCTCCTACCTCTCACTCCGTGCCTGTGTGTCACCTTGCTGTTGACTGCAAGCTACGACAAACCAAAACCTCAAAACGTTCTTAATCGCTCCTAGTTCTCTCTCGACACGGCTTTGCGCTTTCCCTCGGTTCAATCTCGAAACGGTCTATTCTTGGTCGTTCGTGGGAAACAGTACAAGATCTAAGAAACAGTTTTAAAGGTCGAACCTCGAACTTGTTTATCATCTTTGCACCATCCTCAATATCACAAAAAAGTCCCGGTCCCTTTGAGAACCCATTTACTTGGAGTGCCAACTTGCTTGGGCGATTATACTCGACGCATTCACTGAGTGGAGGGAATTCGGCTTTCTCTTGTTTCTATTTGTTATTATCATCGTCATCACCGGCATCGAATCGACCACTCTAACTGCAATCCTACTACATATATACGATTTTTCTATACAAACAACCACGGACGGGATCTTATACCAGGAGATTCTTCCCACTATCAACATTGGTTCTGGCATCACGGTTTTTTCTCACGGCCACTCTGGTTCGGTAGATTCGTTTAAGCAAAATATATATCTTTTCTTCCTTCTCATCACCTTTCTTCGGTTGTTGTCCTTGCTGCCGCGAGGTCTTTTCTCCCAATAATATCTGCTCGGAAACCCACGCCATCCCTAATCTATACTAATAACTCCTCCCAGCCATCATCTCGCTGCTTGCTGCACCGGATCCAGGATATTACCTCTGCAACTTCGAATCATTCTGATACCCCTGCTGTCTGCTTCCAGTTTGTTTCTTTTTAGTGCATTACTGTAAATTCGCTCTTCTTGCTCATAAGGGTCACCTTTTTTGCCATCGAAACCGCGTACCTCTGAATCCTTTGGGATTGCGAACGGAACAGAACCCTCTCTCTTCGCAGCATCTATTCTCTCGAAATCAATTTCGAATCTTCTCCCGGGTAGTGGAGCTTTTAACTAAGTATTTCCTCTCGGTCCAACGCTTCACTCATCAATCCTTCGGATACCAGTTGCACAGATTTCAAAAACAATCGTTCAACTATTATACTCTACCGAAACATCACAAGAACAAGTTGAAGTCTCGATAGATTGGAAAAGAAACGATTACATCTGTTACTTCACCTTGGGAAACATCGGCGAAATATAACTGGATGCTCGGTCTACAGCACTAAGAGTTTTTCTTTTCTTTCTTTCCTCCTTTCCAACTGACCGTTGGTTTGCCCCGGTCTAGTCGCCTCCCTCTTCGACTCAAACATCTGGTCCACCTTTTGCTTCAGAGCAGGTTTCTCTCACTGGCCAGTCATCTCCTCATTCACGCTCTCTCCCGCACTTTCTCTCGTCTGCCCAATAAAAGCCTCTTGTTTTAACGGATATACCTTTTTTTTTTTTTTTTGTGGTTCCTTTGGTTACGGATCTGGTTCTATCGTTATAGATTTGTGATTTGGTCATCTGTCTTATAGTTGGCTTCTTTTTATTTTTTTATTTGTGTCGATTCTATTTGCTCGTGCATTCTTCGCCTCACGCCTAAATTTTACCCTTGGAAACAGTTTTCCTGGGTAATTTTTCCGGAGTCTAATTAGGAACTGGTAAGTTATTTTTTCTTGCCCAACTCTGGTGGCGAATTTTTGAAGATGACTTCACGGATTGTGGCATCTGGTGTTGCCCACAGCACACCAACATCATCTTCCAACCATCGTCATCTTTTCATCCCACAAGCAGCTCGGGCTAACCCATCTTTCGTGGCTTCCAGCAAAGGCGTGAACAGTACATCGAACTGTTCACCTTCGGCTGTTCCTGTTCGGCTTCTACTTTCATCCATTATGCCATCCTTCTATGCTCGTCCCCCACCGGGACTTCCCATCACCCCTCCGGAATCCATGTACTATCATCAATATGGCATGTACGGCATGCATGATCAAAAGTCTGGATTCGACAGCTACAACCAGATGCAGCAGTATCACCCAGGGTATCGACAGCAGAGTTTGCAGTTCCCACCTGGGCTCGCTCATCCCTCCAACTGCAACACTCTTCCTCCTCTCAACGGCATGAAGTCCGACGAGAATATGCAGTTGCCCTGGAACACCCGCAACGATGCCAAGTCTGCTCCTGCTAAGTCTGAGGAAAAGCCAACTGGTGGTGTCGCTCAAGTGTTGGACTACGAAATCGAGGATATGGCTGAGTTTGTTACCTCAATGGCCATTGGAATGTACGTTGTGTCGACCCCCACTCTGCTAATGGGCAAAACTAACAACTTGTGTAGAATTCTCCCAGGGTCTCAGAGCCAGCAAACCGTCTCGGCCTTCAAGAAGTTTGTTTTCACCATCTTGCAGTCCACCCGCTTGCCTTCCTCCACTGTTATCCTGTCGCTGGATTATTTGTCTCATAGAATGAACAACTGTCCTCCGACTACTCAACATAAGGGGTTGGCTCATCTCTACCGAATGTGCACCATCTCCCTTCTTCTTGCCAGCAAGTTCTTGGATGATAACACCTTTCAGAACCGTTCTTGGGCAGATGTAACCGGACTTCAGGTCACTGAACTCAATCAATTGGAGGCCGACTGGTTGGCCGCGATCGGATGGCAACTCCACGTCGCTCGCCCAGGTTACACTGGATTTGATTCTTGGAAGGCGTCTTGGGACTCGTTTATTAGTCAGAAACAAGTCCATCACGCCCCAGTTCTTACGCCTATCAACACCAATATCATGAACAACCGCCGCCACACTATGTCTTTCACCAACCAAACATTTTCTCCTCAACAGCAACATCCTCAGTCCGCTTTACCCCACGGCTATATTGGTGATCACCTCCGTCAAAGTCAGATGAACGATGGCGCTTACTGGTGTCCTGATTTGACATCTTCCGCTCAGCCATCCCCTCCCTCGTTGGCTTCGTCTGGACCTACTACTCCTGCTTGGGAGTACCCGATCAACAACTGGGGGCATCATTTTGGAGGAAAGCACCAGTTTCCAGCCAGAGTCTCACCATCCCGGATCTCTCCCCCTCTCTTGATGCAGGGATTCAAGGGGGGTTGCAACTGCGTGTCATGCTTCCATACCCGACTCCCTCAGCTGCCAACGCCACCATCGATGTACCCTAACTTCGCTGTTGGTTATGGCCACCAAATCGTTGCCTAAGACCATTCCTTTGACTCCTCACCATAGACATCATTGCGGCGTTCTTATACTAACCAAAACACCTTTGTTCACTTTCGGTCTACCATTCACAGGAGGAGATAAAAAAGCCGGTTTTTTAAATAAAAGTATTTCGTTTTTATCTGGGGTTCTTCTCTTCCACTATCGGAGTTTAATTCTTTCGTTCGAACGGAACGATCTGTTTAATTGCTTCTTTTCTCTGGGTCCCAAGCGCTTTTCTCGTTCTAATATCCGATTTGCCTGCAACGACATACATCTAGACAGTCCGGCGGGATATCAGTATCGAGCGTTATCTTGAAGCCCTTTTTTCCCCCGGTTTTTCTTCTTCTCCATGGTTATTATTTTTGGCTCCGTGCATGATTATGTTAGCGTTTCCTTTTTCTCCTTTTTATTTTTTGTCCCGGTTCTTTTGTAACATTCTATGCGGCGTCCACAGCGATCTTTCGTCTATATTCTCTTCTACTCCTGGGTTTGACGGCGGATCATCTTGGACCATCAGCTCACCCAGTCTTTATAGGGACTCCAGAATACGATGCCCCTTCACTCCCTTTTTCCGTTCCTTTTCTCGGTTTCCGAAAACAAGCCCAAAAAAATACCGAAAATTCATACAAACGGTGGTGGCAAAGTTTCAATATTACCCAACTGTTTCTGTCCCAATTCCCTAATGGCTTTACGAATTCCCTCTGTTTCGGTATTTAAAATCTTGTTTTTTATTCAACTTGTACTCCAATTTGCATCCCGATAAACCAATTGTTGCTTTTACTTTGGCATTCATGAGTGGCTTGTTTCCCCTTTCTTATTTCACTTGTATATTCTGAGCTTTACAGTTTAATCAGGTTTTACTTACGTTCTTTTTTTCTGTTTATTATACCCATGCTCCTTCTGTTCATCTACTTCCTCTTCACATTCTACCTTGTCTTACTGACTGTATGAAATATTTTCCCTTTCCCTTTCCCCTCTTTTTTCCTTTTCCTTTTTAATTAGTCTTCGGGGCAAAACTGAAAAAAATTTCAAGGATTATTGGTGTCAAAAATCTTTATTGCATTTTCGTGGGAATTTCAATTTGTTGTTTTCCTCTGCTTTGCTTGAGGCCTCGAATTATATACTCGTGTTTTCTTGAATATCCTTTGTGAAATTTTCTTTCTCCCTTTCCTTGCTATTCCCCCTT